ATACATACCTGTTCGCACTCGGCGATCCTCCCGATATCACTACCGCCACATCGAGCTCTTTCAAGCTACCTGCATCGCGGCCCGACTTCTGACCGTCTCCGCTCGCCGCCCACATCACGACCCCGCAAACCTTGAGACAGCCGATAGGCACGACGTGGCCGCTGATTGTGAGCCGATCCCGCTTGCACACCTTCACATAGTCTCTGAACTCATCTATGCTTGCAGCCGTCCCTATCAGCCACGATTGAGCTAGGCCTCACACGGACTAGGAGCGAGTCGTACCTCAGATCGCTGGTCGTCCGACAAACTGCAAGGTTCGACCTTGGCACGGCTTCCCGATCCAGGCTCTCGGCTTCAAGATAGAATTCTACCGAAGTGACTCTCCAAGCGGACCTTTAGCAGAAGTGTGTCGACATGACGGACCTCGGTAGCAGCTCAGATACGCTCGAGGAGATCGACGACCCTTCCGAGCTCCTGTCACGGCCGCTCGAGCCCGTTCCGCTGGTCAAGCCTCCGCCACAAGAGCCATCGCATACAAGCCCGCAGCGGAAGCGCTTGCTCCCGCCGGGCTACGGCACTTCCACTGCCAATGGGAGCTCGTCTGGTTCTTCGCGACCAGCCGTATGGAGGCCTGCCAACGCCAGTATGCCCGCCGCGTCGTTTTCTGGAACATCCTCGGCAAACGACATGATCATCGGAGGCAGCGGTGCTCGCGTTCCCACTCAATTCCTCGACTCAAACGGCAGCTTTTCAAAATCGTCACAACCGCTCCATTCGGTCCCGTCTTCTGCGTCGAGCTCTTCATCGCATGCTCCGCAGATGCCAGGAGCGTTCCCTGCATCCAACCAGAAGCCTCCCTCCGCAGCATTCCAAGCATCTGCATCGTCGACTTCGAAAGCAGCGCCTCCGAGCTCCTTCTCCAAGTGGAACGATCGGCCAGTGGTCGACCTGACGCTAGACAGCGACGACGAGGACGAAAAGAAGCCAGCAGGCATCAACGGCGGCTCGAGCAGTACCCCGATCCATGTGCAGGACCGCAAGCCCCACGCTTCCGCAGAGTCATCCGCAGGTTCTTCGGCTTTGATGCTTCCGCAGGGCAACGGCACCACTGGGAATGCATCCTCGTCAAAGACGGCTTTGCCCGTTGCGGACGATGATGACGATGAGCCAGTCCTCGTCTCCCTCAAGACGAGAACGCCAGAGGAGTTCGAAATAGATCACGTCAAGTCCAACGCGATCGTATGTGCAGGCATGATCAACGCCGTCGTCCTGTGCATGCACGGTCTGCCGCCGTCGCTCACTTTCGATGGCACATCGGGCCAAGAGCCCCCTGCGGATCCCAACTTCAGCCGCGAGAACTGGCTCGGCGCATCGCGCTTTTGGGTCGAGCCTGGGTTCAGACCCGTGATGCTGCATCTGTCCAATCCGTCCGGCTTACCGCCCTCGAACAGGTCGCTGCCGGGAGGCTGGTCGTACACCGCCATGCCGGCTCAGAAAACCGAGATCAACGTCAGTGTGATCATTCCCCCTCGCGCTCGGTTCCCGCACTTGTCTCCCGAGGACGCCAAGAAGGAAGGTCCGGCTGTGGAACCGGCGTTCGGTATGCTCGCAGAGAAGTTTGTCACCTCGATGGAGCCCTTGCTTCGCCTGAACAAGGTCCGCTGCGAGGCTCGCTGCAGGATGGTACCCACCGGACGAGGGCAGAACTTTCTGCATTACCTCGAGGTCCTCTTATTCGCTCGTCGCCCCGATCTCAACCTGGTTTCGGACCGCCTGTCGGCGTACGGCATTCAGCTCGAGCATCCTCTTTCCTACTTTCCGGAGGACTACCCTACCGAGCCGCAGTATCAGAACCCGCACAATCCGCCAGTGGGCGGGATGCGGAACGACGCGGGGATGTATAGCGGCATCTATCGCGGCGCTGGCGTCGGAACGAGCGTCCAGAATCGCGAGCTGACGGAGAAGGAGAAGAAGGCACAGGTCGATGCCATCTACTCGAGCATCCGGAGTGGCGAGGACTTGGCTGCTGTAGAGCCGGTGGAGCTCATTTCGACCAAATTGCTCCAACACCAAAAGCAGGCGCTTGGCTTTCTGCTCAATCGCGAAAGGGATCGCCGCTGGCCGGAGCTGCTTGTGGAACCTGCCATCGAGGTGGACGCGGAGGAAGACGCTGGAAGCGTTAAGAATGGGTCGGTCAAGGCCGAGCCTTCCCAGAGCAGCCGCAACGGCTCCGGTCCGAGCGATTCAGCCCGGAAAGACGTCAAAGGCAAGGGCAAGGCTGAAAAGGCGGTCGATGAGGACTCCATCTCGCTCTGGAAGGTGCGCAAAGGCATGAACGGCAAGGTGCGGGCCTGGCGCAACTTGATCACAGACCGAGAGACGATGATGCAGCCTCGCATCTGTCGCGGCGCCATTCTGGCCGACGACATGGGCCTAGGCAAGACAATTACCACCCTCGCCCTCATCGCGCACACTCGCAAGGAGGCCAAAGAGTTCGGACTGTCCAAAGTGGAGCGCGATGCTAAGGTCGAGCTCACGCAAGCGATGCAGTTGGCGAGCGTCTCCAGCGCCGCCGTGTCTCGGGAGGCAGAAAGACGCAACGGCGTCGGCAAGGTCCACAGCCGCCAGGCGATCAGGCTGCACGATTCAGACGACGACGAGCCAATGACGGACGCGGACGCAGAGAGCGACCCAGACGACAGCGACTCGGCGCCAGCCATGTCGCTGGCCGTCCACGGCGCACCCGCCGCTGCCAAGACAAGCCCGGCGAAAGGCAAAGGCAAGAAGCCGAAGAAGGACAAGATCGATCCCGAGGCTTTGCAGCGTAAACATCTTGAGCGTCGCAGTCGCGCCACGTTGATCGTTTGCCCCTTGTCCGTGGTATCTAACTGGGAAGAGCAGTGCAAGGAGCATTGGCATCGACGTAAGCTGCCGTCGATCTACATCTACCACGGTCCGTCGCGAGCCACCAACATCAAGTGGATTGCCGATCACGACATCGTCCTCACGACATACTCGACACTCGGATCTGAGTTCTCGCACCAGACTACGTGGATGACCGAGGACAACCGCAATGATGACGAGAAGAAGAAGGCCTTTGGCAAAGCCGCCGCTCGCGAGAGTCACTCGCCTGACGATGATGATGACGACGATGACGTCTTTATGGTCAATGGAGATGGCGATCCGATCGAAGGTACGAATGGCAAATCGAGCACGGACAAGAAAGGCAAGAAGCGTCGACGAAAGCCTGCCAAGGAAGCACTCAATCCTCTACAGCGGATCGAATGGTTCCGCATCGTTCTCGACGAGGCGCACACAATCAAGGGTGCCGGCACGTGGCAATCGAGAGCCACATGTAACCTCTCTGCGCAGCGTCGACTCTGCCTGACGGGTACGCCAATCCAGAACACGATCAACGATCTTTACGCCCTCGTCAAATTTCTCCGCCTCGAGCCATTCATGGATCGCGCCATGTGGAACGAGTTCTGCGGCCAACGCGAGACGTATCATTTGCGGTCGAAAGGCAAAGACGACGAGCCGATCGACTCGGCCAATGTCGGCCACGTTCAGATCTTGATGAAGTTCTTGGCGCTTCGTCGTCAAAAGACGACAAAGACGGCCGATGGCAAGATGCTTCTCACACTGCCACCTAAGCTGAGCAAGACGGAGTACCTCGACTTTGAAGAACGGGAGAAGGCGCGCTACCAGGCGCTGCACGACAAGTACCGCGAAGACTTCGAGGAGATGATGGCCAAGGATTCGGTTGGCAACAACTATGCAACGATCTTGCACGAGATTCTCAACCTGCGTATGACCTGCGATCATCCCTCCCTGGTCGATGTTAGCAAGGACGCGAAACTCAGAGGTATGGGTGCGGACCTGTCCGAGGCGATCAGGCTAGATGGCCTAAACCGAGAGAGGGCAGCAATCCTCTTCGACGTCTTCCGAGAGGGCGATATGGCCTTCTGCTCAGATTGTCAGGCGGATCTGACGACCAGCTTAGACGGCGATGGTTCGAATCGAGATGCGCAGGAGCTAGCCGACGCGCTTGACATCGCGGCCTTTGACTCGCGCGATGGCAAAGGTTCGCGCAAACGAACCAAGATTGAGCCAGGATTCGGATCAGGGATGACGTCCGGCATGATATCCAGAGATGGACTGGAGACAGCAGGCGGCAGTGCAGCACGACCTGTTGTGACTCGATGTCAGCACCTTTTCTGCTCAACCTGCTTCCGCCGCATGATCGGCTTCCCTTGGCCAGACGTGAGCGCTTCGGATGTCGGCAATTGCCCGTCTTGCCAGCATTCCTTGCAGCTCGCTCTCGACGCCATCGAATTGGAGCCGTCCGATATGGTTGGCCTCAATGGCGATCAGATGGAACGCAAGGCGGACGGAGACAGCGACTTCATCGACGACGAAGTCGAAGCCGAGACAAAGCTCAAGAGGCGTGCAGACGAGGATTCGGATTTGGACGAACCGGCCGACGACTTTGACTGGGGCAGCGACGATGACATCAAGCCACGAACGAACAAGCCCAAAGCGCCTCGGAAGAACGGCAAGTCGTCCGGCAGCGTCCCTCGACGTCCCCTCGGCGATCTTTCCCTGGAAGGCCGAAAGGACCTGTCGACCAAGATCCGCGCGCTCATCACCGACTTGCTGCCGTTCTCCAAGTGCAATCCGCACTCGGCGCTGTTCGATCCGACGGCGCCTCGGCTCCTCCACATCGACACCAAGACGTCGGAAGATGAACAGATTCGAAACCTCGAGGAGCCTGTTGTCGTCATCCAAAAGCCGCCGCCGGCCGTCACCTCCAGCGGCTTGCTAGGAAAGCTCGATCAATCCTACGAAGCCCTCGAGTCCTACGATCCCGTCAAGAGTGTCGTGTTCTCGCAGTGGACCAAGATGCTGGACCGTATCCAGAAATCGCTCTCACTCACTGGCATCCGATACGTCCGACTGGACGGGACGATGAAGCGATCCGACCGCACCGCAGCACTGGAGACCTTCCGCACGGATCCGTGTGTCGAAGTCCTTCTCGTGTCGCTGCGTGCCGGAGGTACCGGTCTCAACCTCGTCACCGCATGCCGCGCCTACCTGATGGATCCCTACTGGAACCCGGCCGTCGAGAATCAGGGTCTCGACCGAATTCACCGCATGGGTCAGACCCGCCCGGTCATCACGACCAAGTACATCATCCGCCAAAGCATCGAAGAGAACATGTTGCGGCTGCAGAAGCGAAAGATGATGCTCGCCGAGAAGGTGGGCAACAAGCGCCAGATCGGAGATATGGTCCCGGCGAGCGCCCAGGCGAGGCGTGACGAGAGGAGGGAGGAGCTTAGGATTCTGTTTGGCACTTCGGATGGTGGGGTCAAGCTGTGAGTGGCAGCGAGTCGGAGCAGCTGCCTCTTCCCGTTTGTTTCGTTTCAGCATGACATCAAGCATCGGAATCCATTGAAACACCAGATTGCCACACGAGATCGATGTGAAGTCTGCTGTGCACTCGTCAAGAGCCTCTACATCTTTGATCAGACCCCGGTGAATCTTCATGATTCCATCATCACGTCTATCATCTTTGAATGTGTCTGTGTGTGATTAGCGATGTATGTGTAACGAAGTATGGCGTCGGGACGTCCATGGCGCTGCGTCGAGGCGTCAGGCGGCCAATCGGACGAAGATCAGGACCGCTAACTATCGTCTCGTCGAAACTCGTCCCGCGTCCATCCTGCCCTCTACTCCCGTGCGAACCAAGGATGCAAGAAGCGCAAGTTCTGCTTGGCCTTATCATCGATAACGTCGCTTCGAGTCATGATGCTGAACTTCATGCTGTCCTTGATGCCCTTGATGCTTGGTTTGTCGTCGCTGTCGACTTCCTGTGCGATGCGATCGAGCAGCTTGGTGGTGACGACATTGCTCGCCTCGACGTTGGCCTTCAGACTCTCCATGACCTCGGCGACGTTGACGGCGGCGCTGCTGGGTCTCCAAGCGTCGTAGTCGGTGGCCGTTGCGATGAGGACATATGCCAGCTCTGCTTCCCTCGCGAGCTTGGCTTCGGGGAGGACGGACATGTTGATGATGTCTCCTCCCCACGCGCGGTACATCAGACTCTCGGCGCGAGTGCTGAATTGGGGCCCTTCCATGCATACCACCGTCTTTCCTTCATGCACCTTGACATCCGGGCTGTGCTCCTTGAGCGTCTCCTTCACAGTTTCGTGCACGATCGGTCGCAGAACCTCGCAGAAGGGATCTCCAAACCCAGCATGTGCCACCACCCCTTCCTCCTCGCCGAACCCAAAAAAGCTCGCTCTCCTCACACCCTTGGTGCGATCAATGATCTGACTCGGAATGACGAAATCCTTTGGCGCAATTTCCTCCCTCAAACTGCCCACGGCGGAGAACGCAAGTACGGCCTTGACGCCGAGATGCTTGAGCGCAGCCATGTTGGCGAGGTTGGGCACATTGCTGGGCAGAATGGCGTGGTTTCGCCCATGACGCGCGAGGAAGGCGACATGGTTGCCGGCGGTCGTTTTGGCGATGGTGATGGGCGAAGAGGGGGAGCCCCAGGGGGTGGTAACGCTGATCTCGGCGACCGGGGAGATGGACGAGAGCTTGTACAACCCAGAACCACCGATGACGCCGATGGTGATGGGCGGGCCGTCCCAGGTTTGAAGTGTAGGCACGGACATCCTGCGATTGACTGTTCGGATGGAGATCCAACGGGTGAAGGGTGGTGATGGTGTGAAGGCGGAACGAAGGTGCGCAAGCATGGGGAGAAGAAGAAAGGCCTTTTTTTGGGGTCCGCCGGCGAGAAGAATTGGAAAAATTGGACGCTCAGACCAGGTGCTCGCACGCCATCTTGCAGATCCCAGCCCTTTTTCCTGCCGAGAAACGTGGACTTGCTTTGCATGAGGCCGAAGAGGGCCCGCAATACAAGCATGCTGATGGCGATGATGTCGCCTTGGATGCGCTCCAACCTCTCGCGGTATGTGAAAGTGTATATATTGCTTGAGTATATCATTGCATGCTAACTATGCTGTGCGGTCGCTATGGTAAGCGACAGCGCTGGTTGGGTATTTGCTTTTGGAGACGCTTGCATCGAAGCTACTCTTCTCCTGGTTCATCCACTTCTTCTTCTTCGTCCTCTTCTTCGTCATCTTCGTCATCGTCTCCATCTTCGACGGCGAGGGCGCTGAAGAGCGAGTTGGTCGATCCGCCCAGCCCACCTGTACCTTCGTCCTCTTCGTCATCATCATCCTCGTCCTCGCTTTCGACAGCGCCAAAGTCGAACCTGACCTTTCTGGCGATTGCCTCGTCGTCGTCGCTTGCGTCGCTGCTCTTCTTCTTCTCGTCCTCATCCTCTCCTTCGCGTTCGTCCTCATCGTCTGGGTTGGGAGCCGTGAGCAGATCCGTTCCACCCACAGTCGCGTCCTGAGCTGTCGTATCCTGTCCCTCTTGGATCCAGATACCTTCGCCCATACTCCTCTCATCGCTCTGCCCGCCCGTCGGCGGCCGGAACGCCCACTTGATGCGTCCCTCGGCCACTGCGCGCATGACCAAATTCCCCGCCCGATTCACATCCCACCGGTTCGCCTTGGCCGTCTTGAACATGTACCGTCTCGCCACGGCCTCGAGCACTTTGACGCCCGTCCACGTCTCCCTTCCCTCCTCCGCCTCATCTTCCTCACGTGGGTACTCGAGCTGGAGCACTTTTTCCAATGCGATATGCTCCCCAACGAACCGCACGCACGAGGTGATCGCCTGCACCTGCGAGATGGCCAGGATCGCTCCCATGACCTGCATCTCCATGCCGATGAGGCTGGGGAAGACCAGACCGGGCGAGTCGCACAGTCGGATTTGACCGCGGTGGGTCTCTTCACCCACCGCCTTCGGCTTGTCCGCTGTGTCGGCTGGGGCAGAAGAGGTGGAGAGGGGCACGATAAAGTGCGTCTGGAAGTGCTTCGTCTTGCCGGGCGTCTTGGAGGCGCGTACGACTTTCGAGCCGAACAGTGCGTTGAGCAGGCTCGATTTGCCCACGTTGGGCTGGCCGATCAGACCGATGGTGAGATAGGGAAGGTGAGCGCGAGTCTCTTTTGGATCCATGCTCGCACTCGGATCTGTGGCCTTTGGCGACTGCTCCGCGTGTGATTCCTCTGCCACGCCTTCGGACTGCAAGCCTTCGGTGTGAAGCTGAACTCGGCGCTCGACACCGTCCCAGTCCGTGTCGGTGGCACAGGGCGGCTTCCAGTCTTGAATCTTTCTCGCATCGTCACGCACGATCTGCGGCGGCGTGATGAGATCGCTGTGCGCCTTTCGAAGTGCCGCGAAGAGGTCCTTCCGCGAATGCGGCGATAGATAGGGCGCGAACCTCGTCCTCGACCCTTGCCCCTCCATACGCTCGAGCTTGGCATAGCTCTCTGTAGCTACCACCTCCCATCTCGGATACAGCTGCTTGAGATACACCTTCCAGGCATCGACGATGTCCTTGGGTACGATATCCGCTTTGGTGAGGACAATGATGACTTTGAGTCGCATGTACCTCTCCAAGAATCCGATCAAACTTGGTGGAAGGTGCAGCAACGGGCATCGTGCGTCTGCGAGCACGCATACGAGATCACTGCGTTCGCAAACACGCCACAGCTGGCGATACACCTCGATGTTGCGTTCGTACAAGCTGCCGATGACGGATGTGCCGGGGGACGGACGATGCTGGAGCAGCTGAGAGATGCTATCCTGCGATGCTATGGTGGAGACCATACGGCTGCCGCCCATTGCTGACGGCGTTGAGGGGGCAAAAGCGGCCTTGTCGTCGGATCGAGTGTGCGAGGTCAAGCCGGCGAACATGGGCGACGAGGTGAAGAAGGCTCGTTCGACAACGGCATCTGTCTTACGAAGCCACTGCCGAAAGACTTCCTGTTCCTGAGAGTGGATTGTCTTGGTGTCCATGTCGGATCGCCACTTTGGTCGCTTCGGGAGGCGAAGCTCGCCGGTCTCTTCGATGCCCGTGATACCTGGGTCTTCGGTCTCGTCGACTTCGTCTTCTGACGAGCTGCCGTCCTGATCTCGACTCTGGCCAGGTTTCGGGTTTCCGTTGAGCCAGCCAGCGAGGGGATGCGAGTCTCGTTCTTCCTTCTTGCTATGCTCTTGGTCCACGAGACGCTGATGATTCTCGGCCCGGGCTCGACCGAACCTCGAGTAGTCGAACCGTGTGAGCTCGTCGGGGATAGGTCGCCTGAGGTCGGCATAGGAGGCGAGGATGTTGAGCCGCTCCAGCACGGGAGGCGAGAGCTTGGAGAAGGCAGATTCCTCAAGCTGGACTGTTCGTCTGCGTGATTCGAAAGCGGCCTGCTGATCTGGTGGTAGCAGGCCAGATCTACCGATCCTGCCTCCAGCAGCAGCAGCGCCTCCTCGCCCTCTTCCCCGCCCACGGCCACGACCCGCCTTGCCGCCTCGACCTTCGCCATCTTCGGCACTGCCACCTGCTCGACGCAGTTTGGCTTTCTGTGCCTTTGACGCCTTCTTGACCATCTTGCGTCGATACGAGCCTGACTGTTGTTGGTTGTCAGAGGGATGATGACGAGCAAGTGGACAGGCTGGGCTCTTGACAAAATTTAAGCTCGAGACCTCCACTTTCTGCAACGTAACACTTTCGAGGATTTGGAAAAGGTGGCTCGACCGTTGGATTGCTGCAGCCCAATCCACGCGACGTGCAAAGGCGATCCTTTTTCTGACTGAGCCTGGAACCCTGTGTCACAAGTCCGCATCCACTCGCACTCACCACACGACTCGAGCCGCGTCCTTTTTGCCTTTCAACGGCTGTGAGGGAGAACCCTTAGCCAAGCCCACGCGCTCGTCCAATTCCCATATAAGGCGACGCCAAAAAGGCCGGACAAACCGCCAAAAAATTGCCCGAGCCTGCGCACAGACTCTCAAGTTTTTGCGGTCCTAAAGCCTCTTCCCCGCATCTTCTCGGCTCAGCATCGACTTGTTCAACATCACTCCGGACATCATCGAGATCAACACATCCAGCAAGGCCCTGTAGCAGGCTGCATCGAATCGGAAACAGACCACGCCAATTAGCCTTGCATTCAGGTCTCATGTCTCGCCCTTCACAATCAGTCCGTTGCACAGCCGAAGCTTCCACACACCAGCTCCGGTCGTGACCACCCGCAGGCAATCTATCCGCAAGCATCCTCACGAACAACCAAGCAGCCGTTCAGGCATCCTACACAGTCATGTCGCAAGCACAGGAAGACTGCAAGCACCCCGTGCAGCTGTTCGGCATGTGTGCGGTCTGCGGTGCACCCGTCGACGCCGATTCAGAAAAATCCGCCTCGCTCTCGGTCATGCACTCCAGCGCCGCTGTCAAAGTATCCGCCGAGGAAGCGCAGCGTCTCGATTCGGAAACCACCAACCATCTGCTCTCGCAGCGCAAGCTCGCCCTCATTGTTGATCTCGACCAGACGGTCATCCACGCGACCGTCGACCCCACCGTCGGCGAGTGGATGCGGGACGAGTCCAATCCGAATTACGAAGCGCTCAAGTCCGTCGGCAAGTTCCGTCTGGGCATAGATGGGGAAGAGATCAAGGACGAGGACTCTTCCGCCCCCCAAGACGCCGCTGCAGCACTCCGCGCCTCGCGTGCCTGCTGGTACTACGTCAAACCGCGCCCTGGTGTTCCCGAGATCCTCCACAAGCTATCGACCAAGTACGAGCTGCACGTCTACACCATGGGCACCCGCAGCTACGCCAACTGCGTCTGCAAGCTCATCGACCCCGACGCGTCGATCTTTGGCAACCGCATCCTGTCGAGGGACGAAAACGGCAGCTTAGTGCGAAAGAGTCTGAGCAGGCTGTTTCCGGTGGATCACAGCATGGTGGTGATCATCGATGATCGGGAGGATGTATGGAGTAGGAGTCCGAACCTGCTGCCGGTGCTGCCGTACGAATTCTTTGTGGGTATTGGGGATATCAATGCGACGTTCTTGCCGACGTTGCCAGCGGTGCCGGGACCGACGGCGGATGCGGTCGCCAGTACTTCAGCGGTCAAGCTCGACACGCCAAGCCTCGCCTCGACGCCTGGATCGGAAAGCGGGAGCAACGGCAGCACACCACCGAGCTCGCCGGACGTGGTCGAAGAAGCCGTGCAGAAGGCCGAAAGTGAGGGCCGCACGGAGGAGGAGCTGGCAGCGATCCGCGAAGCAGCCAAGCACCTCGCAGCCCAGTCCGAGCAGCTGCAGACCAAGCTGGCCGAGCAGCGCGAGGCGAGACCGTTGGCCAAGATGCAGGAGGCGCTGGATGTCAAGTTGGGTAAGCACAGTAATGGTGCGTCGCGGTCGGGCACTGCCACGCCCAATGGCAACGGCGACAGCCCCACCACACCAACTGTAGTGGAAGAGGACGGCACCACGGCGGAGATTGGCAGCACAACACCAACAACAGAGGTACCAGTGCAAGCCGAAAGCTCGGCATCAACAAGCACCCTCCCCACACTTCCACCGCCACCACCACCACCGCCACCCCGATCGCACGCCGTCCTCGTCGACGATGATACCGAGCTCGATCGTGTCTTTTCCATCCTCGACTCTCTCCACACCGAATGGTACGCTGCGTACGACGCCCGCTCACCCTCATCACCTACAAAACCCTCGGTCGTCTCCCTCATCAACGAGCGCAAATCCCGCATCCTCGCCGGGTGCACCATCGTCTTCTCGTCCCTGATCCCCTTCGGCGCGGACCCATCCAAGTCGGACCTGTGGGCGATAGCGCGAGAGTTCGGTGCGACGCCAGAGGCGGAAATCGAGCCGGGTCGAACCACACACGTGGTCGCCGCTCAGCCAGGGACGAAGAAGGTGCACCAGGCGATGCGACTACGGGAACGCGGGTTGGAAGTTGTCTGGCCGAGCTGGTTTCACGTTTCGACCAGCCGGTGGGCGAGACAGGACGAGAGGCTGTATCGGATCAGTTCGGGGGAGAACGTTGCGGCTGCTGCGACGGTCGAGGCCAAGATTGGGGTTGCTGAGAGCGACGCACCGCCCAAACTGGACCGTGGAGAGACAGAGAAGGTGGACGAGGCGGAGAAAGGGGAGACGTTTGAAAGCGAGCTCAACGAGATGGACTGGAGCGCGGCAGCTGACGAAGTGGATGCGTACCTCGACAGTGCTACCACCGCAAGCAATACGTCCTCACCGTCGCCCTCAATGCTCGCCGATGCCGACCTGGGCGAGGTCGACGAGGCTGATGTGTTGGAAGGGGGCACCCGCAAACGACCCCGCGAGGACGACGTACACGAAGCAGACTTCGCCGAGACCGATGGCAAGAAACACCGAGGAGACGAGGACGAAGAGGACGACGACGACGAGGGCTTCCTAGACGATTTGGCCGAGGAACTCGATGGTCAGCTGGACAACGAATAGCCCCACCACCATGTACTTTATACTTTGGAAACCATCTCATCTTTTCTCGAAGCGAACATCCACATTGACCTTCCCACACACGCACAGATGAGAAACACGAATCCATTTCGAGAGACAAAAAAGGTCTGAGCACTGTAAAATAAACAGGCGACCTCTCATAGCAAAAGGGTGGGGGAAAACCAGTTCCCGGTGTGAAGTTAAGAAGCGGCGGCAACCATCTGGTTGAGCCCCTGGTAGATGAGGGCGAAGCTGTCGAGGTTGTTTGCGCTATCGGGGGTTTCTTCTGGTGCCTCGGACGACGAAGTGGAGCTAGGTTCGTCGGAGGAGGTGGTGGTCGAGGGGGTGCTTGACGAAGACGACGAGGCGGGGCGGTTTCGGCTCGAGGTGGTGGTTGGAGCGGGGGGAGTGTATGTCGATGACGGAGGAGGGGGTGTGTAGGTGCTCGTTGGTGTTGGGCGAGGGGTGTATGCTGGAGTGCTTGACCTGGTGCTCCTACCCCCTCCGTTGCCTCCGTTGCCATTGCCTCCATTACCATTACCGCCGTTACCGCCGTTACCATTGCTGTCGGAACCGCCAGCGGCAGTCCAACTCATCTGGAAAACACCCACGCTCGTCGGCGCAAACGCCTTGAACAGCCCCTCGCTCATGTCCAAACCTCCATAAGGACAGCTAGGACACGCATCTGCCACCTGGGCATACTGCGTGTTGCCATTGTACGTGATGGCAATGGTTCGACCACACCAGCTGGATCGCTGACCCATGTTGCCATACTGCGCTGCGTTGAGGGCCACAATAAAGTCGCTACCGGAGTTGTAGCCGCCACAAGCTCCCAGGCCCGCTGCGTAGTAGGTCGCGCGGCCGGAGTAGGTAGGGCCACGCTTGGTGAGGTTTGATGGACCCGCTTCCGAGTCGGCCCGGTGCGCACGTCGGGCGTGCTTGAGACTGCGCACGTAGGCGACGTCGTGGTGAGAGGAGGCGTCGTCGGCGACGGTGCCGGAGAAACCAGAGGCGAGCGCGAGGGCCACGACGAGGGTCTTTCCGAGTGAAGACGGCATTGTTGTAGTTCAAGCAAAAGATGAAGAGAGTGTAGATGGCAGCTATTTCAGCGCAAAGAGTGGTTTTCTATGTCGAGAAGTAAAGAGTGTCGTGCAAAAGAAAGTGTTGTTGTAGAAGAAGAGGTCGTGGAGCGGACGATGGTGGTGGGAGAGAAGAGCTTGAGGGTGGTGGTGAAGAGAGAAGAGGTCGAGGCTGACTAGGAACAGAGCAATGTATGCAGGAGGGGACAGCTAATGAAGGCTGGGCGTCTGGTGGTGTAAGGAGACGAGGGGGAGGGCGTCCAAGCGAGCTGCAGGAGAGCAGCCACAGGGAGAGCAGCACTGTTTGGCTCTTACACAAGCGAAGGCCGGCTGCAGGAAGAGGCTGAAAGTTTTGGGGCGATGATCGACGGCAAAGGGGCGCCTTTGCGAGGATCGACAGAGCGGACGTCGAAAACAGTCAGCCTTGGCTCTGCCGAAAGGCGATCGGAGGCACACTATTGATGAGGAGTGCGGCAAGCTAATGCAGGCGGAGAGTGGAATCCAGGAACAATACGGCAGAGCAGATGACCAGGGCAGAGGAACGCAGAGCCCGACTCAAAGATGGAGGAGCACAAAGGGGCGAATGGTTAAGCGAAGCAAGAAGGGATCGACGGGGAGCAAAGAAGGGCGCCACCAGCTTTGGTGTATTGTAAGTGTGTAGCGAGAAGAAGTCTTTGCTGAGGCAGCAGACGCAAAGAAGAGGAGCAAAGAAGAACCTTGTGCGGGGTTTGAAAGGTCCAGAGATGAGGGCTGCCGTGGTGTGAGTGCGAGTGACAGGCAAAGGTGAGGGATCTACGGAAGCTTCTGAGATTGAAATTACTGCGAAGAACAAAACGCACTGGAACAGTCTTTCTGCAACCAATCAACATCCAAGTCAAACTTGTGAGACATGCGCGTTCCTCTGCAGATCCCTTTGACAGGCGATTGTGTGTTGATTTCCCTTGATTTCGCGAGACACACCAATTCAGAGACCAACACACTCGCCCCTCCCAAGCTCGAGGGATGACGACAATCGTCGACACACACACAATGACACAAAGATGTTGATGGTAGGTGGTATGACCTAGCAGCAAAGATGTTGAGCTGAAACACGATCACTCGATCAACACCGCTTGATCGGGCCCGGCATCCAGCTTGCTTGCCGTATCGCACTGAGCTTGTGGCAGGAGGGCAGATCATGCTCATTTTGGCGGTCGATCAAGGGGGCTTGCTCTGCGCCCGCGTTTAGGGGGTCGAGTGAGGCTCGCCTCGTCGAGGGCGCTGATCCCGCTTGCTTTGCCGTGCATCGGCTGGACTTAGCGTGCAGCACGCATGGGAAAAAAAGAAGCGATCCGACTTTCTTCTCTTTTCTCCTTTTCGAATCTTCGACTGTGGTGTGCAGCCTGGATTCAGATCCTCAAACAATGCGCGGCAGATGCAAGCGAGTGAGCACAGCACAGCAGAGCAGAGCGGAAAGAGCGATACAGTACCTCAGTCTTGACGGGAAGTCATGCCGGGTCCAAGCGACTCAGTACCTGCGTTGTCTTCATGGCAAGCAGATGTGGTTACGCGGCGATCAAGCGTCCTTTTTAACGATGCAAGTAAAACAGTCAGTCGATAATCGATGCCAGAAAACAAGGCTCTGAAATCAAGACAAAATCGGGTCCATGCGCTATCTCGATCCCGATCCCGCTCCCAGCACATTGGCGGATCGCCTTGCTTTCTCTCCCTCTCTGTTCAACTCACAGGCACAGAGGCGTCAGCTCTTCGGACACAGGAACGCGGAAGAGGATGAAGCGTTTCGCTTCCCTGTCCTACGCGCGTCAACACCCACATCCAAGACAATCTCACGCACGCACGCACGCTCTCGCTCATGGCAGCTGCTGCAAAGGACGGTAATGTTGCATTCCAAAGAGCCTCCTTGTATCATAACCATCTACTAGCGGCGACGGCGTCCATGCCCTCGTAGTAGCCTTGCATCTTCCACCGCCAGGAACGCGTCCAGTGTTGGATGCCTCGAACAGGATTCCCGTTGAAGAAAGATCCCTTGACTGCCCACCACTTGCAATGCAAAGACATGGCCACCTTCAACTCGTCGACGTTGCGGGCGGAAGTGGGACCAGCGTCGGTCGAGGAAGTGGAAGGGCATGTTGCCGTCTTGTCGGAACACATACTGCTGGAAGTTCTGCTCGGGGTAGACCGGATCGAACTTGCCTGGTACGGCGAGCACCGATTGGAAGTAGTTCCACATGGCCATGTCCGGTTTCAAGACGAAGAAGCCGGCGTTGACACCGCTGTGCACGTGTCCAGACTCGGGGATGGGAGCAAAGACATAGTCGGACGGTTGCGCACCCTCATCTGCCAAGACGGCCGACTGGTTGCCCCGGTTGTGGCGCAGCTGGGCCACCTGCGGCTCTTGAAAGATGGTGTCCATTCGATGATTGAGCACATGGTCGTTGTCGAGGAAGAGGATGCGCTCAAACTGCGTCCACTTCCAGAGAAGCAGCTTGCTGAACACGTCTGGGTAGCGATTCTGATTGCTCGAGTAGAGAGGTGGCCTGAGTGGCTCGGTGATGGGCCAGACGATCGCCCCGTCCTTTTTGAGCCGTTCGATCTTGGCTGGATGGACCTGTGGTGTGGTCATGACGATGAAGGGAGCTCCCAAATGCGTCTTGGTCTGCGGATCGTGCATCAGCTGATAGCCCAGCATACGCGTGGCGATGAAGTACGTATCATCGTAGATGGCTGTCGCATTGTTGGCTTCGTGCTTGAACGTCGAGGGACTCGCCGAAAGCAATGTCACAAAGGCGTACTTTGAGCTCGAGGCGATGGGTCTTGTGGGCAGGAGCCAATGCACCACCAGAGCGCAACCACCCAGCAGCAGCGCGAGTATCAAGGCTACTCGCTGCCAACCCAGGCGACGCAAGTGCCGCTTTGTCGACGAGTCTGGTGGAGCATTCGGGCGCGAGTAGCGCGTCTGAGCATCTAGGCCTTGCTCTTGGGTGGAATCGAACACCACCTCGACGTGTTGTTCTTTGGGCTGTAGAGGTACGTATTCGACGCTGCTACTTTTGGCTGCCATGTCGGCAAAAGTGGCCGGACGACCCAGTTGCGAGTTGAGAGGAGTGGCGGTGGCTAAAGAACCATCCTGGGCCGATGAGAGATCTCAAACGACACGGCAAGGCACTCGGTGAGGCATGGCATTCACAGATTTGAAATTGTGGACGAGGACCCTTCCCGTGGCTGCAGCCGAAATCGCTTCCCGTCCTGCTTGAGGTTGGCGCGCCGCTCGCTCAAGGAGTTTTTTTACTTGGCTGTCAGATCGACGTTGTTGAGGGGAAGAACTGCACGAAAATACTCGGTCAGGGTCCAAACGCGGCGACTTTTTTGGCGTGGCACCAGAGGCAGCAGGGGAGGACAGGGGCCAGAAGCTGAGCGTGCGCTCGCTTGCGTGCATGGCGCAGCAGCCAGCCTGAAAGCTCGGACCCTGAGCATGTCCTTCGAGAAACTTACCGCCGTCAGCTCGACTCTCGACCTCACTCAGCTCACGGTGGTCGTCTCTCCACCAGGTCGTCACACGAGAGTCAAAGGCGTCGAGATATGCCGTCTTAGAGACGGTCAATCGAGCATGGAGGTCTAGTAGACTGCAATCTCAGCAGCTGACCGACAGCGACACCATCGTCCCCGGGTGTACCAGAAGAGATCGACATAATGGCTACAGCGACAGGACGTCATGTCCCAGCTCCTGATCCCTCCAACGAGCAAGGCTTCACCTCGTTTGGCTTCCTTCACGAAGGAAACGACGCCAATGAGTCGTCCTTCGCACTCGGAAGTCTTTTTAGCCGTGTCAAAACCGCCCTCACCATAGGCATTCCTACCGACAGCGAGCTGGCTCACAATGCTAGATATGACACTATCGGCAATGCCTCTGCCTCGAGACATAGCTCGGGCACCCACTCTGCCAGGTCATCGGGCCGCACACCTTACCAATCACCCAGGATCGGAGCATCTCCCACCATCGCATCTACATCACACCATGCGTCGCCCTACAGCATCGGCTCGGATCGACTTGCATCGATGCACCAACATCGAAAGGCCTCGATGGCACGCCCAATACGCGGTCTCAGCAACATCGACGAATACCCAGAGTCAATGGCATCTCCTCCAGGTCGCTCTGGCTTGGCAGAGGCTGGCCCTTCACGCCCTCGCAGGAGCGTCATGAGTCCAGATCCCACTGTGTCAAGCTCGCGTGATATTGCAGGAGCTCCTTCGGTATCTGCAAGCGGCTACGGTAGCATGCGTCCATCGCAAAGCACGACTTCCATAGCCTCATCGCGGGCATCCTCGGGCGCTACAAATTCCCGCGGACTACCACTCATGCTTCGAAGCGTCGCCCCTGCTCCCGCTGTTACCTTCACCTCGCACGCCACGGCGATCAATGCTCGATCGCACATCGCTGGCGCCGCAGGTAGCTATACAGATGATCGCGAGTCCGTCGCCCCAGACGACGGCGACGTCGATCCCGATTCATCCAGAGATACGCTCTCGGTGCTGCGCGGCGGGTCCGACGGCGGATTCGACCGCTCCCATCTAGCCAAACACGGCTGGTCTGCCATTCCGGGCTTTCCGCTCTCCAGCGACCTCCTTGCCGATGACATGAGGTCCATCCGCAGCAGTTCAACACGCCTGCCCAGAAGCGATACCATGGAGGATCATCTCAACAATCCATCTGCAGCCCAAGCCGGTCTACGCACCAGTGCAGACGCCATCGTCCGACGTATGAGGGGCGAAGGTCTCAGTCGAAAGTTCTGGATGGCCGACGAGAATGCCAAAGAGTGCCGCGAGTGTCTGGCCATCTTCACTCCCTTCCGTCGCAAGCATCACTGTCGCATCTGCGGCCAGATCTTCTGCAGTCGATGTGCAGCTCACATCATCAAGGGCAAGCGCTTCGATTTCGAGGGCATGATCCGCGTCTGCAACTTTTGCAAACGCATGCTCGAAGAGTACGATCGACATGAACGCGACAACCGACACCAGCACAAGCTCAACGCGGCCTCGCAGCGTGCCAGCAAGAATCCTTACCGTGTGCAACCAGACAAGGACATGATCTCAGCCCCTCTGGAGGCGCAAATCCGAAGTCCACAGGCTCAATTTGCTGCCAACCATCTGTTCGCCAGTGCCTCTGCAGGTCCATCTGCCTTCAGAACGGGCATGCATTCGAGCCTCTCATCGCAATTCGGGCTAGCCGATGGAGACTCCTCGATGGCGGCGACAGAGACACACAACAGCCCGGATGGTAGTCGCGATCTCTCCACATCAAAGCTCGCAGGCAAGAAGAAGGCCGACGCCGCGCCAGTCGCACCCTTCCGAAAGGGCATGGACGACGAGGAGCTGGCTTCCATCCGTCCTGATCCGGAAGAGGACGAGCTCGGCCAGCCTCCAGCACAAAGCTCGACGAATGAAAAGCAGCATCGCTCAGCTTCCGGTACCGACGGCACGACAGTACCACCGTCACCGACGAGCACCGCTGTCACGGATCGACAGAAGTCGTCCGCTACGACCAAGACCAAAGATGACACGACCAGAGTGGCCTTCCCCTCAACAGCGGGCTCGTCCGGACGCGAAGCACCCTCTGCCATCCAGTCCACTTCCGACTATCCTCGATTGCGGCTGGTCAGTGAGACGTCGCGTCCCGTGACACGATCGCGCATGCGGTCGCTGCGCACCATCGCCTCGCTTGACCCAACACAGGCTAGTGCCTTGATCCGCTCCCACTTCCTTGGCAACGGCCGCGCCGATCCTGCTCATCCAAATTTGATCCAGCCAGAACACGAGCATAATTTCGACCAAGACGACGATGCTGCCCACCATCGCAGTGACACGCCCGAGTTCTATCGCGAGCTCCGTATCTGCTCGCAGGGGATCACTCCAGCGCTTCTGGAAGCTTCCATCACAAATCGAGCTCTGGAGCACCTACGCAAGATGATGGAGCAGACACTCACCCAGTCTGGCATCCGCAACGTCCGCAAGTGGTGCGACGTGCTCTTGCCGTTCGTGCTCACCACCGTCTCTCGTGTCAAGCCGGATGCACGTGAGGACCAGAGTCGTGACATTCGCGAGTTCGTCAAGATCAAGCGCATCCCTGGAGGCAAGCCGGACGATTCCGAATACGTCGACGGCTACGTATGCACCAAGCACGTGGCGACCAAGCGCATGGCGGCTCTCATCCCGCTCACCAACGCTCGAATCATCGTGATCCGCTTCCCACTCGACTATCATCGCGGTCCGAACCAATTCATGTCCCTGGAACCACTGATGGCACAGGAGCATGAGTTCATCCGCATTCTGGTGGCTCGTATCGTTGCGCTGCGACCCCAAATCGTTGTGGTCGAAAAGACGGTCTCGCGCACAGCTCTCGAGCTGCTGGAGAAGGAAGGCATCGTGGTGGTCTGGAGTGTCAAGGCGGACGCCATCCGTGCCATCAGTCGCTGTACGCAGGCCGACATCATCACCTCGATCGATCGGCTCGCCCTCGATCCACGGATCGGTCGCTGTCGATACTTCAACGTCGAGACGTTCGAACATGCATCGTGGCCTGGATGGAGGAAGAGCTTCATGCGCTTCGAAGGCACCCCCAAGCAGCTCGGCTGCACCATCGTTCTGCGTGGAGCCGACGGCGTCAAGCTCAGTCAGGTCAAGAAGATCTTGACCATGGTGATCTTTGTTGCCTACAATCTGCGTCTTGAGGGCCACGTCATGGCGGACGAAGGCGCTGCTATGGAAACCATCTATTCCGACAGTACGCTGCTCGACGGATCGCGTCCGTGTGGAACCGTCGAAGGTAGCATCTTCAACACCGCCGCTGACGAGCTCAAGCGTATCATGACCGGAAATGACCAGGATATTGGCGACGAGCCCTCGAGTCAGCTCGGGCGTATCGGGGACGACAAGGCTTTTGTGCTGCAAACAAGGACCCGCATCCTGCGAGCTCTCAGCATCTACGAGACGACCATCATCACATCCTCTGTCTGCATCCAGATTCCACCTCCGTACATGGTCTTGCAGTTCAAGCGTGTCAGCGACCGGCTTGTGGAACTGCTCGCAAACCAAGAGGCAGAGGAGCTGCAAAGAATCCTCAAAGACGAAGGCAAGCTGCAGGACAGGGCTGCCTCACCACCGGCGTCCATCGTGGAGCTTCCTGACGATGCTGAAACGGATGACATTGACAAGGATGCTACCCCGACGCCGACAGTGCAGCCACGTGCATCATCTTTGACCTCAGCAGCAGCACCCGACTCCTCCGCTACTGCTGAAGTGGCTGATCCGCTCGGGTCGCCCTCCGTTCGTGATTCTACACCGAAGCTTGAGACGCCGAGCACGCGCACTCACGACACGATTGAGGAAGAGGGAGAGGACAGCAGCTCGGAAGGAGCGCCCACTTCGTCGGGCGGTGCGACGCCCCAGCCCGACTCACCGCAGGCACTGCCGGCGGAGCCGAGCACGAAGTCGGCGCCAGCCCCAAGGAAAGATGATTCAACGGCATCCATTGCATCTGTGGCTCAGGGACGCGAAGGTAGGGATGCTACTGTCGCGATCGAAAGCGCTGGTCCGATAGTCAGCGGACCTAATACGACGACACCCACGCCTCGACCTTCTTCGCCCGTCCCGTCTCGTATCAAGGAATCCAGCGAGCCGACGCTGGACACTCCTGCCTCGGCTGCTCCCGCCAAGTCGCCCGGCTTCCCGCCTGTCGCTGCCAAGACGAGCAGATCTGTGTCCGCCCCGGTCTCCGAAGCGCCGTCCCGCATCACCTCGCCCGGTCCTGGCTCGATTCTTTCTAACATCAGCATCGGCTCCGCGGCTGCGAGCGCTAACAGTCTTGGTGCAAGCACAAGCACTATCAAGCAGGAGTTGCTGCCGGCTTTCGACCTTTTTTCGCTTCTCAAAGCCCCGTCGCAGATCGCCAAAGACTCGGAGTTCGCCATCACGGTCAGCAGACATCGAACGTCTCTGTTGGAGTGGGGAGGATACCTGGACATCCAGCCAGACTCGGTCTCGCCTTTCAACCACAAACGCATTCAAATCATCGTTACGCGTCACTGCACCGTGACGCCTCGTCCCTGCGAAGGGCCCAATCTGGCGTCGATCGAGTTCTATGGCGAACACGACGAGACGCTGGGCGAACATATCGAGCGTCTGGCCGCCAACAGCGCAAGGGGCTGCGCCACCAAAGGTTGTGGCAAAAACAATGTCTTGCACTACAACACGTTTGTCCACAACCGCATCCGCATTCAGGTGGTACTCGAACGCTTCGTTTGCCCGCTGCCCAACGAAGAGGCGCGCCTGCTCAGCTGGAGCTACTGCAAGGTGTGCGAGAATGCGACGCCTGTCGCGCTCGTCACAGCAGAGACGTGGAGCTACAGCTTTGCAAAGTACCTCGAGCTGTACTTCTACCGTCACGACCACTGCAAGACGCAGCTGTGCGAGCACGACTTCTACCGCGACCAGGTACGTTACTTCGCCTATCAGAACATGGCCGTTCGCTTCCATTCCGAGGAGGTCGACAATCTCTTCGAAGTGACCATGCCGCACTACAAGCTCTTCATCGATCCGGAAGTGCAGTGCAACATCAAGAACGAGGAGACGGCCGCCTTTGTGCGCAAAAATCAAGCATATTGGGACAGCGTCACGTTGCGCATTCGTGCGCTGAGCAACGACGCTTGCTCGGAAGCGGCCGGCATCTATCGCGAAAAGAATCGTGTGACGATTGCCGAGATGATGCGTCGCTGCGAGCTCGACCGCCGTGAAGTGGAAGCGCTGGTAGCCCAGCTGTACGAGTTCAGTCCCGCCACCGATGTGCTCTGTCTCAATCAGGCGCGGAGGATGTTGCAAGAGAAGGTGGTCAAGTGGGATGTCGACTTTATCGAGTTCGAAAAGACGTGCATCCCGTCGGAGAAGGACATTCGCCGCATCACCACGACGCATCTCAAGCGACTCTTCTCCGAGAAGGATCCATCCGAGACAGCACGCTCCGATACGACCTCGAGCGTCCTACCGCCCGCCGCTGAGATCGACGAAAGCTCGACCGATGCCGCCGAGAGCAGGACGAAAGGACGCGATTCCGAAAAATCGACCTCGACCAGCCAGAGGAGCCTGAGCAATGCGAATGCGCAGGCGATGGAGGCTCTTGCTCTCGCAGGCGCTGATCTGACGGTGGTGCCAATGCTGTCCGACCTCGTGAGCCGCACAGTACAGACGCCGACGAGCGAGGAGCTCCCTGTTCTCGCTGCTGCTGCTGGCGAGGTAGTCGCCGCCCGGGCTCAGATGGAGCGCGACGGTGCCAATGTCAACGAGGCCGTGCCGAGGTCCAAGACCGTGCCCGCGCCACTGAACAAGCTTGGTCGCGCAGATGCCGGCAAATATCGGGATGGAAACTTTGACGATGAGACAGATGTAGCGGATCTCTCGCCAGTCGAAGTGCGGCCTATGATCAGTCGACGGGCCATGTCTAACCCCGTCACCGCTCCTGCCTCCCCGACCTACAGCAAGTCTCGAAGCGCATTCGAGCCCGCCAGCTTTCCTCGAGCGGACGAGAGCTCGTGTACAGAGAACGAGCTAGCTTCGTCGATCGCTGCCCATATTCGGCGATTCGAGAACCCGAGGCGACATACGACAGGCACGGCAGCCAGCGCGGGTCCAGGAGCTGGCTCCCGCAGTGCCGCTGGGGCTGCCTCTTTGCGTGTCGGAGCCAATGGTCCGAATCGACGCCCCAGCTTGCGTCGTGGAAAGACCGAGGAGCCGCTGTCGGCTCACGCTAGAGAACTATCGAAAGGCCGGAAAGGTTCAGCAGCCCAGGACGACGACGTTGATTCCATTGTGAACTCGCCTCCCCCCACCCCAGGTCTGCCGGGTCAAAACAGTCGTTTGCCAAGAGCAAAGCGCACGGACAGCTCGAATTCGACTGCGACCATCGTGCGCAGGAGTGGCTCAGCGACTCCGGGCAAGGGAGCGTCTCTACCTCCGCCGTCTAGCTACCGACCTCCTAAGGGCGAAGGACTCAAAGCCGGTCCTCGTCCGATCATAGGGAGATCACAGGCGTCCGCAGCAGCAGCAGCAGCGTTGGCGGCGAACGCCTCGAGCACAGGTAACGCAGGTCAAGGCTCCGCTTACCAATCGGATGGAGCGAGTGGTACTCGACAGACCGGATCTGCGCTCGGAAGTCGCGTGCCCATCGCACGCCGGAGCGAGCATGGCCCAGGAACTCGGAGCCGCGTGTCGACGATCGCGAAGCACTTTGACCGCATCAGCAAGGAGGCAGAGCGGGAGCGCGAGCGGCAGCATCGTCTTCTGCTGGCACAACGCGCTAAGCGAGCCCGTCCTGTCGCTATGACGCGAGCCAGAGTCGAAGTGTTCAGCAGCGTGCGGGAGGCGGTGCGAGACGACGAAAGTGAACCGGATTCTGCCGCAGAGAGCAGCGGCGGGGATGGCGCGTCTGCAGCTGACGACGAGAGCGAAGACGACGAAGACGATGAATCGGAGGAGGACCTGCCTGTGGAGGCGACGAGCTTCGACGGCAAGCGCAAGTTCTCCGCAGCCTCGGATCGCAGAACCAAGGAACGGGGTGATGCTCGACGCTCGAGTCGCTCAGAACTTGCTGGCAGGCAAGCAGGGCCGAGCTCAGCAGAAAGAGAGCGCCACGATACCGCCAAGGGCTCTCGCCTAGTCAAGAAGGGTACCGGCCCAGATGAGGCCGGACGAGACGCCACGGTCAAAGGCAGACACGGAACGACAACGTCCAATTCCCGGGCTGAAGCCGATCTTTCCGCGTCCGTAACCTCGGCGGCGACGACGAAGACCTCGGCGTCGCAAGCCGACGATGCATGCACCATCGCAAGCCAAGAGACAGGCCGGGCTACCAACATATCGCCACCTGCCCCAGCGAGCGAGCTCGAATCCGATGCTCAGTCCATTGCCGCCTCGTCGGTCGCTACGACCACCAACAACGCGCAGTTGACGCTGCCGTCCTATCTCCGTGGCGGTGGCTTCACGTCGGATTCGGACTCGATGCCGAGCTTGGAAAGGAGCTTCTTGAAGACGCTGTCTGGCTTCTGGGCCTTCCGCACGGGCGAGATGATCCCCTTGGAGTATCCGATGCTTAACTCTGAGCATGTGTTTGCCGACTCGGATGTCATCTTCCGCGAGGACGAGCCGACGTCGATTGTCGCCTTCACGCTGAGCTCGATGCAGTACAAGGAGCGGCTGAAGGGCATGCGCAACGAGGCGTCACGCGTCAAAGAGAAAGACGAAGGGTCTATCCGCGACGGCATCGAAGCACGCAGTGTTGTCGACTTGGACACGAACGAGCTCGAAAGCACACTCAAGAAAGAGGGGCGACATTTTCGTTGCGAGTTCGAGTCGGGCTCAACGAGGCTTTGGTGCAAGATCCTCTTCGCCGAGCAATTTGATGCGCTGCGAAGGACGTGCGGATGCGATGTGTCAGTGGTCGAATCGCTCTCGCGATGCTTCAAGTGGGACTCTTCGGGCGGCAAGTCTGGATCCGCGTTTCTCAAGACGCGAGACAACCGACTCGTGGTCAAGCAGCTATCCCGCTTCGAGATGGACGCCTTCTCCAAGTTCGCGCCACAGTACTTTGCCTACATGTCGCAGTGCATCTCGCGCGGACGCAGAACGGCTCTGGCCAAGATCTTTGGCTGCTTCCGCATCGGCTTCCGCAATCCTCAGACGGGCAAGAGCATCAAGCTGGACTGCTTCGTGATGGAGAACCTGTTCTACGGCGTCGAGGGCATCCGATCATACGACCTCAAGGGCAGCACGCGCAACCGCTACGTTCAAGAGACGGGCAAGGACAGCGAAGTACTTCTGGACGAGAACCTCATCGAGACGAGCCACCTCAACCCGATCTTTATCCGCGAGCACTCGAAGAAGCTGCTGCGTGTCAGCCTGTACAACGACTCGCTCTTCCTGGCCGACATGAACGTCATGGACTACTCGCTGATGGTCGGCGTCGACCGTCAGAGCAAGCAGCTGGTGGTGGGCATCATTGACTTTGTGCGCACGTATACGTGGGACAAGAGGGTGGAGAGTTTTGTCAAGGAGACGGCGCTGTTAGGTGGAGCAGGCAAGGGCGAACCGACGATCATCACGCCGCCGGACTACAGGACGAGATTCTTGACATTTATCGACAAGGCGCTGCTGCTGATGCCGGATCACTGGGTGGAGGATTGGGCGCTGTGAATGTATCATTCAGGCCCGATGTGTGTCCACAGTGCAATCATACATACTCAACTCTCTCTGTGTCGCTGTGATACTCTTCTGATGCTGTATGTGCGGCCGACACCTAGCCGAAGGTCCCGAATTTTCTTAAGTTGTTAGGTCGACACAGCCCGACCCAAGGTGTGGAAAACAAGCCTGGCTGGCTGCGCGTGCAGAAGAAGAAAGTCACTTTGGAAGCTGCAAGAAGAAATGCTCGAGCGCGCTCGCCCTCAACCACACGCTGCCCACTCTTCGCGCAGCAGCAGCAACGCTTCTTCTGAAAAGTCGCGCGAGAAGGCAAGAAGAGAAGAAGCACAAAGACCAACACACAATCACTTTGCAACGCTTTCTTCTCGTTGTCACCTCTTCTGCCATCCTTCGACCGTACGAAGAACCAACAACGACAAGTCTAAACCGCTCGTACCGACAACCGAGCGTCTAATTTGTACCGGACCATTTCGCACCAGCTCAGTTGCTTCCGGCAACATTCACGGCAGCAGCGACCTCAAAGGGCGGACCACCTCCAACCTCAGCCCGGCACCCAAGTGAAGAGCTAGCAAAGCAAGCTCACCAACCCGCACATTCTCGCTCAAAATGGCGGGCAGAATCGGCGGCATGATGCCCAACGCGCCCATCATCCTCTTGCGCGAGGACACCGACATCTCACAAGGCACATCGCAGCTTCTTCACAACATTGGCGCCTGCACCTCGATCGTCTCGTGCGTCGCATCGACACTGGGTCCTCGTGGCATGGACAAGCTGATCGTCAACGAACGCGGTCAAGCCACCATCTCCAACGACGGCGCTACCATCCTCAAGCTGCTCGACATCGTCCACCCTGCCGCCAAGACGCTCGTCGACATTGCCCGCGCACAAGACGCCGAAGTGGGCGACGGCACGACTTCCGTCGTCCTGCTCGCCGGCGAGATGCTCAAAGAAGCCAAGCCGTTCATCGAAGAAGGCGTCGCACCACACGTCATCATCAAGGGCTACCGCAAAGCGGTGCAGCTCGCCGTGGAGAAGATCAAGGAAATGGCCGTGACCATCGACAAGACGGACAAGGCGGCGTTCCGCGATCTGCTCATCAAGTGTGCCGGCACCAGCATGTCGTCCAAGCTCATTGTCTCGCAACGACCCTTTTTCAGCAAGATGGTGGTCGATGCGGTGATGTCGCTGGACCAGGAGGATCTGGACCAGAGCCTGATTGGCATGAAGAAGGTTCCCGGTGGAGGCATGCAGGATTCCCTCCTGGTTTCTGGCGTTGCGTTCAAGAAGACGTTCGCCTATGCAGGTTTCGAACAGCAACCCAAGAGCTTCACCAACCCCAAGATCCTCTGTCTCAACGTGGAGCTCGAACTCAAGGCCGAAAAGGACAATGCCGAGGTCCGAATCAACGAGGTCTCGGAATACCAGGCCGTCGTCGACGCCGAATGGCAGATCATTTTCAACAAGCTCGAAGCGATCGTCAAGACAGGCGCCAAGGTCGTCCTCTCCAAGCTGCCCATTGGCGATCTGGCGACGCAGTACTTTGCCGACCGGGACATTTTCTGCGCTGGTCGCGTTCCCGCTGACGACATGAAGCGTGTCGTCCAAGCCGTTGGAGGTTCGGTCCAGAGCACGTGCTCCGACATCCACCCGGACAAGCACCTGGGAACATGTGGCAAATTCGACGAGCGCCAGATCGGCGGTGAGCGCTTCAACATCTTCGAAAACTGTCCCGCTGCCAAGACGTGCACGCTGATCCTTCGCGGTGGGGCAGAACAATTCATCGCCGAAGTGGAACGTTCGCTGCACGATGCGATCATGATCGTTCGTCGTGCGATCAAGAACTCGCACGTCGTAGCCGGGGGTGGTGCTACGGAGATGGAGCTGTCCAAGTACCTCCGGGACTACTCGCGCACCATCCAGGGCAAGCAACAGCTGATCTTGGGGGCGTTTGCAAAGTCGTTGGAGTGCATCCCGCGTCAGTTGGCCGACAATGCCGGTTTTGATGCGACTGATTTGCTCAACAGGCTGAGGATGAAGCACGCCCAAGGGGCGGTGTGGGAGGGTATTGATATTGATGCCGAGGACACGGCGAATCTCATGGAGAAGTTTGTCTGGGAACCGAGCCTGGTGAGGATCAACGCACTGCAGTCGGCGGCCGAGGCGGCGTGTCTGATTCTGAGCGTCGATGAGACGATCAGGAATCAGGCGAGCGAGAAGGCTCAACCCGGTCCGAAGGCGCCCCCGGGAACCATGCAGAAGGCGTTGCGCGGCCGCGTGCCGCGTCGCTAGGGCGATTGTAGCTTTACATCTGATATCAAAATCTTCTATCTGGCTGACGAAAGTGTGGTGGGAAGTGAGCGAGGGTCGAAGTGACCGAACCACATGAGTGCTCACTCCCAATCCCATGTTCTGTGGAATGCATCGAACGCAGCTCGAACACGCTGCCGAACGCTCCAGTCCCGTCTCTCTTCCTCCGTCGCCTCCGTCCCGGGATCCGACGTGGGCAGGAAGACAGCCTCCAACGTCCTCTTCGCCAGCTCAAACGCCTGTCTCTCGTCCAGCGCAAAAGCATCCATCACCAACGCAAACTCGTTGCTGAGCGGACTCCCAAACACACCACTGTCGTCAGTCGAGATGCAGCACACCGTCCCGTTCGCATGGTGCAGCCCAAAGTGATGCTCCTCCGCACTTCCCACCGAGTTCGACAGCAGGTTGCTTGTGAGGCACAGCTCTATTGGCACCCTGCTCTGTGTTAAGCGTTTGAGGTTGTCGTCCGAGACGAAGCAGCAGTGTCCAAAGCGATCCGGGTGAAAATCCAACATGGCGCTCATCTCGGTGTCTGTGTTGGCCACCTCGCCGGCGTGCAGCGTGATCTTGAGGCCGAGCGAGCGGGCGCGTTGAAGAGCCGGGAGGAAAGTGAGGAATTCGCCTTTGGTTGGGTCACCGGAGAGATCGATCCCCACCACCCCTGCGAGACGGTGGGCTGTAGCGAGATCGACGATGTCCTGCGCGTCCGCAGCGGTGTGCTTCGCACGGTCAATCGACAGGATCAGCCGTAGCACCACCCCTTCAACCCCAGACGTGAGCCGGTAGCGTCCAAAGCCTCGCAGAACGGCTCGAACATAGTCGTCCAAGCTCCCACCCTCCATGGCGCGCGGTGTGGACCGGATCTCGGCATAAACGACCCCGTCAGACGCCATGTCCTCTCCCACTTCGAAGGCTATCCTCTCCACATCGGAGAGTGTCGTCACGCAGGAATGGATGACGGTGAAGACGCTGAATGCTTCGCTGAGGGTTGAGGGCCATCGGGTGAGGATCTGTGCGGAGGAAGGATCGATGCCGTGCGATGCGGCGAGGGAGAGAAGGGTGGAGCGCCGGATGGAGCCGTTGAGGTGGGCGTGCAGCTCGAGCTTGGGAAGGTCGCGGACGAACCGCGCTCGTCGGGCGGAGGGGTCTGCTTCCATGCTCATTGCGACCCCAGATGGAGGCGGTGAGGTTTTGTGCGAAGGCTCACAGTGCGGGAGTCCCAGAACGCGAGATTTGGCGTCGGCGCATGCACCACCAATCGGAGTGGGCTGGATCACTCGAGCGCCCTGCGATGGAGCTAGGCCCTAGATGCACATGAAGAAACAACGCCTTGACATAGACCTCGTCGGAGCGGCGCACCTGTCAAACAGTGAGATCGGGCAACGCCTATCCCCGATCCACTCCCTCCGAAGATCGGTGCGGCCCTACTCGCACTTCGGAACAGTCGGACGTCGTCTTCAGCGCGCGGTCTGCACGCTCGCACCCTCTTCGTCAGCTAAACCAAGCATCGAACGACGATGTCCTGCCGAAGCTGAGATCGACGTGTGACAGGATCGACTCAGGAAGTTTCTCGTCATCGCGCGGCAAACCGTCGGAAAATTTCGGTCGGAGGCTTTCGAACCGTGACACATGGCAGATATGGTCAGAACTGTGCCTTCGGCAGAATCATGCGTAGATGACGTCGACAGGTGCTCGTGAAGGTGACCAAGATCGGCGGCTGATTGGAGCGGAAACGAGCGGCGCCTTGAACGGCTGAGATGTCTGTTAGAACCGCGTGTACCTGTCCAATAGGAGGAGCTCGGCCATGTCGGCTGCTTTCAGCGTTCGAAACGTTGTTCTCGAGATTCGCTCATGCAGCCAGCCCCTGGGATGATCTTGTCGGCGACAAGGGAGACGCAGCAAGATGATAGTGTAGCATCAAGCCCATGAGATCGTTGAGCGAGGTGTCAGCAGAAGGCTGAGCTTCGTCGTGTGATACAGTTGCAATTTTTTCCTTCCAAACCTTGAGCGAAGCGTGCATTGAAGCGCTTGTCTCGGCAGAGGACCCTGCTTTTTTTGGTTCTGCATCATGTGCCCATTCGCAGCTTTGCATGATCAGGTGACCCGCTTCCATCCTCTTCATCACTGTCAGCCTTTCGGAGGCGCTGAAGCTCAATCCTTGACCTCGACTCAGCCGGGCCATCCGAAAGCTCTCCGTGACGAAGATGTAAGAGTCGAAGATAAGCGTGCGGCTCACGGCCGAGTTTGAAAGAGGATCGCGCCTTAGGGACTCGGCGCGATATAGGGCCGACCAACCTCGGAGGCTCTGGCCCACAAGTAACACTCTTTCTCCCGTCTCTGAGACAATTTTTTGTCAAGCATATAATTGCGGCACCTGAGCAGTGTGGCCTGCGCCCGCATAAGCGTATGCAGGGTTCAGTATTGATTGCGCGAGCCCTTTGCGCCATCGCAGCCTGGGAGAGCGTCAGCTGGGCTCTGGTCACCGGACCGTTCGGCTCGTAGTTCAATTCGTCCTGCTCCTCACGCAACAGGTCGGTCGAGCTTCGGTACATCATCTCGAGCATCGAATCAGGCATGGTGGTGTGACCCGGCGAAGCCAACAGAGCAAGGTGGCCGGCATGCAGACTCGAAGAGAGGCGCAGCTTACAAAGATACACGCGAGGAAGAGGAGCAAGGACCCTCGAAAGATAAGAAAGACTCTTCTCACCTTGGACCCGCGAGCTTACTCCTCGCCGTCGGCCCTGAGAGCCACCCAACCGAGCTCTTCCCGCTGCCTGGGCTTACGAGCTGAGAGGGGTGCAGTCTTGTAAGAAACGTGCAGGTTGGGCTTGGCAGACGAGAAGAACGGGGCGAGTGCAAGCCTCGACTTTGCAAGTCCGACTGCACCCCGCGTAGGCTTGGCATTTTTTTGGGCGAGACCCTGTCTGCCCTCCCTCAACTTGTTGAACTCAGACGGGCAAGCTCGTCTCGGTCTCGGTGCGGAACCTTCCGTCCTTGCGCGGACTCCCATCGCAAGGAGGAACATGAGCTAGTATGGACGAGCCGAAGATGATGAAGGCGTGGTGTCATAAGCTCAGGATTAGGCTGAAGTGGAGGCGTGGGAAGACAGCGGCTGCTGACAGGCGCGAGGCAAAAAAGTGCGATAGGCGAGCCTCCTGCGATCCGAGGGACGGTGCGGACCCTAGTTTGACAGGCGCAACACCTCTGAAAGCAAGCTCAATCGGAAGAACAGCCAGGCGAGCTTCCCACGATCCGGCTGCCTGCCGCCGTATCACAGCAAGAAGAAAGAGCGACAGTCACACCTCTCGGACCCTTGCCCACCCGCCTGCCTGCCCGCCTGTGACTGCTCGAGTGACAGGACTCTCCTCCTCTTCGTCTTGTCTTTACACGGACGCTCACCGCTCCTTCACGTCTTTGCTCTTGACCACATCATTCTTCCTTGTCTGCCACCCAAAGTGGCCCTGAGCGCTTCCTCAGACCATCGAGCTCCTTATCGCAAGATTTAGCTCGGTCCCACCGCATACACTCACCAGCGCTTTCAATCGAGCCCTGAGCTCACCTGGCCAGCCCTCGCATGGCTATCGATTTCTGCCTCAGTCAACGCTGAGTTAGCTTCTCGTCACACTGTCTCCGGATCGTATCCTTCCAACGCCCCCTGCTCAAATCACACATTTCCAAGCAGCATGGAGCTGTCATCGGCAAGCATGAACAAAGGCAAGCAGAGGGCACAAGATTCCCCGGACGCCGTTGCAGCGGCATCGCTCCGTGCTAGCCCTGCTTTGAGTGAAGCAGGATCGTCTCGAGTACCCGTGCCCATGGCCATCCCCGCAAGGCAGACGCAAGAGGCTAACCCGGTGCCGTCGCAAAGCCCCTCTTCATCACACAGCCACGGTCGCCGCCCGTCGCATGCAAGGGCAAAGTCGTCACTGGGCTCGGCCAGTATGTTCGACTTCTTTGGCCCCAGCTCCCTCGCTTCCAACAGCACTGCCGCGACCAGCTTCCACTTTGGCTCTCCCGACGGCAGTCCGAAGCCCGTCACAGTCGCTCGAGTGGTCGAGTCGGACGACGAGGAACATCGCAGCTCCCTGGAGCGTACAGTGGACGCTGATCGACGACGATCCGCCTTCACAGAGCAAGTAGCCGACCAGTGCGGGCCTTCGGATGCCATCGAAAAGGCGTTCTCAAGCTTTGGAATTAGCTCCGTACCCATGCCTCCGCTGTACCCAGAGGAGCCGCTTCCAGACTATGAAGAGGCACCAGAGTATACTCCTCCTCTAGCGCAAGCCTCGGCAGGCACCTCCCGCTCCAAGACGTCCGCCTTCCGTGCTGCCGCAGCAAACAGATTTCTGTCCAGCCGCATCGGCAAGAAGCTCAATCTCCCGCCAGCTCTGCAGAGCCGCATCCAGGGCACACAGACCCCGGAAGCAACTTCTAGGGGCGCAGTGGGCAGAGTGCCTTTTACCAGAAGCGATAGCGCGCCTGATCTCGCGCAACAGGCGCATCGACGAATCGTGGTGCGGAATTATGCTGCCACCAGCTACATGCAGGGTGCCCTCATGGGACCTGCGCCTCGACGCTCCAGACCAAGCTCTTCACGTCCAGCTACCGCCGGGGCTGCGTCTGTCAGATCTCACTCCAGCATATTGTCAAACACCCGACCCACGACAAGTGCTGGCACTGAAGGGAGGTCAGTCCATTCTTCACCCATGATGCGAGCAGCTGCGTCCTCTACCACCTCGTCGAGGAGAAACAGCGGGGACTCGCGACCACCCAGCCGCGCCACGATCAGCTCTGCTCCCAACGGCGGTCTCTTCCACTGTGGGTATGCACGGAGCTCAAGCGGAGCATCCACGCCGACGCGTCCCAGTCTCTTGCGCAAGGGACGAAGCCGACACGCGAGTCTGAGGAGCCTCGGCGACCTCCTGTCCCTCAACCGCGACCGAATTCGCACTCCTTCTGGCGACACATCCGACAGCGAGCAGCAGGCGACAGGGGATGTTCAGTCGACAGGCACGATTGTCCGAGAGGTCGTCGCTCCGGTTTCCGGAGAACTGCTCATCTCTGCACGAGTGCACGCCCACGCAAGTGCTCGACCCACGCTGATGAACGCAGCACGCAGCAGTCCTCAAGCTGGTATCGACGCTGCTGCTTCCGGCAGTCCGGTTCTCATCTTGCCGCATCAGGCTCATGAGCGAAAGCCGGACCCGCTGCAGAAGCTCCCGCGAGAAGTCATCCTGAGCATCTTCAAAAGCCTCGTGGATCTGCACGTTACGGAGCACGCCAAAGCTGTCAAAGATGGTGTCTGGCGAGGCAAGCGCGCGAGCGAGACGCGCTGGGTCGGAACGGAAGCTGCCGTTCGAGAGCTCGCTCGCCTCAGCCGTGTCTCACGCGCATGGCAGAGCTACGTGCTCGATGGTCAGCTCTGGCAGAATCTCGAGTTTTCGAAGCATCCCGACATGACGGAAGAAGCAATGGTCAACATTGCAAAGGCAGTGGGACCGTTTGTTCGACGTTTGGATTTGCGTGGCCTCGCCGGACTACGCTCCGATGTGCTGCTCGCGCTTACCAAGGCTCAAAAGCCCAGCGCTTTGATGAGCGAGGATTCCAACGCAGGTGCGGCCCGTCAACTCGAGGAGCTCGATCTACGCGGTTGTCGCAACATCTCGACGCTCGCGCTCAACACCGTCCTTTCACAGTCGCCCAAATTGAAGCACTGCAAGCTGGCAGGTCTGCCATGCGTCGACAACACGACACTTTGTGTACTGGCTGCGACAGCGGTCAACCTCGAGACCCTGGACATTAGTCGTTGCCGCAGCATCGATGCGGACGGTGTTCGTGCCATCTTTGCCATCCAGCAGAACGAGACCGAGACGTCCGCCGTGGTCAAGGACCGCAACATCAAGTCGCCCTTCCGCGAGCTTCGTGCGGCTGGCGTGCCTGGTTTCGACAGCGAAACGCTTGCACAGCTTGGCAGGCACTGGCCCAACTTGGAGGTGCTTGATCTCAGCTACTGCAGCGACATCAATGACGCAGCTGTCGCTGCTCTAGTCAGCAGCGAGGGCGATGTTGTGAGCGAAAAGGGACACTTTGTCACGCTCACTCCACGTCAAGCTGGGAGTCAGCAGGATGACGAAGTCGTGCGAAGGAGTTTCCCACACCTCCGAAAGCTCGTCCTCTCATCCTGTCGGGCTCTGACGGATCGTGCCTGCATCTCGCTGGCACATGCTGTGCCTTCGCTCGAGGTGCTGGAGATGGCCAACATCGGTGCAGCACTCAAGGATGCGGGATTGGTCAAGCTATTTGCCACCACGCCGCAGCTGCAGAAGCTGGACCTGGAGCGGGCTACACACATCACCGACGCGGTGCTCTCGGCACTGACGCCACCCGAGACCCACGCCGAGGCATTCGGTCTTGCGGTGCCTGATCGAGACACACTCATGCAGGGAACCAGAGGTAGAGGATCGCTGCTCCACATGGCACGTCGATCAGCTAGCCGTCGAAGGCAGGCGAGCCCCTCTGTGTCCGGAGCAACAGCCGAAGAAGAGGCGCCGCCGACCTACGACGAAGAAGCCGTGGCAGCGTTGATTCCAGCGACGGGTGCCCATCTCACGCATCTGATTTTGTCGTCTGCCAACCGTACGACGGCCGAGGCGATGCTGATGCTCATCAACAGATGCCCCTTCTTGATCCATCTGGAGGTCGACGACACTCACGCTGACAACGAGATGGCCCTTCAATTCGTTCAGCTAGCACGGTATCGCAAGATGAGGAACGCGTACCTCAGCCTGATCGACTGCAGATCGTTCACGCGCGACACCTACTCGCAGCTCAGTCACAGCGGCGGTTCAGCAGACGGCGGCGTACGACCCCGAAACGGAACCCGTGGCTATGCCTTCCGTCATTTCGGCTACGATGATCCGGAGCCAAGTATGGCGGTGGCAGCAGCGACCAACGTGCTCGCTACGCACGGAAGCGAGCGTACGCAGTCAGAACAAGCGACGTCTGCAGCCAACGCCGGTGCCCTTGTCGAGACACGCGACCGCGAGCGAGCCCACGACGAGTGCAACGAACTCAAACCCGTCCTCAAGAGCTTCTGGGGCTGGCAGATGGTCGACGCGCGGATCAAGCAACGATGCAAAGCCGAACAGCGAGCTGCGGCGCATCGTCGTCACGGCGGTCGCAGCAAAGTTGCTGGAGTTGTCGCTATGGCGTTGGGATTGCCAGCAGCGACGGTGGGGGGCGGTGAGGAGATGGGTCGATCCAGGGGCGGATCTAGGTGGACGCGCGTGCTCATCGGACCCGAAGTGGGTAGGTTGGACAGTGCGCAGGGTACAGATGACGAGGATGAGGATGATGCTAGGGGGTGCACTGTTATGTAGCGGCGTCTGCACGCGATAGTAAGCGGTCCTGATTCACAGCAATACGGCGCTCTCTGCCTGTCCATCGTGAGCTGTGACTCTCTTTCAATGAATTCGCTATCCGCACTATGTCGGTCTGGCCTGCGCATCTTTCTTCGACGTCGAGCGCATCAAAGGAGGAACAGAGCCCGGTGTTGGCGGCGAAGTTGGGGAAAGTAAGGATCATGGCAGCAAAGGTGAAGCCAGCGTCTTCTCGGATCGCCGATCTGAAACCCGGTGTGGAGTAAAATTCGTGCCTTGAGGCGGCTCTGCAGCGCGCCTGCAGCTTTGACAGCCGGTGGCCCGAGCTCATGCCCTTGCTCAACTTCGGCCCTTTCGGCTGACAAACACCCTTCTCCCCGCTTCGATGTCGTGTGTCTACCCTTCCCTTCCTCATCTACCACCATCGACACCGGCTCATACGCTCGTATGACCCTGCCTCTGCGTCCATTGTTGCGAAATCACCTCGCGCCGCTCTCACGCACATTCGCACCAAGCCGCATCACCACCTCCAGTCGGCTGTTCAGCACTTCTCTTCCATTCAAAATGAAGATCCACCCTGTACCCGTGCGGGACGACAACTACGCCTACATCCTGCAGTCCAGTGTGGACAACAAGGCGCTCTTTGTGGATCCGTACGATGTGCCTACTGTCAAGGCTGCCGCGTCCAAACTTGGCATCTCGGACGACGACGTAGTGGGCCTGCTGACGACGCATCATCACCACGATCACTCGGGTGGAAACGAGGCGTTCACCTCTCAATACCCTGGTCGACCCGTCTTTGGCGGGTCGGAGCAGATCCCTGCGCTCTCGCAAAAGGTTGCCGACGGAGATTCGCTCAACGACGTCCTCAAGGGCATCTCCATCAAGTGCTTGGCCACACCGTGTCACACCCAGGACCACATCTGCTACCACGTCACCGGCGAGGGCAAGAGCGGGGTCTTCACGGGCGACACACTCTTCGTCAGCGGTTGCGGTCGTTTCTTCGAAGGCACCCCGGAGGAGATGTTGCGCGCAATGGACAAGTTGTCCACCCTGCCTGAGGAGACAAAGGTGTGGTGCGGGCACGAATATACCAAGGCCAACGCCGAGTTTTCCGCCGCCATCCTACCCTCGAACGAAGACGGGATCAAAAGGTTGGTGCAGGACCTCAAGGCGAGGAAGAACGGTGGTGTTACTACAGGACAGTATACCATCGCAGATGAGAAGAAGCACAATCCGTTCATGAGGTGCAGGGACGAGGTCGTGAAGAAGGCCGTCCAGGAGAAGGGCGGAAAGACAGACGATGACGTCGAGACGATGAAGTGGTTGAGGGAGTTGAAAAATGGTGGACAGGTCAAGGCTAGCATTTGAGGGCGAGGTGAGAGGAGTCAAGGCTCGATTCGGGGGAGCATCACGGTCGGTGAGGAATGTCAGTCTTCTTTCACTCACAGGTCCAAGTGGACAGTGTACCAGCAAATGTGACGGTGTGAGAAGAGCAAAGCTGTGCGATGCGGATTGAAATCAAGAGCGAGAGGTCTACACAAGTGGCAAATTTGACAAACCGACAAGGCGATAGACGCGGAAGTTGCGACGCAGAAACAGCGGCGACTTGCCATCAAGCTGAGTGCGTCTCACAGCGGCTGATGTCATATCGTTGGTGGGTAGAGAAGTAGGCTGAAGCAGCGGCGTGCCAGGCAGCGCCGGTGTCATGATCCCATCTGAGTCGGGCTCCTGCTTGAGTTGCTTCGATTGCGCAGGTTCAAAGGCAGTCGACAGCGAGCGTTGCTCTTTCGATGGCGATTCGGGTTCCAGCTTGATGCTCACCCTACCTTCCGCAGGACCATCGGCTCCGTTCGTCAGAAGAGGCAGGCGTGGCTGCTCCTCCGTCCCAGCTGCAAAAGACACGGTTCTCGCTTGGCCAGCAACAGTGTTTCGAGCCTTACCGCTGTTGGCGCGAGCGTGCGCCGCTCGAGCCCATATACTCCACAGTCTGCGTACGTCTAAGGACGCCGGTCGCGCGAACTTCAGCGCGTGCCGTGTGAGCTTGGCTGCCCGATGCTTCCGGTCCAGGTACGTCTGCTTTGCCTCGCCCACCGCCTCCGCAGATGTGGCTGTCTTGGCGAGATAGCGGAGAAGTCGTCGTATGCATAGCCGCGAGGTAGCTATCCGCGTAGCCGAGTGGAGTTCCTTGCGCAGCGCCAAGTATCGGCGCTTCTTATCCCGAGGAAAGAGACCCTCGATCTGGTCCGACTGCGAGTGTAGCTGCGATGCAGAAGCCGCGATGGTGGCATTGGAGGCAGTATTCGACCCGGCTGTGTCGCTGACAGTGTGCATCCGCGCCGAAATCGAGCTGATCCACCGTGCCCACCGCTGTGTGTCCGTATCGGTCGGGTTCCGGCTGCCAGCAGTCTGTGATCCGGCGTGCGCGATCGCTGAGCGTGCAAGCCATCGCAGCTGCCGTGCTGAGTCGACGAACAAGGTATGCGTTTCCGAGATCACAGGAGGGCCCTTGTCGGCATCGAGAGGAAGCAACCCTTCCAGAGCGAGCGGTCCGGTCGCTGCTCCCGGGAGCTGCATCTCAGTCGCTTCATCCTTGATCCGCGTCGGTATTTGAGCTTTTGCCCTGCCTTCCATCTTGGCTTTCAGCGGGCTGAGATCGCGCGTTCGAGGGCGACCGCGCTTTCTCGGGATGCGCTCGCCATTCTCGTCCAGCAAAGGCTTCCATGTTGCCCGCTTCTGCTTCTGCTTCTGAAGCTGCTTATGATTGGCCCTGAAGATCTCCTTGGCCGTGGGAGAGGGCATAGCAAAAGTGCGCTTGAGGTGTGCTTTTGAGTCGAACTGAGCTACTTGCTCCTTGTTCCACTTTTTCAAGATGTGGTCGTCATCTGCACGCCGAGCCTCCCGGTAGCGGTGAGTAGAGGATGGCGGTGTCGTGTCCTCCAGCTGTTGTGGGCGCAAGGCCGACGTCGAGGCTGCAGCGGTGTGTTCGCTGTGCTGTGGGGTATATTGCTGCGGCCAAGCTTCGGATGGCAGCGCAGTCACTGCTGCTGATTGCACTTGTTGCGGCGGGGACGGAAAGAATTGAGGTTGTGAGAATGTGACCGAGGCACTGAAGCCAGGGTAGGCGATATTAGGCATAGCTCCGGCAGGTAGCATGGGTTGCGTCCATGTGATCGACTGACTCGGCGCTGCCGCCATCCCAGGCACCGGCGATACGATCGGACCCGAGACTTGATACGATGCCTGGCCTGGAGAATACGGGTAGTATGCAACTGAGCCCTGGTAGGGTGCGCTGCCCGAATGCGGCGAGACTGCGGCTGTTGCTGCTGTGCTGCGCCCGATCATTTCGAGACGGTGGTCATCTTCTCCTTCGACGACATGGGACTGAGCACGAGCCTTCCCTTTGGAGCTCGATGCCGCCTTGTGCCGAGCTAGAGCGTCTAGAGGCGACGGAAGGGCCCTTGGCTGCGATTGTCGCTCGCGCTGAGCGGCTTGCGCAGGAACAGGTCGCTGCTGAGATGCTTGCGGTCGAGAGCTACTGGCAGATGCCTGCCGCGACAATGCCTGTAGCCCAGCATCAATGGCGCGTGACTGCCTTGGTCTGTCGACGAGGCTTGTCGTAGGCGTCGTCGATCTCGATCTAGAATCCTCGTCGCCTGTATGCGCAGTCTCGGAAGAGGCGGCTCGCTGTTTTGAGGAGGGTCCACTTCTGCTACCAGGCTCGGCACCAGAGGCGGTTGGAGCTGCCTTTGAGAAGAGACGCTGGTACGCCTTCTCGAACTCGAGGTCGACGTCTCGCGCACTCATCTTATCGGCATGTGCGGTATGCTGTTCATGGCCATGGTGTGCGCTGTCGTCCAAGGTTTGGCGGCGCTGGAGATCACTTTCAAATCAGCTCTTGTCGGGGGTGCAAAGAGACAATGGCGTGGTCTGTGCCGACTTGGTCGAAAGATGTCGTAGTCAGAAGTGTTGGTCTTCGTATGATCACAAAAGTGACAGTTCAAAATCACGCGCCCCAGTCAGGCGAGGTCACCAGGACCCTTTACCAAAACTCAGCTCAGCTTCTCGCGACGCGTACAGCTGTACTGCCGTCATCCTCGCAGTCGGTAACTGCATCTCGCATATGCGAGCCCTTTCGCATCTGTTACACCGCCGCAACCCGACTCTCAGCTTCTCAGCTAGGGCAGAAGCGATCACACTTGGCATACGAGGACTTTCTTGGAGACATGATAGTATGTGATTGCTGCGGACTCTTTGTGAGCCTTCTGATGCTGCGATATGGTTTGGGTGATTCTGGTCGGTTAAGACACAGGTACAAATGGATGCGGAGGCGAGAATGCGGGAAACAAACTCGCCCTTGGCTGGAGACAGATGAACGTCACGCAACCTTTTTGATCGTGGATAGCCCGTATCTGGTGAAGAGACAGGCTGGCGGGGAAGAAGATGGAGGAAAATTCGGGAAAGAGAGAGAGAGAAAGGAACGTCGAGGCAAGATGTCGCAGCTCCAACGATCAGGAACCACTACGACATCCTACGTCCACGGTGTTGGACGGACGCGACTCCATCCAGCGACAGCTTGATGCTGCTGGTCCACGCCTCTTGCATCGCCGCAATGAAGAAAAAGTACAAAAGGAATCCCGAAAAGGTTGCGGTCGACGAAGGAAACGTGGCATGACAGCAGCGCTGCCTGCGAACCAGCAAAGCGGTAACAGAACCCGCTTAACGGTTCGACTTGGCAACACGCTCCATCTCGTCACGCTTCTTGATGGCGTACGAGTTGGACGAACCCTTGGCGGCGTTGATCAGCTCGTCGGCGAGGCACTCGGCGATCGACTTGACGTTGCGGAAAGCCGACTCTCGGGTACCGGTGGTGAGGAGAGTGATGGCGGTGTTGACACGGCGCAGAGGCGAAACATCGACGGCCTGTCGGCGGACGGTACCGGCCGAGCCGATACGGGTCGAGTCTTCACGGGGACCAGTGTTGATGATGGCGTCAACAAGGATCTGGATGGGGTTGGCGTCGGTGAGCAGGTGGATGATCTCGAAAGCGTGGGCGACGATGCGGACAGCCATGAGCTTCTTGCCGTTGTTGCGGCCGTGCATCATGAGCGAGTTGACCAGGCGCTCAACGATGGGGGTCTGGGCCTTCTTGAAGGCCTTGTTCTGGAAACGGCCAGCAGTGTGAGGGGTGTAGACGGCATTGCGGAGAGCAATGTAGTCGGTGAGCGAGATGTCCTTGACCTCGACCTCTTGGGCGCTGTTAGGAGAAAGAGTGATGGAAATGGGAGCATAGTCAGTCACCTGTCCGGAATCCATCAGCAGCGTTCTGTTGCTTCTCGACGTTGACCTAGCAGCATAGCGAGACGAGCTGTGTGCATCCTTCCTGTGACCGCGTGATCTCCGTTGTCTACTGTTCCATCCGGGTTCCTCCAGCGGCTTCGGCGAATCGTGTCTTCCCACTGCTGATCGTGCCACTGCATCTGCCACGTTTCTTTCCTTCCGATTGATGTCCATCGCTAATGCTGCTTGCTAACGTCGAGTACGAATGGCGAATACTTACTCCCACTTTCCGAAAAGTCGGACACCACCGACCTGAGGGGCGGCGACGGCAGCGACGTCCTCTGCAGGAATCGAACGAGATCGCAGTAAAGTTGTGCGAGAGAAGGAAGCAAAGGTCAGTATGATTGGAACATGGTGGTATGGGACCGAACGTTGGCGGCTCTCTCTTTCATATCGCCGATACGGCGGAACGGCTGATGACGATGGCGGCAATTGCTGAGCATCACACTGATGTGACGACGATGGCCGGCGAGACAAGGACACTTCTTGTCCAATCCCATGCTGATTGTTCTGCCAGTGTCGTGTGGCCTGCGTGCTCTTGGTCCTGGCTGGATACGCCTGTAGCGATCTGTGGCTTCCACCTGCAACCCAACATCCGGCACCATCTTCTGACAGCGAGCCTGAGAAGCCTCGCGAGCAGGATCAAGGATAATGCTGCTGGGTCGGTCCATACATCCTGCAGGATGACCTTGCGCTGATGCTGCTTATATCTTCCCACTAAAGCCCGACCCGTCGATGCTGCCTGCAATGATCGTCGCTCCATCTGCCGGTGTCTTCCATACTGCTGCAGGTCCCATGCCGCTATCATAATCATCATAGTCCATTGTCGTTGCCGTTGCGATTGTCGAAAGAGAGAGCGGCGCCGTCGTCGGTGTCGAAGTGCTCGGTGCTGCCGAGCTGCGGCGGAAACTCACTAGGAATTCCGACCTTGACAGCCATGTTGGGCGATATATGTGTCGAATGTGTCTTTTGTCTACGAAAGACAAAAAGTCAAGGGTGATGAAGAGTCTTGAAGGGGGTGGTTGGTGGAAGTACGAGCGATTGATGATCTCGAACTCGAAAGACTAGGCGTGGTTGGCTGACTGACAGACTGGAGGCTGCGAGCTGCAGGCTCAACTCACTGACTGGCTAAGCTTCTCAGGCTCCGCGCGCTATCTCTCTCTCTCTAGATCACCAACTGAGCGTGCCTGGCTGCACGCCTTCGCGAGTTGCAGTTCCACTTGGCAGCCCGGTCGCCTTGGCTAGCCACCATCTGAACATCACACTGCGCTGTGCAACCACAAATTCCGATCGAATACAAATCGTGTACGGTGTACCTCCAATTTGTTTCTACTTAATTTCAAGTACGTGTACAAGGATAGCTTGATGCAGCACGTGAGTATAGATAACTTCGGCCGAGGCTATGGGCAATAATCGGCGACCGATCTCGGTGAACTGAGCCGATTTGAAATTTAGCAGCCAGAGCCTACGAGTCTAACGAATGCGATACCGACACTTCATCTGCTTGCGTGCCTGAAAGCCACTCGCGGCCCGCTTCCTTCCTTTCAATATTCGGTTGATCATTGTCTGCGACTACACGTTCATATCAGATCAGGAGCCACAAGTCTCAGCAAGATCCAGTGTTGCAGGTCTCAAGCGTTTAAAGACAATGATCACGCCGGAAAGAGAGAGAGAGAGGTGGTATCGTAGCGTTTGATTCGCATAAAGACCCATGAGTATACAGAAGTGAACACGCTTCTTCGTAACGACCTGTTTGACTTTCTACTAGTACAATTCCGATGTAAGGCTCAAGACGAATGATACAGTGGTATGGGGGCGCGTTGAAGCGCCAAGCGCATTGGGAGCGGCTCGTGAGGCGCGTAAAATGGCTTCTGACATTAGGCTCCGCCGCGCGCCTGCTTCTTGGGTGGCTTCTCGCTGCCCGCGCTCGCCTCGGTCTTGACCTCGGCGGGCGGAGGCGCTTTGAAGCTGGCGGTCGACTCGACGGCATCCAGATCGCTGATGTTGAGAACGCTGAGCTTTCGGTCAGCCTGCGAGATGGCGAGCTGGTGGCGTTTCGCCAAAGGCTGCGAGCTGGTGCTGTCACCGTCCTCTTGCTTCGTCTCGACAGCGTCGTCATGCAGGTCCTTCCAGGCAATGTCAAAGATGGCGCCCCCTCCGAGGTACTGCTGCACCAGCGCGCCAGTGTCAACGCGCGAGATGATGACCTTCTTGTCGATGCCGCCCGTGGCGAGGTAGCGGGCGCAAGGACTGAATCGCAATGTGTAGACGTTGTCTTCGTGTGCGTCAATGACACGGATGCAATCGCCATTGTCGGCGTTCCACAGCCTGGCAGTCCAGTCAAAGGAGCTGGTGGCCAGCATCCTGGGCTGATCCGGATTGGCGGAGCCGGGACCGGTAGGACACCATGCGAGAGCGTAGAGCTCTTTCGTGTGGCCCGCAAGCGTCAGCCTCAAGCCCTTGTTCGGGCCCTTTGCCGTGGTGGTGAGGAGGTTCGAGGAAGCACCCGACGTCGATGCTGCGGCAGACTGCCCGTTGCTTCCGGGTGCCGGTGAAGCCCGTTCTTTGCCATTCAATGCACTGGCTGAGGCTGGTCCGCCACCATTTGATCCAGGCGTGGCACCACGATCGCCTGCAGCGTCTTCTGTGGCGCGCTGAGACGGTTCCTCGTCCACGTCCATTCCTTCCAGGTGAGCGCTGCCGCCTCGACGTTGCGACGCTCGTTTGCGGAGGTGGTCGCCTGCTGATCCAGCGGTACCGGTCGTCGCTCCTCCTGGACCACTGGAACCGATGTCCAGAGCCCAGATCTTGGCCGTCATGTCGTCCGATACGGACGCCAACAGCGTCTGAGAAGGATCGAAGCGGATCGCATTGACCTCGTCGGTGTGACCCTTGAACGACTTGATGGGCTTTGGCTCGCCCAGCTTGCACAAGTTGATGCTGTTGTCCGCGGAGCACGTGGCAAAGTAGGTATCGGCGACGGAAGGGCTGAGACCGTGCGGCATGGGCGGTGGGGCATCGGAGGTCGAGCTGGGTTTGAGCGAACCATCGGCGGTCGACAGCCATTCCACATCGAGAACGCTGTCGCTGTGGAGTGGGAATGTGTGCCGAGGCTTGCCGCTGTTGAGGTCCCAGACGATGATGGTGCCGTCTGCACTGCCAGTGAGCAGCATGTTGCCCTTGCGGTTCCATCGCACGCTGATGACGGGACCCTGGTGCATGGACATGACGAGGTGCAGATCGCCTTGCGGAGTCCAGAGTCGGACGATGCCATCGTATGAGCCGGAAGCGAGCAGCGTTCCGTCAGGGTTCCAGTCGAGAGTCGAGATGTCCTTGCTCTGGGCGGCTGGGAGATGCTTGCAGATAGTGGGCGCTTCAGGCGATTCGCCTGCATTCTCCGGCACTTCCCAGATGCGGACGGTAGCATCACCGCCGCCGGAAGCCAGCATGTTCGGCACGGTAGGATTCCAGGCCGAGATGAAGACCTCGCCCGTATGCCCTGCTAGCGTCGTGATCTGACCATCCTCGATGTAGTTGTCGCCCTTGGGCTGAGGTATCGGCGCCTTGGGATCCTTGGCCTTGTCTCCCCGCTTTTTGCTTGCTTCACCGTTCTCACCTGCAGATGACTTTCCGCCCTTCTTCTTTTTGCTGCTTGTTGTGTCCTTTTCCTTGTTCGTCTGCTGCTTTCTTTCTACGCTTGGGGATGCCGAGCGGGACGCCGCCGCCGCTGTCACGTCGCCGTTGCGACGATCCTTGCGGGACGTTGTTCGCTCTTCGCCGTCGGCGTGTGCTTCTGACGTGACGGCGTCGCTTACTGCCTTTGCCTCGCTCCTCCGCACTCGCTTGTCGTCCCGGTCTGCTTCCGAGGTGACGGACGCTGATGCTTTGCGCTTGGCATCCTTGGGCTTGGACGCAGTGGAGGAAGCGTCATCGTTGTCGGCTGCATCTTCGATCTTCTTCGTCGAGGAAGAGGCTACCTGAGATGATCGGTCTGCATCTTCGCCGCCCAAAGAAGATGGTGGTGGCACTGCTGTTGCTGCTTTGCTGTTGTGTACGCCATTGACGGGCTTTGTTACAGGAGCGGGAGCCGCAGGTGTCTGTGTCGCTGCCTCCTTGTGCTCAGATCGAATTTGGTGTGCTGCGAACGGATCCGGTTCTGGCGACAACCGTGTTGGGCTAGCAGGTGGAGGCGTGGGTCGAGGCTTGCCGTCGCAGACGTGAGGGGGGCCTACAAGGCGGATGTTGGAAGAGCATGCCTTTTCGGTGCCGTCGTCCTGAATGTGGGCTTCTACGGATGCATAGATGAGGCCTTTCTGCAAGAAACGGACCAGTTGACCGGGTTCGATGACAGCCTCTTTGGAAAGCGGTTCGTCGTCTAGCCGCGACTCGTGGCGGAGTGAGAAGGAGGCGTGGTGAAAGCCGGACTCTTTGAGGTAGTGATACACTAGCAGATTGACCTCTGCTGAGGTGCAAAGAGGGGCCATCTTGGCTATTGAGCAAGCCACTTAGAGCGATGTGTGACTTGCTGCAGAGGGATCCACAGGCATCGGCCCTTTCGAAAGCGGCGAGGACCTAGGGCTGGACACAAGCTCGACCGTGGGCTGACGGAGACGGTGCTGTGGGCGCGTAAAGGTAATGTTTGCCGACAATGAGTGCTCGACGCGCTGCTGACTCTGGATGGCACTGTCGATGACGGCGAACCTGTCGGACAAGGAGTACGATGATCGGGGCTGAGGCCGTGGCTGAATTGAGAGGCTCTGCTGATCCACTGAAGACGCAAGGCAGACACACAGCAATGATCCTCGACTCTCGCTGACTAGTCGAAGTCGGTAGGTTGACCCAATGGCGCGCTGCTTCTTGTCGCGAGGGACCAGTCACAACAGAACAACGCCGACAGTGTCGCGTCAAGGGCAGAACTGCTGGCGAACGCTGACGAGTTATCAGCAAGAGGAGTTGCAGGAAGACTGTAAGCGACTGAGATGTGGAAGTCACGTCGAGGTTGGCTCGAGTTTTCACGAGGATCTGTCTATGGAGACGGACGGATGCTCGCGGATGACTGGTGGGTCCACAGATGAAGCAGCGGACGACAATTGACGCGGATGTCAGGAGGCGGACAAATGAGATGGGCCAGGGGCTTTCGAGTCGGATGGATGAGTCGAGGCGAGGTGGGACGTCGTCAGGCACAAATACAAAGTTGCTCGCGGACGGGAAGGGGGTCGTTCAACTGATGACGCAGAGGCTTCTGTCTCCGCAGGGCCGGAAGCGGATGAGTCGGTATGTGATAGAGGAAGGTATGTCTGACGGACGCGATGTCGAACTAGCGAGGGCAGATGCGATGGACGACTTCGAGATAGCGGGTCAAGGCGGAGGGATACCTGTGTCGGATGACTGTGCCGGCGATGATGGTGATGGTCTGTCAGGAAGGAGAGGATACGAGTTGGCGAGTTGTCGAATCGTCCGGGACAGAGACAGGATCAAGAGTGATGGTGGGAAGGGGAAGAGTGTAGGGACGGTGAGGCAGGCAGGCGTGGGTGAGAAGGGAGGGAACGGATGGCAGACCTCGAACTCCCAACGGCCAGACAAGGGAGAGAGAGCCTGGCTGGTGAGGGAGAGAGAGAGGGTGATGGGCAAAAACCTCGAATTGCCCCTTCCAAGAGGTCACCACGCACAGAGGCGACGGAAAGAGTCGAAGTCAAGGCAGCAGGCAGGCACAATTCTGAATGCAGCCAGCCAGCCCGCCATCCATCCGAAAAGGCGCGCTCTTCGCTTGAGTCACGCTGCCTCGCTCACACACTCACTCAAGCCCGGCCCTTTCCCATTTCATTAGTGGAAAACACTGGCCTGGTGCCTCGTCGACAGACACACGCGGAAATGCTTTTTAAATAAAATTAAATCTTTCACTCACTTATGCTTCTCTTTCGACTGAGCTTTCGAAAGGACGCTTGACCTCGAGGGGTGCACGCAATCAACTGACAGACCTTCGTCCCAACCTCATCCTTGTCCGCCCGAGTCATCCATCATTGACGTCTGCTACGTGTCCGTTGCCATCCTCCAGCATGTCTGCGTCCGCACTCCCACCCACAGAACTGAAGCATATCCATAGACTGCGCTAGGCTCGCTATCGGCATCGACTCAGCCTCGGTAGCGGCTCTTCCGAAGTCGGACCCGACCGATACGCTCTCACACGCTCTCACAGTGTCGGTGCCCATCCGAATGACTCCCATGCCTCTTCGTGCTTGTACCGCTGGCTGAATCAGGCGTCGAAGGATGACCAAGCAGCGTGTATGCGAATGATGTAGGGAGAGCAAGGGGCGGATCAATGTGAAGAGCATCACTTCTTGGTCTTCTGCTTCTTAGGCTGCTGCTTCTGCTTGGTGCCTTTGCCGCGCTTATCGCCCGCCTTTGCGTCTTCCTTTTCGCCATCGTCCTCAGCCTCCTCACCAGCGTCCTCTTCTTGGTACTCAGCCTCGTCGTCGTCCTGTTGCTCGTCTCCCTCCTCATCTTCCTCCTCTTCCCCATCTTCATCCTCCTGGCTCTTCTTGCCAGCCTGCTTGCCTCCCTTCTGCGACTGCTTCTTTCCGTTACTCTGCGACTGCGACTTGTTGCCGCCGTTCTGCTTTCCATTGCCCTTCGACTTGGCCTGACCCTTATTGCCGCCCGCCTCCTCCTTCTCCTCCTCCTCGTCCTCGTCCTCGTCCTCGTCCTTTCCAGCATCGGACGCCTTCTTCCTCTCCTCTGCAGCCTTGTCCGTGTTCTTGACAAACTGCTTTCCCTTCTTGCCCTCCTGCTGCTTCTTCTGGTCCGTCTCCTTCTTCTCCTTCTCTGACATGTTCTCCCACGCCTTCTTGGGCAAATACCTCTTCCTGCTGCCGTCGGCCTGCTTGGCGTTGGCCGAGCCGTCTTTGGTCTGCCACTCCTCCTCGCCCCACTTGGTCAGGTTCTTTTGCGATTCGTCCTTCTTGCCGTCATCATTGTAGCCGCCGCCGCGCTTCTTGTATTCGGCAGCCATGAACTGCGCTTTGCGCGCAGACCACTGGCCGGGCGCACCGCCCTTGTCGGACTCCTGGATCTCCTTCTTGATCTCATCGCGGAGCTGGGGAGTGAAGAGAAAGGTGATTAGTGACGGGTAGGAAGGTAATGATGGGGAGAAGGTGGACAGAGCTTACCTTGGGGTCGGAGTACTTGTCGGCGGAAGGCATCGTGTAGGTCTCTTGTGTTGCGGTGTAGAGAGGATTGAGATGATGGGGAGTTCTCGATGTCAAGGGGTCCCAGTCAGGGCGATGCTTATATGCTCAAGAACGGATGCTTGGTCTGTCACAGCTTCGTTGCTGGACAGTCTCTTAGAAAGCTGCTGTCCTGCTCAACAGCTCAATGGAGCCAGGCGGCCGAGCGCACTTTCGCATGACATGTCCAACCCTGGACGTCACGCCGCCGTCAGCGCCCCCGCGCCGCGCTACTCTACACGACGTCTGACCGTGTCATGACGGTCGATCCGGGTCAGCCGAGGTGAGCGGGTTAGATAAGATCCTGATTCATCCTGAACCCTATACGGTCTGCTATATGTTGACGTGAGGACTTTGTGCCCCCGCGGTGTGGAGTCTGATTCATCCTGCGGAGGGAAAAGCGTAAACGAGTTCCACTCTGACGCGTGCCTTACGAGATTCCGATGCGTTCTGACACCTGACAGCACCGACACGAGCCAACGTCATTTCACGGCCGGCCTCTGTCTGGCATAACATGGCAGCACCGCAAGCGAGGAACCCGGAGACGGACGTCAACTTGGCTGATTCTGCCTCCCTCTCATCGGCTACCACATCGGAACTGGACAGTCCCCGATTTGGACCACATCGCTCGGTTCAAGATGATCAAAATGAATGCCTGAATTCGACAGCAAGAAGTGGGATTTTGTACAGAGGTGGTGGTAGATTGATGAGGTCGTAGAGGCGTTGCGTGCGTGCGCAACCACTCGCGCGTACATCTAGCGTCAAGGGACGCGGGTTGCCTTTTGGTGCTCAGAGCATGAAGCTGAGCGGGTTCTCAAGGGCGTCCTTGAACGCCTTCATCCACTTGGCCGCAGTGGCACCGTCGACGGTGCGGTGGTCGGCCGAGATGGTGGCCTGCATGACCATGGCCTTCCTGAAGCCCTGTTCGCTCTCGCTGTCGGGAATGAGACGAGCCTCGGTACCGCCGATGGCGAGGATGCAGCTCTGGGGCGGGTTGATGATGGCGGTGAAGTGGGTGATGCCAAACATGCCCATGTTGGAGATGGTGAACGAACCGCCCTGGTACTCTTGGGGTGCGAGCTTGCCTGCGCGGGCCTTGGAGGCGAGCTGCTTGGTGGCCGCCGAGATCGTGGCCAACCCAGATCCACCGACGTCCTTGACGATAGGGGTGATGAGACCAGTAGGGGTGGAGACGGCGATCGAGATGTCGGCCTTGTTGAACTGGCGGATAAAGTCGCCGTACCAGGCCGAGTTGACCTCGGGCACCTCCTTGAGCGCAACACCGGCTGCCTTGGTGATGAAGTCGCCGACGGAAAGCTTGGCCGCCTTGGCCTTCTCGACATCCTTGCCGGCCTTCTCGGTGGCAGCCTTGTTGAACACCTCGCGCAGCTTGAGCACCTTGTCCATCTCGACGTCGATGCTGACGTAGTAGTGGGGCACGGCGGACTTGGATTCGGTAAGACGGCCAGCGATGGTGCGTCGCATGTTGGAGACGGGGAGGTCGGTGTAGTCGCCCTCGCCCGAAGCAGGAGCAGGGGCAGACGAAGACTTGGCGGGAGCGGCAGAGGAGCTGGCGGACTTGGAGGGGGCAGAGGACGAAGCGGCAGGAGCAGCAGCTTCAGGCTTGTAGTTCTCTACGTCGGCCTTGATGATGCGGCCCTCGGGACCGGTGCCCTTGATCTTGTTGAGGGCGATGCCCTTGTCCTGTGCCAACCTGCGAGCGACGGGTGTAGCAAAGATGCGGTCGCCCGAGCTCTGCGAGGTGGACGAAGAGGAGCTCGAGGAGGAAGATGCGGACGAGGATGCGTCGGACTTGGACTCCTGCTGCTTGGGCTGCTCGGCGGGCTTGGACTCCTCCTTGGGCTCCTCCTTGGCCGCTGGCTTGGCGTCACCGCCCTCAGAGCCAGCCTTTTCGGCGAAAGAGTCGGCTTGCGAGAGGTCATCACCCTCCTCAGCCATGATGGCGATCAACGAGTTGACCTGGACAGCCTTGGAGCCATCGCCGACCAGAATCTTGGCGAGGACACCGTCGTCCTGAGCCTCGACATCCATGGTAGCCTTGTCGGTCTCAATCTCGAGCAGCACATCACCGGCGGAGAAAGCCTCACCGGGCTTCTTCTTCCAAGCGGCGATACCACCCTCGGTCATGGTGGGCGACATGGCGGGCATGTTGAACTTGGAGAACTCGAGCGCCCGTCGCGACGAGTGGAAGGAGCGCTGCGAGAGGGTCGAGGTGGACGACGAGGCGGCGGCGACCGCCTTCTGGAGACCAGATCGCTGAAGGACACGAAGCGCCTGCATCTTGGAGTGAGATGTCCTGAGGTGGTGGTGGACGACGCCGTCAGAGGATGGATGGTGGTATAGACAAGGTGACGAGAGAGCGAGAGGAAGAAGTGGATTGAGATTGGACACGCGAACGAACCAACGGGAGCAGCAGGCAGGCGAGACAGAAGGAAAAAAGTGGGAATCTGTGCGGTGCGCTCTCGCCTCGCTTGCGTTTCGGTGTGTTGTCTTGGATGCTGCTGCGTTGGGGGTCGAGGCGAGCGCTCGGTGCATTCTTTTTCTTGTCTGGTCGGCCAATCTGCTTTGGCAGCCTGGCAGCCACGCGGAACATCTCGAAAAGGCTTTCTTTCTAATTTCTTATTTTTTTTTTTCCCATCAACAGCATCGATCGACCAGCGGAAAGAGACGGAAGGCTCTTTCCGAATCCAGTCCGTCTGAACATGATGACAGGCTGAGTGGTCCTCTAAAGGGCTCGCCTTGGCCATTCAAGTCGCAGTTGGATCAGCAAATGGTCGAAGAGAGCATGGGTATGAAGGCGACTGTTTGCTCGTAGGATTTCGCCGCGAAAGGGCCCGATTTTCTATCGATAACGCCCACCGTCGGTGAAATTCGACAGGTCGGCCACAAACTCGCCCCCTTCACTCCTCCGTCACAGCCAGTCCCAACATTTCCGGCAGTTGACCCTGCAGCAGAGCTACTCTCTCCACGACGTCTCCCCTCAGGCTGACATGACCGACGTTCTCGGTATCTTGCCGGTTGACATGCTTCTAAGCACCGTTGCACGATGTGCATGAGTTTCGTCGATCCCTTCGAGATCCTGCAGAAGGAACACAACAGCCCGATCCAAGATTGTGATTGCTTGAGGAGATGTGACCAACGTAGGCCCTTCCTCAGGGCGCAAGTCACTAGCGGAAGTATCCGATGCCTTGTTCCGCTCAGAGTCTGCCTGACTTTCCTTTTCTATCACCAAAGCTTCCTTTAAACAGTCACCATCACCCCTTGAACGAGCTCGAGCCCTACACATGACAGCTTCACTCAGCTCCACCACTTGTGTTGCTTTCGACATTCTCAGCTGCTACACTTGTCTGCATGGACCATGACCGCGCCATTTCCCTTCTGCATCTCGACTATGACTCACACCTCTCGACCACGCCGACGAGGCCCTCAGATCAACGCGCCACGACAAAGCACAAGGATCATGCTGATGCGAGTTGACATTTTCGACGATGCCTGAAGGTAGGCAAGTCTAGACTACGGCGGACATGGCCTTCTCTTTTTGGGCATCTAGCTGGTCACCTTGTGCAGCGACTCAGCAAGGTGCTGAACGTTCTGGTTGGTGATACCGGCCACCGAGATACGACCGTCGCCGGTAAGGTAGACGTGGTGTTCGTTGACCAGCTTGGCCACCTGCTCTGGCGAGATGCCCAGGAAGGCAAACATGCCGATCTGGTTGGTGATGTGGTCCCAGTTGAGCTTCGAGTTGAGGTCCTTCACGAGCAGATCCTTGAGCGTCGATCGCATGCCGTTGATGCGGTCCGCCATGCCCTTGACCTCGCCCAGCCACTGCTGGTACAGCTGCTGGTCGGCCAGGATGGTGCCGGCGATCTTGGCTCCGTGCATGGGCGGGTTCGAGTAGAGGGGTCGCACAATGATCTTGATCTGGCTGTCAACGCGCGCGCGCTCGTCGGGGTCAGCGCAGACGATCGAGAAGGCGCCGACACGCTCACCGTAGAGACCCATGTTCTTGGCAAACGACTGCGAGAGGCAGATCTGGTGTCCCTCCTCCACAAAGTGACGAACAGCAAAGGCGTCCTTGTCCGTGTCACCACTGGCGAAACCCTGGTAGGCCATGTCGAAGAAGGGGAAGTGACCCTTCTCCTTGACCACGTTGCTGATCTCCTTCCACTGCTCAACGGTCGGGTCGACACCCGTGGGGTTGTGCGCACAGGCGTGCAGCAGAACAATCGAGCCAGCTGGCGCCGCCTTGATGTCGTCAATCATGCCCTTGAAGTCGAGTCCGACCGTCTTCTTGTCGTAGTAGCGGTACTGCTTGACCTCGAGGCCGCTGTCACGGAAGATGGGCGTGTGGTTGCCCCACGAGGGGGTGGGAAGGTAGATCGTCTTGGCTTCAGGGTAGTGACGCTGGAGGAAGGCACCACCGATGCGAAGAGCACCGGTACCCGAGATGGACTGCGTGATGGCGATGCGGTTCTCCTTGACGGGTGCGCTGTCCTTGCCGTAAGCGAGAATCGCAGCATTCTTGGTGAAGTCGGCGAGACCAGTGATGGGCAGGTACTCCTTGTCACCCTTGGCAGTGAGGACGATCTCCTCGGCCTGGCGCACCGAGGGGAGAACGTATGGCTTGCCGTTTTCGTCACGGTAGGCACCGACACCGAGGTTGATCTTGCGCGAGTCCTGGTCACGCTTGAAGGCCTCGGTGACACCCAGAATCGGGTCAGGAGGACCCGCCTTGACGTGAGCCCAGGTGCTCTTGAACTGACGCACGGCGGGCAGCGAGAGCGCGCCGAAGCGGGGTGCCTGCGAGGCACGGACGGCCGTTCGGATGGTAGCGGGAGCAAGCATGTCGTATGTTTGCGACCGGATGCGGGGATGAAGATGGGTGATGGTGAGGATGAGAGGAAGATGAAGATCGAGCTAGCCGAGAAGAAAGGGTTGGGTCAACGTAACCTTGGTTGCGTGCGACTGTTGTTCGAGGATTGGAGTGTGAATCACAGTCACAGGTGAGGAACGACCTCACCGAACAGATCGCCGGCCAAGCTTCTGCGAGAAGAAAGCGGGGGCACCACACACACCAGCGGCACATCAGCGAGTCAGACTCTCTCTCCCCTCGTCGCACAGACCGGCATCGGACCGCTTTTCTTTCTCTGCTAGCCCATCGCTCTCTCTCTCTCTCTGACTCAACTCGTGAAAAGCCGGGAATCTTTTCGACATCTCCCGAGCCTAGACGACAGTAGCCTAACATTGTGAGCAATTCCGCCGCTCGGGAGTCGGCGATGGAATTTCTCGCTTTTTGGCTGACAAGAAATGATTTCTTCTTGGTGATTTTCGAGAATTCTGCTCTCCTGTGTCATTGACCTGTTCAGCATGCTTTCCAGACTCTAGACATCGTCATCTCTCCACTACATCAAAGAAAGGCCTCCTCCCTCGACACAGGGCAAGCAGGGTCGGACTTAGTGGCGCCGAAGTCAAGCGCGATGGCGGCACAATCATGTGCCAGGCGTGCACACCAGCTCGCAGCTTCGATCCTCACAAACGGTGTCGGTCCCTCTCGACTGCCAACTGTCCAGGCATGCCGGTGCCATTTGCACATGTCCAGCAAGCTTCCAACGTCGTCGTCAAGCCCAGCAGTGACATTCAGAAGCTTCAGCTCCACCATCCTGCGTCACGACCAAGACGAGAAAGCACGGTCCGAGTCGGCCGCTCCTCAGGCTGCCGAAGTACCGACCAACGCGAGGACCAAGAGCGCCAGGCTTCTCGCAGAAGAGGTCGCCGATGCGGAACCGACACTCGAGTACCTCGACTCGCTCAAACCGAGAGCGCGCCGGCTTCAACCTGAGCAGCAGCGCCCGCGACGCGGCACCGTCAACCCCTTCGCCAAAGCCTCGAGTAACAAGAATAGCGCCGAGAACAAACAGTGGGAGCGCACACGGGTGCGCATCAACGCCTCGTTCACCAGAGATCAGCTCGCGTCGCTGGGAAGAGCGGCGAAGCTTCCGGGTAGCTACGCAAGGACGATCAGGAAGGACGAACTTGTGCGCCGGATCATGGTGCACCGCTTCGGCATGGAGGATGCACGGGAAAGGGCGGATCGAGAGAAGCGTGAGGAGCTCGAGAAGCGGTCCGTCCACATCGCGTTCCGGCCGTCTGAGATGTATCTGCTATTGGCGAGAGGGTCTGGTAGGGTAAGACAGGAGGCGAGCAATGCGCAGGTGGCGATTTTGCCCAAAGCACCGGCGAAGGAGAACGCACAGCAAGGGAATGCAACGGAGAAGCTCGGGTTCTGGATACGAGGCAAGGACCAGGGCATCGAACGCATGACAAAGTGGGTGGACGAGTTCAAGCACACGATCAAACACAGGGACGAGGAAGTCGTACTTTCCGCCCAGGCACAGGGAGCGGAGACGTCGGATGCCGGTGTCAGCGAGGTTCTCCCCGCCGAGCTGGTGCGCTTCATCTCGCAGCTTTCGCGGTGCTTTATGGAAGCGAGTCCGATTGAGAACGGCAAGGTGACGCTCTCGCTCGCCTATCTCGACGAGCGTGATGCACACAAGGCGGTTCTGCTCCTCCGCCAGTACCATGCCCAAAGCGCGGAGGCCATGCAACGCATCGGCGCAGCTGCGTACAGCAACCAAATCGATTCGGAACGAAAGTATTCGATGCTGCCCTTCGTACCCAACGAGCCGACACCATGGACCAAGCAGGCGGATGACCTGCTTTACGGCTCGCAGTCGGACATTTCCTTCCGCGTCGCCAGCGTTCCCGAGCTGAACGCCTTCTCCATGCTTTCCACCGCCCGACTGCCCACGATGCAGCTCGAGGCATGGTCCAACCAAGGCGACCTCCCGTTCTCGGACCCTTTCCGCGCCTTATTCGACTCTGTGTCCGCATCTGCATCCTTCGACGCTGCCACCAAGGACCTTGAGCTCAGCGCCGAGCTCGGCTACGTCCTGTTCGATTCCAACGGCCTCTCCCTCGCAGACGAGGACGTGTCGGAGCCCGAGGTGCTCTCTCGCCTCTCGGACCCGCTCGCGCCCCCTCGTCCTGGCACGTGGCCCATCAGCGATGTCCTCTCGTGGACCCGTCAACTCCGCACCCGTTTCGGGCGTGAGGCCTCCCGCTTCGTACCAGCAACACTATTCCGCTCGCAAAAGAACATCTCGCTCGACATCTGGCTGGAGCGCCAGGGCTGGGCGATCCACAGCGAGGGGACGACGACGCAGACGACACTCGTGTATCAGTCTGCGGACGAGGGTTGCGCGGAACAAGGGACCAAGCTCGAGGTCGTGCTGACCAGGAGGCTGTCGGAGACGGGTGGGAGACGCGGATGGCAGGTGCACGAGGCAAAGTGGGTTGCCGAGGCGCAAGGGGACCTGATGGTCCCGGACAAGGGCGCGGATGTGAGGCTGGGTGCGAGAACGATGGTCAGGCTCGAAGGGGAGGAGCTGGGTGAGGTAGTGGAGGCGCTGGATGCGTGGAACAGCTCGAAGGCGATCCCGGCCAAGGTCGACGTCGAAGCGGCAGAGGCGGAAGTGCAAGCGGCAGATGCGGAGGAGGAAGTGGACAACGTGCTCGGTGGCGAGACCGAGGTCGTGGAGGCCGAAGCTCCGCCCACAGAAGCGCAGGAGACGGCGAAGAATGTCCCTGCGAAGGCAAGCGCTCTGCCTCCGTCGATGCTCAATCTGAAGGCCGGAAAGATGGCCTTGGAGAGCGTGACGAGAGCGAGGGTGCAGACGTACATGCAGCGGTCTGCGATGGCTGCTATCCGCTCGCAGGCGGCTGCGACTGCCGAGCCTGAGGTCGCTGTGTCCTCCGCCGCGTCTGAGGCAGCAGCCGACCAGAACGAAGCTGCGGAATCACCGTCGGTCACGGTAGAGTCTTCGGAGGAGCCGGTCACAACGGCTGGAGTCAGTCAAGACGAAAGCGCCCCCAGCGATCCGAGCACATCCTCGGACGCATCTGCGGAGACCACCGACGACTCAATTCCTCCCACGATCGCTGAAGTAGCCCAAGGCGAGAGCGCCGAAACAGCCACACCCGCAGACGCACCTGTCATCACCAATGACTCGACTGCGATCACCACCGCTGAAGTTGCTCAGGACGCACCGATCGAAGCAGGCATCCCGACAGATGCGCCAGCACCAAACGAATCGACTCCCATCACCACCGCTGACAACGATCCTCGTGCCGGCGCAGACACACACGTCGACTCAGTCCACGCAGCCGAGCAGGCCTCAGCCCCGCTCTCACCTCTGCTCATCCGCAACATGTCCCAAGACGTCGTCACCGAAACCACCGCCGAGTCTTTGCGTCTGGTGTGGCGCCTCCCTCCCTCGTCACCGCAGACCGTGCCCGAATGGCAATCTCTTGTCTCGCCCATCTCGGCCCTCCTGGACCGTCACGATCTATCCACACGCTAACTTCATCTGTACTCTAGACAACCTCAAACACGCAACTCAGCACCCTATATGTGTCTATCAATTTCGCATTCGTTCATGGTGTCTTGGACTGCCTCTCCAGATCGTCCAAATTCTCCCCAGCTCCAGCACCATGACCGACGCCTACCGTCGACTGAGCCTGCCAGAGATCCCAATACAGCCCGTGTCTCTCCAACAGCTCCTCGTGCGTGCCCTGTTCGCTCACGCCCCCTGCCTGGAGGACAATGATGAAATCGCTATCGCTAATCGTCCTGAGTCTGTGAGCAACGAAAATTGCCGTCCGTTTCTCCGCGAGGAGCGTCGCATTGATGTTTCGCATCAACTCCGTTTCGGTATAGCTATCCAGCGCAGAGGTTGCTTCGTCGAAAAAGAGGATCGAGGGGTTTTTGAGAAGCAATCGGGCTACGGCAAGACGTTGTTTCTCACCACCCGAGATCATGAGTCCTCGTTCACCGACTTTGGTGGCGTATCCATCGGGAAGGTTCGCCACGATCTGATCGACTTTCGCTGCTTTCGCCGCGCGTTCGACGTCCGCATCGGATGCGTCGAGTCGACCATAGCGGATGTTGTGTCGAATATCTGCGTTGAACAACGGGGTGTCTTGTGGGACTACGCCGATATGTCGTCGGAGCGAGTCGAGAGAGACCTTGGTGATGTCCTGACCGTCAATGTAGATCTTACCGGACTGCGGCTCGTAGAACCGGAAGAGGAGACGGAAGATGGTGGATTTACCACAACCGGATGGACCGACAAAGGCGGTTTTGAGCCCGGCAGGGACGGTAAAGCTGATGTTGCGGAAGATGGGACGGTCGGGGTGGTAGCCGAAGGTCACGTTCTCGAACCGAATCTCCCCACCTGTCACGCGCAGGGGCGGTGCGTTGGGGTTCTGCTTGACCGACACGTTGACGTTCTCCAGATTGAACATGGTCTCCATATCAATGAGACTCTGACGCAACTCCCGATACACCGTTCCCAAAAAGTTCAACGGAAGGGACAACTGGAAAACGAGCTGGTTGACCATGACCAAATCGCCCACCGTCATGGTCCCATTCGTCACCCCCTGCGCCGCCAACAGCATCATCACCGTCAAACTCGTACTGAAAATCGCATTCTGACCCGAATTCAACGCCGCCAGACTCGTAGCCACCTTGATGGAGCTCTTCTCGTAGTCCGCCAACGCCGCGTCATACTTGGCAATCTCGTGCGCTTCGTTGTTGAAGTACTTGACCGCCTCGTAGTTGAGCAGGCTATCGACGGAGGTGGTAGCGGCGCGATTGTCGGCTGCGTTGGCCTCTTTGCGGAATCGAGTTCGCCAGGAGGTGGTGCGGATGGTGAACCATGCGTAGGCGGCCATGGTGACGGCTGTTACGGCGGCGAAGGATGGACCGCATTTGTAGGAGAGGATGCCACACACCATGGTGATCTCGAGCGCGGTGGGGACGATGTGGAAGACGATGCTGGTGAGGAGGAAAGAAATACCCTTTGTTCCACGGTCGATAGCACGGGTAAGACCGCCGGTCTGACGGGTCAGATGCCAGCCGAGATCTAAGGCGAGCAGGTGGGTGAAGACCGATTTTGCGACTCGACGGATCGAGCGCTGAGCGACGTTGGCGAACACCGCGTTGCGCAACTCGGAAAACGCTGCTGCGCCCACACGCGCGAGACCGTATCCGAGTACCGCACTGCCCGCGACCACCCAGACCGTGTTGGGGTTGGTCATGTCGAGCGGCGCATTGACCACCTCGTTGAGCCGGTCAACGATCGTCTTGAAGAAGAAGGGTACTTGGACATTGAGCAGCTTGCCACCGATGAGAAGGGCGAGGGCGAGAACGACGCGTTGCTTGGTACCGAAATCGCCTTTGGGCCAAACGTACTGGATGAGCTTCTTGATGATGGCCCAGTCGACCATGCGTTGCTCTTGGACGGTTTTCTCGCGTGCGTTGAGGTTGAGCGGGTCGTCTCCGTCGGGCTGCTTCTTTTGCGTCGAGGTGGGGGACTTGCTCGACGGTGCGCTGGGAGCGGATGTCTCTGCAGCTGCGATGATCTTGTCCGAGGCGCTGCGTGTTTGTTGTTTTGGCGCACCGTTGCTGTCCTGACCCGCGGCCATGTGTTGGTAGAATCGCACTTTCGAGGCGTGTAGCGCATTGACGCCTAGTGCAGTGTTTGTCCGACTTGTGCTAGCCCATGCATTGCTTCTGGTTGACAGCGTAGCTATTGAAGTAGGGTAAAAGCGCGACGAGGGAATGCCGGAAGAGATGAGACGGTGCGAAGGACGATGAGCGTCGATCGACTGCCAAGGGAGCCGCCGGATGGCGACCCTCATAGTGCTTGTAGCAGCGCAAGACGCAAGCTGCTGTCTTGATCGTTGAGATGGTCGCGTAGTATTGGATGCTCGTCAAAGTAAGAAGCGGAGGTGAATCGAGAAGAAGAAGCTCTGGTGAGAAAGCCGCCGAGTTCCGGCATGATTGCGTTTGCAAAGCCGTGTGCCCATGCGCCGTGCTTGTCGTGCTCCGAGTGGAGGATGACGACCTTGCCGGTCACTTCCCTTTTCAAAGGACACCAACTTAGTATCTGCCGACGTAACAGCTTCGAACCCAAAAATTCGGCTCGGCAAAGAGACGGGATCGGCGTTCTCTCGCGGCTGATTTTTGACATGTTCTCTCCGAACGCCCGCCAAACTGAGTTCCAAAAACATGTCTCCGAACAGCATTCCCCTGTGCCATGGTACTTACACGGACGACAGACCATTGCTGCTCCGTCAGGTGGCCTACGCTGTCCGTTTGAGATGCGCATCGAGTCTTGCGATCTAGTCACTTGTAGCGATCATCGCGATGGTGACGTGAGACAAGCTAGTGAAGAAAGTGCGACTTTGTTTCGACCCTGTCACGGTGTTGTGACAGGCGTGAGCGCGGCTAAATGAAAGAGGGTTTGCCAGCAGAGGCTCTCAAGCCAAGGTGGCCAAGAGGCTCGGCAACTTTTCATTTCGCCTAGCCAAAAAGGCAGGTGATGGGCGCCAATCACCCACATGCACCTCGGCTCGGCAAGCATCACCAACTACCACTCGACCTCGATCAACACCCAAGGCGCAGTGAGTGGGAACACCTCACGGCGGTTGGTAGCATAGCGAGGTCACTCAATATCTAATGTCACAGCAAAAGCGGAGGAGTCGATCCTCGAGTACGCGAAACTGACCGGGATGAGCTCGAGTCCGCCAGGGGCAAACACCCCAAACCTCGGATGCAGCCAACGCGTGGTGCATATGCACGTCTGTGCCGGCTCGCACAAGGACACTCTTCTTATCGTCTTTGACCTTCTCACACGAATCGAGTCTGCAGCGACGATCATGCGTCTCCTCCGGCGATCAAACGACTCACTCGGATAGTCACTTCCTCCCGTTTTCAATGTCCGCTGCCTAGCGCCACCGCTTGACCACGCTGCAAAACTTTCTCCGGAAACTGCCCTCGTCCTTCTAGCACGCTGCGCCCTGGATGATGCTGCTGCCGGGTCCTCGTCATTCGTCCCTTCACACCCTCGATCCGCGGAAGTCCTGATCCTGCTTCCTTGCTCCCGCTTGGCCCATCTTGGCAACGGCTACGACGCCAAATACACTGGCTGTCCAGGATACCTTCATATTCGACCATACCCTTCCATGGCCAAAACATTCGAGACACGCCCTCCTTTCCGAGTATCGCTCGGCTACTCTCGATCTTGTTCGTCGACCCGGCCAGCATCTCACGCTGATTCTCGCTACGCAGCCGGCTCTTCCGATTCTACGCCCTACCATCACAGATAGCGTTTGGGTTGGCTGATTCACTCGAAGCTCGACCAAGCCAGTCACGTTCTATCCAGCACAAGCCTCTTATAAGGGCTTGGCGCAGCAAAACTCCGCTGCTGCACTCGTATCTCCGTCTCAGTCTCGGTATACATAAGGAGCTACTCATCGGCTCAAGGCCGTCCCTGAACATCACAGTCTCCATCTCTGTGCAGTGACCTACGTCGTACACCACCGAAAATCGGAAGCATGCGGTGGACAAAGGCGATATCACTGCTGCTCGCAACAGCGACAAGCTTCTCGTCAATAGCACAAGCATGGGACTGGCTACCAGCAACCGACAGGAATCGCACGCTCGTCACCGACTTTGTCGTCAAGGCTTCCCCGTCATCCTTCAGCACAGATAATCAGCTCACTGATGCTCAACTTCGCGGCCTCAACAACTCCGACTTCTACCTCTATAACTACCTGTCTACAAATATGAACCAAACCAAGGTACAGCGAGCCGTCATTATGCTCCATGGCCTCGGTCGAGATGCCTGGTCGTATTTCGACATCACACAGGAAGCGCTTCTCAACGCGACTTCGAGAAGAGACCGCACAAGTCACAACGCACGTCTGCGCTTCGATGAAGTGGCCATCATGGCCCCCATCTTTCTCAATCAGCAAGATCCCGGCTGCTATCCTGTCGACGACCAGAAGCAGCCCACCTCTAACACGCTTGTCTGGGATTCGAGCAGCTGGGCGCAAGGTGCCGATTCCATGTATCCGCTCAGCATCAACGACACCAACGGCCAGCCCTTCCAGCCTCCCGGCGTCTCCTCCTTTGAGGCTCTCGATGCCGTGGTTGCGTGGTTCTCCAACAAAACCATCTTCCCAAACATGAACACGATCATTGTGGCTGGCCACAGCTTGGGCGCGCAGATGGCGCAACGGTACGCCCTCGTTGGAGCAGTGCCCTCGGCCACCGTGCCCGTCCACTTTGTAGTCGCCAACCCTGGCTCCTTTGCCTACCTCTCCGAATGGCGGCCAAGGTCGTACGACAACTGCTCAGACACATTCAACAACTGGAAATTTGGCCTGAGTGCCTACTCTCAGTCGTATCTGTCCGACTTTATCGCCGACTCGCTTGACGACGCCAACGATGTCGAGAGTATCGTTCAGCGCTATCGTCGTCGCATCGTTTCGTACCTCTTTGGTCTCGCCGACCACGGCAAGGGAGATACAGCGTGTGAAGCGCTCGCACAGGGCACGACGCATCTCGGGCGAGGGCGCAACTTTGTCCAGCATCTGACCGGACTGGACGGCGGCTTCCCAACAGCGCACTCGGTCAACTTTATCCCCAACGTCAGCCACGACGGGCTCGGGATGTTCTCCAGTCAAGCGGGCCTAGAGCGGCTGTTCTTCATTAATCTCAATGGGACAGAATCGCCGACCGCTGTGGGGGACGACGACCAGAGCGCGACGCAGTGGGCTCAGTCCAAGCATTCGCAGCTCAGGAGCAGTGCCTCGAGAGCGAGATCATTAGGGGCTGCTTCAATTGGAATGGGAGCGTTGCTGGCGGTAGCAACTGTCGCTGCGCTAGGGCTGTTTTGACCTGGGCTCTCCAGGACTGGAACAGCTCTTCAATCTTCTCTACGGACAATGCTCCTCTTTGCATGCACTCTTGTCTCATCTCCGCCTCTGTGTTCTCTATGGACAATCTCTCTGCATCACTTGCCTTTCATCGGGGAGACAATCCCTCCTTCATCTCTGCATTTCTGTTTCAGGGCCCCTCGGAACAGCACATTCTCTCAGTCGCTTGCTCATGTACTATACCCGATCCTACCATCATCAAACATCATGACCTCCACCATTGGCGCGATCCGTCGAGCGTGGCAGTCATAAGGAAGTGAATGCTGCGGGTGAAGGCATGACTGCTTCCCATGGCTTGTTGATATGAAGGGTCCGTGTCAAGGTGCAGCGGAAACAGCGTCCAAAGCCTCCACTTGTGTGGCTTGCTGCCGGTGACTGATCCTGAGACCCTGTGAAATTTCATAGCCGAAGACCAGCTCATGCAGCCTGTGCGACCCTCCATCACAGCAGGTCGAGCTTACCACCATCCTCAGTCGGTCACTCAACATGCTCCGTCTATCTCGAGGGTGATGCTGATCGTGCAGCTGCTCAATCCAGACCTGAAGATGCATCGCTAGAAGCTTCTTCCTCTGGAATCGCTCCCATGTCCTCTTCCTCCAAGCAACCCAGCATGGATCGTCTGTAGACACGCACGATGTCGAAGCCCTTCGTCGCTCCTTCAGCCCCCTCAGCAATCAGGTATCAAGATCACATAGGCTCCCTCTCACGATCGGACAAGACACCGCAACGCGTCCTCTCCCAATCCACCCGCATCCACGTTCTCCGTGACAAGCTCGACGCCTCAGAAGTCTTACGCCTCGAATTACTCGCCCAGTTGCTCGGGGCACAGCTGACCACCACCCCCGTAGCAGCAAATGTCATCGTCACCGCTCTCAAGGCACCGAAGCGCGTCCTCAAGTGGGTGCCCGATGGCGAAGTCAATGTCGTACCCTACAAAAAGGAAGGGGAAGGGAGAAGGGAGGGTGTCGAGACGAAGCTGGGTGATGGCGTGGGCAGGGATTGGAGACGCTTCGTCGTCACGCCGGAGTGGTTGGAGGAGGTGAAGAGGGTGGGGACGCTGGTCGATCCTGATCTCTTTCCCGCCGTGCGAGTCAAGGAGGACGTTCGGGTTCATGATACTGAACCCAGCGGCGAAGATAGGAAGAGGAAGAGGAGTCCGAGCGACTCTCCCGCCTTACCCATTAGCCGGTCTGGCCCTCTCCCGAAACGAGAACGCCGCTCCTCGTCCACCAACATCGCCTCCAGCACCTCCCCAACCCCAGCACCTGCAGGCTACTACGACCCGATCTACCCCCCACCCCCCTGTCCACCATGGCAAAACACCCGCTTCGCCTGTCGCCGTCCCTCCCCCCTTCGCTCCCCCAACCAATCCCTCATCGACTCGCTCGAGATCATTCGCAACGAGCGCCGCCTTACTGGGGATACCTACTCTGAGATGGCCTACATGCGCGCCATCTCGGCCCTCAAAGCATACCCCTTTCGCATCCCCGATCCTCTCCTCGACGCATCCATCTTTGACGCCACACTGCTCGAGTTGCGCCTTGGAGAGGTGGAGCGGCTCAAGGGTGTGGGGAAGAAAGTCTTCAGTCTCGTCCGACAGTTTTATTCCGCTCGAGAGAGGGGGGAGGGGAGGATTGTCGAGGCGAAAGTGATTCGTCGCGATCGAGCGGTGTATGTGATGAATGCCTTTACGGAGTTGTACGGCATCGGACCGATTGGTGCGCGCGAGGCGTGGAACGGTGGAGCACGGTCCTTCGCAGACGTGCTGCATCGAGGGAAGAGTTTGGCGACTCACTTGAGCGTCAAGGAGAGCGTGCGGATTCTGGACGACCTAAGACAGCCGATTGGGAGGGACGAGTGTCAGCAGATCACACGCGAGATCATGACCCTCGTTAAAAGCTTGCTGGATGGCGTCGAGGTGAAGCACGAGATCTGTGGAGGTTACAGGAGGGGAAAGGAAAGGACGTTCGATCTGGACATTATCATTGGTCATTCCGAACCTCCATCACGAGCACTCCACATGCGGTTGTTGGGAGAGATGAAGAAGAAAGGTTTAGTGACGCACATTGTTAACGTCTCCACTCCCGCTCCGTCCCACCTGGACCCCGATCCGACTGCAACGAGCACAAAGGAGGCGGTTCATATCGATATCGCCAACATCGTCGTCCTCCCCACCACCCCAGCACCGGTGCATCGAAGGGTCGATCTCGTATTTTGTCCACTAAGGGTGTACGGTGCGACAGTGGTCGGCTGGTCCGGCAGCATGACTTTCGAACGGGACCTCAGGCTGTGGGCGAAGAGCAAAGGGTTCAACTTCAGTTTTGATGGGTTGACGGATCTGGCGGAGGAAGCACTGGTGGAGACACGGGAGGAGAAGGACGTGTTCGATCGGTTGGGACTCGAATGGGTGCCTCCCGAGTGGAGGAATTGCGATGCCTGATCTCAGAAATCCTAAGTGTTCATACAGTCAAAGGTGTGGTGAATGCAGTGTCCATTGCGTGTGGGTCTACGAGACCAGGATGAAGACTGTTCGGCGGACACATCAAACAAGGTAAAGGTCAGTGGTCCGCACATCGTCACCAGAAGTTTGGGGGATCGACACTTACGCAGGAAAAACACAATCAGCACACCAAAGATCTTCAACATCAACCAGCGATTGCTGCTGACGCTCGCGTAGTACTTCAACAACTCCCGTTGCGCGCCCCCTACGTTGTCCACCACCTCCATGACGTTATCGTCGATGCGCTGGACCGTCTCGCGCTGTTCGGCCACCATGTGGGCGAGCTGGCTGAAGATCTGGCCGAGTTCCGAGATGGTGGATTCGATGGATTCGATGGCGGTGGAGCGTTGTTGCATGTAGGTGTTCTGGTTGGTCTCCATGAGTTGCATCTGCATGAACTGGTCTCCGCCTGCGGCTCCGCCTGGGCCAGGGAGCGAAGAGCCCATGTCGAGCGCTAGGAAGTCGCCATCCCCATTCGATTTGCCTTTGCCCTTGGGATCGTAGCCGTCCGTCGAGGCAGACTGCTGCATCGCCGGGTTGAGCGGCGACGGTGCCGCACGGTGGGCCATCGCCGACCCACTCCGTGTCGGATTGTACAAGGGAGAATCTGTTGTCGGTTTGCCACGAGAACGAAGCACTGCGATCAGTTGTTTTGCCTCATCAGCATACCGTCCCGTCTCTCTCTCCAACTTGTAGTGTGAGGGATACATACCTGAGTTTTCCCCTGGCGCAAGGCCACCCGCTGCGGAATTGTACATGAATTGCTCGCTGCGGTCCTTCGACGCTTTCATGTTTTGCGTGCGCACCTCGAGGATGTCTTGGAACGAAGTTGTCGCTCCGGCAAGCGTGGATTGGAGGAGGGTGACTACATTGCCGCGGTGCTCCTCAGCTCGGTCCGCCTTGCCCGTCTTGTTGGCCTTGTTGAACGCTTGCAGGTCCGCTAGCTGTTTGTTGATCGCAGCAATGTCGTGCTTGATGATGTAGGTCAATTCGGAGATTTCCACCGGTCGGTCGTCGAATAGCGTCTTGCGGCGGGCCACTGCGATTCGGTCAAGAACAGACATCAGTCAAAGAAAAGATCGAAAGCTGGTCAGTATGCCTATAGTAGCGAGATGACCTCAATGAGGTTCATGATAGACGTACGCTGTGCTAGACGTTGCAGTTTCGCCGTTGTAGAGGCGATATCCTTGCTGATGGCTTGCGCTCTCCGTGCGAACTCTCCTTTCGGCGACGCCCCTGGCCCATTGCCATTCAGCAGCTTCTGTTTTGCCGGCTGAGCGGATCTCGATCCGATGGACTCGATCAGCCCGTGGAACTCGGACGTGCGATCCTTGACCGAATGGCCGTAGTATGAGGTCGGTGTATACGACATGCTGTGCGAAAGAGTGTGGGGTAAGCCTGCCAGCCGTCTTTGCTAGGAGTGGGCGCTGAGCGAGAGGGCCGTTGGCGTGCAGTCGCAGTGGATGGCCGATGTCTTCGCTTTCGTGCGCTTGTGATTGCGGTCCAATGCCTGAGATGCGGGGTCGACGATGATGGTGTTGGGAAACGTGAATGCGTTGCGTCACGGTTGTGTGCCCACGTCGACGCCGAGACCTCACTCCCGATTTCCGCGCATATTTTTGTGGCCGTGCACCTTTCGCTTTGTGGAGGCTTCGCCTCCTTCTTCTCAACAACATACCATCCTGTTCTCCTGGAATGCGAGCGAGATGCATCCAGCGCCTCCCACAGCATCCGGCTCTGAAGATCCACGAGTCTACGTGGACCGTCTCTCCGGCAACTGGCGATACGAGGACGACGAGGGGGACGAGTGGGAATGGCAGCCCTTTCTGCAGCATGCTCGACCTGCAGTAGATTTGGGCGAGACCGAAGATGAGGTCGCTAGCACATCCGCCTCTGCTTCCTCGTCGAGGGCGATACCAAATGCATTGCCGGCTGGTCACTGGGTCAAAGTGCTGGATGACGACCTGATTCGCGCACAGCAAGCAGCCTACTCGATCGAAGGCGTCGACGAAGCACAACCGGCACAAGCCGTGCTTCGGCGTGGCAAGAAACGACCTGCCTCGCCTGACATCACCACAACAATCTCCGCGGGTCCTTCAGCATCAACATCTTCAGTAAAGTTGGATAGGCTACCACCATCGAAGAAGCCAAAACCAATCACGTCGCTCTATGTCACAGGTCTACCCCTCGACGCTACCGTCGACGAGATCGCCCGCGTCTTCTCCCGATACGGCGTGCTGCTCGAGGACGATTCTGGCAATCCGAGGATCAAGATGTACCACGACGACAAAACGGGCATGTTCAAGGGCGAAGCGCTGGTGGTGTACTTCAAGCCGGAAAGTGTGGAGTTGGCGATAAGCATGTTGGACGAGACGAGCATGCGTGCTGCGATAGGGTCGGCGGCTGCGAGTGGGCCTGTGCTGCGCGTTCAACGAGCCGAGTTTCCCACCTCCAGCAACGGTGTCAACCACACTCAGCCGGGACCGGAGAAGGAGAAAGCGAGCAAGTCGAGCGCAGAAACACCGTCGCATGGCCAACGACGCAACCTTTCAGATCAAGATCGCAAGAAGATCGCCAAACGAGTCGCACGGTTGGAAACCAAGCTCTCGGATTGGCGCGACGAATCGCTCTCCCCTACCGACGAGACTGCTCCTTCTACCAGCGCTGCTGTCTCGGCGGGTGAAGGGAGTCGAACCGTGGTGCTCACCAAGATGTTCACGCTATATGAGCTGGATTCCGACCCAACGCTGCTGCTCGATCTCAAACAGGACGTTCGCGAGGAATGCACCGACACCATCGGCGGCGTGACCAACGTCGTGCTGTGGGACAAGGAGCCAGAGGGCATCATGACGGTCAAGTTTCAGAAGCGCGAGCAGGCCGAGGCGTGCGTGAGCATGATGAAGGGGCGCTTCTTTGCACAGAGGCGGATCGATGCGTGGATATCTGAGGGCAAGCCGAGGTTTCGAAGGAGTGGTGGTGGTGGGGACAGCGATGATGAAGATGGGGAGGGCGAAGAGAAGAAGAGGAAAGATGCTTTTGCAAGTTGGTTGGACGACGAGGCGTAGCCCTGCAGCGCTTCCGCACAACCAGCATTCCACAATCGCAACTCGTCACAGAATGGAAATTGCACCTCCTGATGACACATTCTAGATTGGGATGAGCGAGAGAACTATCGAGATTCGTGTGTATAGCATGTAAAGATATGGATGAGATGTGCGAGCTTGTATGAGAAACCATGAAGAGAAGATTGTCCGTTGCGAGTCAAATCATCCGCCTCTCCTTAGCGAGAAGCCATCACCTCGTCCGCATCTAGCTGGCGCTCCAACGCGGCCAGATCCTCGTCTGCCATGGCGTCGTCATCGTTGACGCCCATCCTGCTCATCCCCAAGCTGGCACCTGCCAGACCGAATCCACTTGAGCCTCTCCTACCACCAAAGCTGCCTGCTACGCTGCCCTCGTACGTTCCGCTGTAGCTGAAGCCTCGGAACTTGTCCTGGATGCTCCTGGTGAGCAAGTGGTCGTCATCCTCGTCCCCACCTCGACCCTTGTTGATCGCCACGCCCTTGCCATTGGCATCCTTCTCCGAGAGAATGTCGCCGTTCTCCAGCGCCTGTGCCGCCTCGGTGGAATCGCCCTCGAAGCCAGGAATGACAGCGACGTCCTTGAGATCCGTCTCGGTGAACTCGGGGTCAAAGTTGGCCACGCTCTCGTCCGACTCGACCAGAGGCTTGAATGGCGGCGTGAGCTGCTTCTTGGCGAGCGCTTCGAAGTCGATGTCCTTGAAGAAGGGGTGCTCCTTGAGGTCCTGTGCGTCGCGGGAGGCACCAAGACGGTGGCGCGGGTTGCGATTCAGAAGACCCTTGACAAATTGCTTTCCATCGTCACCGATGGCACCTCGAGGGAACTTGATCTTGCCGAAGCAAATGTTGCGGTACATCTGCTGCGTGTCCTCTGCGTAAAAGGGCGACCAGCCGCAGCACATTTCGAACAGCAAAACACCCAACGACCAGAAATCGACGAGCTTCGAGTAGCCCGATTCGTCGAGCAGCACTTCGGGGGCCAGATACTCGGTGGTACCGCAGAACGTGTTGGTCAGCTGACCAGCGCCCAAGTCGGGCTTGCTGAGACCGAAATCGCACAGCGCGACGTGACCTGTTGCGTCGAGCAAGATGTTCTCAGGCTTAAGATCGCGGTAGACGATGTTGTACTTGTGTAGGTGCTCGAGCGCGAGGACCAGCTCGGCGATGTAGAAGCGCGCTCGCTCCTCTGTGAAGCGACCTTCGCGCTGCAAATGCCAGAAGAGCTCGCCTCCAGACTTGTAGTCGGTGACAAAGTAGAGCTCGGTGGCGCTCTGGAAGGAGAACTTAAGACCGACCAGGAAGGGGCAGTCGAGCGACTTTTCGAGAATCTTGCGTTCGCCCATGGTGTGCGTGACCTCCTTCTTAATGGCGATCTCTCGCTTGGAGAGGACCTTCATTGCATAGATACGCTTGGTGTCCTTCTTGCGCACTTGGAAGACACGACCAAAGGTGCCGCGTCCGATGAGCTTGAGATATTCAAAGTCGTGCGGAGTGAGCTTCTTGTGCGGCGTGCGCTCGTACGAGATTTGAACGCGGATCTCGCCGCGCTGGTTCTCCATGCCTTCCTCGTCATCTCGAGTCGAGAGCGGATACCACTGATCGCTCATCATCTTGTGGACCATACGAGGCTTGATTTCGCGCATGCCGAGGAAGCCCTCGTCCTCCGAGTGACGGTCGTAGACGCTGATGTAGATGGGCTGCGAGTCCTGCGTGACATCGAAGGTGACTTCGTGCTTCCAGACGGGGTTGTGATTCTGACCTGTTCGAAGCGCGTCGGCGGGTGTGACGGTTTTTGCACGACTTCGGCCAGATTCGCCGGCTTCGGATCTGGGCTGTGCCACGCCTTTGGCTTCGGGTCCAGACTCGTCAATGGGCTCGCGACCGATGAACTCGTTCTTGTCGAACTGAACCACAGCATAGGGCCGGGCAGTGGGGCTCCTGACGGCTAGGTTGCGACCAGCGACGATCTTGACGGTGAGATGACCGCGCGGCGCGTTGGTGTTGCGCGTCTGACTCGCGTTCGAGGATGGAGTGGTGCTGCCACTGGTGCTGTGGGCGACGGAGGAGGAGGAGGGGCCGGTCAGGGCAGGAGAGGCTGTGCCGGATGTTGGTGCGCTGCCGTTGTTGATTGGCTGTGCCGGTGCCATGTTGACATCGCCCTTGGGCTTTGGCGGCGGTAGCTTCATGGTAAAGTCTGGGTCGTTGAGCGAGATGGAGGTAGTAGGAATGGCCGACTGGGACATGATGCCGCCTGGGGTTCGCATGCCTGGTGTCACATCACCTGGCAGATGGTTGCTAATGATGGAAGTGTTGAGCGATGAGCGAGAAGATTGCTTTGTCATGGCAGGAGGCTGCATAGCGTCGAAGGGGTTGCGCTCGCCGCCATTGGAGTGCGAGCTGGATGCCTTCGGAGTTGTCTGCGAAGTGGAAATGAAGGGAGGAGGAAAGAGAGTTTGGTGTGTCAGATCGAGTGCAACGACGACGTCCATGACGTCTTGGCTCGAAGGCATACAGCTCCGAAGCAGATGCCTTGAGGATTGCGAGGCAGCGATGGTCGCAACTGAGGTTGAGCGCTTACCTGGTCTGCTGGGCCCGAAGGCCACAAGCCTCGAAGCATGTTTGAAGCCATGATGAAGCGCGCTGAGCTACTGTGGGCAGCAGAGCGAGATTAAGAGAGGCGATGCTGTGGGGGTGAAGGCCAGTGTGTGCTGGCCGAGATTGCCAATTGTCGTCCGATCGGTCTATCGTGACAAAGCAGATCGAGCACAGCCAAAGACGGCAGGAGCGGGACAGACGTGTGCAGGCTGTTCACCGTGTTGCGGTTGACTGAAGCTTCGGTAGCGTTGTATAAGAGCACCTCTTGCTTGCGTTTGAAAGCCGAGCTGAGTTCGTAGGACGTATTCCGTTGTCAGATGGATTTGCTGAACTCGTTTCACTGAGCGAAGACGTGCGTGTTGTTCGCAGTCGTGGTAGCGTGTTGGGTTGGGTAACGCGTGTGTGCGAAGTTGAGTAGCGTAGCACAGCGCGACGACGCTACCCAAAAGCCGATAATTGTTGGCGACTGTGCTGCGCGATGGTGGTGATGGTGGTGGTGGTGACCGGTTTGGCTATGCAGAAAGAGCAAACGATGCGATGCGATGCAGGCTCAGTCTGAATTTGCTGCGCCCAAAGCACAATTGCAAGATGAGCCGGGGCCGTGGAGACGAGCTGTCAAGCCAGTCTCAGCCTTTTTTTGGCTTGGAGCCAGCGAGACAGACGGGCAACAGGCTCAAAAATCAAACAAAAAAGTGTTTGTTTTCCATTTCCCGTACCAAAGCGCTGGCCAGCCTGATTGAGAGCCTACCGCACCATGGCCGCGGTTCAACTCATCCTCAGGCCGACAGATCTCAACAAGTCCATACCAACGGTCTTTGCTTTCCTTCAGCCTGTTTTGACCGTGGCCTGACTGCCAATCGCATTCGGCAGCGTCTGCCAGCCCGAAGGTGCATTGACGTCTTCGGGCTTGACGTTGATCTCGGCTCATTAAGAGCACAATCAGGCATGGCCGTGGTGTGTCACAAGCAAAGCGGCCATGTACCCTGTATGTATGCACGGGCCTTGCTTGCTCTCCCCTTTGCCCGTCAGAGTGCAGCGACAAATATCCCCAGAAAAGAGAAAAGAAAAGAAAAAGAGAAGGAAAAGGAAAAGGATAAAATCGTCGCCCAAAAAGAGCAAAAAAGGAAATTTAACCAGGATGTTAAGATGAGATGGAGGGTGGACCGGATTTTGTGGAATTGAGGGTGCGTGGCTGGTGCGTTGCGCGCTGAAATCATCCGTCTGATTGGCTTTGGCTTCTTCCTTTCACTTCCACCATCCCTTCATCTCGGAACCACTTGTCCAGCAAACGCTCCTTCCATCAAGTGTGCGTCACAGCAAACCTTGTCGCTCCTTTCTTCTCAATTCGGGACCAGGCAAGTCAGTCCACTCCTTTACATTCATACGCCAAGGCACGTCGCGAATTCACAGGGCATCGCCATTGCATCTGCACAGCAAGGAATCACATCTGGCTAAGCGTCCCAACGACAGCATTCAATCAAGTGCCATGGCTGCTCGTACCGTCCCAGGCGCGGGCGCAGCCGACAAGCCAGCACCACGCCGCGTCGTACCCGGCGCTGCTCCTCCTGCCCCTTCCAAGTCTGGCAAAAAGCAAAAGGGTGGTGCCGCAAAGGACACTGCTGCTGCTGTCAAGATTCCCGATGCTACTTCGGCTGCGCTCATCGAGAAGGCTCCCGAAGGCCCAAAGCAGGTTGCAAATGGACTCAAGGTGACCCCTCAAGATCTCGCAGAGCAGGCAGAAGCCCAGGCTGCTGTCGCTGCTGTCGATGCTGTTCAATCTTCGTCCGAGTCTGCCGTCGCCTCTACACCCGCCCAAAAGGTCATCAGCGATCGCATTCACGAGCTGTCCAACAAGAGCAAAAACGCCACCATCACTGTCGCGGTCGACGAGCTCAAGAGTTTGCTTCGCAAAGTCCAAAAAGTAGAGTCCGAGTCCCCTTCCCCCGCACCAAGCGCTTCCACCGACTCGGATAGCAAGAGTCACCTCGTCCTACTGCTCCAGTTCCTTCACCTCTTCAACCTCTTCCATCCCAACCCTGCCGGTCCATCGACGTTTGCCCCTTCCCGCACCATGCCTCCCGCGCTCGAAATGTCGACAGGTCAAGAGGTGGCTGCTCTCGGAAAGGTGTACGACCAGCTTGCCAACGGACCTTTGGAAGGTGGCGGAGGAGACGCTCTCGAGATCCTTGCCAACATCGAAGAGGGCTCCAGCGAGGAGGTTCTCCCGGACGTGACCTTTGCCACGCTCAAATCCATGATCCTCAAGCTCACCGCTCCTCCCTCCGCAGCAAACAAGGAAATCGAGTCGAAGGCCTCGGGTCTCGACGCTCCACCGCAGGACTTTGTGCCCATCGACAAGCAATCCCCGAGTTCAGCACCCGTTTCCTTCATTCAGGCCAGCGAGATCCTCGATCAATCCACAAAGGAGCCCGAAGGAGGTCAGCCTTCGAGTGTGCCCGCTACAGGTGATACCGAGACGAAGAAGGGAAAGCAGGGTGGAGCTGGGATCGTGCTTGGCGACAAAGAAGCCACCTCGAGCAAAGCAGACGGAACGGCTGCCTCGGCTGTCGAGGAGCCCATCAACACGACGGTCAAGAGCTCGAGCGGGCCCACCACAACCGAGCCCAAGCTCAACTGGGCAGCAATGGCTGAAGAGGACGATGACGATCTCGGCGACGCACCCGTGTTTGAGCCTCTCCCTTCCAGCACCACTTCTGCATTGGTCACCCCTGCTCCAGGGACGCCAACCGCCGTAGAGCCCGAGCAGACAGCCGCCCCCGTCCAGCCCGCAACCGCGACTCCCACAGCCAAAGCTGACGACGCACCGCTGTCACCAAAGCCCAAGAAGGGCAAGCAGAACAACGGCACCAAGAGCAACGCCGGCGGTCGCCAAACCAACGGCAACGGTAACGCCAAAGCTGCGGTACCACCACCGACACCCAAGGGACCCAAGGTGGACGAAGACGGCTTCATTCTTCAGGAGAGCAAAAAGACAAAGTACTTGCAACAGAAGCAGCAGCAGCAACAAGGGCAACGAGGCGGTAGCGGTGGTGGACGTGGAAGCGGAAAGGGTGCTGCGAGTGGAGGCCGAGGTGGAAAGCAGCCCAACGCCGGAGGCAACCGAGGGGAGAGGAGAAGCGGTGAACCGAGGTCAGGCACAGCTGCTGCCGCGCCGCAATAGCATCACAGCAACAGCCAATTCAATCGTTCAATCACACACATGCGCCAGGTCGTTGAACAGCCCGGAAATCGTCTGGATTGAGCAATCACTCGCTTGCGGCTACCACTTTTTGGCCTCCATACCGTCAGGAGGATGCGTTCGGACCTCTTCCTTTCCGACCTTGCTCCAGTCCGTCGACAATGTGGTCCCACCGCTTTCCTGGTAACTTTTCATCATCGCTCTTCGAGTATCGGGGTCTGCATCTGCGTAGAGCTTCTGGAAGAACTTGTTGATGTCGGCTTCGTCGCCACCTCCCCCTGCTGCGCCAGCGGGTCCCTTTGCGGTGTCGTCGTCCGCATCAGGATCGAACGAGTCCCATTTGGACTTCGTTCGAGGAGCAGCTGGTTTTGCTGCTTGTGTGGAGATGTTCGTTGGCGCAGCTACCGGGATCGCGCTCTGCTGAGCCGACGCGCCTTTGAGCGAGAGCCAACGCAGACCCGGTTGCGCTTTGTGCAGCACCACGTCGATTTTAGTCGAGAGCACCTTGTAGGATGAGTTTGTCACATCGACCGTAGAGAAGAGCGGTTCGATACGAAGGACGTACTCGGAGCCAGTGATGGACGAGATCGCCTTAACGTAGAGCGAGCTTTCGGCGATGTCAATCTGGAGCGATTCTTGGGAGGCCGCCTTGACAAAGATCGAGAGGGTGAGGACGGTGTCTGTCTGATAGAAGTCGTAGCGAGGCGTTGCTGGTGCGTCCGCGGTGGCGGAAGAGCCGGAAGTGCTTACGTCCGCCATTGTGACCTTTGTTGGCAAAGAAGAATGAAGAAACGGGAGAAGCAGGATGATGATGGTGGTGATGAGGAGCGAAGATGCTGGAAGAATGTTAAAAGTGGAGCTGAGCCAATTTTAAACTTTCACGGCTGCGCAACGCGTTCCGCCAAAGACCAACACCCCGCAAACACGCGCACAGACACCCGACGAAAAGCTTCTCAACGGTCTTCGCTTCTACTACACGCGTCAACTCGCGCGTCCAGACGATGACCCGAGGGTAGCGGATCCGCAATCATCTCTATCTATCGATGAGCGTGGCACAATCAAGTCGCTCGCGGAACGCCGTAGCCGAGGCACGCAGCGAAGCGTCCGGCGCGGGTGCGGCCTCACCATGGACCGATAGCAAGGCTGCCAACCATGTCGTGCCCGAGGACGACTCGACTACGACATTTGGTCTTGTACGCTTCGAATGGGAATTGCTCACGCTCAGCACCGCAATCAAGCTGCTCCTATTCCCAACGTACCACTCAACCGACTTTGAGGTGCATCGCAACTGGCTCGCCATCACTCGAACCCTGCCAATCCGAGACTGGTACTTCGAAGCCACTTCGCAATGGACGCTCGACTACCCACCTTTCTTCGCCTACTTTTCTTGGCTCCTCGCACAACCGGCACCGCTCATTGATCCTTTGATCGTGAGCTTACACGAAGGGCTCGAATACGCTGCCTGGTCATGTAAGGCGTACATGCGAGCCACGGTCGTCGTCACGGAGCTGGTCCTCGCAGCAGCGCTGATTGCTCACGCACGGCTTGGCGCGCAACGAACGACGAAGACCGGATACGCTGACGAAGGCTTCACGGCAGGAGCGTCCACCTCACAGCTGCTGGCAGCGAGCCTGCTAATGCATCCTGGTCTGATCATCATTGATCACATCCACTTTCAGTACAATGGCTTTCTCTTTGGCGTCCTAGCTTGGTCCTTGTGGGCTGCTCGAGAAGACAAGCCACTATGGTGTGCGTTCCTGTTCAGCTCGCTGCTCAACCTCAAGCATATCTACGTCTATGTAGCACCGCCCTTCCTGGTCTTCCTCCTCCGGTCATACGTGTTCCCAGTTGGTAGCCGTGCCAGCGACCTGGGCCGCAGCTTCGAGCGGCTCATGACAGTGGGCGTGGTGACGCTGATCCCCTTCTGCTTTAGTCTCGCTCCACTTGCGATCGACGGCTTGCGACACGAGGCAGGCTCCGTCGGCGTACTATCGCAGATGGTGCAGAGGCTCTTCCCGTTCAGCCGCGGCTTGATTCACGCGTACTGGGCACCGAACGTCTGGGCGCTGTGGACGTTGGCCGATCGCATCCTCGTCAAGCTGCTGCCGAGAGTTCCTGTCCTCCGAACACTCCTCCCTCCTAGCTTCCTAGCACGCTACGACGCCGCTGCCATCTCTGGTTTCGCCTCAGCATCGCGTGGACTAGTGGAAAACATCTCGTTCGGAGTGCTCCCCGAGATTAGGCCTTCAATGTGCTTTCTGCTCACGCTGACTTGCATGTCCGTGTACATGGTCAAACTATGGCAGACACCGACCTACCGTTCCTTCCTAGCATCGGTGAGCCTTTGCGGGTTTGCATCGTTCCTGTTCGGCTGGCACGTGCACGAGAAGGCGATTATGCTGCCGCTCATCCCCTACACTTTCCTCGCAGCGGTGGACTTTGCCAACTATCGAACATTCGTCCTGCTCAGCACAGCGGGGATCGTGTCGCTCTTTCCGCTCCTATTCACGCCGCAAGAAGGGCCGATCAAGATTGGATATTCGATCGTGTGGGCCATGTTGGTGTTCGGCACGCTCCAGAAGCGCGTGTTCAGACCGGTGCAGTCCAATTTGGGGATTTTGGTCCATCAGCTCGAGACGCTGTACCTATGGGGATTCGTGGGATTGCAAGTGTATGTGTCGATCGTACATCCGATGGTCTTTGCGCAGAAGTTCGGTTTGACCGTGGCAATGCACGCGGTTGAGGCTTCCGATACGAGCTCGAATTCAACCGCGGCACTCAAAGGCGTCTCGAAGATCTCGGCTGACGTCCCATCCGAGGCGGCATCGGCCACGCCGGCAGCGTCAGCAAGCGTCGTCGATACCATCTCGGCCAGCCTCTTTGCGGCTGGAGCAACGTCAACGATCGGCACTCCGACGGCATCGGCCGCTGGAGAGAGCACATTAGACCCGGCCGAGGCCGCGGTCACTGTCAGCTCTGCCGAGTTCGAGGCGCCTCAACCGGCAGCAACCCATTCTGCCGACCTGCTGTCTGTTACAGCGACTGCTACAGCCGAGCAGGATGCGTTTTCAATAAATCAAGCGAAGACGAGAGAGCCAGTGCTCGAGTCAGGGTCTGACTCTACGGCACCCTCCTCATCGATGGAGTTCCTGCCGCTGATGATGGTGAGCGTGTACTGCAGCATCGGCGTCATCTGGGCATGGCTTCGTGCTTCGGCTTTGTACCTCTTCACCGAGTCCTGATTCGCACGTAGAATGCTCCGAATACAAGCATCACACCTTGGAGTCAAAGGGCCTTGTGATGTATCGACGATCTGTGACGATGTTTTCGAGGTCCGTGGAGCTCAAACACGTTTTACGGCTCAACCCTTTCAGAAGGAAAGGCCAACCAGCGCCCGGGCCACTCTTCCGGCTCTCAAGAAACCCAAGCTGGGCATCTCGGCAACTTCCGTGATTGCCTTTTTATTTTTTTGGAAGAAAGGTGCTGAGCTGAAAGCCTGCATTTTTCGAATATCAAATTTATTGCACGATTTCGCTCACTTATCGCAAATCAGTGAGCAAATCGCACAGCTCAGTCCGATCTTTTTTTGATGGTGGGTCTGCACCGCTATGCAACCCTCAAGCAGCGCCAAAGATGATCTTGCGTCGTATCACATCGGTGCAGCATCCGTTCTGAGCAAGTCACAAGGGCGGAGCGTGGCTGATGTCATGTGGAAGGATCTACGCCCCGTTTCAGATTTCACACACACGTTTTGGCCTTAGCTGTGAGAAGCTCTTGAGGCGGAGCGGAACCCTGAGTGAGATTGTGACTGAGGCGCGCAATCAGACGGATTTCCAAGGTCGAGGCAAGTCCGGCCCGCAACGGAGCAAGCCCTGATTATCCTTGCTCCTTCCACCTTGTACCTTCCGTTCCCTCCCACCTTGTGATCCCCTCCCTTCATCTCACTCGATACCCTTTCATCCTCCTCGAACGAGGACCTGCGTTCAGAAGCAAACGCCTGCATCGTTGCCGTCGCATCCTTTCCTTTCTTCGTTGCCTGACCCGCTTGTCGACTCGTCGAGGTCCCACCCGTAACGGACAGCTCATCGCACACCCTTGGACCAGCACCGCTCTCTCTTTAGCCAAGCGAAGGCAATCCGCGACAAGCAAGTCACAGCGCTTTCTGTCGTCTCCTTTCGCCAACCTCCTGTGTCAGTGCGATTGGCAGGCCCACTTCTGTCCCTCTACCGGATCATCTCGCAAGACTACGATTCGTACGTCTTTCGTCTCGCATACTGGTGCACGATCGCGGAGAGGCTCTCGGTCGCTGTGCGCCATCACATCAAGACTACCGCTACAGCATCAAGCCAGTTTCGTAGCTGCTTCGTCTAGATGTCTACGCTTTTCTCTCCCTAGATACAACGTCTCACCTTTGCTCGCCTCGAGTACACGGCATGGCAGATAATCGAGCACCGCCTCTCATACAGCATCGCTCTCCGTCTTTCTCCCCCGCTCCTTCCAGTCTCACAGGTCCAAGCCACCCATCCTTGCGTTCTCCGATCCAGCGCAGCGCTAGCAGCAGTGTCAACAGTGCCCACCCTGACCTCTCAACTGTCGCAAATACCACCCCACCAAGACTAGGAGGCTCTACGCTATCGTTTGCACACGCTCTCTCGAAAACTGCCTCTATCGTCCCAAATCCGGCTGGCTCCTTTACTACCACAGCCAACCCATTCACACCTCGACGCTCATCCACCGCCTTTCCGTCTGTTGCTGGAATGTCGACAGTTGAACCGCCTACCTGGTCTGACGCTTCTTCGACCACCAATACGGCCAGCCCATCAAGCCTCTGGAACGGCAGACCACCACCCACCATGGATGGCGACGCTGTCACTACCGCCTCGGCTTCGAACGTCACCACGCCTGGCCGTGGTCCGAGCGCGCTGGACGGCAAGGATGTCTCTGCAAACGCACCCATCTTCACTCCTTCGCCTCTACTCCCACAGGATGGCTCCGCTTGGTCCATGGCAAAACCTGTCTCTCTGACGTGGGCAAACGACCTCTCCGCCCGACCGCCTCCTACTGAGCTCATTTCAGAACCAGCCACGACGAGTCCGAGTGCCACCAGACGTACCCCAGCCAAAGACTCGACGGGACCGTCATCATCGCCATCTTCGTCCCTCAAGAAGGCAGCAGCGGGCGCAACTCAAAATCCGTCATCTGCAGCACCACCGAGCAGCAAGAAGGGGCCAGCAGCGCCCGTGCCAAAACGCGCTCCGATCCGCTCCACCACCTTGGATCCCCGTCATCTCGCTGCAAAGAGGCGGTCAAGTACCGATGACGATAACGACGGCGCGGAGGTATCGGGCCAGCCTGCAGGTGTTGATGACGAAGAACTGATCGACGAATTGAGCTCGCTCACCATCGCCACGGACGACGTCGCAGGCTCCAGCACTATCCCTCAACACCAAGGCTATAGTTCGCCGCCCGCATTCATGCACACGGGCCATCACGCCCATCGTCCCTCTGGCTCTTTCCCACCAGCGCTCTTCAGCCCTGGCGAAGCATTCATGCACCCCGCGCCCTACCTTCCCGGCAGCGGGACTCGATCGCCCGATGGCTACACACACGGCTACCCAGGCATGCACCCGGGCATGCCGCCTATCGACATGTCTGGCTACGAATCCTACCGCACTACGCCAGACCCCTACGCACCCACCATGCCAGGACGCGCCATCTTTGCATCGCCGGGCTCGCAGGGCTCCACTCCGCAGAGTCCATCCTTTGGGCCTGCACCCCTCGGACCACACTTCAACCCTTCGATGCGCAATGGAGAAGCACTCTTCTACCCAGGAATCGTCCCAGGCTTCGGACCGCCTCCAGCAATGGCTGGAGGTATCGGATCTTCCGTCCGACCCGGCATGCCGCCAGGTCCTGGGCCATATGGCTTCGCAGCAGGTCCTGGCGTCGAGGCGCACTCGTCGCAGCTGGCCCAATCGCCAATGATTGCGCCTGGCATGCCCATGCCGATCGGCGGTGTCATGCTGCCGCCCACATCGCCATCCATGAATGCTCCGCAGATGTCGCCGAGCGGATCTGATGGTCGAAGCTCGCGTAGCCTCTCGCAGTCATCGCCCTACGCGCCACACCGACGAATGGGCTCCACAGGCGCGGAGTCCTTTGGCCCAGGGATGATGTCGCCGCGTCCTCCTCCCTTTGGTATGACCAGCCAAGCAGGACCGTTTGTGCCCGGTCAACCTCCCATACACGGCATGATGGGCGCTGGTCCACCAATGATGCCCTGGAACGGACGCTTCCACGACCACCGCCGTGTGCCGACAGGGCCCGGTGGGGTCATGGCGCCCGTCGGCGGCTACGGAATGGGAATGCCAGGGGGACCGATGGACATGCACTACGCCCGCAACGGTCCCGGCTTCTACGGCAGCGGAGGACCCTTTCCTCCTCACAACAATGGCGGTCCCGGGCTAGGCAGCAGCAGCAACAACGGCACTTCGAACCACTCCCGCAGTCCTCTGCTGGAAGAGTTCCGCAGCCGTCACACCAAGAACCGCAAGTTCGAACTGCCCGACATCTACGGCAGCGTCGTCGAGTTTTCTTCCGACCAGCACGGTAGTCGATTCATCCAGGAGAAGCTCGACAGCGCGTCGACGGAAGAAAAGCAAGCACTCTTCGACGAGGTCCTTCCGCACGCACGACAGCTCATGTCCGACGTGTTTGGCAACTATGTGATCCAGAAGATGCTCGAGCATGGCACGGAAGCGCAGCAGGAACTTCTGGCGTCGGAAATGTCGGGTCACATCCTGACGCTCTCTCTCGGCACATATGGGTGTCGCGTCGTCCAAAAGGCCTTCGACCACATCAGCGCCACGCAACGCGAGACACTTGCGCAGGAACTCGAGGGTCACATCATGCATTGTGTTCGGGATCAGAACGCCAACCACGTGGTGCAGAAGATCATCGAGCGCGTCTCGCCCTCTGCGATCGCCTTCATCCCCACCTCCTTTGTGGGTCACGTACCGGCGCTTGCATCACACTGCTACAGCTGTCGGGTGTTGCAGCGGGTGTTCGAACACAGCAGTCCGGCACAATCGCGACCGCTGCTAGACGAGCTGCTGGCGCAGGCCGTGACGCTGATGCAACACCAGTACGGCAACTACGTGGTGCAGTGGGTGCTGCAGCATGGCGCGGAGGAGGACCGGCTGGCGGTGGTCAACGGCATCAAGGGCAAAGTCTGGCTGTTGAGTCGGCATAAGTTTGCGAGTAACGTGATTGAGGAGGTGGTGCGGACGGCGACGAGGGCGGATTTGGGCGTGTTGCTCGAGGAGATCCTCACGCCATCTGCTGCTGAGGAAAGTCAAGGAGCCGGAGGAGGCAGTCAAGGTGTTGCACCAGCGGTATTGATGATGCGCGACCAGTACGCCAATTATGTGCTGCAGCGGTTCATCCAGCAGGCTGACAAGGAGCAACGTCAGCGTCTCGTCGAGGTGATCCAACCGAGTTTGGCAACTGCCAGGAGAGTAGGCGGTGGTGGCGTGCCAGGCCAAGGCGCAAGCAAGCACCTCATCGCAATCGAGAGGCTCATCGACAGCCTGCCCGAGGCAGAGGCGTAGTTGTTCGCAATAGAGATTTTTATGATTTCGAGATCCATTGAGGGTGTGTGCGGAGCTGGGCCCCCGGCTGCGGTGACGATGTGCTGGGGAAGCTCGGCGACGTGCATGAGTATTCTCGTGTCAGCCAAAGGTCGTATCTGGTTGCCGTCTGCCTCTTGTACCCGAGCATGTGACCCGGATGTACACAGTCTTTCAGTCAGCTCGATCGAAAGACAGATCGCGCGATCGGGCACAACGGCCTTGTATGATGGTACAAAGATGCATTGCGGTCGGCTTGGCCATCGTCGTCAATCCCAATCCAGCTCGTCGTCCAACTCCTCCTGTGTCTTTTGCCTCCCCGAATCCCTAATACTTCTCTGTCTCGATCCACCATCCTCCTCTTCCTCCTCGTCGCCTTCCTCGATCGTATCCGGCTTCTGCGATCCGGCATGTGTCGGTGCACCTGGCACCTGTGACCTCTGAATGGCCCCTACTGCTGTCAAGAGCAGCTCAATATCCTCGCACTTGGTCTTCATGCCATCCAATCCGATCTCGGGTCTCAACCCTACGATCTGGCGATGCAGCTCGCCGTTCCTATAAATGAGCAGTGTGGGTAGGTTTCGATCTGGGTAGTTGGGAATGCACTGGTCTCCGACGATGCTGACGAATTTGGTTGCGGGGTATTTGGCTGCGAGCGTATCGAGGAAGCTGGCGAGGAGACGACATGTGTCAATCCCATTCTTGTACAGGAAGCAAACGACGCCGGTGCCGCCTGTGCGCTGCTTATCCGCCCATTCCCCGCTTTCGTTTGTGGTGGAGTCCGGATCTGCATCGGGATCCACCTTGCTCGCCTCGGTCACCTCGCGCGTGTAGTCCGGCCTGCTGATGGGATAGACTCGGCCAAAACGCGCTTTCTTGGTCTCGGCGCGCAACTGCGACATGCGCTGCCGACGGATCTTTTCCAACAGCTTTTCCTCTTCATCGTCCAGCGCGGTTTCGAGCTCGAGATCCAAATCGTCGACAGTGGCCTGTTTGAGCGATTGCGATCGCAGCTCGGATGCGGAGGGCAGCTCGGGTGAGGGAGAGCGCGATGGTGGTTTGGGCGGGATGATGCCATGCGCCCGAAGGGCGTCGTGGAACTCGGTGTCCTGCGTGGGGTCTACTTCGGCTTGCATTGTGGCTAAGTTGATGTGACCGTGTAGGCGCGATGCTGCTCGTGATGGCCGTTGGGGAACTTGGCGGACGATGAGGAATCGGAGGGAGGTTTGAAAGGGCACCGCCAAAGTGTTGTTCTTCTCGGATCTTCGAAAGCGGTGCAGCACCAAAGCCGAAATCCGAACCGACATAGGCCTAACACGGACCAACAAATGACGACACAGCGCATTTTTTGGCAGAGGGGGCCAACGTGCAGCGTGGCGCGTGTGTTGTTTCTGCAAAACTCAGGGTCCAAGCCAAAAAGAGCAACAACACACGCACGCTCTGCTCTCGAGGCGTGCCAAACCTTGTTGCTCTCTCTTAGGCCGCCCCGCGCTTGACCCCTTTTTTGAAACAGCGAAAGGCAGTTCGCAGAGGTGTTGCTCTCCGTGCTGCAAAAGACATACAACCCCCACCTGTCGGCCATCCCCGTCCGTTCTTGTTCACATCACTCGTCCTTCTCACATACAATCGGAATTCATCCGAGGAAGCGGTCACCGAGTCAGCGTAGACAGCTTCGACTACACTGTCATCACAGCTTCGACTTAGCATCGGCACTTCCAGCTCGACTTCCCACGCCACATTCATTCACCGAGTCAGCCTCACGGCAACACTCCGACCTGATGCCAGCGCCCAGCTTTTGACGACCAAGACGAGGTGGCCTCTCTACAACGAGCCGACGGGCAATAGATCAGCATGGTAGCATTATACAGATCAGCCAAGCCGGCTGCCACCACTGTTGCACCACCAACAGCCGCACCATCAAAGACTCAGCCTTCCTCCAAAGCGAAATCAGATCCTCACCCTCCCTCCCAAGGTCCCAGCTCTGCTGCCAATTTGACGCAGCAATCACTACACGTGCTCCATCAGTTCCTGGCCTATGCGGATCCAGAGTCTGCCAACCTACTTCCGCTGACCCACGATGACGCTTCATCGTCAATACCCATCGGCCACGACCATCTCGAGCCAGAGATCCCTATACCCGAATGGAACATCCTCTACACCACCACGTCTCCTCCCCTTATACCCGGCGGATTCGCATCTTCGATCACTGTCCGTTCGCATCCCGACCCGAATCGCTACCTCTTCAGCGTCCAGTCTACTTTGCCAGGCGTCACTGCAAGACAGTTCTGGACGTTGATGGCAAGTGCAGAGAACAGGAAGCTGTGGGACAACACTGTCGAAGAGGGCGCCGTCAAGCGATGGCTCTCCACCGAGACCTCCTCGGCTGACCCATCTGCCGATACGGCTCGAGCTGTAGCAGCACGCGTTGAGCTTCTTCGGTTCGGAGGCATCTTCATGGTCGCCAAAGCCAGAGACATGGTCCTCCTCAGCGTCGACGCCCGTCTGCCTTCTCAGCCTTCCTCATCGTGCTCGATAGCGGATTGCGCGCATCATCAAGGTCCGCTCAGACTTGTGTCAACCTCGCAAAGCACCATCGACCCAAGTCTACCCCCTCGAAAGGGCTACACGCGCTTTGAGCTCAAAACAGGCGGCTTCATGGCCGAGGATCTCGGCGATGACGGCGTGCCCGATGCCTTCCGAGCCGCGACCCTGCGAGCTCAGGCTTCTGAGCTCAGCAAGAGCCCTTCGTCCATATCCTCGGCGAAAGGCTCACACTTTCGTAAAGGCTTGCTAGCTCTTGGCCGCCGAGGAAGGACCAACTCTTCCGGCGGCTCTGGCAGCAACATCGCGCCTCCTGTCTGCAAGTCTGTACGAGATCCTCGAGGCTCAGCCGTATGCATCACGCAGGTCTCGGATCTGGGCGAGATGGCGGCCTGGGTCCCGGCTTCGGTGATCAAAATGGTCGCCTCAACCCTGGTGCCGAGGAGTATCGCATCGGTCGCCAAAGTCGCAAAGACCATGCCTGTCTCGCCAGCTCTGTACCGCGACTTCGACCCCAGCTCGTCGAATGACGACAGCATACTGGCAGAGAGCCTTGGCCAAGCAGGAGGCACGTGGTACAAGCACAGAACGCTGCCCGCCATGATTGGACAAGGTGTTCTTCGAAAGGCCGCCTCGTTGGCAGACACCAGGCAGACCCCGGAGGCTGTCAAGGAGCCTTCCACGCCGGAGCAGGTTCCAGCCACGCGCTTGTCGGATGTTCCCGAGCTTCTTGTCACGCCCAAGAAGCGCAAATCCGTGTTAGTCGAGAGCCGCGTTGTTCCACAATGTGCAACACCGCAGGCTTCCCCCAGCAAGACGCTAGCTGAACAGAATGCGAAACCCGTCCTTGCCCCAGCACAAGCACCACCACAGCCAAAGAGCCCGCTACCGCCACGCACCTCGTCCCTTCCCGGAACGCCAGTCATCGACCGCACTGCTATCTCCTCCGCTGGCTCGCCCAACAAGCCCACGTCGCCGCGTAGCCCACTCGCTCGACCTGCGATGCTCCTGGATCTGCAGAGCCTGGCCCCGCCTTCCTTCGACCCGAAAGGCATGTGCAAGTCGGGCGGGAGCGCGTCACCGGCTTCACCAGGCATGTTCACCTCGGCTGACTCGGATATGGGCGACGACCTCATGTCAGCTCCGGCGTCTTCGTTGACTTCTTCGGCTCATCTGTCCCCGACGCGGATGAAGAAGCGATTCATGGCAGTCACTCCGTCGGACGGCACTGAGACCGTTCCAGGATCTGTCGCCAGCAACATCGAAGAAGCTGGTGGTGGGGACTACCTGTCCAAGGGCAGTTCCAACCAGCCTGTCTACGGCCTGGCAGCTTTGCAGTACAAGAGGGCTACTCTGAATCTCGCGCCTGGCGAGCAACGGGAGGTGCTCCAAGAAGCGGATGACGAGGATGCAGGCGACGTGACGACGCGTCCGTTCATCCCCACCTCGCCGTCCGCGGCAGCACTGACGATGAGTCCGGCAGAGAAGCGGTCTCGGCTGCTGTCGAACGAGTACTTTGCGGCTCACGTCGACGGCGGCCGACGCACGCATCAGCGAAGCGACAGCTCTTCAGCCGCCAGCGGGAGCGAGCGATACGTCGCGAAGCATGGCGGGGTCGGACAAAACGGTAATCTGCGAGCGGCGCCCGAGCTCGATCGAAAGATGCAGCGTCTCTCCTCTGCCCTGCACGCCGAGATGGAGCGCAGGCAGCATTCGCAGACCGGCTTCTCACCACGGTCCTTCCAGTCGAACCAGGCTTTGCCCAGCATCGAGGTGGAGCAGGAAGCGCCGCTCCCCTCGCACGCAACCTCGGATCTGGTGGCATTGTTGGCAGATGCGCTGTCTGAGTCGATGCCGTTCATTGCGGACGACGAGGTGCAGGTGAAAGAACAGGCGCGAAGGGTCAGTGCCATGCTGCTGGCGGGCTCAGATGCGCTCGCGCTAAGTCTGGCTCCTGGTGCACGAGACAGCTTGGGATTGCAATTGGACGGCTTGAGCACTCCTTCGGAGATGTCCGAGCCTCCGACCCCTCGATCGTCCGGAGGATTCGACAACGTCGACGAGCAGATGGCCACCGCTCAAGACAAAGGCAAGGCGAAAGAGATGCGGTCCAAGTATCCCGACAGCCTTTCTGCTCGACCTGTCAAGTCTGCAGGAGCGCCACAAGGCTACCGTCGCAGCCGCAAGGTCTCCGTCAATTCGATCGGGCGATCCATCTCTGTGTCCGCCCCACGCGCTGACGTCGTGGCAAACACCGAAAGTGTCATTTCTTCTCGTGGGGCAGCAGCAAGAAGGGGCCTCACCGCTAGCACTGACGACGGTGCGGCGGAGCCAACATCAATAACGTCCTCGGGCTTCACCAACCCAACCAATTCCAACGTCAGCTCGCAAGTGCTCAACAGCACCGCTGACACCTCCGTCGCCGCGTCCACCGCTTCTCTCGCCGCTGGTCGGAACTCCACCATCTCCACGACCAAAGCCGTCGAGACGCTGCGCGAGCTCGACCGCACCTCTCGTCGAACGCCTCGCCCGGTCAAGCGGAACCTGATCACCAGCGCCCCCGTCGACCGGGACAGCGGGTACGGCGCACGCCTTCTCTCCGGTCTGGCATACTACAGCGGCTACTCGTGGTACTACCCCACTCCCAACGCTATCGCTTCCGAAGGAAGCGTGACGATCTCGGGTGGGGGTTTGAACCGACCAGTATCGACCCGATCGCGCATACCATCACAACACTCGATCGGACGTCGCAAGACGCGCGCGAACTACAAGTTGGAGAACAATGCGAAACTTCACCCCTTCCCGGGCAGTTTGGGGAAGAGAGGTGGTGGGATGATGGTTCGTGCTGAACCGCGCGCCAGCGAGGCTGGGGAGAGGGGATTGCCGCCGCCGATCACGGGGTTTGGCGTGGGCAGGATGCGCAGGTATCCGTCGGGCGACGAGCGAGGGAGGGCGGGCAAGATGCTCGGGGAAGGGTCGAGGACGAGTCCGGTAGAAGAGAGGGGGGTGGAGGAGGACGATAGTTGGGAGGATGACGGTTGCGCCGCGGCAGCTGGTTCTGTGCAGATGGCGAGCGCAGGTGTTCGCACCTAGAAGTCGCGCTACGGAGAGAAACTGGACTGCGGCGGTCCTATGTAACGCACGCACTGACGATCCCTGTAATGACCATGCCACGCATGACCTTGGACCAAATTCAACGCACAGACACGTGTAGTTCGCTCGGAACGGCGAATTCGTCGGCCGCCGGTGGGGCGCTTAAAAAAAAAAGTCTCAACCAAACTCCTGGCTCACCTTCCTCCACCTTCCGAACTTTATCTTCCTTTCTTCGCAGCAAGCACCACAGCTACTTACCACCTCATCCTCGCCACTTGGACGATAATGACGACGCCGGAGATCCACCACGCTCCCTCGGAGCGGGGGACGATCGAGCTGATCGGCCCTTCGCACTGCACCTTTACGCGAAGTATCGCTCTTGCTCTGCACGAGCTTGGCATTCCGTACATTGCGATCCATCGCGCGCCTCACTCTGCCGACGTCCGGTCGCTCAACCCGTACGGCCTGACGCCCGTCCTTCGCCATCGACAGGAAGGACTGTATGCGTCACCGGAAACGACCGTCGTCCTATCCGCATCGCACGCGGTTCGACGATACATCGACGAGCACCTCGCGCCCCTCTGCTCGCGCTCCACCTTGACGCCTCCATTGCGGGTCGGCGACGCAAAGAGTGTGGTCGAAAGAAGCAAGTGCGACGCCTGGATCGAATCCATCTCTCACACGCTCTTCCCGGCCATCGAAGCAGGGTATGTCGGTTCCGCGCTCCAGATGAGGAAAAACGGCGCCGATGGGGAGACGATCAATGTCGCTCTCGAGCTCGAGCTGAACCGCGTGCAGGCGTTGTTGGAGATCGTAGAATCGCAGGCGAAAGCTGCTGGTGAGGGAGCATGGGTCATGGGCGGCAACGAGATCACTTGGGCAGACCTCTTCCTCTTTCCCATCTTGGACGATCTCAGAGCCAGCCCGGCAGGAGGGCTCCTGAGCGGGAACAGTCCCACCTTCCCCTGGCTAGCAGCGTGGATGAGCAGGATGGATAGCAGACCAAGTGTTAAGGCTACACACGAAGGGACTGTTGCTCATCATGCTCAATAAAAAAGCGTAGATTGCGAGATATGCTTGAACTGATGCTGACGGGAACAAGATGCTTGTGGGAGATGCGGTGGTCTATTTGGTTGATTGGGTCTTTGTCTGAGCGTCGTCTTGTGAGGACGCAGATGTGGATGATGTGCCCGACGAGGAAATGTCTGGCGTTGTGGCAGAGGAATCGGTCGTCTTTTGGGTCGACTCGACCTGCTGCTGTTCCTCCCTGTCGTAATCAGGTTCGTCATCGAGCGGGGAGTAGCCCATCTTGCCCGCTCTTCTAGCTTGTGCATTGACCGCCTTGACTGCGCCTTCCGCCGGCTGCCACTCGAGCTCGGCAAATCGAGGATATAGCAGCTGAGTCGTAATATCGCCCCAGCGCTGCAGTTGGTCGACGCTGTAGCTACCAGTGCCATTCCGCTCCAGATCGTATCGGTTGAGCAGCTCCACCATGAGCTTGCGCATGAAATCGACAAACACCACATCCACCACCTCGTCGTCCGATTCTGGCAGCGGATCCGGATTTGATGCGACATATTCCGGCTGATTGGGGTTGAATGGCACCGGAGAATGCACCGTGTCGTCTCCAGGGCCAGCACACTGGTCGATGGTGCGATAGCCTAGCGAGGGCTTGTCGAGCGAGTCGTACTTGTGGAAGAACTTGAGCAGCTCCTCGTCCTCTTCCGCCTCTAGCTCTTCTATGCTCTTGATCGTTGCGTTGGTGGCATTGCTTGCACCGTCTGCCGCAGCCGCAGCCCTTTGTCGATCTGCCTGCTCCGCCTGCAAGAATTTGAACCACTGCGACTTTTGCCATCGCACAAAGATGTCGTCCATGAAACCGCTCCCGTACCGCAACAGCGCATCGCCGCCCGAGTACTGGGTTGTGCCCTGTAGAAGCTCGACCATGGCCCCCTTCTTGAAGGTGATCAGTCCGTTGAGAAGTTGCTTGGCTAACCCCCATGGTACATCAGCCATGTAGAGGAAGTTGTCCTTGAATGGCGAGACGATGTATTGGTCGTTGCGGTTGAAGGGCCCCGAGTAGACGTCGAAGCGTTGCGAGCCGCTGTTGATGAGCACCAGACTTTTCTTGTCCTTCCGAGACTTTTCGGACGGTCGCACTACCTTTGGCAACACTTGATCAGCCAGAAGGCTGAGCAGGCTCGAGTTGTCGCCATACGGTACGCGGTCGAGATAGTAATCTTGCGGCACAACACCGTGCAGCCGCGAGAGATTCCATGCTTCCGAGATGGCGTCCATGATGAATCGGATGAAGCTGCCCTTCTTGGTGGCCAGCTCGCGTGTGCTCGTCAGCTTCAAGTGATGAGCAAAGTTTCTTGGGTTTGAGTCGATGTAGCGCCGAGTAAACTTGACTTTGCCGCGGTTGCCGGCGCGCTTGCGCTTCTGCAGGTCCTTGAGACCCATAAAGCCGATCGTCTCCATGTAACGACCACTCTCGAGAGCCATGGTCTGACCGTCCATCATTCTACAGTCGCGGACGTGAGTGTGGCCGCCAAGGATGGCTATAGGCGTGTCGGGGAAGCGTGCCCGGATCTTGCTTCGCACTGCCTCCCAGCCCGGATCGCCCGAGACCGGCATGTGACCCAAGATAACGAAGGCGTCTACACCCCACTTGTCGGCTCGATCCAGGCTGTGATTGAACCAGTCTTCTTCTACCATATCCTGAGGTGATTGCACAGAAATGCCTTTTGCTGCAAGCTTGAAGTCGAAGAGGATGCCGTACGACATGATCTTGAGGCCTTGCACCGGCGTGACTAGCGTGTTGAAGAGCGAGCCGATGGGGGCATAGCTGGCATCCGGCGCATCAGGACCAGGCAGCGCAATCTTGACATTACTTGTCATGTATCTGCCGCCCCATTGCGGCACAAAGTTCTGATAGACGTCTTTCGCGACCGTGTAATTGTAGAGCTCGTGATTGCCGATGGTGAGGAGATCGTAATCGACCATGGCAAAGATCTGATTGCTGACATGACCATCGACGGCTTCTTTTCCTCCCGGCTCGTCTTTGTTGTATGGTGGGAAGCCATCGGCGATCCCGTTGCCGTCGTGCAGGTCCCCGGTGTCGATGAGCAAGAGATCTCGGCCTTCTGACCGAGCTTTGGTCCTCATCTTGGAGGCAAACGATGCCCAGTCGCCCCAATCGCCCGAGTAGGATGGCTCTGGTGGCGACAGCTTTCGATGCCCTTGAAACCAGCCATGTATGTCGGTGCTATGCAAGATGTTGAGATCGCCCCATTCGAGGTCGCGCAGCTTATCGTCGGACCTAGGCATACGCCCTCGCTCCCTGCTCCATCTCGAGAAGCCTTCGACCTCTGCTCGATAAGTGGCAAGCGAGTCTGCATCTGAGTCAACATGGCTGTTGAAGATAAGCTGGCTCGATAACGGTTCTGCTGGAAAGCTGGCAAAGGCGGTTGATGCAGCGATCAGCCCGAACAAGGCTGCATGAAGGAGCTTGGATCCTCGACCCTTCGATCGTCCTGACCGCGCCTCTTTACCGGTGACTTTGTATGCGTCCATCGTAACAGCCGGCCCGTAGAGCGCGTCCGAGCCGTCGTGTGTAGGCCTTAGAAGGTGGAGTGCGGACGCTATCAGGGTGAAGCCACCACTGCCTTGGCAATAACTCAGGCTTTCATGGTCGGCGATAGAATGTAGGCGCGTTGTCGTCGTCGGAAGATGTACTTAAAGCGCGAATCTCGCTGACCGAGAACGGCCGCGTGTAGAAGGTCGACAACGATAGGCGATGGATGAGGTGAAGATCCAAAGGAAGGAAGATCGAGATGTGCGTTGGTGACGTTTCAAGGGTCTCAAAAAAGGGCTGAGCAGCTGCTGCCCTGAATTTCATTTAGCGCATTGATGAGGTGGAGTGGGCGTCAGGGCGCTCTGCATGTCTCATGCTCGACCTTCGAGCTCGATCTCATTGCAGCAAAGCTCCTCGAGTGACAAGCAACATTGTCCCTTGCGTGCAACATAGGCAGTCACAAAGATCGAGAAACCCAGCTGCTGAAAGCAGTCCAGGCTTGCACCATCAGGACGCGGCTTGCTTCAAGGAGAAGGGAGAAGGGAGAATGACGGGGGCGTCAAGGTATATCGGTTGCTGTGATATGCGCCGAGTCGTGACTACGCTTCAACTACATTCGATCGCAAGATCTGCGGAAGTGATTGCGATACTACGTAGAGGCGGCAACGGAGGAGCCTGAAGCTGAAGAGGATGCGTTCGTCTTGCCCTTGTCCTTGTTGAGCTTCTTTTTCTTCTTCATCATGGCCGATGCTACCGCTGAGCGCACGTTCTCGACGATCTCACGGCTCTGTTCGATGTACTGCGAGTCTTCGATGCGCTCCTTCCTCTTGGTCCCAGCAGCAGCAGATGCGCCATTGCCGTTCGCACTTCTTCGCTGAGTTGCTGTGTCAGCTTGGGCCAGACTGCCGATGCCGCGGCTTGGACCCGCTTCGGGACTTGCGCTCCCCTCGTCAAAATCTTCCCCTGCATCCGCCATCCTCTCAGCAGCTTCGGCAAGGTCCTTCTCGTTACGAGGTGCTCGTCCGAGCATCCTTTCCAGCTTTGCGTACTTCTTCTTCTGCGCCTCGTCCATCTGACGCTTTCGCTCCGACTCTCCCTCCAGATACTCGGTCAACTTCTTAGCCTCCTTAACAACGCCCAGTCGACGTCCGTTGAGATCACGGCAGGAATCGTTGTTCGTGTTGCGCGCCCCTGCCGACATCTTGCCTCCTTGCGAACGAAGCATCGATCCGAATCCACCCTTGCCACCCGGCAACAGCGCCCGAAGTTGCAGCATAACCGGATGCCCATCATCATTGGAAGTGAGATCGGCCAAAGTGGAGAAGTGACCCAGTCTACGCCCGTTGTGAATCAGGGAGAAGCTCGTGGTCGATTGGCTTGACAGCACCTGGCCGAACCCTCCGACTACATCTGCGGCGGTGGCCGATTCCGGCAGCGAAAGGCAAAGGTGCCTTGGAAAGGGCTCGAATGACTCGACGAGTACCGGAACCATGGCAAGCAGAGTGGATGTTGGGGCCCGAGAGATTTGTCGCTGTCGAAAGTCGTAGACTGCTGATGACGCCGTTGTGTGAGGTTGCTGGATGGTGGTGGTGGTGTTGGTGGTGGTAACGAAGCTACGCGAAACCTGAAATTTGGCTGAGTCTTGACGAAATTTCAGCTGAGCCCGTTGCCAAAGCCGATGCAGGGTCTAATCAACACCAGACGACCTCTTCGTGCTCGCCCTTCAGGACTCTCGCACAAGCAGATCTCTCATCAAGAAGCACATCGACGTGGCGGTCAAGACTGGATCCGAGTTGTTGCGCTGGATCATGGCAAGCGCCATGCCTCGATGAAGATGCATCATGACCAACTCGCATGGATACGTCCTCGAGTATCCTCGCATTCGAGTTGACCATTTCGACCAGGCACCTATCCCGCTGCCCGCTTCGCTTCTTGCACATCGCCGCACGATCGCAAAGAGGCCTTCCAGTGCAAGGCAGGAGGTCGAAGCTTTGTCCTTCGTCCCGGATCAGACCCACTTCGACAAGCCTCTGCTCTATCTGCTCACGCATATTCATACCGACCATCTCAAAGGACTGGATAGACCCGGCATCACAGCTCCAATCTACTGCAGTGCCGCCACCAAACAGCTCCTACTCAAGTACGAACGTCAAAAGACACGCATAGAAAAGGATCGCGATGGAACGACCACCAAGCATATCGGAGTCGTGCGACCGTACGCTCATCTCCGCGTCACCGATGGCCATGCTACCGCTAGATCAAAGCTGTCCGGCTACCAGTCGACCAGCCTCGACTTACTTCATCCTCTGCCGTACAACGTGCCCACGAAGGTGCAATATACCCCGACATCCACTGTCACCTTGACACTGATTGAAAGCAATCACATGTTCGGCGGCACGATGTTTCTCATTCAAGGCTCGCAGGGTGCGGTGCTGCATACAGGCGATATGCGGGCAGAGGAATGGTGGTGCGAAGCTCTTACAAGGAACCCGTTCCTCTCACCTTATCTGTGCTGGAGCAAGCACAACGCTGCTTCAGAAGCAATCGACGACGCTCAATCTGAAAGCTGGGCAGATCACATCGAATCGCTCGGCAGCACCACCTCCTCTTCGTTGCCGATTGACGAAGCCTCTTCGCAGTCGCAGATCGAGTCGCAGACCCTAGGCAGTCCACAGCAGAACGGCGGTGAGCATCTCAATCCGGTGCTCTCTACCCCTTTAACAAAGAGGAAGGGACCCCACCAGTCTCAGCTGCGTCTTCGCAATATCTACCTCGACACCGAGCTGCTCATGTGCAACCAAAAAGTACCCAGCAAACAGCAAGCCTGCCTCGACATGGTCGCGCTCATGCGCATGTATCCACCCTCCACCGTCTTCTTTCTCAATTGCTGGACCTGGGGCTACGAAGACATGCTCATCGTCACGGCCAAAGCTTTCGGCTGCAAGATCCACGTCGACCGCTTCAAGTACATCATGTACAAGGCTGCCCGCTCCGAAGCGCCCTTTCTCGCCGACATTGTCACGCAAGATGGCAGCAAGACCCGCTTTCACGCTTGCGAGAAGAGGAATGTCTGTTCTGCCGTCCAAAGCCTTGCATCTCGCTACTCGGCGAATGTGGACCCTGCGCTAGCCAAGGAGGCGCTGGCCGCACATTCGCAGATGGACAGTAGCAGTCCTGACGCACGTCAGAGATGGGGTCCGCCGCGATCGCAGCCGGATCCTCTGCTTGTCTACATCAATCCTGGCCAGATTGCTGCAGATCGATGGCCGGCCATGTTGCAAGACACAAAACAGCGCCTCGAGGCCGCACAGAGGCATGAGACCGCCTGGCCAGAAGCGCTTGTCGTGCCCATCGAACGACACTCGACCTTGCCCGAATTGCAGATGTTCGTCGGCCTCTTTAAACCGCGTACCGTATCGCCCAACACCATCCTCGATCCCAAAGGCGGTCTCGATTACTACCTGCTTCATCACCTATTTGGTCACGTCCTCGCTGCCCCTGACGACCGCCAGAAGCTTGTCGACGAAGGGCTGCTCATGCTTGGCAACAAGACTTGGAGCTTCTACGAGACGCAACTGGCCAGAGCGCGTGAGCAGGCCCAGGCGAGACGCAACGCGGGCGCAGCTGACTCGACCGAAGCCGTCCGAGCTGGAAGTGCGAGTTTGAACGTCAATGCGGAGAGTGTAGGCGAAAGCATCGATGCATGGCAACTCGAACGCCTGTCCAAGCTGCATGGTATCAGCTTCAAAGGTCTGATGATGCAAAAGATGGCCGGCAACCTGGCTGCCATGCTCGAAATCGAACGCTGGCGACGCGCAGCAGGGATCGACGAGCCGCCAGAAGGGCTGGACAACGTGATCGAAGATTCCTTGGGCGACACGCAGAGTAAGACGGATGTCAGCGTGTCCAGTGTCGACTACGATGCGGACCACAGTCAGTTTGCAGACACTCAAATTTTGCCATCAAGAGTCACCTCGCGCAACGGAAGCAGCAAGCTGCACACAGATGAAGTCGCGGAAGCATCTTCTGCGCTGAATGACCATCCGGCTGCACCTGATGGCACATCGCATGCACAATCACCAGCCCCACGTCAACTTCCGCAGATCATCTCGCCCGCACAAAGCCTTCCCTCTGTGGTTCTGCAGGACTCGCAACCGGGCGAAGACGACGAATCCCCCACTCCGCTCACCGAAGACCTCGCCAGCCGCTACCTCAACGTGCTCATCCACCACTTCAACGTCTCGTTCCACCGCACGGACGAGTCGTACGTGGACATGTGGAAGACCGTCCGCCGTACGATGGCGGGGGACGCGCAAAAGGTCGAGGAGCACTGGTTCAGAGAGACAGGTGATCTGCCGCCGTTGTGGAGCTCGCAGGTCGTCGACACTGCCGCTGGCCAACAGGAGTCGGACGACAAAGCAAGCCTTATGGGTGAGATTCTTTCGTCGTTCATCGATATGCTCTCACCTGCTCCGCCAGAGGAGGGGTTCGAGGTCGTACCCGTCTCCGCATCGCAAGACCGGACAGTGGCGCTGCAGCTCATTCTACGACACCTTGCAAGGCTTGGGCTGCACGATCCCGTGATGGCCGAGTCGTCCATCGGCGTGCATTCCGACGGTCAAAGCCATGCGAGCTGCGCGGGTGATGCGTTCTCCGCCGAATGGAGGGCGCTTTCTACACCGCTAACCACTCTGACGAGACACCTTGCGGCCGAGCTACGCTGCGATAACGCCGAGGACGCAGAGCGTGCGCTGTTGAGCCTTCAACTCGCAGGTGTGCTCTTCAGCAACCGACCGCTCAACCGCGCCATCGACACGTCAGCCATTCAGCATCTCCTCGAATCGATCATCAACATCGTCGGGTCTGCCCCTCGGGACCTGTCGTCTCTGAACAAAGCCCACAAACAGCGCATCGCACTCTCATGCGCCGTTCTCCGAGCCGAAGAGCTGGACGAACCCATCCTTGCGCCCTTCGAACAGCGCCTGCTCACCCTCGTCCAAGATTCCTCTGGTCCGCTGATGCGACGCGAGAGCCTGTTGGATTCCCAAACCGCCCAGTCTGGCCCATCCCACGTTGCCACAACGCACGGACACTCACAAGTCGATCAGGAGGCGGAAGAAACGTCATCCCGACCACCGGCGCCCTCATCGCCACGACAGCTGGAGGCGACACACGCCGAGACGACCGATTCGATCCTCGCCAGCGTCACGGAGCACGATACGATTGAATCCTCCACCTCTGCCGTTGTTGGGACGGATCCCGTGGTCGAGGCGTCGCAAGCATCGTCTGCGACGCAGGAGGAGGATTCGACGCAGAGCGAGGTCGAGTCGCTGCCGCTTGTGCGGGGAGGGAGGAGGGAGATGGGTCGGACAATCTCCCTGCCTGCCTTTGCCGGTGGGAGTCGCACGCGCAAAAGAGTGTTCGAAGGGGAGGCACACTCTCGGAGTAGACGCAAACATGCTTAGAAATTGAATAAGATAGAAGAGTATTACAAGATGGATCGGCACATGGGGCAAGTGCTAGCGCCGCTGGTCGAGACCCATTTGAAGAGGCAACCTGCGTGGAACTTGTTTCTGCACGTCTTGCAGGGTTTGGTCGGCAGGCTCCTGTCCATCGGTGAGATGATCGAGTAGCAGATGGCGCATTCCTCGAGGCCTTGGAATTGGACTTCTGCGTTGCGCTTGAACAGGCTGAGGGCGTCGAAGATCAGACCATTTTGGCCGGTGATGAGCTGCTGTACGGCGAGGAGCCAGGAACGCCATTTGGCCTCGGTGATTCCGACGCGCTGGATGTCGCGGATCTCGACACCGTGGAGCGGGAAGTCGGAGGGGATCTTGACACCAATCTCCATCGGGTGCTCGTCCACCGTGTAGGTGGCAATGACTTCGTTGATCGAAAGGATCTTGATCGACAGCGCCTCGTCCTGCAGTTTTGAGAGGGCTTCGGGTTCGCGCAAGTGCGAGAGCTCGCGGTTGGCGATGATAGGCGAGAGGTGACGCGTCGTGAAGCTGGCGATCTGCATCGACGTCTGGCGGTCCTTGATGTCGACCCACCAGCTGCGGACGGTGGTGGGCATGTGAATTAGCGCACGCAGGTAGACATGCGCCGCGAGCACTTGCAACACCGTCAGCGACGACTCGGCGTCGATCTGATCCAGGAATACTTCCTCCAGCACGAACCGGCTCGGATCGAACGGTCGTCGTGTCTCGTCTGCTAGCCCAACCAGCGCAAACACGGTAGGCAAGAGCGACTCGACCAACAGATTGCGCTTCTCGATCTCGGCCAGGAACGCTGACTTGACGGACAACGAAGCGCCTTCAAAATGCTCAAACACTGCAATCCAGGACAGGAAGTACCCGAATGCCGTGCGACGAGCAACCGAGTCATCGACGAGCAAGTCCAGTTGACCGCTGAGACTGTCGCTGATGTTCGCCACCAATGCTTCAGGCAACTTGAGCTTCTTCTGTCCCTCTTCGGTAGCGAGCGCCTCTCGATCTACCGCAGACTCCACCACCAGCTCCTTGACGTGTTCCCTGATCGCTCCGCTCAGCAGACGATAGCTGATGACCTGCACCTCGTGACTCGGGCTCTGCACCAGCAGCTTGCATAGCGGACCCGCAGTCGCCTGCAGCTTGAACGGCGTGTCCGATGTCTCGCGGATAAGCTCGACGATCAGATCGATGCACGCCTGCTTCGGCGCCGAGATCGACTGCAGCTCGGGCAGGGACAAGAATTGGTCCCGAACCAGGTCAACAGATGTCACGCTTCGATCCTTCCAGTAGTCGTGCAGATTGGCGTTGCGCGAAGCCAGATCCCGCATCGTGTCGAGCAAACGCAAGTTCTGATAGAGCTGCGCAACCGTCGCCTCGTTTTGCAGCGAGCACAGCTCGAGGTTCATCTCGAAAGTGTCAAAGATAAAGTCGATGTGACTGCCTTGCACGTCTTGCACGACGGGGAGGAGATGGATGAAGAGCTCGGCAAGACGCGTCGAGGTCTCCTCGTCGGAATCTTGAGCTGCTTCGTCGCTCGCGTACCACTTCTGCAGATCTCTGAGCAGGAAGATCGCTCGTTGCTGCGGGATGATGGGGAGGTCCGAGTCGACAGGTGGAGCCAAGGCAACGACGGTGCGGAGCGAGCGAAGGAGGCGATCTTCAGGTGTCCCGGGCCCCAGACCCGACAACTTTGCTGCAGCTCCATTGCGGAGACGGTCATAAGTGGGAGACGAGCCGGCGATTGGCTTCGCTGCGTGGAAGATCGCAGCCGACATGGCTGGCATGCGGTCCTGCATCGCATCGCCCAGCTTGAGCCAGCGGTCTGCTCCTGCTTCGGTAATGGTGCCGAAGCTGAAGACACCGTTGAGCAGTCGATGGAAGATGCGGGCCAGATAGCTGCTTGGTGAATCGAGCCCCGATGCCATCTGCCACACGGTTGACAGCACGTGGCCGATGCCGTCCTGCTCGACGTTGATCGTGGTCGATCGCTGAAGGGCCATGACCATGTCGTTGTGCCAATTCTCCGTGACCGTGTCGCTCAGAGACGAGATCAGCGCTGTGAGGACGGTGACGGAGGACTGCAGCCAGGCGCGATGAGCCTCTGGCTGCACTGATGAGTCCAGCGCGTGCTTCGAGGCGCCTGGCAGCAGCAAGTCGTCTTCGATGAGGATCGAGAGAAGAATCACGAAGGGCAGCAAGTGTGCGTGCCGTTTCGCGACGGTGCGGTCGCGGTCCACCACCAAGAGTGCAGCGGCACAAACACGTGCAAAGATGCCCAGGCCTTGTCCGTCGACAAGCGAGCCAGACTTATTCGAAGTCGATTCTGAACTAGAATGCTGTGGAACCAGAGGATCGAAGATGAGCAGGGATGGATGCGTGTCCTGACGACAAGCCTTGAGCAGCATCTCGTGAAGTTCTTGACGTTCCGGCAGCAGTGTAACGCTAGCTTCGGTGGCGTTCACCAGGGCAGGAACAGGGACGTGAATATCCAGCAGGTGGTCCTGCATTCCAAGGTTTTCTTCCGCTTCGATTCGCTCTCTTTCGTCATCTGGGCAATCTTCCAAGATGTGAAAGTAGAGCGACCCAGCGTATTCCGAAAGTTCGGACTCCTGCGCTCGTCTGACCCAGTCGTGCGGTGTGGCGTGAGGCGCGTCGATGCCCGTGTAAAGAGACACGAGCTCGGAGATGGCCGTCATGACACCTTTGTACGACGGGCTGGTGAGTAAGTTTCTGGCAGTCTCCCTAGGGTCCTGCGTCTCAACCCAAGCGTCTAGGCACAGAAGCAAGTCTCCCAGGACGAGCGCTGCTCTGAGCTGGCCATGCTGTCGGGCCTCGCTGGCACCTGCCCTCTCCAGAACCGCGTTTCTGAGCTGCTCGATCGTGGAGCAGATGATGGACAGCATGGACTTGATGGTTGCGTCCTCGACGTAAGAGCCTGGCTTTGTGAGGATCTTCTCGACGATCTTGCGAGTGCGGACACGGAGACTAGTCTCCAGTTCGGCGCTGTCGCAAAGACTTGTGACCAGCCCGGTTGCAAGCTCGTCCATCCCTGAATCCGATGCTGGTCGTGGCAACGGAGATGATTTGCCGTCGGTGGAAGCGACAGCCTTGGCGACGGCTTCTGACGCCACAAACAGCTCGGTCAATGCGTCGACTCGATCCGTTAGCTCATCAAGCGCAGCGACGGACGATAATGTGTCGGTCCAGATGGACGCGCGCGCATTCTCATCTGAGCAAAGAGGTAGGTAAGCCGCGAGCAGAGAGGCTGCGGAAGTCGGTGCTACACATTTTGTGCCCATGAGCTGCGGCAGCGACGTACCGGTGGCTTTGGCGAGCTCTTGAGTGACGGACACCTCCAGTGCTTCTGGAATGCTGACCGCAGATCTCAGCAGACGGCACAGGGAATCGGACAGCAGGGTCGCTTGGGTCTGTTTCACCTCCGTCGCCAGGCTAGTGTTTGCAGCGACGTTGACCAGGCCAGAAGCAGCAAGCTTGATGACTTTGCCGAGACTGGACGCCGAGACCTGCCGCAGTCCAGCGCTTCCAGATTGGCTTTGAGTCGGAGCCAGGGCAGCATAGAAAGAAGCTGCTCGCTCGAGAGCGGCCAACGCCTGATTTCGTGTGTCTGCGTCGAGCACCTTATCGACGCTTGGCATGGCTTCGCTTACCGCCACGAGATCTGCTTCCGTTTCAGCGAGGAAGGGAGCGAGTACCTGAGTGTTCTGAGCTGAAGAAGCAACACGCCTCACTTGAACAGCAAGGTCCGAGACGACGCGAGTGGGACCGATGTTCTTGATTCGCTGAGCTCTTGCTGTCGCGTCTCCGTCTCCATTGTCATCACCAGAGCTGATTCCAAGGGAGGACAACAGGCTTGGTTTTGGCAGGACGAGCTCTGACCATGCCGCACCGAAGTGGACACGCAGAAGCTCGCTTGCAGAGTTCGCGCTGTCCTTTCCTGGGCTTGACGCGGCGCGCACCATGCGCAGAGCCAAGAAGGTGACGCATTCCGTAAAAGAGGCGAAGAAAGCCCGACAGGCGGTCGGATCAAAGTCCAAAGGACGGCTGTACAAGGCCGAAAAGAAGTCGGTGAGGAGATCTGAAGCAGCGTCCAAGTCGTCATGTGCCAGGATCTCCGATGGGATGGTCGAGATAAAGACGACGACGGCTGAATAGCCCAGCTGCGGTGCACCACCGCAAGCTGACTGCAGCCACTGCACAAAAGAGGTGTATGCGGGAGGCTTTGGTCGGGAGACGGATGTTGTAGCACTTGCGTGGTTGTCGCCGTGGTTCGATCCGTTTTCAGAGGCTTCATGGTCCTCATCATACTCGTCGCTGTCCTCGTCATCATCATCTTCGTCGTCGCTGTCGTCGTCGTCGTCGCTGCTGTCAGGGTCGCCCTTCTTCTCTTTGTGAGGCGTGTCTTTGCTTTGGCCTGAGCCAACAAGCCACAACTCAGGTCGTTTCCTGAGCAACGGCAAGATGGCGTCTAGGGTCGATCTCTGGACAGCGTTGTCCCGCTCGGCCCATACGGACGTCATTGCGACAGTTCCAATCGTCTGAATATGTCGGTCGAGGACGTCCGGTGCCACATCGAAGAGCGAGCGCAAGAGGGTCCAAGCTCGCAGTCGGACAGCTGGCGAATCAAATCCGAAAGAGGTCACCGCGGCGGCAGTTTCCGCCCGCGTCTTGGAAGATGCGGCCAGATTGTGTGGAGACAAAGAGGCCCACAACAGTCTCGACGACAGCATCTCTTCCAGGCTTGCCATCACTTCGGCACCTGGCTGCTGGCGGAGGACGGAAGTCAGTACGGCAAGGGCGCCCGCGACAAGACGCTTGTCTAGCGCTGCGGTGTCCTCCTCGACGTTGCTCTCGTCTCGATTCTTAGCATCGCGTTCGACACTTCCTGCCTGTACTTGAGGCGTCGCATAGCCGGACGAGGCCCGCGACATGGTCGGGTCACCTGAGGCAATAGCGTGGGCAGCCGTCATAGAAAGCGCGAAGGACGGGGAGGGCGACAAGAGGATGGTGCGGAGGTGGGCAACGAGAGTGTCGCAGTGTTCATTGAGATCCAGCTTGGTGACCTTGTCTGTTTCTGTGAACGTGTCTGTGCCCTCGTTGCTCTTCCATGCACAAGCCTCGGTCCACGCGGACCTGCCAAGGCGCTCGATGGTGCGGTCCGTGTCGTGACACAAGATGGCCCATGGGCCAAGGAACGGCTCGATGTACTGAGGGGATTCAAGCAGCTCATCCCTTGTCGGAGAAGTCCTATCTAGGAGCAGTGTCTGAATCTGAACCGTCAAAAGACGAAGGCGTCGTGTGGGAGACAGGGCCAATCGAGGAAAGAGATGGACCCAGCTGGGCAGCATCATCACTAGGGCGTTCTTCTTCTCCTCCGAGCTCAACTGAGAAGCATCGGCATCCGCCTCGTTCACCGTTGATGACGGTGTCTTGTCCAATGCATCTTCGACCCATGCCAACAGACCTTCCAATGCACGACATCGTGTGATGACATCCTTTTTTGAGGCCTTGCGCAGGAGGACGACGAGATCGGCAGGGAGCAGAGAAGCGAGGCCCATGGAGTCGAGCGGATCGGGCAGCGGCTGTGGAGGCTTGGGTGGTGGGATGTACTGCTTCTTCTTGTCGGCTTTGCCCTTCTTGCCGCCCTTGCCATCCTTTTTGGACTTGTCTTTCTTTTGTCCGCGCTGAGGCCCACGTTGCGCTTGCCTCGCCAACGCTTCGGCGAGCTCCGGGTGGAGTAGTTTGCCCTCATCGTCGACTTCGTACGCCGCCTTTTTAGCGGCTTTGTTGGCCTGCTTCTTGCGCGTGGCCGACGAAGCCGAAGACTTTCCTTTGGGGGCCCCCTTCGGCATGGCGTAGTCGAGTGCCTGTGAGGATTAGCAATAGGGTCGTTCGACTTGCCTGGTCATGTAGGCGGCGCCTGCTGGAGGGATCGAAGCAGTGGTGCCTTGGTGTGAAGTAGCGTCTCGATTGAGCCACTCTGTTTGATAAGGATGAAGAGAGAGAATAGAAAGAGTGCTGCTGATCGAAGGCTGGTTGATGTTGGAAGAGTTGCTTCTGACCTTTCTTCCAAGATTTCCGTTTGGTGCGCTGTGACGTCTCTCTGAGAAGGCGGCTGCGTGCGTGTGTGTGATTCGAGCTGGAGAGGTGGAGGCTTTTCCCTCAAAATTCACCGTGCGCAGCTGCGAAGAAGAAAAAGCTGAGCTCACGCGAGCAGACTGAACGCGATCTACCCGATGAGCCAAAGCTGAGCTGCTCCCCGATGAAGGGTCTTGAGTTCAAAATCAACGCAGGACGGGACAACTCAGCTGCAACCTCATCGCTCTAAGATCTTTCCCTTCCTGACTCCATCACACCATATCGCACTCTCGTCTGGAGTGCACTAGGACCGGGGAAGACTTGCACTGCGCTTGTAGACACCGTCGTGTGCCCTCTGCGCGCATCTACAATGTCCTCGATCGCAGCGGGCGTGACCGAGATTGCGTCTGGCTCTCAAGCTGAGACGTCCTCGGCTGCCCAGACCGCGGCTATCGATGATGGACCGCGCAGAGGTTCGCGAACACGGAAGCAGACATCCAGAGCAGCCGGTCTGGACTTAACCGAAGCTTCGCTGACATCGCAGGATGCTCAGCAAGCCGTCGCGCGCTCGGGCCGAAAACGTAAGGCGGATGGCATCGACGCCGACGAGGAGCAGGAGATCGAGGCGGAGGTCGAGGAAGTCTTCGAGACCGGATTGAATGACGATGAAGACGACGGTGCCGCAGATGAGAAGCAGTATTGTATCTGTCGCGGTAAAGATGATGGAACCTTTATGATCTCGTGCGAGCGTTGTCAAGATTGGTTAGTACTGATGATGCTCATGAGACCCCTTCTTTCCTTTGGAACAAGTGAGCTGACGTGTTTGGCACTCCAACGTCGCTGTTGTGTTACGTTTCTCCTCAATGCAGGTTCCACACAAAGTGCCTCGGCATCACACAGAAAGCCGCCAAGAAGCTCGACGAATACGTCTGCGATGCCTGCACCAGCAAGACAGCCAAGTCGACCAAGAGTAAGTTCTCGCATCCTCAAGAGGCTTGTCCCAGGGGTCGCGTCATCCTTTTGAATGCTTCGTTGGCTTCAAACAAGCTGCAACCGCTCCTGGTGACACGCTGTACTGATTCGTTAACTTTGCATCTTTCAGCAGCCGCATCCAAGCCAACGAAAAGGTACAAGTCTTCGAGAGGACGCCAAGCATCACGAACGACCAAAGCAGGATCAGGCGACTCATCGCCCGAGCGCGATGAAGAGAAAGATCAAGACTCTGAAGATCACGACGCCTCTGACGATGACGAATATGTTGGTGAACGAGATGGCGATGCGTCTGATCACGAAGATGCAACTATGCAAGAGGACAGTGTCCCAGAACCGTCAGCCAAATCTCAGCGACCTAGGCAAATTCGAGCAAGCTCATCGTCCCTGAAATTTCAAGGCAAGACCGAAGAGGGATCGAGTGGTCGAGCGTCCGAAAGCCTCCGACGACCGAGCGCGTCCAGCAAAGCCGATACGATCTCCAAGAAAAGCGTGGCCCGCAAGCCCACTGGTCCTACAGATGCGAGCACTGAAGAAGCAAGATCAAGAGCCCGCAAGGTTCTTGCGACTGCTCTTGAGAAGATCTTCAGCGGTGCCACTGCGACCCCCGCCGCGACCAAAGAGAAGGCAAAGGCAGCTGATCAAGGCGAAGAGACAAGCGAGCAACGTGCTGAGAACTTCGCTGCGCTTCTAGAGGGAGAGCTCTTCGAAGTGAATGCCGATACGCATGGCTCGCTACGCGTGGTTGGCACAAAGTACAAAGACCGCTTCCGCACTTTTCTGTTTAGTCTCAAGGATGCCAAGAATACCACGCTGCATTCTAGGATTGCATCGGGCCAACTCAAAGCTTCTGAGCTGGCAAAGATGTCCAACGAAGAGCTGGCCAACGACACCATCCGTCAGGCCACTGAGAAGGCACGACTGGAGGCGCTGCAGAGAAGCACCTTGCGGTCAGAGGAGGCTGGTCCCCTGCGCAAAATCACGCACAAAGGCGAGATTGAGATCGACAACGATGCCCTCGTTGCTCGAGATCAGCCTGGCAAGTTCGAAAGGCGCTCGGACGCAAGGAGGGAGACGGAGAAGCCACCTGCGGCGAGGGTCACCGAAAGCGAGCCGGCGATTTCTGCAACTGCCAGGATCGAGGATGACGACAACGAGGAGTCGGGCGCAGGTTCGCCGAAGGATGATGTTTCGCGTCGTTCAGCGCCTGCGCCTGGTCCCTCTCAGCAATCACCAACTCGGGTCGACTTTGGTGGTGTCTGGACGCAGAGCGAACACGCCGACGCGACCGAAGAGGACGGAGAGCCTCACGATCTCGGCTTCGGTGCCGCCTCGCCAGATGGCGATCGCTACGATCAGACTATGGCAGAAGGCGCACCTCAGGACACCACCGGCGGTGCTGACGACTTTATCGACTCCTTCCTCGATGGTCCGGACGAAGAGACTGGCAACCAAATAGGCGACGTCGACCAAGCAACAGCTAAACAAGGCGCGGAAAGGTCCACGACACCTTCCGCAGAGCCTCCCAGCAACGCAGTGCATCGGTACCGCAGCGTCATTTGGAATGGCCTCATCGACCTTCCGGACGTATTCGCATTCCAAGGCCACGTCAAACAGGTGGCTGGCCGAAGCTTGACGCCTGCACCTAGAGTTTGGTCCAAATTCTTCCCCGAGAGACCGCTCTTCGTTGCTGGTCGATTGCCCACTAAAGCGGCGATCGACTATCTCCTTCAAGTGGCCAATGCGGCAAGAACCGAGATCCTTGCCTTCGCCATGGAGCCAGGTGCAAGCAAGGACGCCGTAGCAACTCCGCAAGATTCCGACTTGGCCAGCTTCAGCGGCATGCTCAGACATTTCAGGGATGCGGATCGATGGGGAGCATTGCATGTCTCTTCTAGTGTCAAGGGCAGCCTCATCAAGGACTTCTACGTCGTTCCGCTGCTCAAGGACGATGAAGTGCCGCTGTGGCTTGACATGGCTGAATCGGACTGCCTCGGTGCAGACTGGCATACCAAGCGTGACCGTGACCTGCTGGTGCTTGTAGCTGTGGTGATCCGTGATGCGCTTCAGTCTGAACTGTCAAAGGCAGAAAAACCCTCAAGTCGCCAGCGCAGCGCGACCAACGATGGCAAGAGGCAGAGACAGGATTCCAATGCAGCTGCTGCTCGGCCTGCGCCAGACGAGGGCTACAATCCATCAGCCGCGTCAACCATCCCCTTCGGCGCCTCAGCTGCTCCCAACAACGTTGCTCCCTCTGCTTCCGCCATTGGCTCTGATGCTCTGCAATCGCTTCTCCGCACGCTAGGCAAGTCGGCCGCTCCCTCTTCGGCAGCCAACGTAGCCCCCGCGATCTCAGGTGCATTGAGTCCATTGGGTGCAGCACGTCCAGGACCGCCGCCGCCTGGTCCGCCTCCCGGACCGCCTCCTGGCCCTCCCCCTGGGCCTCCTCCTGTCTTGTCAGGACGACCGGCTCCCGCCAATGCTTCACCTATGACTGGATCATGGTCGCCATACCCTCCTGTCGGGGCTGGTGGCGGAGCCACGCCACCACAACCTTGGCAACAGCAGCCGCCCTATCCCGCTCACCCTCCCAGCTATGCAGGTGCCCCTGGTCCAGTTGTGTACGGACCTGGCACTGGATACGACTACGGAGCGGGGTGGCAAGGAGGTCGCGATGCTGGTGCATACATGCCACCTGCAGCAAATGCGACGCCGCCGCAGCCGCAAGAGATGCCAGAAGAAGAATATCCAGGGCAGTACAATCCTGACTTTATGGCACAGGCCAGCTCTGGTGCTCTGCGAGGCGGCGGTAGTTTCGGAGGACGAGGGCGAGGTCAAGGCCATGGACATGGTTACGGCTCAGACCGAGGGAGAGGTGGATGGGGTCAAGGCGGTGGCTGGTGATCACTCCCAATACAACTCTGTACCACGATCACCAGCAGACTTAGATATCCTTCTTCGCGCCATCGAACCACTCCATGAACTCCCACATGTTGGTGTGTTGTGAGTCGAGCTCAACTTGAGCGCATCTTGAGCCCGCGTTCGCGACTGAATCGAAGAAATCGACCAAGCGCTTCATTAGGCACGGATGGTGATGCTGCCCTGTCAGTTGGAAAACAGCGAACGCAAACAATGAAAAGGACTCAGACACACGGCATTCACAACCACCTTGGTCTCAATCAAAGTTCTAATTCATAAATCAAGAAATTGCAGTGATCTTTGGCTGAGCAAGAAAGAAGAACAAAGATCGGAAGAGAGAGGATGCAGAGCTGCTGGAATTCCACCTTTTCAAAAAATTGTCCGGAGCCTCGCCAGCAGCCAGTCGAAAATCAATCTGAGCCGGTGCCGCTGTGAGTGAGTCTGGAAGGAAATCGGGACTCAGGCTTGGACAAGGCGACCTCTCTCACATCTGACGACCGTCTCCACTTTTTTCTTCCAGCGTCGCACCATCACCTATCATCTGGCGTCGGACTCACACCTCTTCCCGAGCCGTCCTCTTCCTCCCACCTCACCTTCCTTTGCTCTCCTTGAAGGCACGATCGGTCAATTCTTGCGCCTTCGCCCTTTCCGTTTCAGCTTGACCCAATTCGAGGACCCTACGCTGTTGGATCGATAGCACAGCATCTCTACAACTACCGTCACAATGGCCTCCCCACTCGCTCCCCCACAGACCACCGCCTACCCAGCGGGAGTTCAGGCACCTCCTCCTTCGGGAGCAGAGCGTGTCGGTCCCGGCGCACCTTCGCCCTTTGTCGACGAGAAGCGTGCGGCCTACCCTTCCGGTCTCACCCCTCCCATCTCGTCGCATCCCTCGACCTCCATGTTTGGCTTCTTCCAGCCCATCGTCGCGCCCATCACCAACGCACTCAACCACATCCAAGACATCCGCACGCATCTAGAGCTCACCAACCCCGGCACCGTCGAGCACCTCCAGCGCGAAGTCAAGGGCGTACACACCACCAACTTCATGTTCGATGGTGCCCGCGCCGATCTGACCAAGGCGATCAGCATCAACCCTATCTTCCAGGTCACCCATGCCTTCTCCATGGGCTCGCAGGCCGCCCCTTCTTCGTACAACTTTGGCGCGGTCTACGGCGACAACAAGAACTTTTTCCAGGCCGGATTGGATGACGGGCTGAACGTGACGATGCGTGCGAACCGCGGGTGGGTTGCGGGGCACACGACCAAGGTGCAAGCCCAACTCACCGCCACGCCGGGCCAGAGCTTCGTCCAGGTCGAACACGATTACCAGGGCACTGACCACTCGGCCAACTTCAAAGCGCTCAACCCGTCCCCTTCGGACCTCACGGGCATCTACATTGTCAACTACCTCCAGAGTCTGACGCGCAACTTTGCGTTTGGTGTCGAGACGGTGTACCAGCGACCGAGCGCGGACATGGAGGAGGCGTCGACGGGCTACATTGCCAAGCTCACCGGTGACAAGAAGGACTGGATCGCCACCGCCCAGGTGCAACCTCAAGGCGTTGCGCAGTGCACCTACTACCACCGCCTCTCGGAGCAAGTCGACGTCGCTGCCGATCTGCAGATGATCACCATGGCGCAGAAGCGCGAGGCTGCTGCGACGGTCGGCGCGAGGTACAACTTCCGCATGGCCACCCTCCGAGCGCAGATCGACTCCACCGGCAAACTCAGCTCCGTCTACGAGACCCGGTTGAGCCCCGCTTTCGGCCTGACGTTCGCGGGCGAGATGGACCACCTCCAGGGCGCAGCCAAGTTCGGATTCGGCGTGAGCATCGAAAGTGGCAACGAGATGGATCCCAATGCTCCCCCGCCCACGCCGCCTAGCGTGCCCATGTAAAACCGGCGCACAAGAGCCATACACCACCTCTCTACCCCCACGCCAAAAAAGATCGCGCCTCGACACAGAGGCTCGCTTTCCATCATCACTTGTATTAGCGCCGTTGCGCATACCACGTACCATTGTCAAAACAAAAAGAACTCTGCTCACTCTCCAAGCTGCTTGCCTGTCTACGAGAATGCGCTTTGGCGGTCCTTTGAGATATGCTCTGGGTAAAGATGAGATTCATGCGTGTGGGGTACAAATACAGATGGGACCAAAAGTGACAGGTGCGAAGTGAGGCGGTCGTTGAAGAGGATTGATCGAGGCTACTGGGCCATACCTTGATCCGGGAGGCGTTCGATCCTAAACTGCCGACTTGCGATGTACATCAGTGGAATACCGGGTACCTTTCTCACTCTCCTTCTCAACTCGCGATCGCACGTTGCGACGATGTAGCACTTGTGACTGGTGACCCTTTCGACGATGCAGTCGTCTGCGTAGGTGCCCTTGTGACTGCACTCGAGCCGCTCGAAGCGGGGATCCCTGGCGACCCGCAAAGCGATCCGATACTTCGGTCCTAGCTTCTCCAGCTCGCTAATGACGCATGTCGTGATACACGGAATGCTCTTGGCGTAGAGGCAATCCATCATCCCTTGCACCAGCTCGATCTTGTTCTGCAGCGCAAAGTTGATAAAGTTGGTATCGACGAGTACGCGATAGGGGGGTCCGAGGGAGGTGTTGTGCTCGAAGAACATGGATGATGCGGGTGTGGAAATGTGTCGCACCGCCACTCCATCGGGTGTCAGCGTCTTGGGTCCCCCCGAGAGCGAAGCCTTCTTGGCCGCATCGGTGACCTTGGCATTGGCTTTGAGTCGATCGTCCTTGGGATTGAGCATCCGCTTCACCTCGCCGAACTTGCGCACCTGCTTCTTCTTGCCCATGGTTGGCTGTTCGATACGCGATAGACTGATAGAACTGCTGAGGATACGCTGTGCATATATGAGGCGGGATGCGATGTGCTGAGCGTGACGATAGCTTCGTCAAGGGTATAGATGGTGGCGAGGATCGTGGTTGGCGGTAGCAAGTGGTGAAAGTCAAGAAGTGGAAGGGTTCAAGGAAATTTTGAGGCTGCGCCCCACACCGAACTTTTTTTCGGCCCTTGTGCTCCACTTTGAGGAGTTCTTCGGTTCGGGTTGCATCTTAGGCCGGTCTAACAACCTAACTTCGTTCGCCGGCCCCCGACGCTGCCACACATCCTCATGACGATGAGCAACCGCCTTGAGATCGATGCTAGAAGTGAACAAAAGACACGAAGACGGCGTTGACAGACAACAGACATGAATAAGAGAGTGCGATGCGAAAAGACAATGCGAAATGCTACAAAGAAAGATCGACGAGCCAGCGTCGACCTAGTCCCTCAACTTGGACTCTTTCCATATTCTGTCTCTCCCACCCTCGCCGGGAGTCGAAAGTCCCGACTCAGTCGAAGCATAGCCATAGCCGTACACCTTACTCCTCAACAGCGTCGCGTAGAACCTTTGTACGAGGAAGAAGCACTGCAGCCTCACCGCGGTGAAGAACAGCCCGAATGCCATGAGCAGGGGTACGAGCGTGGTTCGGAAGCTCTCTTCGCAGTTTTCGGACGCGAATACGCCATCGAGCATGGCCTCCCAGCCGGGCGCTGTGAGTGTCACGTCCGGCGAGCCTGCTCCGCCGCTGCTCTGCGTCGGACTAGAGGGTGATTGTGGGAGGGCAGCGGCTCTCGGGAGGGAGAGCCACGCCTGGAGCTCGCCTGAGCCGAACTCGTCACACACGTGCGCCCGGACCGTCGGGTAGGTGCACACGATCGCCAACGCCAGCAGCGACAGCGTCGACAGTAGAAAGTCGAGAAAGGAGTGGACCACAAACAGCCGCGATAGCAGCAGGTTGGAGCGCAGGACACCGACTACGCCCGCACAGCAACAGACGACGCTGAGCAGGATGTACCACCGCAGCGTGCGGATCACCAGGCGGAGCGCGTGCCACTGCATGCGCTCGATGTCTTCTGCCCCGTCATCGAGGTAGTGGAAGGATGCCGAGGTTGGATCTGGTGCCTCGAAACGACGGTCTGGAACAACGTCTTTGGCTTTGACACTGCCTACAGGGTTTGGAAGTGATTCGGCGTGTGGCTCGCCTTGCCGTGGAACAAACGACAGACCTTGTGCTTTGAGATATGCTTTGGCTTCAGCAACCCATTCGGGGAGATAAACGTTCTTGTTCGCCGAACCTTCCGAGTCTACTGCGGCTGCGAGATCGATGAGTCGGTCGAACTTGGCTGCGGAATGGGAGAACCTGTCTGCAGAGGGAACGAAGGCGGCTGAAGCTGGAGGTGCCTGCCCTGACCCTCTCTCCGGCACATCAGGCAACGATGCACTCAGCGAACCCAGCCATGAGTAGGTGTTGAGATGAATGATGATACCGAGCATTGCAATCGCTAGGGTGGCCGTTCGAGGCGAGACCCAGCAGAAGGTGCCGGAGCCCGAGCGGCTCATGACGGGTCCAATCGAGACTGGCTATGTGTAAGATGCGGCTATGTTTTGTTGGCGTCGATAATGAGAACCTGGGCCAGCGGAGACAGGAGCATCGTCCTGCCCGAACGATTGACGTGCGAGCGAGTTGGGCTCCTCAAAGATGATGGCAGAGATAGAGGTTGATGTTGATCGTGAGCAAGCAAGATAGCATCGACCATGTGCAGCTCCTTCTTCCTGTGCCGCGTCGGCCAAGCCAAGCAGCGGACCCTGGAAAGTGACAGATCTTGGCAAAAGAGCAGGGCTGAGCTTGACTCTGCAATGGAATGCGGCTTTGGAACGCCAGAAACAGGCACACTCTGAAGCCCCGACTCTCACGCCTCCTGCCGCTGCTTGATGCGCAAGAACCGCATGACATGACCGTCACACTAGCGGTCTCAGCCCCAAGCATGCCTCTCTTGGGCCCTGCTGAATTCCAGGTTGATTGCGGAGACAGAGCCGACTGGCTGACTCCCTTACGCGAGGTGTGATTTCAGCAAAAACCCACACACACAAGCCGCACGGGCTCGCTTGCCAGGGTCCTTGTTTCCGTCCATTCGCATGTCTTGCGGAGAAGCGATGCCGAACCTCGTTCGCAGAGCCGACGTATCCACTTTTCATTGATCAACAGGGGACCATCACCTTCAGATTTCACACCTGCAGCAGTTGTAGGGGTACAGCAAACAAAGGCAGGTTTCTTCGAGGCATGCATTTGTGTGGGAGTGCTCGAGCCGCCCTGCAGAAATCAACGCTCAAACTCCGCGGGGGTGCAGCTAAAATTTGTTCTTCTTGCAGGGTCCACCATGACTTTCACCACCGCCTGACCACTCCGGCATGTCCTGCTGATCACTGTGGAGCGCTCGAGCCTTCATCGCCTTCCAAGCGGCAAGCTGAGCCAAGAGCTGCACGTCAAGTGCTTGGCTTGCCTACGCCTTCGGCATGCTGAGCAGGGGCCTCGGCGGAACCGGCTTCCAACGCTCCCTCTTTACACGCCCACCATCACATTCGGCACCCTTCCGACGCCCAAACTCGTTTCGCGGTCTCAGCACACCAGCATCGAAGCCTCGAATCATCCTCGGCATCGAAACCTCATGTGACGACTCCTGCGCATCTGTCGTCTCGGCCGACCGCACCATACTCTCCTCGATCGTGACGAAACAGGACCACTCTTCCACGGGCGGCATCCACCCGCTCTCCGCTGCGCTCGGTCACCATGCCGCCCTCCCCTCCACGATCGCTACTGCGATCACTCAGGCCAACATCACGCACTCCGATATCGATGCTATCGCAGTGACGCAAGGTCCCGGTATGGCGAGCAGTCTCGGCGTCGGCCTCTCCGCCGCCAAAACCCTCTCTGCGGTGCTGCACAAGCCGCTCATCTACGTACATCACATGCAGGCACATGCACTGACGCCCTTGCTCACCGAGGGGAAGCCGCCAAAGTTTCCATTCCTGGTGTTGCTGGTGTCGGGCGGACATACGATGTTGGTGCTGGCGAGGAGCGTGACTGAGTTCCGCATACTGGCAACGACTACGGACGACTCGATAGGAGATGCGTTTGATAAGGTCGCGCGCGATCTGGGGATTCCGTGGACGTCGGCGCCGGGAGCTGCATTAGAGGCACTTGCAAGAAAAAGTGAGGGAAGGGAGAAGGCGGTTGTGTTTCCTATACCGTGCAAGGGTCAGGCGATCTTCTCGTATTCGGGTCTCAAGGCGGCTGTGCAGCGCCATATCGAGGCTTCTGGAGGAGCCGGCATGGATGATGTGCTGAAGGCGCAGATTGCAGCTGCTTTTCAGCGAGCAGCGTGTGCGCAGCTGGAGGACAAACTCGGCATGGCTCTACGACCGTCTCACGTCACGGAAGACTCGCGGCGTCGGGTGTACCCGCGCATCGGTTTGCCCGACGGCGTCTCGGGCGACGACATCAAGACGCTTGTCTGCAGCGGCGGCGTAGCGAGTAACGCTTTCATCCGATCCCAGTTGAGGAAACACCTCGATGAGCTGGGCCGCAACGACGTAGATCTACAGTTCCCGCCGTTGTCCCTCTGCACCGACAACGCAGCGATGATCGCTTGGGTCGGCCATCTCATCTGGTCACAGCGCACAGACGATTACACCCGTCACGCTCGGCCCAAATGGAGTATGGAAGACATCCCTTTGTAGTGTCAGTATATCATATTGTACAATACCACATCTCTGCATCATGCATCGCCCGCTCTCACCCGCTTGTGCGGGCCCCAAGGTCCACCCGACTCCTCCTCCCCGTCATCCCTTCTCCTCCCCCGCTCCCTCCCCACCTCGCTAAAGAACTTCCCCTCCGCACCATTCTCGCCTTTCTTCTTCCCCCTCACATCGCTATCCCACGCAAAGAAGTTGCATCTAAACTCCGGATTGACATCCCCCTTGGCCCTGCCGGACTTCTCGTACCCGGGCCCAACCGGTCGGTTGCACAGCCAGAACTTGCGCCCGTGGTTCGGGCCTGGTTTGTTCACCGTCCATGCGCGACAGGGTTCCGAATGATTGCGGCACAGTGGCGCGGGTTGGGGCGAAAAGATTGCACCCCATGCGAGGGACGTGCCGATGCGGGCGGCAGGCGATTGCTCGGTTGGCTGGGCGGCGCGTGCGGTTGAGGGTGAGGCAAGGGTCTCGTGGAACTCGGAGATGTCTTCGTCATCGTCGAAGGGCGCGCCAGCTGCAGTATCCGAAGTTGTAGCGCTCTTGGAGTCGGTGGTCGGCGGCGTTGTCAGAACAGGCTGACTTGCTGGATCTGCCTTGGCAGCCTCTGTTGGTGTGGATGTGGGAGCCGTCTTTGGCTGGGCGAAGAAGGATGATAAGCTCGTCTGGCCTTTCAAGCTCGCGGCCTGCTTTGCTTTGGCAGAACTGATTTTTGTGGCTGAAGGCGTGCGTTTTGGTGACGCTGCCTCCCGTTTGCCATTCGGTGATGGTTGACTGGCGGAAACTTTCGTCGGAGACGGTATTGCTGTTGTAGGTGCCACCACAGGTGCCGAGGCTGATGGCGGTGGTTTGACGTCCAGCAAGGCTACTTGCGATGTGGTGCTGCCGGAGGCGGGTCTAGCAGCAACCGGCTGCGAACGCTCGATGTCGAGGCCTTCCTGTTGCGAATGCAAGGAGAACAGAGCAGCGGCAAGCGAGCTTCCTTCCTCGCCCATCGCCGGGAATGTGTCTTGATCCTGGGTTGTCGAAGCTTCGATCTCTTTGATCGCTGTGCTACCGTTCATATCTGCTTGCTTCGGCTCTGACGCTTTTCTCGCATCACCAGCCGATACCATTTCGATACTTGGGCTCCTGACCGGGACCACTGCCTTCCGCCCGAAGAACGACGCGAGCTTCCTCTGCTTCCCCGAGAACTCGTCGTAGTGACACGCCGCCAACGCCGGCGGCAACCGGTCCACTCCACCATGCATCAGATCCTTCAGCTTGACCACCTTCCCATCGATCTCCCTCTCATCGTGCAGATCCACATACACCGGGCAGTGGTCGCTCCCATAGATGTCCGGTTGAATATCCGCCCCTTTGATCCAGGGCAGAAGTCCTTCTGTCACGAGGGTATAATCGAGTCTGCATCCGTAATTTGCCGGTCTTGCATCGATCAGCGTGTTCCAGCAGGTAAACATCTTCCTCCTCTCCGCATGGTACATCCTCCCGATATCGTGAAACTTTCCGTGGGGGGCGAGGAAGGTTTGAAACCACGCTCGCGCGGGATGTTGATGGAAATGCTCCCATCCGTGCTCCTTCATGCTCTGCTCGGGGTCGCAGTGGTCGATGGGATCGCGGATGATGTTCATGTCGCCGACAATCATCACTTCGCGGCCAGAAGCGATGAGGCGATGCGCTCGTTCGGCGAGACCTTGGTAGTAGGTCATCTTGTAATCGAGTCGTTCCGGTCCGGTCTCGTTGGGACAGTAGACGTTGAAGAGCACGAACAGGCCGAGGTCGAGCACGACACAGCGACCCTCCTCGTCGAGCGCGGTCCAGATCGACGGCTCCACGTCGTCCCGCGTATCTGCAGGGATGTGTCCGATCGGGTCGTTGGGTATCAACGGGTTGGTCGAGACGTTTGTGATGGGAACTCGACCCGTGATCCCCTGCTCGGCTTTCAGCGGAATCGACACGCTCTTCCGAACATACGTCACCGTCCCAGAGTAGCCTTTGGTCGGATGGAAGTTGAAGAAGGCATTGTAGGAGGGCAGAATACACATGGGCTCCGTGAGCTGCTTGCGCGTCATCTTGGTTTCTTGGAAGCAGGCAATGTCGGCGCCGAGGTGCTCGAGACAGGCTTCCCAGTCCGGGAGCTTGTACCACGGCTGGTAGCCTTTAAGCGTGCGCAAGCCATTGATGTTCCACACTGTGATGCGCATCGTCGCCGAAATAGCATCGGGCTGCGCGCCCGTAAACGTGGTGCGTGCTGGGCCTGTTCGGCGCTGTAAGCAACCTGCAGCCGGTCATGCAGAGGTCATACCGCGCATGTGTTCCGTTTCGGCTCGCGCTGATGCGTGGAAAGTGTTGATGTCCCTACTTGGAGCTGATCAGGCCGTGGCCGGTGATTTGCGCCAAGCGGCTCGGTGTGATGGTCCTCGATCGAGAAGGTTGTGGGACGAGGTGGCGAGTGGCAGATTGGTCGAGTGTTGGTCTTGAAGGAAGCTGAGTGGAGAGGACGAGGTGGAGGCATGAGAACAATTTGGATCGGGTGTTAGCAGAGGATAAATCGGCTTCCCCACTTCCATGCCTCCGTTGAACGCCGGATGCCACGCTCCTTCTCAACTCACTCCAACCACACACCATCTTCGGATAGGGTACGGCGCTCGAGAGCAGACGTGCTCCTTGCTCAGCAATCACGTATCGAAGATACAGCAGAGATACATCTGATCGAGGGATGGACTAGCTCACCTGGCTTAGACCACCGCCTCCGATTAGCTCGTGCCATCCGGCCTCTGCAGCTCGATAAGACGCTTCCGTCCGGGCATCTGCTATCCTACCCACCATGGAGTCTGCTTCACAAGTTGCCCCGACCTGGGCCGACATTGAAGAAGCGACACGAAGTGGTAAGAATCTTTGCTATTCCAAGCGCTCTCATCAGCCGACCTGTTGACTGACAGGCCCCTGCAATGACCCTCTACCTCCCTAACTCTTGCTTCTCCCTCTTCATCTCGACCTGTCAGATGCCGGCTCACCGTCAACAACGCAGATCGACTCCCCGGCATGGCACTACGACGACACGATTGTGACCGACTTTGGCCCAGCCTCTCTCTCCGATGAAGTCCACATCGTCGAGTGTTCGGATTGCAGCAAACCCATCCTGCACGAAGCGCTCTCGTTCCACCGACAGAACTGCAAGCTCGCGCGCGATATCGCCTCCGGTCGGGTATCACCATCCGTCCTGGAAGGCGATGTGAAAAAGCGGCGTATGATGGAAGGTAAGCCCCTCTCCCACACACTCGCTTCTTTTCACCTTCACAGTGTACTGACTGCTAGGATTTTGTGCAGATGACGACGAGAGCATCCTGGCGGACGACGGTCCCCCTCTAACCAAGAAGCAGAAAAAAGCCGCTCGTCTGGCCGCCGCCGCCGCTGCTGCAGCCGAGAAGAAAACCGGCGGTCGAAAACACAAAGGTCCCATCGACGTAGACAAGCAGTGTGGCGTGATCAACGACAAAGGACTCCCCTGTTCGCGGTCTCTCACGTGCAAGTCGCATTCGATGGGTGCCAAGCGAGCCGTCGAAGGTCGATCTGCGGGGTACGACGCCCTGCTGTTCGAATGGCAAAAGGCGACCAATCCGAGCTTCGTCGCCAAGCTCGAGGAGAAAGAAAAGGCGATTGCAGCAGCAAAAGCGGCTGCGGCAGCAGCTCCGCCGAAAGAGAAGAAGAAGAAGTCTGGCAAGGACGGCAAGGGCAAGGTGATCAGCGGTGGAGTGAACGGGGCTGGCGGAACGGTGTTTATCGAGGATGATGATATGGACATGTTCGATGCGGGCGCGGATGAGGATCAGATGGATCAGGAGCTCGTTGGTGTTTTGGGGGCTATTGCGAACGCTGCTTCGAGGGATAGGACCACGCCGCTGCCGTTGGCGACGAGGTCGTTCGCGGGAAGCTATACCAGCAGAGCGAAGCGCATGCGCAATTTGAGAGAGCTGCTGCGCGAAGGGTTGGCTGCGAATGGTGGTGCGTATGGTATCAACGGGTATGCTACGTGGAACAATCACCACCGCCCGGGGAGCTACGGCGGTGTGGCGGGCAAGAAGGGGGTCGTGTCGGGCGCGTGATTGTTCTCAGTTGGCCAGATGTCGGATCACCAGCATCCTTTTGTACTTGTATCATGCAATGAAGTGTCCATCAGTCTCAGACCCGTCGCTTGAATAGGCAGTCACATATCAACATTACAGCCACGAGCAGGAAACGGTAAAAGTACATGAGGCGGTCAGACGGCATCTGACCACCATCGGTCGAGAAACAGCCCCGGGATCACTGGGAGACGGAAGCAGAAGCCGAAACGTCCGCGCTGTCATCCTTGGACCTTGCGATGGCACCATCGAGGTCGAGTGGGATGCGGACCATCGTATCGATGAGCGCGGGCTTGCTGGTGGTCGCGGGGCCGTACGTGTACAGGTCGTCCTCCTCTTCCTGCTCTGCCGAGGTGTCTGCGCTCGAAGACTCGGGTGCTCCAGGGTTCATGAATACCGTCGATGCTGTCAGGCAGAAGAGTGGAGCACAAGTACATGCTTATGATGAGCGTCAGGTCGGCGTGTGTGGTCAGTGAAGCGGGAAAGAGTGAGAACGTACCTCGAGCGATCTGGATAGCGCGGAAGACGCCCTGCCATGAGCCCATGACGGATGCGATTGCTGTTTGGCGCCATACACAAAGATGAACGATGTCAGCATCAACCATTCCATATCTATTGCAGGGCTTTCTGTTCGCGAGCAGCACTTACAATCACCGCCATCGGCCATGATATCGACCTTCTCCGCCAACCTCTCGAGCTCCTTGACCATGCGCGCCGACTGGTCCTTCAAAGCACGCAGACCTTCCAGCTCGGCCTGCTTTGACACAAGCCGTGCCTGATTCGCCGACGACGAAGGGCCGCCAAACATGATGTTCGCTGGGTTGTTGGCTTGCGGATGCATCGATGGGCGCCCTGCGCCTCCCGGGCCCATCATTGTCGAGGGTCGCTGTGCCATTGTTGCTGTGTGTTTGAGATGTGTCGGTCCTTTCGAATGTCGTACTTCAGAGATAGTGATGCACTCGTAGTTGAGTGGCTGTTTCAAAGGCAGAGAGGATGCGTGCCGATGATGATGCGAAAAGCTGTCGGTGGTGGTGATAAGGTTGACGATCTGATGAAGTGTTGTTGTGCATCAGGGCGAGTGTTGTTCTCAACCGCGCGGGTTCAAATTTCGACTCCAAAAAACATGGCTGCACAGCAGTCTCCTGATACGCGCGCGTATACTGGGCAGCTCGAATTTACGCGTCTCGAGTAAAGAGCTGCTCTTGATCAGCTTCCAATTGGTATACCGTAAAAGACATACCACGGCGGGCTTCAGCCAAGGTCACCGACTTTATCGGGCAACGACAGCTCAGAGAAGACACGACGCAAGTCAGACATCATCAGGTATGGACGGCATATATAACTTGACAAGACAATGAACAAACGAGTCGGTGCAGGGGCAGAAGGGGATCCAGAAACAGGCAGAGAGGACTGCGAGTGGTTGCCAACTCTAATCGGTCAGAGTGCGGAACGACTCGGCGATATCCTGGTTGAGCTTGTCAAACTTCTTGGTGATGGCCTCCTCGCCGTCCTTGGGGCTCTCGAACTTCTGCTGCGTGAGCTGGTAGATGACGTCGGAGCAGTGCTCCTTGATCTTGGCCCACGTCATGTCCGGGTTGTTCGAGACCGCCGCCTGAGCGTGGTTGTGGAAGTCGACCATGTTCTTGAGCATGCCCGACGTCTTGTAGAAGGGGCAGTAGGCATCGTACTCCGAGATACCGTTCTGTTGGAGGTAGTCGTCCTTCATGATCTTGGCCACGTCGAGCGTCACCTTGTCACCTTCACCGAGGGCCGACTTGCCGACCAACTGCACGATCTCGGCCAGATCCGAGTCCTTCTGCAGCATGTTCTTGGCCGTGGTTCGGAGCGAGATGAAGCCGGGGCAATTCTTCTCGTAGTACGGCTCGAGCGCGTTGATGTAGTTGGAGTACGAGACATCCCAGTTGACCGAGGGGAAGTGCTTGCGTTGCGCCAGCTTCTTATCCAAACCCCAGAAGGCACCCACGATACCAAGCGTAGCCGACGTGACTGGGTCCGAGAAGTCACCACCGGGAGGCGAGACGGCACCGACGATCGAGATCGAACCGTCACGCTCCGGCGAACCGAGACAGGTGACACGTCCAGCACGCTCGTAGAAACTGGCGAGCTTGGTACCCAGGTAGGCGGGGTAACCGGAATCGGCGGGCATCTCTGCAAGACGACCCGAGATCTCACGAAGCGCCTCGGCCCATCGCGAGGTCGAGTCGGCCATCATGGCAACGTTGTAGCCCTGGTCACGGAAGTATTCGGAGAGCGTGATACCGGTGTAGATGGAAGCCTCACGTGCAGCCACGGGCATGTTGGAGGTGTTGGCCACCAGGGTGGTACGCTTCATGATGGGGAACTCTTCGCCGTCCCTTGTGAGCGTCAACTCGGGGAATTCGGCGAGCACTTCAGCCATCTCATTTCCTCTCTCTCTGCGAGGGGTTCGAAAAGGGTATAGATGAAGCAAAATCAAGTCAGTGGAAGGTCCGGGGGGTGGCCGGGTATCATTATCAGGGACCAGGGGCCGGCAATGGTATACTCACCCGCATCCGACGTAGGTGATGATGTCCGAGTTGGAATATTTGGACAGAGCTTGAGAAATAACCGTCTTGCCACAGCCGAAAGCACCAGGGATGGCAGTCGTACCACCCTGGATACACGGGAAGAGCGAGTCGAGGATACGTTGACCCGTGAGCAGCGGGTTGTTGGCGGTGAGCTTTTCAGCGACGGGACGAGGCGCACGAACGGGCCAGATCTGCAGCATGGTGTGCTGCTGCTTCTTGCCCTGGAACTCGGTCTCGAGCACGACGTCGTCAACTGCGTAAGAGCCCTTCTCGGCAATGTGAGTGATGGTACCCATGGCACGCGGGCCGAGCATGAGCTTGTGGTCCTTGAGCAGCGAGTTTTCGTAGACGGAACCGAAGATATCACCACCGCTGATGTGGTCGCCCTGCTTGAGCTTGCCAGGAGTGAAGTCCCACAAAAGCTCACGGTTGAGCGCCTGGGTCTCGATACCTCGAGGAATGTAGATACCACCGCTCTTCTTCATGATGCCTTCGAGAGGACGCTGGATACCGTCGTAGATGTTCTCCATAAGACCAGGACCGAGCTCGACGGACAGAGGCTTGCCGGTACTGAGAACAGGGTCGCCGACCGAGACGCCGGAGGTCTCCTCGTAGACCTGGATCGTGACCTTATCAGCGTCGATTCGGATGATCTCTCCGATCAGCTCGTCGTGACCGACACGGACGAGCTCGTACATCGACGAACCTGTCATGTTCTCGGCGACGACGACGGGACCGGAGATACCAAAGATGGTACCGAAGCGCTTCTCGCGCTCCTCATCCCTGATCTTGGGAAGATCCTTCTTCTGTTGCGACATGGTGAATGCGTCGATCGACCGAGAGGGTCGCACGGAAGCTGGGTTGGCGGAGGTTATCGATGACTGCTACTTCAATCAAGCCTGCTGCGTCCGGTGTGCTGGTCGAGGAGGTCGAGAGGATTGGCAGAGGTGGACAGGCAAGATGAAGACGATGAACGGAAGATAGATAGCTAAAGTGGAGCTTGACGGTGCGATTCCCAGAAACGTGATTTGCTGAGGCTGAATCGAGAGAGGGCAGCCTGCCACAGTCAAGCTTGGCGCTGTGCAGCAACCAGGAAGCCCTGTGCGCTCCCTGCTGCCGCTGATTTCGTACAAGAATTCGGTTTCGACCTTTTTGATGGCTCGTTCGCAGTGCCATCATCTTTGAAGCTGAGCTGCAACCGCCCCTTTCCAGCTCGCTCAGATCTCCCAGCTCGCTGATTTCCAAATCTCAGTCTCTATTTCACTTGGGCTCTAACACCTTCGAAAAATTCGCGGCTTTGCTCCACTTTTTGGTGATCGACTCAGCGGCAGCAACACGAGAAGGCGCGTTCTGCGGGCGAGCCAGCAGGCTGGGCTCTTACGACGCTTTGCCTTCCTACGAAATACACACTTCCAACACTTCCACCTCATACATCGTTCTCCACACAACCTTGGCGTCTCTTTCGTCGCAGCTGCCCAGCACATCGGATAACAAGGGTCTCCGCAGAACCAGCACTATCCAGCACCTCAGGGCCGACTCCAGCACAGGCTTCCTGCTTCTCAACTAAAGCGCCCCGATACACCACCTTCCGGCTTTAAGCCGAGCAACACACACACATCATGCCGCCCAAAGCAGACTGGGAAAAGTACAAGAAGCCGGACGGAGACTCGAAGGATGAGGAGAAGATCGTCGCGCTCGATGAGGGCGACATCCAGCTACTCAAAACCTACGGCCAGGGCCCCTACGCCGCATCGCTGAAGGGCATCGAGAACGAGATCAAGGAGCTGCAGAAGCGCGTCAACGAGAAGATGGGCGTCAAGGAGAGTGACACGGGACTTGCACCGCCAAATCTGTGGGATCTGCCCGCCGATCGACAGCGCATGGGCGAGGAGGAGCCGCTGCAGGTGGCAAGGTGCACCAAGATCATCCGCGCCGAGACGAAGAAGGAGGGCGAAGGGTCGGAAAGCGCGGGCGCATCGGGGAGCGCAGGTGGCCGAGCGGGAGGGATGGGAGGCTTGGGCGGTCTCGGTGGCCTCGGTGGCCTCGGCACTTCCGCACACCCAACAGCCGACGAGGAGGACAAGTACGTGATCAACGTCAAGCAGATCGCCAAGTTTGTCGTGTCGCTCGGCGAGCGAGTGGCCCCCACGGATATCGAGGAGGGCATGCGTGTCGGTGTCGACCGCAACAAGTACCAGATCCAGATCCCACTACCGCCCAAGATCGACCCTTCCGTCACCATGATGCAGGTCGAGGAGAAGCCCGATGTCACCTACGGCGATGTCGGTGGCTGCAAGGAGCAGATCGAGAAGCTGCGCGAAGTTGTCGAGTTGCCTCTGCTCTCACCAGAACGCTTCGTCAACCTCGGCATTGACCCGCCCAAGGGTGTGCTTCTCTACGGTCCCCCGGGTACAGGCAAGACGCTCTGTGCGCGAGCGGTGGCCAACCGAACCGACGCTACCTTCATCCGCGTCATCGGCTCCGAGCTGGTCCAGAAGTACGTCGGTGAAGGTGCACGAATGGTGCGCGAGTTGTTCGAGATGGCTCGCACCAAGAAGGCGTGCATCATCTTCTTCGACGAAGTCGACGCCATCGGTGGTGCGCGATTCGATGATGGTGCGGGCGGTGACAACGAGGTGCAGCGAACCATGCTCGAGCTCATCAACCAGCTCGACGGTTTTGACGCACGAGGCAACATCAAGGTGCTCATGGCCACCAACAGGCCGGACACGCTCGACCCGGCCCTCCTCCGTCCTGGTCGTCTCGACAGGAGAGTCGAATTCGGTCTGCCGGACAACGACGGTCGCGCCCACATCCTGCGCATCCACGCCCGCTCCATGTCCGTCGAAAAGGACATCCGATATCATCTCATCGCGAGGCTGTGCCCGAACGCGACGGGTGCCGAGCTCAGGTCCGTCGCCACCGAGGCAGGCATGTTCGCCATCCGTGCACGAAGGAAGATGGCGACCGAACGGGATTTCTTGGATGCGGTGGACAAGGTCATTCGCCAAGGAAGCAAGTTCTCGTCGACAGCGCTGTACGCCCAGTACAACTAGGCTCATGTACTTTCGGGGTGGATGCAACTACATTTGCACAGAATCGACTTCGGCTGTGCTAGCTTCGCCTGAGAATGAGACTGAGTCGTTGAGTAACAGGCCGAACAAATCGTTGGGTATCGATGCATAGTGTACAAATGGCGTGGTTTCAATCATGGTCGTCCTCCTCCAGTCCAGGACAGCTCTTGTCCATGTCCTCCTTGTCTGCATACTGACAGCCGCAAAAGAGACAATACGCATGCCTGCCTCTCAGATCCTCCAAGACGAGCTCCAACTGCGCCCGGGTCTCCAACTCAACAAACAACTTGGCCTCCTTCACCCGTTCCGCGTCCTCCGAGCCAAACACGAGCTGCAGCAGCTCTACGGCCTCCTTGAAGGCTGCGTCTCTCTGCATCTTCTCGTCGATCGTTGTTGCGTCTGCTGGGCTCGGTGTGTGGCCGGACAGGACGTGGTACAGCTCGCCGTCGAGCCACAAGGGGTTGTATTGGGTACCCGCGGCCTGATCGAGTTGGATCAGCGTCTTGCGTGCTCGAACGAGGAGGGCGAAGTCCTGCCGCTGCTGGTGTTGGCGCGAGATGCGGTTGCGGAAGTCGTCTGTCGCGGCTTGCTCGGATGTGGGCTGAGAGGAGGCCTTGGCGAGGATGGCAGCAGAGATGTTGGTGGACGTTTTCGGGATGAGGCCAATGCCGGCTCGACGGTTGAGCCCCAACCATCGTTGGTCTGGTCGCAGCGGCTCGGTTTGCTTTGACCTGATGAGTGTGTTGGTGGGAGGTGCAGCAGAGGAGCTACCGGCCAAGTACTCGTCCTCTTCTCGGGCTTGCGAGGCGCGTCGGTCCTGCTCGAGCGCTTGCTCTTCGTCTGTATCGAGCGATTCGGGGTCGGTGTCGTCGGGCGGGTTGCGCTGCGCGGTCTCTGCAGCCGATGCGGCCTTCGTGTCGGTAAGCGCAGCTCTGCCGACTGTTTCGTCATCTGACTCCTCTTCTTCCTCTGCTGCCACCCCACCGTCAGGTCGAGAAGGCTCCTGCCTTCGCTTCCCCAGCGCCTCACCACGTCGATACCCCATAGCTAGCATCATCCTCATCGCCTTGGCCGTACCATCCTCCCCTTCCCTCACTGTACCACTTATCTGCCCCTTCTCGCTCTCCTCCAATCTATCCCACCTTCTCATCCCATCCTTTCCTTCGGGCGGCAACACTCCTCCACCAGCCACAATCTCCGCTTCGGCCAACAGATCCCGTTCCAGCCCCTCCTCGCGCGCCTCCTCTTCCCTCTGCTTGAGCGACTTTGGTGCATCCCGGCGGGAATGGTGGGCATCGAGTCTGCGCCGCTTGTCCGTGTATGTCAGTGCCTGCTTGGGTTCGCTCGTGGGGAGGTATCGGTCTGACATAAAGTCGTCTTCGTCGTCCGGCTCTTCATCTTGCTTGCGCGTTGAGGGCCCGGCTGTTGAGGATGGTTCGGCACGAATCTCGGAGAGCAGCTTGAGCGGGTCGAAGCCGGACTTCTTCGACATGATGACTGTTGCCTTCCAGTCAGGGTCGTGCAGCATGGTCGCAGGTGAATGAAGAGAAGAAAGCCCCAAAACCTCCACCTACGCGCCGAGAAGCCGCGGAAAAATCCGATATCGGGAAACGGCCTCGACCCGCAGTTGAGCTTGCTCCTCGAACGAAGCAGCGGAGACGATAAGACAGGACTTGAGAGCTGCAGTATCAAGGTGGACGACAGAACAGAAGATCAGCACATCCCTGAATAATGTTTCCAAATGTGTGATGTTACGGAGCAAAGACTACTAGCTACAAGCCGCGAAGGCGATTGTGATGTGTGTGATGAAGGGGAGATGACCTTCTGAGCGCGAGATGAGTAATGTATGGGTGTCTCTGCGCCCAAACATGAGAGATGTTGGGTGGGTGGATGTGACTCTTTGCGCCGAGGACGTGCCCATCGCGTTCGGATCTGCCGAATGTGACTGAAAGGAGAGGAGATGATCTTGACTTGTGTCCACGGCTGCTTCCGACGGTGACACATCGAAGTGATTGTAAGGGACGCACAGGGCTGAGCAGCACGGTGTTCAAAGCGACTTGGTGCGCTTCTTCTGTCGCTCCTCGAGGTCCTTGCCCACCAGCACCTTGGCAGCCTTCCAGAACTGAACGCAGTTGATGATCTGCTTGGCCGCGCAGATGGGGAAGGTGATCGTGCCCACGATCTGTGGCCAGCTGAGCTGTGGTGTCTCCTTGACAACGTAAGAGATCCACGGCGAGGCCTTGAGCGCCGAGGGGAACAGGAAGAGCAGTGGCTCAATGTCGAGCCCCAATGGCCTCTTGTAGAAGTCCATGAGGTAGAGGCATACGAAGAACAGCTCGTTGCCCGCGCAGAACATGAACAGCGTCCGGCTGTCGTTGTAGTAGTACCACAGGATCTTGGAGGTCTCCGAGGTGACGATCTTGTGCGACGCGGATCCGGTGACGAGCGAGCTGTACATGTGGATGTAGTGCGAGCTGAAGTCGAGCGTGATGAGGCCTTGGAAGATGACGGCGCAGCGCGGGTAGGCTGCCGTCAAGAAGCACAGCAGACATGCGGTGGTACAGCGATCGGTCACCATGTCGAGTACAGCGCCGAATTTTGTGGATTGGCCAAGCGCTCTCGCGGCCATGCCATCGAAGGCATCGAGCAGACACGAGACGCCGTAGAGGAGCGTGCAGACCTTTGGGTTGCCCTTCATAAAGTAGAGCGAGAGAGCGGCCAGGACGACGCGAGCGTATCCTATCAAGTTGGGGACGAAGAGGAAGACATTCTCGTCGGCTTCGTTAGCTCTTTGGAGGAGCGAGTCGGTCTTTCCGCCTGGAGCGCCGTTGGCAGCTGCTACGTCGGCCGCCGTCGACTTGGAATTGCGTGTGTTTCGTGGCATACTGAGAGAGTTCCTTGGAGTGATGATGCTGCCTGACTCTGGATGCAGTTGTGATGTGCAACTGGAAGGGATGCTTGATGCAGCTCTACAGATGAGCCGGGGCCTCTTCGCTCAAACGTTGCCGAACTACTGACGGACTGCTGCGCACGAGATCTGATACCGCTACACCGTCGCGATGCTTGCGAGCCGAGCGAAACCGATCTGACTTGATCGACGAATCGACGTCGATATCCAGTTGATGGTGGTGATGAGGAATGACGTTAGAAACCGTGTGGATGGATGAGTTTGAAAAGAGGATATGACCTTGGAGTGAGAGAGTTGGGCCGTGTGACGCACTCAAAGTGATTTTGCTCGCTTGGCCTGGCTCGGATGAACCGACCGGAATTCCCAGCTCCAGAGAGTGGAGTTGACGGTAAATCCGTTGAGGCGTGGCTATTTTTGACAGGCCCAGAGCGCGACGCCAAGATTGGAAGGTTGAGAGGAGCAGCGTCACCGTCACACCCAAGATGGCGGATTGCGGGCCTTCAAAACGGCAGCGGCTCAACAGATCCATCTGCCCTCTCCGCGTGAAATGGGCCGAAAAATGATATGCTGTTACGTCGACATGTAGCTGACAACTTGGAACGCGCCGCATCGGCTTCTTCTTGGTGTTGGTCTGAGAGCCGAACACTTTGCTTCTCATTCTCTCCACCTTTGACGTACAACTCCTCTTTGCCTTCACACTCTCAATTGCCACGCCACTTCCAAGTGTCTTTGCAGCCATTGCATCGCAGACGAAGAGCATGCAGACCGTGAAAGCCTGAAGCGCCCCCCCTCTCACTGGAGCGACCTCCCGACAAAGAGCAGCCATGTCCACCTCAAGGTCACAGACCGAGCAGGCGAGGAGCGGCCTCGACACGCTCTCCTCCGTATGCTACACGATACCCTGGCGGCCAAAGAAGAAGTCCAAGAGGACTCCGTCCACTTCCGGCGAGACATCAAAAGACCCTTCGCCATCGCCATTCCCAGTCCTTGCCGAGTTCGAGGCCGACAGCGATCCAGCCCGCGTCCGATACGCCTCCTATCAGATCGCAATTCAAAAGACAGAGGCGCTCTTCGAACGATGTATGGACGACGTGTACAGCTCTTTGTTCCACGACCTGCGCTCGTTCCTCAAGGCACAGCAAGGTTCGACGCATCCCGAAGGATCCACGTTGGCGCAGGTCGGGCTTGCGGAGGAGAACCTCTTCCTTCCTGGCTTCGAGAGCACTGACACGGCTCAAGCAGGTCCGAGCAGCACAGATGGCTCGGCCAGAAGCATCCCCACAGCACTCCTCATATCCACCTCGGCACCATACCTTTCGTCCTTCTCCAATCGCCTGGTCTCGGCGATCTCAAACGCAAATACAGACGGTCCGCCAAGCATCGTCGTCACCCTCTCGGCCAGCGAATGCTCCAATCTGTACACAGCACTGCGACTCTTGGTAGCGCGGTTCATCGCACAAGGCTCATCCCTCGGCTCAACGGGCGAGGCAGATCTGTCAGACGTCGAAGCGGCGGCGTTCGCAGGCAAGGTCGAGCCGGACCTTCACGTCCTCCGTTCCTGGTGGCAGCACAAATTCGGTCTTTCCGGTGGTCCCAAGCTCGTCTTCAACCTGCCGACCATCGAGGCGGTCGAACCGACCGTCCTCTCGGATCTGCTCTCAGCCTTACAGACATTTGTCGCCGACCCCTCGGCAAGATCATCGCCGCAACTACTCCTAGTACTCGGCATCACATCTCCCTCGGCGGGCCTCTCCACCGTCCCCACCTCGTCCACCTCGACCCTCGCATCCTCCGCCCCGGCCCCGTGGATCGACTACATCCCGCGTTCCGTCCTGCGCGTGCTCGACATCTCGCGCTTCTCCCTACCCAGCAAAGAGCTCGTCTGGTCTTCCCTTGTCCAGACGTTCCTCCTGTCCCGCCATCTACCGCTGTCGTTGGGACCGTCGACGTTCGAATACATCCGCGAGACGTACTGGGAGCGGGAGGCCGATCTCGACGCGCTGCTGGACGCGGTGCGGCTTGCATTCTTCATCCACTTCACAGGCAAACCCGAGTCGGTGTTCACCATTCCGGGCCAGGCAGCGAGGGTGCGGTTCTACAGCTGGACACCGAAGTTCGTCGAGCGGGTCAAGATGGCATTTCTCACCACCAACGCTGACGGCCAATTGGTGCTGCCGTTGCTCGCGGACGCGAGCCGGACGCAACTCGATGTAGCACACTTTCTGGAAGAAGCATCGCAGTCGGACCAGTTCATCCTCTCGCAGCTGGACTCGTTGCGGCATCCACGCGAGCTGCTGTGCTTTCGGCTCGAGTTGGCGGTTCGCTTCCTCAGTCGCGCGTTCGATGCGCTGATGCGAATTCAGAGTCGCGCCACCACCGCAGCGCAAGCGCTGCACTCCCGTCACACCCCAACGGGGGCGCAGGCGGTGGAAGTGGACGAGCAGCGTCTAGCTGAACGCTCCGCCGAACTGCTCACACAGGTGGTGCTTCAATGCCTCAATTCGTCGGTCGGCTCGGTGGAGGGGAGGAAGGTGCCACCCGTGCTGACGTTGAGGAGCGGCTTGGCGCGGTTGTGCAATGCAGCGCGCCGCTTGTTGAGCGACGAATTTGAGACGTGGGTGGATGAGTTGGTGGTTGCTGCCGAGGAGGAGGTGAGGCGGATCGAAGAGGCGCTTCCCGAGGAGACGGAGGAGGTGGAAGATCAATTGCGCTCCGTCGGTGCATCCATTGGTGCGCAGAGTGCGGGGTTCCTAGCAGGTCTCCGAACGTTCCAACAGCGACTCTCGCAGACGATCACCGCGGGCGACACAGGCATGGATGACGACATGACGACGACCGCAGCCGATGCCTCGGCGAAGAGAGAAGCCCGTCTGCAGCGCGTGCAACGCAAGCTCGTGATGGAGGAAAAACTGCTCGGTCTCAAACGCGAGATCACCGACTGGCTCCAAAGCGCCATCCACGACCTATCCGACTGGTCCTCGTCCGCCCAACCCCTGGCGCTACTGAAAGACGTCTTCTGGGTGGACTGCTACTCGCCGCTCTCAACGCTGCTCGACCCGTCCACACGCGCCGGCCTGACTCTGCCACTGGCCGAACCGAGGGAGTTCATAGAGTCGCTCCATGATGCAGCGCTCAGCGTTGTACCGCAGGACGAGGTGGGTGGGATCGAGGTCGGGGAGGTGGGGATTATGAGCGAGCCGGATGTGTGTAGAGTGTTTGGGCTGTATTTGGAGTGCGGCAAGTTTGTCAACTTGGGCGATTGGTATGAGGCTTTCAAGCAGAGTGTCGAGGCGGATCGAGAGGAGGAAGAGGACGAGGTGGAGCCGATGACGCCGTCGAAGAGGCGTACGAGGGTGGACCTGGACGAAGAGTCAGATGAAACGGATGTGTTGGATACGCCGTCCAAGAAACGACCGCGTACAGCGCAGCTACCGAAAGGGTCTGCTGGAGGGCAAGGAGAAGGGAAGGTACCGGAAAGCGACCTGCAGAGCCGCTTTGCTTTGGCACTCAACGAGATCGCTCGCATGGGCATGGTGCGCGGCACGCGCAGGAGACAGGAACACATCACGAAGGTCATGTGGGACCTCGTGCCCGACAGTTTTTAGTCTCACACTGCCAAATCACACATCTTCACTTTGCGATCCTCCCGACGAGCAAGGAGCCGCAAACAATGAGCACAGGGTCGTAAACGTGTGCATGTGACATCAAGAGCGTGGTGACAAGCATAAAGGGGATACAGATACAACGAGGTGGAACAAGATCCTCGTCTGAAAACAAAGCGTCCGCGTGTGTGCAAAGATTAAGCGAGAGAGGTGTGCGTCGCCGGGGCCAGAGCTCAGCCGAGCATGTCATCCAAGAAGCTTTCCAATCTTCCGAGCTCGCCGGGAGCCGAGTGGATGGGCATCTGCTGCTGGTGCGGCTGGTGATGGCTCGGTGGATGCGCCTTGACGGTGCGGTCAGATGCGTTCGAATTGCGCTGCGATGGACCGCACGGGTTCGGGCTGACGGAGTTGAGCGTAAAGACGGAGGGATCCTTGCCCCCCATGCTGCGGTCATTGAGACTCGCGAGGAAGCTGTCGATGCGTTCCGTCTGCCGCGCACGACCGCCAGCGCGGGGTGACGACTTCTCGGGCTGGGGCTCGTGCATGGGCGCATGAGCGAGTGGAGATTTGCGTCGGCCGAAAGTGGTGCTGAAGCTAGATCGCCCCGAGTTCACAGATGCCGTCTCAGCATTGAGGCTGCCAGTGCGGGTCTTTGCGAGAGAGGACTCAATCTCGGCATTGAGGCTGTCCGAGATGGTCGATGCTGTTTGCGTGTCTTCCTCGCTCGAGCCGCTCTTGCTCGAAGCGCTGTTGTCGGAAGAGTCTGTTGCTTGAGGTCCGATATGGATCGAAGGGGCGATGCGATTCCTGCCATCCGGGCGTTGACGCTCACCGACGCCATGGCCTTGGAAGCGTGCCTTGAGCGCACGCACCGCCTCTGCCTTCTCCTTCTCCTTCTGCAGGGCCTCGAGATCGATCGCGTTGCCGTCCGCATCGACGTCGAGCGCTTCTGAGTGCGAGTGCGCCTTGCTGCTGGCATCTTGCTGCCCTCCGCGACCCTTTGCCTTTTGGCGCAAGCGTTCCTTCTCATGCAGGTACGCCAAGCTGTGGTCGATATCGTTCTCGACGTCGGAGGCGGTCTCGTGCTGACCACGACTGCGGGCGATCTCCTCGGCAACGCCGGCTTGCGTGCCAGCAGAGCCGCCTAGTGCAGCGACACGAGCGACGAGATTGGAGATGTCGACTTCGGGCTCGGGCTCTTCCTCATCCGGCAGCCTCGGATCCTTGGACGCTTCGAGCCTTTCCAGCCTAGCAAGCTTGCTCTCGCCCAACTTCCGTCGCGCATACTTGCCTCTGGAGGGATTGGAAGGGTCTTCCAGGTGTGTCGATGACTGTGATGGGTCTGACACTGCGGCAGCTTTGGTAAGGCTCGGAAAATCGGCGTTGGCTTGCTCCTCTTCGCTGCCGCTGATGGATGCTTCTTCGCTATCGTCTCCATCCTCGAAGTCATCCTCCCCTTCCTCCTCTCCTCGATGAGATCCGATCATTGTACCGTCTTGACCGCTTTGTGATGAGGATTGTCGGTGCTTGTTGGCGAATCGTTGACGGAAGCCTGGCTTGGATGAACCTGGTTCAGCATCGTCGGCAGAAGCCTTCTGAGAGTGATGCCGTCTCGACGCTTTCGCTTTGTATTTGTTCTGGAGCACCATGGTGACGAGAAGAATGTGCTGTAACAACGGCGCGTGGCCGTCTCGTCTACGCTATGCGCCTGCAATGACGGTACGGCCGCCGCCAGTGAGCTGCCAACAGAGTGACAGGGAGGAGGTCAAATCGGGAGCTCGAAAGGATAATGGTGAGAGCAGGGTGGTGATGGTAGCGTTGAAAGCAAAGGTGGTATGCACTTGCCAGGTCAGGGCGCAGCCAGCAAGCAGCGAGGAGTGAAGCTAAGCTGAGCCAGGCTCAGTTGGAAATTGTTGGTCCTGCTGCTGCTGCTGCTGCTGCTGCCAGTCGGATAGATTTAGCGGCGGACTGTCAAAGGCGAGTCGTAAAGTTCGGGTCGGCTGAGTTCTAAATTGACACGAGCGCCGATGCCAGAGGAACTCGTTTAGTTGCTGATGTTCAATGCCACGCTTCGATGCGGCAGTGTTAGCCTCACAACCCATCTGCCACTCTGCAGCTGTAGTTCGCTGTGCCGCTGTATCTGATCTGATCCTCACCCTCGACTGGCGTGGACAAGCGATTACAGAACATGGGAGCGATGACAGCGGACCGCGCCGGCCATGCGACGACGACCCGACTCGAACTCTGACGAGCTTTGCGGGTTCTACGCAGTAGAAGCACAGGACGCCATCGAGTTCCAAAACGAGATCTCGGATTCGATGATGCCGTTGAGACATCTTTCGAAGACAGTAACTGGGCACGCTTGGACGAGCATGATACGCACCATGACGAGCGGCCGTCAGCTGCTCGCAGGCTGCAAGGCGTGTTTGTGTGGAGGAGATTTTGGATTGGGCAGGAGAGCCTGTCCTGAACCACGCACGATCTCTCGTTCGAAAAAGGCTAAAACAAAATACCAGCCGCTTGGATCGCCTCGATGAGAGCTGCCGATCGGATATTTGTGCGCAGACCGTCATGCCTGACCAAAAATACCTCTAAATGCGATCCACGCCCTGCATCGACAGCCCCGAGTCGGCAGTCCTTCAGGTCGGATGAGGTCAACATCACGACCAACGCCGAGACTCGAGAGTCTAGACTCAAGGTCTTTGCGTCCGTCTCGCCCTCTTTGACAGGCCACCGGCATTCACCACCTCGCTGTCAAAGCAGTAAATACGCACAGCTTCTTCACCATCCAATCGCCTGTTGCTGCATTTGTGGTCGGTTGCGTGCTCCTTCCCTGCCTTGATAGCTCCAGCGTGCTCGTCAGACAACCAGAATTAAAGTTGTTGCCGCACAACATTGCTCCGAGGTAAGTCTCCGATGCCTCGCTCGATCGACAGCTCCCTGTATCCACGGATCAGTGCTGACACTATTAGCCCGGGAGACGAGCTTGTGCCACGGTAACAGTGCATGCGGCAACTCGTAATGTTGTTGCCGCCGGTCAGTGAGTGTTTTGTCCTCATGGTCGGAGCTAGCCTCGTTGTTTGGCTGCTAGGCTTTTGGTGACTGAGTCGATGTAGGTCTGAAGCATCTCGTTGTCGGCTTCCGCCTTCTTGCAGTCGTCCTTGACCGTATTGACGCGGTTGACGAGCGCACGCAATCCATCTTGCATCGCCATGATCTCGCTGCCGATCACACCATCAACAGAATTTGCAACATCATGTCAGCAGATGTTGCTCCTCGGACAGCCCAGCTTGTGAATACACTTACCGCACCAGCTTCTCCTTCTCCACCACTTCGTTGGCAGAGATCTCGGTCTCGGCCGTCCATGCGGCTGACTCGGTGAAATCGTCCGATGCCACAATGGGCGACGCCGTCGACGATCCTGTCGTCGTAGCCAGATCCATCGCGGCTGTGATCGACGATGAAGACCTCCGTCTGCAATTTCGGTAAGGCTTGTGAGCAGCAAGAGGGAAACAGAGTCGCTGCCAGAGCGATGATCTGTGAACGGCACTGGTGGTCGAGTGTGTCTGAATGGGCGCGGAAGCGATCAGGGTCCAGATACAGCAGTGCCGAACGAGTTCAGTAGAAGGGTCGGGACTCGGGCTGGCAAATGAAAACTCTCAAGCTGTGACTTAGCAACGACTCGACATTATGCCTAAAAAGGGCTACCGAACCCCAACTGAGCTCATCGTCGCAGTCTACCCTTCTTCTCGACACTCGACAGCATCTGAGGCAAGCGACGGGTCGGCAAGGATAGCATGGCAGCGCTCGTCTGCCTACACGACAAAATAGACTCCGAGCGGTCGCGCGCCTCCGCACCGAGTCACCTGGAAACTTACGACACACACGCACCCAGATACGCGGAAGCGAATTCAGCCACACTATCACATCGAACCAAGCTCTAAAACGAATCAGATCACCGTCTTGTTCTTAGTGCGGGTCCCTTTGATCAGCTGCATAGCTGGCAGATCAATGTAGAGAGCAACCCGCGGGGTTCTACGAAGAACAATCTTGTTCGCCAGATTTGATCGGCAATACAACGGTCGAACCGCGGCAGGACATCGATAAGCTCCTTTTCGAGCTTGGATCCTCGACGGACCGGTCATTTCGAACTCACACCGGTGTCCTAGGTCAATGGCTCCCCATTGTCTAGCAGCGTTCGAGGTCCCGACGCGGTCTATGAGCCAGCATGCCTTTGCTCTCGACCACAGCAGCCTTCACCCAGGATCAAGACAACAGCGACGGCATATTGTCTGAGACGCAGGGGCAACGAAGAGCGTGTAGGCGTCCTTCCCAGTTAGTGTCTGAACAACCGTATCTTGCTGCGCCGAGGCTCTGCTCACTTGACGATGTGATAAAGCGGCGCTCAGCGGTTGCACGATGCCAAGGGGCCTAGCAATGAGACCGCCGCCTCCTCCCATTCGCGCCCTGCAGCAAAGGGACCCGGCTCGAGATGCCGCCGCGTCGACCCACCTTCGACACGGGCGCTTCGTCCTCCGCAAAGGACGAGAATCGCTCGGGTGACGGCGCCGAGATTCGGTAGCCCCAAGCGCGAAATTGCAACGCACAGTTTGCCGAAGCATAAGCGACAGCAGACTGATCGAACAGTCGGGTTCCTCGCCGTTGTGCAGCCGAGCCCAACAAAACTCGTCGTGGCCCCGAATATGGTGGCAAGACCCTTGGCAGGGTCCGGTTGCCGCTCTCGAAGCGCTAGGGTCGTTGCGGGGAAATTCCTGATCCTACTCATGTCTAGGCGTTGGCATCTAAACGCCGCGAGGTGATTCCAGCGTAGCAGGAGCCAGAAGCTTCATCTGGTGATGCGTTGAAGCGCGGCTTGGCCTCGTCTCGAACCATCATGCCTACCGCCTTCGCACAAAGGGCCCCTTGCAGCAAGCAGATACGCCATGCTGTGGCAAGCTGTCTCGGACAGGACGCACGAAAGCTGGACGGCACGCGTGTCTTGTCAGGCTCTGCGTGGCGCTGGACAACAAGACGCCGCCGCCTCCGCTGCACGCTGCACGAATTGCTTCCCCGCAAAGGTGCCTGCAGCTGGAATTTCACCGACAAATCTCTCCGTCGGTGAAATTCACTTCTCGCTCTAACAGACGAGAAGAGAAAACTTGCCGTCCCGCCTCAGGCGGTCTGCCATTGTTGGTCGATGTTGTGACCCGTCGCACACCACCTTGTGCGCCTTGCAGCTTGCATGCGTTCTCCAGACGATGCAACACCCTGACAACGAGGGGCTCCGTGGGACAACAAGGTTGCATTTGCATGGATGGAGCTCCACAAAGGTGCCTCGGTCCCAGGAGGCTTCAGCTCCAACTTCCCTGAAATAGCTCCTGGACCTCTGGAGAGCAATTGGCACGCACAAACAAATGCCTTAACACGGTATAACAAGGCAACACTTTGCTCACTACGAATCGTTCTTGCTCACGGCCGAGTTGTCTCGCAGCGACTACGGGAGACTCTTGCACAAGAGGAGACATATCTCCGAAGCGGCTGCTCCCTGTCCGGACCCAGGCAAGCAAAGTCCGGATTCCGTGACCACTTGGTCTCAGAGGAGGGCAAATCGGAAGCACCTTGCGATCGCGACAGCCTCGCTTCCAGCAGGTACGGCCCCGTTCAGGCCAAAAGAGAGAAGGAATCCGGGTTTTTATTTGTATTTGTTCAGCTTTTTTCAGGCTCCGCTGGCCGCTCGATCCACAGACGCTTTGTGCGACAACGCCACGGCAGGGGGAGACCGTCCACCTCTACCGATCCGACAAAGGCTCGAGATTGCGGACGACTCCCGGCTAGCACGGATTCGTTGATTGGGCTACATCACACCGCAGCTCTTAGGCCCGGACGACGCCTCTTTCCGACGCACAGCATCGATGCATCTTGAGGTCCAGTCTCGGGAGAGACGAGGACCGAAGTCTCGATCCATGTTCTGCTTGGGCAGCAGCCTCAATCTGCACCTAGTGCTTGAATGAGGCATTTCGTGAGCACAAGCGACGAGATGCTGTGCTGTGGTGGAAGGATCTCTTTCCGGATGACCCGGGCGGTGGCACCCCTTGCTCGACCTCGCGCGATCAAGAAAGCAGTCTCGATCCGGCCTAGAGACGACCTCGCTCTCGACCTGCGGGAGACGTGGCCTTACCCCGGAACTCGACTGTTGACATGTCAATCCGTCTCGGGATGGAAGGCTTGACGATCGACGATCCTTTTCCGTGCTGGCGAAGTCGGTTGGTGGCTGTCTGGCTCCGGATGATCCACTGGAATGGATCGACGTCCTAATCCAGACCCTGAGATCTCGTGGGGTCTCGAATATCCGCATCAGAGTTGCAAACAGCGGGGTTGAGAGGACAAGTAGCGCGATGGAGCAGCGGTGATCGACGCACTTGGTTTGGTGACGTCTTCGATCCAATATCCACCTGGCTGTCAGCAAACGACCCCGCATTTTCGCGCATCATCAACGTCGATCGAACGGCACGCACCCCTCACTTGACCCTGCTTCTACTGAAAGCGTGCCATTGACGCTGACGAAGAACAGACGATGAATCAGCACGACCAAGCTTGCGGTACAGCTTGGGCCATCGTATCCGCATTTGCATCGACTTCGAGACCAAACAGCTTCGCTCACGATTATCACCCAGATCGAGACTGTTCGTTGGCCGGCGCGGAAGATGAATGACTCTGTCGGACCCGGATCCATTACACGATGGACGGCTAGGCATGCCAATGTCGTCCGGGTCTGCCGAGCCGTCCATCGTCTGGCTTTGCAACCATACCGACGGATGCAAGCAACGAGGACGACAGCGTCCAAGAGGATTGTCGCTCCTGATCGCCATCTGCAGCTGGCGTCGCGTAGGAATTGCATTTTTAATCGAACAAAAATTCCTTCACGCTGTGCTCTGCAAAAGCGAGACGGCAGCCGTCAACGGCAAGCCCGTCTCATACTTGGACGCCGAGTTGAAGCATATCATAGCTCGGATGCTTATTGGTGGCTTCGGTTCGAAGTTGCGAGCTGCCGAATGGTATGCTATCGATATCGAGCGCGGTTGTCCGATCCTTTGTGGCTCGATATAGACGCCGGACGGAATCTGGGACTGTCAATAAATCACAGGCCTGACCAGGTTTCAAAATCAGCACGCCGCGATCTTGAGCAGAGTAGAATTTCGCGACGCGACTTGTTTTCCTATGGCGCCTGCTGGTGCAGATTCGAGACCATGCAAGCACTGCGACTGCGTGCATACGGCCTCTCTGTTTGACGTGACCGGTGCGGCGGTCTCAGCCCGACGACACCTGCTCAGCTCTGGAGGTCGCTCTTCTGCAGCAGCGCAGACACACTTGCCATTGTTCGACATCGTCATGATGAGGGTCATCCTGAAAGCCCCTTTCCCGCACCTGATGCTGCTGAGCGTACACGTCTTTGCTCGCTCACACGAGATCAGAGTGGGCCCCACATTCGATTCGAATCATGGTTCGCTGCGCCACTTTGGGTGTTGCATCGCCGGCGAGCTCGTTGACCAATCACCTCTTCATCAGCTGTGGGCGGAGAGGATTTCGAAATCGACCCACAAAATTTCGAGGCTGGAGGCTGCAGAATCAACGCGGGGCGACGCAATCGATGCGAAATTTTCCTCATTTTTCCTGACTTCGATGCAGCAGCAGCCTGCAGAAAATCACCTGTTCGACGCTCGCGTGTCGGATCGATATTGATAGGGTCTTTCTCTCTCGAACAAAGAAACTTTTGCTGTCCACCTTGGCCTGCTTATCTGACGGCCATCTTTCGACATCAAGGTTCGGATCTCGCACTCTGAGTTCAGAGCAAGTGTCACACCATGTTTGTCACCGACCGGCGAGGATGACCGACGACGACGTGACAGGATGATGACCAGCGCTTGGATCGTCGTCGAACAGCAGCAGCCAGAACGGTCAATTTCCAATTCGTCCCCTTGCTGCTCACTGAGACAGGGGAAGAGGAACGCACCTGAACCGATCCAGCCATGATCAGGGTGCAAAGCCCGCTTACGAGCTCTTGGCTGACGGATGCTGGTTTTGTTGCGACTGCACGGAGCAAGTCAACCGGCTCGCACTCGCTTACGCTGACCCCGAGTCTCCCTTGGCGGGCTGGGTCTGCCGCCCGCCGAGGCGCGCTTTTTTTCTGTTCGAATAAATCAAATTCCGTTCCTCAAGCCAGGGCGCTAGACGGGGTCTTATTTTTGTGTGCGAGCGTGCGTCGCCATATCGCGCCTTTGCCAGCCGTCGTGACCTGCTGAGCTGGCTATGCAAATTTAATGCTCAAATAAAAACCGCAAAAATTCGATATCTGTCTCCGTCTGAACTCAGTCGAAATGGCTGCAATTCGCCATCATCAAACGAGGCGGAAATCGATCGATCAAAGTCAGTTTCTGCTGCTCCTCTGCCGCTATCTTTCCTCAGCTGTCACACACACACGCTCGCTCCTGGGCTGATATTCCTTTGTTGCGCGCCGACAATCGCGCCGTGCTGCTTCTTGTTTCACCACGCCGTCCCCCTTACACCCCGCGGACACCGTGTGTTGCGCTGGCGTTCAAGCCAAAGAGGCGCGTGTGCCTGTCTGTCTTGCCTCTTCCCAACTTTTTCGCAAAGCCACGGGCTTCTGCGCGGTGTCTGATTCTTTTGTACAGCAGGTATCGATCGATCTTACCGCTGCTGCTCAGCCGTATCCTCTTCTACTCACGGCTGCTGCTGCCGTCCCCACACTCGTCGATCCCACTTTGCACCGGCATAGTACCGTTGCTGCTGTTGCTGCTGCTCGTGTGCTCACGGCGTCCTACGCTTCTCACGGCGGCTCGAGGGTCTGCCTGGCTGGCCGACTCGCAGCCATTCTTCAATTCACCTCGCCTCTGCCAATTGCATCGCTTACATCTGCCCCCTTCCCTCTTCCCCCTTGTCGCACCCAGGACTCGGCCTTGGCAGCGCCAATAATAGCACAGCGCAGCTTCAACCCCGGTGCTCACCAGCTGTATCGCATCGCACACACGCATTCTGGGTGCCCCTCCTCGGTTCGCTGCTCCCTATCGAGCTGCACAGCGTGCCGCATTCCCCTCCCCCAAGCTTGGGTGCGAATTCGCAAGCACACGCACACAGTGACTGCGCTTCCTCCCCCACCATTTTTTTTGGCAGGGAGAGAGGGTCTTCTGTGCTGGCCTAGACGACGAGACCACCAGCTTCAACCAACCCCATCAAACGGTCCGTCCTCCTCATCTCTCGTAGCTTTCCTTTCTTTCTGTTTGTTCGTTCAGCCACCCATTCCGACGATCCCATTGTCGTCGGTCCCTTCTCTCTGCACATTCCTCGTTTCCGAATCTGGATCAGTTGAGCCTGCCAACCGCTCATCATCTAGTTCGTCCTTGCTTGGCTCCGACAACCATCGAGACTCCCCTCTTCTCGTCCACCAACAGAGTCTTATTCGTCATTCACCCACCTCTCTCGCGACCTGTCCTACCTCGCACCCCCAGTCGTCATTGATAGCGCGCCTTGTACACCTTCGACGGCCCCACGTACGCCAGCACAGCTTGTCACTTCCTCTTCTCGACCCAGCTGTTCTCCACGACCAACCCATACCATCGACGCTTCCATGCAGCAAGCTTCGTGACTACATCCTCGTCCGAGTTGAAACACCTAGCTCGCCCACCGACGACTGCACATCCATCACGTTATGCTAGTCAGCGCGCCCTACCAGTCCTTCGACCGCGTCCCTGACCTTCGATCTCAACACGCTCACGTTTCTTACTCGACGCTGGTCCCCGGCCCACCAGCCAAAGACCACTTCGACGCCATGACGCTCTCGTCCTCACACGCCAACACGGCTCTGTTTGCCGAGAGCCGTGGCAGCATGACCAACAGCACCACCGACAGCCACGACCAGTCTTCGCCCATCGCCAGCACTTCCTCGGGCGCGACATCACACAACCTCGCACAGCCGGTACCGACGCGACCCAAGAACCACGTTCGCGGGGTGGCCTCAGACTCTCGCCTCTGGACAACAGGGCGCAGCTTCTTCGAGGGCCGCTATCGCGAGCGTCAGGCTTTCGTCTCGGCCCAAGAGCAGAAGGACTTGGAGGCGGAGCGGGATGCCATCCAGCAGATCCAGAATGTTCAAGCAGCCAAGCGTCGCGCCAAGATGATGAGGCTCACCCCAGCCTTCCCTTCGGTCCCTCGCGAAAGCGCCCACACACCCAGCCCGCCCTCCAGCGAGGCTTCCTCGGCACGCACAGCGAGCGAGGCAGATCTCTCGACGCCGCCTGACAACCGACTGGCCTTCCCCAGCCCAAAGACGCGCCTCAGTATGGCCGCAAATCAGAACGGCGTTGCTCCCATCCACCCGGCCTCCAGAAAGGCGCTGGCGCTCAAAGCCAACAGCCCTGGCCCTGAAGTTCTCGGCGGCCTCAGCCTGGACCTGCACTGCTTGCCGTCGCCCGCCGGCGATCGCTCTTCCATCTCGTCCACCGCGTCCGCCAGCTCGGAACTTGTTCGCAAAAAGTCGGGAGAGCCCGTCAAGTCGTCTCTCAAGCAGTACTCTGGCAGCTACATTGTACCCCGCTCAGCAAGCGCAGCGACCTTCTCCAATCCATCGTACGGTGCCAAGTCGGTGCCCACCACCCCCAGCGCGATGAAGACTGTCCACTTTGACACGCAACTCGAGCACATCAAGATCTTCAAGACGAAAGGACGTCCCCAAGCCGTGTCGCGCGAGGCCAGTCCGGAGCACACCGAAACCGAGACCGAGGAGGAACGAGACTATCCCTGGTTCGGTTCCCGTCGCGGAGGTGGTTCCGGCCGACAAGCCGGTCACCGAAGTCCTGTCAACCCCACCACCCCTGAAGCTCTCGAAGCCGACGAGCAGCTTGTGCTCCGCCTACCCAACTTCCCCTCGTCCGCCAAGCTCTCGCTCGACAAGGACATCTTCCTCGAGCGCATCTACCTCTCGGACGACTTGCGATCCGTTCGCGGTACCGTCCAAGTCAAGAACCTCAGCTTCGAAAAGTGGGTCGCTGTTCGCTTCACGCTCGACCACTGGGCCACTGTCAACGAGGTGTCAGCCGAGTACTCGGAGAGCATCAAGGAGGGCGCTGCCGACCGCTTCGTCTTCTCCATCAAGCTTAACGAGGTGCTCAATTGGCCTCGCGGCGCTGGTCTCAACGAGACCAAGACCATCTTCCTGTGCCTGCGCTACACCACCGGTGGCCGCGAGATTTGGGACAACAACGACGACGGCAACTACCAGCTGGACTTCCGCAAGCGCCCTGTGCAGCCCGCCGAGGCGACACGCATGCCCCCTTCTTCGACCGACGCTCCGCGTGCTTCGCCCTCGTCGTTTGGCAACACGGCGCCAAGACGATATACCCTCGGCTCCATGGGCCCCTCCGCCACCTCATCCATCATCGAGATGGGTCGCAGGACCGGTGTCTACGGCCAGAAAGCCACGCGCGACCATGCCATGGAGAGGCTCAAGCAGGAGCTCGAACGCCTTCGTTCCGACGAAGAGGAGGCCGACAAGGCTCCTGCCTCTGCCGATTTCATCACCGAGCTCGCCAAGCGTCGCTCGCCTCCCGTGTCGCCCGGTGGAGCTGGCAAGCCCGGCTCGCCTTCCATGTGGTCGGCAAGGTACGACTTTGGCGCCTCGCTTCGCGACCCTACCAGTGGCAGTCGAAAGACCGAAGCGGGACGCGCCGCCGCGCTCGACTACTTCTCGGCGCGACCAGCAGCAGTTGCCGCTACGAGCCCGATGCGATCCTCGTTTGTTGTCAGTGCAGCCACGCCCTCGCCGGATGGATCGACGCCCAGGAGTGCCGCCGAGCTTGTTCCCAAGTTTGGTCGTCTCGGCATGCTCAGCCCCGGTTTGGGCGAGATGGTGGTCGAGCACCCTGTCGTCAGCAGCTCCAACACGAGCTCGCCCAGCGGCTCCCTGCTTCAGGTGCCGCAGGTGGGCACCGCAGGCCTTTTCAGCCCTGACGTGCCCGTCTCTCCCTCGCCCTCGGCCTCGGCGCGCTACCACTCGTTCCCGCCCAGCCGCAACATGCAGAGCTTTGGCGCGTGGGACGAAGAGCTCCACAATGGCCTCGGTTCCGGTTCGGCATCTGGTTCCGGCTCCGCGAACGGCTCTAGGTCGGGCACTCCGCCCTCGCCACTCGGCTTTTCTTCTTCGAGGATCGCCGTCAAGAGCGATGGCCTTGTGCTCGAAGACTACACGCCCGACGGCAGCCAGGCGTCGCCCAACTCGATGACCAACTCGCCCAACCCGTTCTCGCCTCCGCTCTCGGCGAGCTCGATCGACTCGGACTCTACGGCGATGGTCGACGCCAACGGCAAATCGTCCTTGTCGACCCTGGCCGACAGCCTGGACAACCTTGGCAATGTTGGCAGCTCGTCGTCGTACCGCTTCCTCCGAGCCGATCAGAGGCCCAGCTCGTACGCTGCCGGAGACGATGCGGAACAGCACGGATACTCGTCGTCCGCGCTGTCTTCCACGACGCTCTCCCCGTCTTCCGAGTTGGCGACGCCGGATGAGGAATTCATGCGCCCTTCGAACCTGACGAGTTTCAACGAACTCGTGGCGCGCTACTGCTGGAACAGCGACAATCAGGTGCCGCAAGCCAGCCCTGAGGCCTCTGCTCTGATGCCGCAGACCCCGCACACACCCACCTCTACCTCGGGTCGCTCGACTCCCATTGCCCGCGCTGGCGGTGCCTATTGATTTCCCTCGTACGAGCGCTCGCTAGCTGCGAGTACGACCCTCTGCACGACTCGATGACTTGGGCAGACCGCGCATGCCCTTCCGTTCACTGTACACTACGACCCCGTAAAGGGCAACGGAGCGATACATACACTCAGCGAATCCGTTCCGTCGCATTACAACATTCTCCCCTAGCACGTATCAGATTATCATCTTCTTAGCATTCACCAAGACCGTTCTCGCAAGCCGCTGCAGGCACTCCCCAATCCAATGCATTTCTCGTCTCTTTGTTGCGTGTGTGAGCGTGCCTGCCTAGGTGGTCAGCGCGGCCAGGGGTAGAGGATGAGCCGTGCGCGCTGAGTGTTTGAAGCAGATCTTGGGCGGCTTTGGCTGCTCGCTTTGGGCTTAGGCCGAGCGGAAGAGCACATGCCGTAAGCGAGGCCCGCACCACACGACCGTCCGCACGACCTGCCAGCTCAACCCGGATGGCCAATTGCGGGGAAGCATTGACACCCCGCCTTTGACCCCTGTCTGACGATCGAGACGAACCCCTCCTCACCGCGGTGCAATGACGCTGCGAGGGTCGGAGAACGGCATGAACAGGGCAGTCTACCCCGCAATCGTCGGTTCGACTCCGACACGGCAAGCGAGTGACCAAGCGAGCGAGAACCGTGCTCAACGTTGACAGACAAAGCGACGGACGCGGGACGCTAAGAGTAGTCTGATGGTCGGACTGTCAATTCGCACCGTCAGCATCTGGGTCGATGAACCCCTTTCACACCGACTCTCCCGAACCTCACGCACCGTAGCTGGCGAAATATATTTGCTATGATGACGGAGGCGAACATCAACCGGTTGTATGGAGTAGTTGGTTAACTTAGGAGATTCTGACTTGCGATCTGCCCCAGCGCGGGTTCCTGATAGTACGAATTTCTCTTGCCCTGGGTTCGAATCCCAGTACGACCTCATCTTTTTGTGCTCTTCTCAGGTACAGATACTTTTTGCCAGCCTTTTCTTTTTCTGCAACGTCATACTTTTGTAGAGGATCAAGTGGGAGCATCGTCAAGGATGGCGCCTCTCTCAAAGCCACAGATGATCGCGCGGTTCTGAAACAGTCACACACATTTTCGATCGAGCGAACTCTTTTGTTCGGGCACATTCTTGGAAGCGAGCTACGTTGAGAACTACCGCACATAGAAAGAGAGATGGTTGGAGCGTGACGGCTGGGTGTCTTAGGAGGATGCAGCTTCGGAATTACTCTGGTTGATCAAGCGGATGTACTCCTTGAGGTCTGCGATAGAGTAGGCCTTTTTGTCGGGTAGAAACTGCTTCATCTTGCCGTTGTCATAGTAGACGAGGGGGAATTGGTCGGCTGCGTGTGCGTCGTATAATCTGCGCCACTTGTTGAGCACCACCTCGTCGCAATTCGGGATGTTTGCTAGCCAGAAGGCTCTGTGCGACTGCCTGGCCTTGTGCTTTAGGGAGCTGTTGAGCTTGAGCTGCGCTGTCATGGGGCAGGAGAGGATGTCGTCGATTGTACGCAGTGCTGGTCCCGCCGAATAGAGCTTGAACGCGATGGCCAATCCGGCAAAGGCGGGTGGAATGTGGGCGAGGGGAATAACGTCGATTCTCGCATTGTCGACGCAATCCTGTACAGTCTTGTCCTGGAAGAATCGCTTGATGTGGTATAGCTGCTGCCGCGTGGGGTGACCATGCTCGAGAGAAGCTCCATGGTCGATCGATGCGAGGATCTCGATTCTGCTCGTCATGACCGACGCGAAATGCACCACCAGCAGTCGCTCCAAGGGGCTTAAATCTCTCCAGAGGTAGTGAAGGACGACGAGGGCCCGTTCAGGGTTGTAGGAATCGAACCAAGCCACGCGGGACGCGGGTCTGAGGCACATCCTGCGCCAATCATCGTCCAACAAAGTCACCAGCTCTTTTAGGGCGTCTAGGTCTAGGCCGTCTAGATTCAGGCCGCATAGGTTTTGGCCGTATAGATTTAGGCCGTCTAGGTTGAGGCCGTCTAGGTTGAGGAGAGGCATTTTGGTGTGTCCTTCTTGATGGTTATGGTTGTGATCTGCGGCAGATGATGGCGCTGAAGCAAATGCTTGTGATGGCTCGAAGGCGCTTGTATATTGCACCTCGAGGCATCAGCTTTCATTTCAAGCCGAGTCACATCGAACGGCCGTCCCACCGACTCGACCAATGTTGCATCCCACTCACTCGCTCACAAGTCACACCCAGACAGTCGCACAAGATGAACGTCCCACCTGCGAAGCGCAAATGTTGAACCCATTGCTGCAAAGTTCTTCACATGACGCACAGCCGGAGACAGCGCATAACAGAATGAGGAGGAAAAAGAATGGAATTGAAATGAGGAAGCCTTACAGGGAGGGAGAGAAACTGAGGATTTGCGATCTATGACGATGCGCAAGCGACAGGCAAGATTGAGGGATGCAAGAGGAGGGAGGGGGGCGCATCTTACACGCCTTCAGACGTAGTCACGAGGCGGATGTACATTTCGAGGTCCTGCTGAGTGTAGGTCTGCTTGTGCGGAAGGTATTCCTGTGCGCCCTGTTGGCCGCGCGTGACGTAAATGAGCGGTTGGCGCTCGGCGACTTGGGCGGTGTACAGCCTCTCCCACTTGTCTTTCCCAGCCTTGGAGGGTCTACCCGCGTTGACGGTGAGCCAGAACTGACGATGGTGGTGCTTAGCACGAGCGTGAAGGGCGTCATCGAGCTTAATCTGCACGGCCGTGGGTCGGGAGAGGATACCTTCCACGGTCCGCGCGTTGCCCGGGTGAAGGCTTACGGAGTGCATGATGTCGAAGCTCGCTTGGCTAACTAGAACGTGCGGGATGGCGATCCTCGAGCCGTCCGTACACTCGAGCGCATGCTGGACGGTGCGATTCAGGATGAAGTCCCGCACCTTGACCCGAACCGCTTCCGGATATGTCGTGCCGCCTCCGTTTGATAGGAAGGACAGGATAGTGTCGCGGCTCGCCTCGTGGTTTACAGACAGAACCACCAGCTGGCGCACATACCAGTATTCCATTTCGCTCAGCCCCGCCTCCTGGATCAGTCGGGAGAAGCTTTCACCGTAGCGATAAGGGTCGTAGTCGGACAGCGAGTCAAGCAGATCCAGCCGCGTGATCGAAGGCGTGTGCTGAGGTGGCGGCATCTTGTTGAGGAAGCGGATGTTGCTGAGCAGAGTTGGAAACAGGGCAATCACTTGCCGGGACAGAGTGGTGGTGAAACATCACGAAGAGTCTCTTCTTCCCGCTCTCAGATGATCGACCCCGACCAGCCCACCTGGTTTCAACACTTCATACCCTTTCGCCCCACTTACTCGTCAGCAAGTCACAATCAACCACCCACGCACCATCCAAAGCGTCACGCACAGCTCATCACGCACCATTCGAAGCGTCACGCACAGCTCATCGCTGCTTCATCGCCCACGTGTCTTCGTAGTCGAAGACAATGCAGCAGCGCTCCTCGATACACAGCTGGCAACGGCAAGATGAGGGGGGAATGAAAATGTAATTGAAATGAAAACATTTTGAGAGGGGAGAGAGAGAGAGAGGGAAAAAGCTGTGGAACTGCGATCTGTGACGATGCGCAAGTGACAGGCAAGATTAGAGGAGATTATAGGAAGAGAGGGGGAAAGGAGCAGAACGGAAAACCGACAAGGATGTCAAGAAGACGTTGGGAATTGAGCTGGCCTATGAAAGCTGCAGCCCTTCACGGGAGCCTTCGGCCCCAGCCCAAAACATTCTGCAAACTCGGTTCGGCCCGGAGATACGTCTGGAGGTGCTCGGGCAAGCTTTCGAGGGGCTGCAGACCGTGGACGCGCGTGGCGGTCTGGCGCTGGAACATGATCCCCTGATCGGTGGGCCAGACGCTGATCGTCTCCGCCTTCCGCTCCGGGTGGTGGAACGCCTGAGTCAAATCGAATGGCTCATCGGCGACCATCACAGGCAGCGTCCTAGCGTACCCAGGCGACATGGTGCTCTTAGCCACGATCTTGACACCGGGGATGCCTTCAAAGTGCTGACGAATCTCCGAGGGAAGCGCGCTCCACCGGGTCGTGCGATAGAGCTTGTCGGGGACGCCATCGCTACGCAGACGGACGAAATTGAAGACGTACTTGCCATCGCGGCCCTGGGTGAGCGTGATGCGCTCGCCGTGGTACGGGATTGTGTGCAGGGGATGGTCCATCGTCGGCGTTGGAGGAGCGCGCTTGAAGAAGCGGAAGCCACGAGCGGTGTTATGCGAGAACCCTTGCTTGTTCGTGCCCCGCGTCGCCTCGGCCAACGCGCCCGACAGCGCAGGTTGACTGTGCAGATAGGCCTTCAGGTGCGCAGGCAGCTCCGCGAACTTGACCGCATTCTCCGATCCGCGCTGGAAGACGATCTTGCCCGACGACTTGCGCAGGATCTGGATGGTCTCTGCGGGGAAACCAGCGTGGACGTACTCGACCGTGTGCAGCGTCTCGAGAGGAGCACGCTTGAAGAAGCGGAAGCTGCGCAGAGGGAATCCGAACTTCTTGGTCGTGCGCCCCGCGTCTGCCAAGATCGCCTCAATGCCAGGCTGACTGCGAAGGTAGGATCGCAGGTGCCCCGGTAGCTGCGAGAACTTGACCAGCTCGCCAGAGGCGCGCGAGAACACCACCTTGCCGGAGGACTTGCGCAGCACCTGGATCGTCTCGGGTGGGAACTCGGGGTGGACGTACGCGTTTTCGGTGTCGAAGAGGTGACTGCCTAGCTTGACGTCCAGACGCGAGGCCTCGCTTTCGGGGAGATGGGAAGAGGCAAATGTGCCCATGTTGGGCGCTTGCTGAAACAGACGGCTCTGGAGCGACTCGGACAGCTGAGACCATTTGCGATAGTCGGAGAGGGAGCGCGCGTCTTCGTTGAGAAAGTTGAGCCGGTAGGACGTGAGGGGATCGTTGGGGTCGCGAGTGATGACGACCTTCTTGCCTGGGTACTGGACCGTCTGCAGATACTCGGGGGGAGCGCGCTTGAAGAACCGGGCTCCACGCTGCGGCAAACCGGTCCGGGTGGTCGTCTCGATCGCATCGGCCAACATGCCCCTCAAGCTAGGCTGGCTCTCCATGTAGGCACGCAGATGTTGCGGCAGCTGCGAGAACTTGAGCATCTGGCCAAAGTTGCGCTGGAACACGACCTTGCCCGACGGAAGGCGCACCACCTGGAGGAGCTCGGGCGGGTAGTCCGGGTGCGCGTACACGGCCTCGTCGTCGAAAGCGTGCGAACCGAGCTTGATCTGCCAGCGGCTAGCGTCGCTTGCGGGCGCGTTGGACGATGCGAACACGCCGAGGTTGGGCACTTGTCGCGAGAGGCGCGTCTGGAGCGAGGACGGCAGATCGGACCACTTGCTCGTGCCGACAATGTTGCGCGCGTCTTCAGTGAGGACGCTGATCCGGTAAGGGGTGCGTGGATCGTTCGAAACGCGGGTGACGATGAACTTCTTGCCGGGATAGGAGATGGTCGTCTCGGCTTGGCCAGGAGCCCGCTTGTGCAGCTCGGCGGCCTCATCCAGAGACCTCTTGCGCACCGAAGAACGGAGGACCGACATCCAAGGCACACTACGGTCCGACTGGGCGTACCTGCGCAAAAACTTCTGCATGTGCTCCGGCAGCTCCTCGAACGGCGACCACTTGCGCGTCTCGAGTCCGAGTGCGCTCTTGCCGAGATAGTTGAATTCGAAGCGACCGCCCTTGCTCCTCACCCGGACGGTGTGGGGCTTGCGGTTCGGAAGCGTGTAGATACCGGCGGGATCGTCAAAGTGCTGTCCCACGACGGGCTTGTCCGCGAGGCGATTCCAGCTCCATCCGTTCTTCTGGAGGGGCTTGAGGGCAGGGATGGCCTTGAAGATCTGCTTCTGCTCCTCGGCTCGGAAGGACTGGATCGTGTTGGGGATCACGGCAATGTCGTCGTAGGGCAGGAAGCGATGGACCAAGATCTGTGGACCTCGGGGTCCTTTGTGGAGCGCGAAGCCTTCACCCGCGTAGGGAAGCGAAGGGTGCTCCGTCCATTCGCTGCCCCTTCGGACGACCTGGGAGACGGAAGCGGCGGAGGCAAAGTTGGAGACGAAGAGAAAGGCCAGCAGGCCGAAGGCCAACCACCAGGGCCGCTGGTGGCCGGAACCGCTAGTGACCTGCATGGCGGATGGGAGAAGAGGAAGCTTTGCAAGCAAAGGAGTGTGCTGTTATGGACAGAGTGGATGAGGATCGAAGGAGTGTGGTGTGCTATGTGTAGCGATGATGGTGGTCTTTGAGAAACTCGAGCTGCTGTCCCTCCCATATATACTTTCCGATTCCTGCTTTTGCCGACCAGGGAGCCAGCCCTGAGACCGTTGTGCAATGACTATGGAAGGTTCAGAGGGTGTGATAGGCGCAGAAGCATTGTCAGCTGGCGTATTCTGAACCCATTGGGCGAACTTGTTTGCTTTGGTCTAAATGATGTCCGCCCACATTGCAGCAGCTCCACCGGCGATCAGCACGGCCGCGGTTCCGTCCAAATGAAGATTCAACTGATGTTGTGTGGGGCGATCGAGGCGAAGCGATGATGAAGTGGCGGCGTTGATGTGTCAACCAACACGGAGCCTTTTCGGTGGATGCCACGTTTGATCCCATCCAACAGTTCGGACCAGCTCGACGTCGAGTGCGTTCTTCATCCCATCGACCTCCCAAAACGCCGGAACCGCGCCGGAGAGCGTCTCAGACGAGCCCACCAACTGGCGCAGGATTCCCGTTGATTCGACGAAAGCAGCAAATGAGCAAACACACTTGCCAAGGCTCGACGTCGAGTATCACCAGGGGTCAAGGTCAACTCATTGACATGCGCCAAGCCTCGGCGTCGGTGCTTAGCTGTGGTGGGCAAGATCATCTCGGTCTTTTTGAAGGAATCCTCGGTCAAATAGCAATAGGATCCAAGAGCTTCGATTGAGCAGTCGGAACAGAGGAGAAGGTAGACAAACAGATCCTTCGGCATTCTATCTAGTGAACCTACAGAGAATTCCGGCAATTCGACGAGCTCAGAATTTGAGCGGCTCGAACTGGTAACCACCGGCCTGGTAGAACTTGCTTCCGAATTCGACCCAGGCGAGACGAATGGCGTGCAACAGCGAACTGAGACCCTCCATACAGCACAGAATGGCAATGGACAGGCAGAACCACAGGCCAAAGGCGAAGACCGTGATGATGGCACCGACAACCCCCGTCTTGCCAAAGGCGTTCTGGATGGTCATGGTCCACAGCACCTCGGAGAGCTGGGCGTGGGCCAGCGACAGAGCCCAGAGACGCAGGTATGAGGCCGTGTTGGAGATGCATCCAAGGCAGAACTCGATGGTGTGGATGACCTGGTGAATCACGACCTCGCCGATGTTGAACTCGTGCTCCTCCTCCATCTCGCCATCGCCGTGGCCGCCGCCATTGCCGTGACCGTTGTCGCGCTGGGTGCGTGCGAGACGGTTGGTCTCGTTGTCGTCGTCCTCCTCCTCGTTGTCATCGTCCTCGTCACCGAGCGAAAGACCTCGCGAGCCATCGCCGCGACCACCAATGGCGCGGTAGCCCTGCCCCTTGGTCTTCTGGTGCTCCTTCCACTCGATGTACGGAGTGACGACGAGCATCCAAGGGACACAGATGAATGCGATGCCAAGCAGCACCGTCTGGACCATGGCCTGACCCGGGTAGAGCTCGGTCTTGGGGTCGACGGAGCCGGGCTTGAGAAACATGTAGATGAGCATGTTGAGCAAGCCAGGCGGGTTGTTACGGAAGACGGTGCCATTGGCATCCGTCTCATACCAGTCGATGGACCACTTGTAGACGATGGCGAAGACGAGGTAGCCGAACAGCGACTGCATGAAGAGCATCTGCGGCACAATCTCGGACCAGATCTTCCACTTTTGACCAAAGCGGAGGAAGTTGGGCACGTTGAGGAGAATGGCGAGCGTCATGTGGAAGACACCGAGGATGACGGACATCTTCATCTTGAGCGAGTTGGTGAAGACGAGCGCGTTGTCGGCACCGTGCCAGGTGGGATCGATACCGATGGCGTAGACGTTGCCGTTCGGGACCGCCTCGATGGTGCCCTCTTTGTGCGGCCAATCCCAACCCGTGTGGAAGAGATGCATGCTCTTGCTTCCGATATCGTTGTAGAGGAAACCGGTGAACATGGAAAAGACACCCATGAGCAGCATCATGTAGCGACCGTAAAAGAACATGGTGAAGATCTCGTTGTCGACCTTGGCGAGCTTGCGTTCGAACACGCACATGGTGGTGGCAGCCAGCGTCATGAGGAAGGCGTGGAAGACGTCTCCGAACATGACGGCAAAGAGGAAGGGAAGGAGGATCAAGTTGAAGAGACCCGGGTTGACCTCCTTGTATTTGGCGATACCGTAGCTGTCACCGACGGACTGGATTGCCTCGGTGTACTTGTTGGATCGCTGGAAGGTGGGGGGCATCTTGTTGGTGCGAAGCTCCTGCAGCACAGCGGGGGCGCTGGTGCCGGCGTTCTCGTTGGCGCGACGAAGGGCCAGCTGGATCTGACCGAGATCGCTGGTAGGGCACCATCCTTCGGCGACGAGCGTCTTGCGACGGCTGTCAAAGAGGAACATGTTGAGCGTCGAGTAGATGAGCTTCTCCTTGCGCACGACATCCTCCCACGCGCTGAGCACTTCGGCGATCTTGACGAGCTCGGTGCGTCGGGTGGCGCTGGTGGAGTAGAGGACGTTGTTGAGATCCTCGATACGGCTGAGGACCTCCCGGAGGCTCTCCTCGCGGCGGTCGGCGTTGCTGTCGATGGGGTAGAGGGTGCCACCCATGCTCTCGCTGATCTTTCGAATCTTGGCAAGGAGCTCGGAGCCGTGAGCAAAGATGATGAACACGTTCTTGCGGACGGGCTCTTCCTTGGTCGGGTCGTCGAAGGCCTCGTCGATCTCGGCATAGTTCATGTACAGGTTTCCACGGAGAACTCGCCAGAGGATGCGCTCAAAGATGGCCATTTTACTGCGGTCGATGGTGCCGGCGACGAACTCGAGGTCGAATGTTCCGTAGCCGCTGTCTTCGCCGCCGCGAGTGGTGTGGTAAGCACCGGACTCCATGTCGTCCAGAAGAGGAGCATGGTCGTCGTCGAGAGAAGCGCGGTTGTCCTGGCGTCCTTCTGCCTGGTCGAAGAAGACGGCGGTCTCTCGGAGGACGTGCTTGGCCTCCTCGAGCTCTTGCAAGCGTTTCTGAAGTGTTTCGTAGGAGCCGTTCATCTGGCCAAGACGCTCCTCGTGCTCGCGCAGCTTGACTTGGAGCTCGTCCATGAGCTGAGCGCCACGACGACCGTCAGGACCCGAACCGAGGCTGATGAAAGGAAGGGCGCTTTCGAGAGGACGGACTGGGACGCCTTCCTTCTCCATCTGAGCGTAGAGGAAGCGAATGCGCCTCTCCATCTCATCGAGTCGTCGAATGTCGGTGACGAAAGAGCGTTGGAATGGAGATACGTCCGGGTTGAGATCCTTGAACATGACGTTGCCCAGCTCACCGAGCTCCTGCACGGTAGCGTGAGCGGTTTCGGTGGGAACGTAGAGCTGGATCAGCGACATGGTCGCTGATCTGAACAGGCTCTCCTCCTCCGGCATGGTGAAGTATCTTTGAAGGTATACAGAGGTATACCAAGCAAAGGTGGGGGTTGGGCGATTGAGGTGGAAGAGGGTGGACGACGACGATGGCTGATGGCGAATTGTCGAATGAGGTCTGACCGCGCCTGCTGCCAGGCTTCTTTCTCTCTGCTTGCTGCTCGGTGTCGATCTGACGTTGTTCTGAATTTTGAGTGCCTGCGTGCCGCAACAGGGCGAGGGATGATGCAGGGATGAGCCAACGAGGTCAGCTCAGCCACGGATCCGACCTCTTTTTGAATTTCGCGCGAGCATGGGCCATCAAGGACAACTCCACAGTCTAACATGGTCACATTTTCTACTCCACCTCCTCGAGACTCGCACTTATCCCTAGAGGACCCTGTTGAACGTGTCAAGGTCACCTCAACTCGAGCATCGTCTTTTACCTCTATCCTCCAAACGTTGGGACTCGCTCAACGCAGCAACGAGCTCTCTCTCCACACCATGGCGCTCAGCTGCGAAGCCGAGTGCTCCAAGACGGCACAGAGGCGATCGCATAGACCTCGATCCTCCAAAGCTCGCAAGCTGAGAGCCACCTGGGCATCCGCGTTGCTGCTAGTTACGGCCACTACCGGAGTCGATGCCCTCTTCGGTATCGGGGAGAAGCGCTTCAAGTACGAAGGGCTCATCAATGCGGGCAGTCTAGGCCTCGACAGCATCGACGGCCAAATAGCAGCCTGGGGCGATTGGAATGGGGATCAATTCGTAGACGCCATCGTTGTCGACTCCGCCCGGCAGACCGCCAACATACACACGTGGGACCGCACCAGCTTCTCTTTCAGTAGCAGCCCAGCGGCATCCGTTCAGCTCGCATCAGGCAACAAGATCAGCAATGTTGTTGCAGCTGATGTCAATTACGATGGCAGGCTCGATCTGCTCATCATGTCGCAGAGCACTTCTTCTTCCTCGAAGCAGCTCTCCATGGACGTCTTTCTCGGCAAAGTAGACCTAAGCGGCTTCGAATCAATACCTCTCACTGCACCGTCATCGACGTTAGCGCAACCCATCACGTTTGATGCTTCAGGCGATATGCAGATGGACCTGCTCGGCATCCCCTATTCCGACACCGATGCAACCGAGCTCAAGATCTGGCGCAACCTTCTGGCCAACTCGTCCAACACGACAGCCGCCTTTGACATCACAGTTGCTCCCCTCCTCGATGCCACCAAAGCACCCGCATGCAAGCTCGCCAACCCGCACAGCTCCGCCTTTGTCGATCTCAACGGCGACTGCCTCGCCGACCTCTTCCTCGTCTGTTCCGAAGAGTCCCTCTTCAGCTCCAAACTCACCTACCAGATCTGGACGGCTGTCAAGCCGGACGCGAAGGGCAACGGATCGGGCTTCCAGCTGGCTTCCACCGGCGAGCTTCCACCCGGCACAGGAGCGCTCAGCTTCGGCGATGTTGATCGCGATGGCACCATCGACGTCATCTTTCCGACGTGCGATCGAGGTGGTGGGAACTGCTACATCAATGTTGCGTTCAACCATCAGATTCCACTCTGTTCGCCACGCATCGATGGTTTCTTTGGTGGTGGACCCGGCTATGGGCCTCTGTCGTTGAACAAGAAAAGAGCGAATACGACCCCTCGCCAAGCCAGTGCTTCTCCCGGCCTGCAGTGCAGAGAAGCAGAAGATCTCTGCGTAGCCGACGACCACTTCCACCTCGACTTTAGCATCAACAAAGACAATGCCAATCTGCTGCGCGTGCCTATCGACAAACTGACGGGCGACAGCCGCATCCTGCTCACCGACCCGCTCGCGCCCTCGTACCTCGCCCTGCCCAACGCGCTTCACCTCGGCGACTACAACAAGGACGGCTATCCGGATCTGCTCGTCGTCACCGTGCCCGACAAGCTCGCCTCGGGTGGCCGCAACAACGCGCAGGGGTCGGGCGAGACGCGCGTGCACATCCTGCGCAACCTCGAGTGCCGTCGCGTGCCCAACAGCGAGAAGGCCGGTCTGGGTTGCTCGCCGGACCGACCCGAGGGGCGGACGTTCATCAAGGTCACTGCCGGCGCCAACGCCCTCGAGACGCTGCGCGACGTGCGTAGTGCGAGCTGGCTCGACATTGATGAGGATGGCACGCTGGACATTCTGCTGCAGCGCACGCCCACTTCTTCGGAAGGCACCAATTCCGCCCGACGCATCACGTTCGTCCAGAACAACTACTTTCACGATTCGTTCTTCCTCAAGGCCCTGACGCTCAACGGGGCCTGTCCGGGGATGTGTGAGCCAGATAATGCACCGCGCTTCCAACCGTGGGGGACGAACTACGGTGGGGCGTCGTACAAGTTCACCGTTCTGGACCCGAACGGTGTTCGACGCGCCCAACAGGTTGGGCAGCTCCCGCAAACCGCCTATCGCAGCCTCCTCACTCCGTACAGCTACTTTGGCTTGGGTAGGACGAACAACTACGTCGAGAGTCTGTTTGTCGGCTCGACGCGCCGGCAGGAGGAACATTACCTGGCGCTCGAAGGCGTCATTCCGAACAGTCAGGTGGTGATCAACCCATGGCAAGGCGGGAAGGGGAGTGAGAAGGAAGGCGGTGGACCGGGAACCTGGACCAAGCAGCTGTATTTGCATCCGGGAGACTGGATCCCGTGGGTGACGGTGGTGCTCATCACCACGATCGTCGGGTTGGCCGTGGTGGTGATTGTCCTGCATGTCAATGAGAGGAGGGAGGACGAGCGGGAGAGGAAACGCGCCGTTCACGCTATCAACTTTGATGCGTTGTAGTCCGCATCTTCACTCTGTCTCACGACTTGGATGCTTCGGAAGTCAATCTTCACCGCTCTGGTTTCGTCTGATGTGAGTGTCTGCAAAGGTGGGCAGGGATGGTTGGATTTTTGTGGCCGTGTCGTGTAAATGAAAATGGACCTCGCGTCGGGGCGCGAAGCCTTTCGAGACCAACACTTTTTTCCGCCCTTCTTCTTTGCGTATCGCTTCACCTCCAACTTGGCACCTGACTCGTCACACCTTTGCCCATCTCCACACGCACAAGCCAGCATGACAGCAACACATCCCACACCATCCCAACCAACGGCTGAGACCCGCTCCATGCGAACGGGCGTGCTGATCCACCCGTCGCACGCGCAATCAGGTCGCTTCCTCGTCCTCCCGCACCCGCGCACGCTCGTGCCCACCTACTACCTCTCCCTCCCCTCCTCCTCCTCCTCCGCCGCGGGACTACTCGAACTCACAACACTGCAAGATACGCGCTACTCCCGCTCGTGGATGCTCTCGCATCTCAACCAGGTGCTCTCCTCGGGTCAACTGGAGATTCTTGCGCCCGTAGATGTGCGATTTCTCCTCATCTCGCTGCTGAGCCTGTTAAGCGGGGGCTATCGGTCTGTGGAGGATTGCTTTGAGCAGGTGGCGCTGGATTTGTGGGCGAACCGCAAGGAGGCGTTGTCGAGCAGCGTGCCCGAGGTCAAGGCTGCCGAAGGAGGAATGGAGGAGGTCTGGTCGGACGTTGTGGCCTTCGGCAACCTAGATGGCGTCCAGGAGGCAATGCGGGACGTATGCGACACCCAAACGCTCCCCACAGGCGATCAAGCCTTTCGACTGTCTCAGGAGAAGACATTTGCTCTGCTCAATACGAAGCTCGCCCGTCTCAGCGAGAGAACTACATTCGTCCAAGCACCCAACACCCTAGGCAGAAGCTTCGAACGCAGGTGGACGAGCGATTCGGATCCCACCCCCTACCTCACCACCGAGGCAGAGGATTGCGATGAAGCTAAAAAATTGAGAAGCAGAATCGCCGCCGAAGTCATCGCTACCAATCTACCGCCCAAGCTGGCCGCAGAGTACTTTGCGCATTTGGGCATCAGTCTCGATTGAATGGAATGCAACGAATCGCAACACACACAGGGGGTTCCTAATGCGGTCAGTAAGCGTGTGCTTTGTGAGTGCAAACCCGTCAAAATCGGCCAAAGATGGAATCAGGCGTTACACGCAGCGAGCTGTTATCGAAAAGTATATTGCATGACGTGGAACAAAGGCAGAGACTCAAAACAACCAGTGGCGGCTGGACAGCGTCGTAATCTTGCTGCGGATCACAGCCGCCTCTCGCTTGAGTTTTCGAGATGAAAGAAAGGATGCTACGAAAGAACGACGGACCACTTGGGTCGCCGCTCAGCGCTGCAGGTGGTCAGCCCAGATGTTGGCCGCGATCTCCGCCTCGGCCCTGTCGCCGTTGGCCAACAGCTTCTCCTTGTTGTACAGCAGCTCCTCCCTGGTCTCGGTCGAGTACTCTGTGTTCTGCGTCTCGACAATGGCGTCCACCGGGCAGGCTTCTTGGCAGAAGCCGCAGTAGATACACTTGGTCATGTCGATGTCGTACCTGGTGGTCCTCCTAGCGCCGTCCTCACGGGGTTCGCTCTCGATGGTGATGGCCTGGGCGGGGCAGATGGCTTCGCACAGCTTGCATGCGATGCAGCGCTCCTCACCGGTAGGGTAACGACGGAGGGCGTGCTCACCTCGGAATCGTGGCGAGAGCGGTCCCTTCTCGAACGGGTACATGATGGTGTACGGTGGGCGGAAGAAGTTCTCCAGCACGATCCACATGCCGCGAAGGATCTCGGTGAAGAAGAAGAGCTGGCCGGCCTTGTCGAGCGCAGAAGGGCCGACGGAGTAGTCTGGGTAGACAGGCGCATCACGAACTTGCGACTGCTCCGCAGACGCGTCGTAGGTCGCCGTCTGGGTGATCTCTGGGGAAGGAGGCTGCGCGGAGGGGGCGACCTGCGTGGGGCCGGTCTGGGGTGTGGCCAGCGAGCGCGCGATTGAAGAAGAGAAGAGTCGCGCGTTGTAGAGCGTTGTCGATGGCGCAGCGGTGGCGAAGCGGAGCGGTGCGACCGCGGCAGTAGAGGAGGAAGCGTACGATCGGCTGGCGAGGACTGCCGAACGCAGCAGAGATCGGTTCAATGAGGCGGCCATGATGGGTATGTAATTCGACGTCAAGATCGTCGAAGTGGTGTTGGTGAGGATGAGGCGGAGAGGATGCTGAAAGCCTGCGGGTGTGCGATGAACCGCTTGTCGAGCTGTCTGAGCGATGCCAGTGTTGAAAGAAGAGTAGGGATGACCGAAGTGAGGTGAGGGGAGAGAAGATGACGGCGGCGACGAGGGTTGACCTTGAATCGTCGGTGTGAATGATCGCGCGGAAATTTGGCTTGGGCTGGTCGAGCTGGATGGGTGGCTGAGGCTGAGCGTCAGCAGCTCGCTTTCTTCCCTGATTTGAAATCAGCCTCGCTTTGTCGCGCTTGCAGACCGGCAATCGTCGAACCCATGACCTCTTTGAATACAAATCCGTCGATCTCGAAATACGAGAATTCAAGTCAAGCGCTCGAGCTCAATTGATTTTGAGGGCGACCAATGACAGCCATTCGAATTGGTCATACCTCGACAGAAAATCAGGCTTGCAGCGCCTGTATCTTTGGTCCACTGACGCACGGCTTCCGAAATAGCCTACACCTGACAAGGAAGAAATCGCGCTCCTCTGCCAGGCCGAGATTTGGTAATGGCAGAGATAGAGAGACAGCTGCTGGTGACTTTGGAAAGAACCTCGTCGCTACTCCACCTCCTCGTTCTTGACACCAACACCATCTCTACCCCTTCTCAACTCGACGGTGTGCGACCCATTCATCAACATGGCAGCTCTCCGAACATCCTCGCGCACGCTTCTGCGCTCCGTCGCCGCCGCAGCGGCCCGCACCAACGCTGTCGCTGGCAGTTCTTCCCGCACCGTCGCTCGTCGATCGCTCACCACCTCGGCCGTCCGCTCCTCCGACTCGCTCTTCGTGCACCGCAATACGGACTACAACAACCCGGACATCCCCTTCGAGTTCAACGCTGAGAATGCCAAGCAGGCGCAAGAGATCATCTCGTACTACCCGCCTCAGTACAAGAAGGCGGCCGTCATCCCGCTGCTCGACCTCGGGCAGCGTCAGAACTCGGGCTGGGTCTCGATTTCGGTCATGAACTACGTCGCCAAGCTGCTCGAGATGCCGCCTATGCGCGTCTACGAGGTGGCGACGTTCTACACCATGTTCAACCGCGAACCGGTAGGCAAGTACTTTTTGCAGCTCTGCACCACCACGCCGTGCATGCTCGGCGGTTGTGGCTCCACCAAGATCCTCGAAGCCCTCGAGGGCAAGTTGGGCATCAAGGCCGGTCAGACCACCGAGGACAAGAAGTTTACCTTGGTGGAAGTCGAGTGCTTGGGCGCTTGCGCTAATGCACCCATGATTCAGATCAACGATGATTACTACGAGGATTTGACCCCGGAGAGCATGGTCAACATTATCGAGAAGTTGAGCAAGGGCGAGAAGGTCAAGCCCGGCCCCCAGTCGGGTCGCCACTCGTCCGAGGCCGCCACCGGAAGGACCGCTCTCACTTCAGAAGTAAGTCACCACTCGCCTCGATCGAATGGTCTGCTCGCGAGCATTTTGCTAACCTCTCTCTACGTACTATCACCCTTCCTCGATCGCATCGCAACAGCCATATGGACCAGGCAAGTTCTGCGTTCCCGACTTCGCCTGATTGCGTCTGTATCTTGTCGTTCCTTCATGCTAGATAATCTCGAATACCTCAGACAGACCGAACAGTAGAAGGCATGCCCTGAAGCTCTGCGACCACGCCATGCTCTCACGGTCGGCTCCTTCGTCACACACGCAAAGCCATGAGACAGGATGAGATTTTTGATCGGGACCATATGCACATGTTCTAGCCGCGCCTCTGGGATCAAGCGGAAACCATCAACGAAGCGAGGCTCGCCTCGGTCTGCACCACCTCGAGCGCCTGTTGCACCTCCAACCTCTTTCGCGACGCGGCGAGCCAGTCGGACGCGAGCAGCTTTGGCCAGCCCTTCAACTGGTTCAGCTCCCTCGTAGCCGAATCGAGGTCCTTGCGGTCGAGGTAGTACTCGGCCCTTGCGAGCACGGAGGGTACGTCTTCGCCCTGGACGAGGCCCTTTTTGTGAAAGAGGATGGGCGAGAGGGCTGCGCTAGCGAGGTGCGAGAGCACGCCCGCGGTTTCTGGCGAAGGCACGAGCGAGACCTGACGCAGACGCGGACCGACCTTGTTGTCGAACCACTGCTTGAGCGTCGTCAAGCTTTCGACACCCGTGTCGGCGGCGCCGCTGGCGTCGAGCGCTTCGATCGCGGCGGAGAGCACCGGATCCTCGCGCGCCTTGGACGTCCCCTTGAGCACCCTGAGCTGCTCAGCAAAGGGCACCTTGGTCGCCGACGCATCGTCCAGCGCATGCTGCACCGCCCGCACCGCCGTCCACAGCGTATGCACCGACACGTTCTCGTCCAGCACGCTGCTGTTGTCCAAACTCACCTTCTCGAGACTCTTCAACTCGGTCGCCAACTCGTCCAGCTTTGCGAGCCGTCCTCCGCGCTCCTCCTCCACCTTGGTCTTGATGTCCTTCATCCATCGACGTTGCAGCTCGATCCCCTGGGCGATGACCTCCTCCTTGAGCCGCTCGTTGATGATCTCGCTCTGCGTGGCCAGCTCCTTCTCGAGCTTCTCCTTGAACTGGGACATCTGCTTGGTGCGCTCCTCCTCGAACGACTTTTGCCAGTCCGACTCGCGGCTCGTCAGCTTGTTGGCGGCTTCTTCGGACTGCTTGGAGATCTGAGCCTCGTATCGCTTGGCTTGGGCGGCAAGGCTGTCCTCGACGCGCTTGGCTTCTTGGCGCTTGATGGCTTCAAGACGCTGGCTCAGACGCTCGAGGTCGACCTGCGCGTTTTCGATGACGCCCTTGGCGACGGCGCCCGAGGAAGGCGTCTCTTTGAGGAACGTGGTGAGTTCGTCGATGGTGCCGGCGAGCTGGGCGATCATGGGCTCGGAAGCCGAGAGGCTCTTGATCGAAGGTGCGAGCAGAGGCAGCTTGGGTGCCTCGGGATCGGGACGCAAGCGAGCGTTAGGCTTCTCGGGCGCCTTGAGACCACGGTCGAGACGCGGAGCAGCATAGCCGACGGGAGGCTCGTGGTTGACGGGCAGCTCGCCGGTGTAGGTCTCCTTGACCTGCTCCTTGGGACCCGTGCCGGTGGAAGCGCTCTTGGTCGGAGCAGCCTTGGTGTTGGCCCCGATATCCGTCTGGACCTGGACGCTGTCGATCGCACGCTGAAGCACGCCGCGACCATCCTGCTTGACCTCGGCCGCTTCCCCACGCACCTTGGCCTCGGCGCGCTCAGCAGCCGCCTTGGCGCGGTTGACCAGCTCCGTTGTCTTGTCCTGCACCGTCTTGAGCGCCGACTCGGCCTCGTCCTCGACCTTGCTCGCGCCAGACTTGAGCTTCTGCGCCAACTTGTCCGCCTCGCCCTTGACCGTGTCGCGCGCCTCTGCGACGCGGAGTCGCGCATCACGCGCGTCAATCCCAGCCGGCGCAGCATCCCCGTTGAGCACACGCTCGACAGCACCGCTCACGCTGCCGTACGCAGTCTTGGTGACATCGATCGCCTTGTCGCCGTAGCCGCCGAGGTTGATGTTCTTGATCTCCTGACCGACATCGTGCGTGTCGAGGTAGTCGATGATGCGCTCTCCTCCGGGAATGCTCTCGACGAAGAAGTGGTGGTATCGGTCATTGTTGAGGGCAGCGACGGTCGAGATGCCATAGAAAAGGGTAGCGCCGACGGTCGAGATGGCAAAGAAGCGGCCCAGGCCGGATCTGGAGGTTCCATCGGCGGCTGTAGCGTACGAACGAGCGCCGTTGACGGTGCGGGAGCGGGCGGCAGACGAAGGCGTAAGCGCGGCGGCTCTGCGCAGAGCAGCGGCACGATTCATCATGTTGACCTTGCGGTTGCAGGGGATCGAATCTCCTCGCTGCGATTGGAAAAGGTGATAGGATGTGAGTGATGAATCAAAAGGAAGGGTGATGCGACGATGTGCTGGCTGGAAGAAGTTGTGGAGGATCTTGACGGTGCCGAGCTCGAGCTTGAACAACAGCCAACCACGCTCGGTCTGAGCGAGACCGTCAGGCGCTGGTGCTCAAGATCAAGAAGAACTCTCGCAGCTGCCTTTGGATTCAGCTCTGTGCGTAAATCGGGTCGCAGGCCAGCCGCACGATCACACACTGGAATTCCGGCTCAAAAAATTCAACCGCGAATCGGAAGAAGCCGCGACTTGACGGATCCGAGAGGGTCTCAAGCTTGCTTTGGTGCTCACAGATACCGCCCCTATATACTGTAGCTCTTTCTATCTCGATCTTCTTTGTCAGGTCACGAGCGGCTCAGAACCCAAGCTGATTCGACTCGCTCAAGCGCAGCAAAAGGCCTCGTCAGAAGCTCATGGCCTTGAAAAGCTCATCAAGAAACGCATTGTAGAGACGTCGATCAGGCCATGGCTCATTGAGCAGCTCAATCCCGTCTGACATTGTTGCGTCTGCTGCGAAGCCAAAAGTAGGTGGAACCGAGACATTGTTCAATGATGTGCAGATGCTAGAAGTACATGGAATGCGATGAAGATGAGAAGCGCACGAAACAGTTCGTGAAACAAGGAGCAGTCGGGACATTGTCAACCGACGCGGGGTGCAGTGATGGGACCAGTTGCTGTTATGAGATTTGAGCGCGGATGTCAAAGCAGACTGGACCGGGCCAGCGCCGAGCAGGCAATATAGCTTGTGCAATAGCAGCGCTGGCCCTGCCCAATGCTCGACTTATTCGAGAGCAGCCGCACTGGAAGCACGGGGCGAAAGGGACCCCTCTTGCTGCGGCGGCAGCTCTTCGATGACACGATACGGGACGTGCACCGACACTTTGGTTTGAGCGACGCGACCACGGCCCGAGAGGCTGCTGCGCGGGCTGTGGTCCGAGAGTGTCGCTTGAGCGAGGAACGACAGCGCTGCCGAGGACACAGCAGCCGAATTGACCGATGTCGTCACGGTCTCTTTGGCCAGCATCTTGTTTGGGCCAAAGGCAGAGTAGAGTCCTGGACCGCGCAACGACGCATCAGCGTCGCGACCGCCCAACGACGAGCGACGGCTCATCCAGTCGGGCAGCTGATACCAGATGTCGTGCACCGGCTCCTTCTTCTCCTTGTAGGCGCTGAAGCGGAGCGCCTCGTGAGTCGCGCGCGCATTGCCCGCCAGAGCCCAGTCGAACTCGGATTCGTCCGAGACCGAGCTGTGGTTGCTCCAGTACGATCCAGCGTAGGACTGTGAGGACGCCAGCCCGCTCGAGACGCGGCTCGGCTCAGGCGACGACGCCTTTGAGCCCGACGTCGAGGCGGGCAGAGACACGCTCGTCGCTGCTGCCTTGGCGGAACGACTCGGCGTGCGCCAGCTGGACTTCGGCTCCTGCTGCACGAGGAAGCGCGGGTGAGGCGAGGATGGCGGAGCAGAGCTGGCTGCACGACCCCAATCGAAGCCAGATGGCTCGGCGATGGCCTTGCGAGCAGCGCGCAAGAGGCCGATATTGCCGGCTCCCATGATCATGGGCAGGTTGGCCAGGTCAAGGATCATGTTGGAAGGCAACGCCTTGCTGCTCGAAGCAACTTTGCGACGTCGACGTTCCAAGACGCCTGAAGCCCGGCTCTCGGAGCAGGAGCGAGCCAGAGACGGACGCAGCATGGAGGGTCCCGAGGGTTCGACGAAGAGCGTCGACTTGGACGAGGATGGCTCAGGCGCACTTGAGGTCCTCTGCACGCTAGGTCTGCGGCTGCCGCTGTCCATGATGCATGAGGGCTCAACGTATTCGTCGTCGTCCGATGAAAAGTGCTTCGCCGACGCAGCAGCAGTCGCCAGAGGTGCGCCGCTCAAAGGGCTCTCGGGCAAGTTGGAGGCGTCGGTGGAGAAGCGGAAGGATGAGAGCGTGGCTTGCACGTCGCGACACGCCGGGTTGAGCGATCGTCTTGACGACAGGCTGGGATAGCTGGCAGTCGCATGGCTTGGGCCGGCCTCGTTGTGTATTCTGGTGACCATGTTGGTGGTGTGGTGAACACTTGGTAGATTAGCGGGAGCAGTAGTACAGTTCCGGAGCGGTGCAGCGGTAACCAAGGCGCGGTGGCGGAGTGACGAAGCGCGAATGCAGATGCCGCAGATTCCAGAGCGGAAGGTGGAGCAGCTGGAGTAGTGTGACCTTCGAGACGTTAGCAGGACATGATAGAAAGCAAGATGAAAGCACCGAGTGTCGATGTGTAGACTGCTGGAATAGGGGAAGGGAGTCGCGAGTCGCAAGTCGCAAGTCGCAAGCTAGGAGACCAAGAGGTGACGACCTGCTAGCTACAGCAGGCTTCTTGACGGGGTGCAGGTGGCGAGAAGGCTGATGGTGATGTGGTCGTACGGACCTTGTCGTGTGTGTGTGTGTGTGAGAGAGAGAGAGAGAGAGCAAGGATGCGAAGAGAAGGAACAGACTCGAAGTGATGAGATCTGCGGTCTGGGAAGCAAGCGAACAGGCAGATAAGGGAAGAGCCAGCGCGGATTAGGGCTTGTCTGTCAGCGTCGGACCCTGTTCATTGTGTGAAGCTGCTTTCTTGCAAGCGAGGCAGTCGCTCTGGGGAGAAGCGGAGCGTCGGCCAAGTGAGGAGCGATAGAGCGCAATCCAAGGGTCAACCAGCTGACGATAAATTGAAAAACAAGACTCAGACGAGGTGCGCGATATGGGATTCTCGTCATCCCTTGCATATTGGCCTTTCGAGAGGAGCAGCTTCAGCCAGCCAGCAGCGCACGAACTTGCAGCCAGCAGCAGCTGAGTGTGGAAGTCGACGGAGCAGCATCGGTCCAAGAGACACTGGCAGGGAGCGGAGAGCGGATTAACTCTCTCTCCGCCTCTTTCTGCGTTCAGAGCGTGTCATTTCGTGGCTGGAGGGCTTGCAGAAAATCATGGCGTCGCGAGGCATGCTGACAAGACACAGACAGAAGTCGTACATGCTCACTGCTGGCTGCAAAAAGGGGGAACAAACAATGACACAGTCTCAGTGAGCCGGCAGAGGAGTTGGAAAAGGCGTCTTTACGCTGCTGCTCGATGACATCTCTCCCTCTCTCCCCTCAAATGTGCCTCTGTGGAAGTGGCTCGTCGGTCTTGCGCGGGATCGAAGGCAATATTGATGTTCCTAGCTGCTGCACTAGGCTGCTGGCCGTTTCGATCTCCGTCAAACCTTGAAATTTCGACAACGTTTTGATCGCGCGAGAGTGAAGATCAGCTCCCTCTCTCCCCCCTCTCTCTGCAGACCTTGACTCAATTCAAGCATGATTGAGACCCTGTCTGCAGCTGCCTCTCATTGTGCCCGAGCGAGTGTGGTCGTCAGACGCCATCCCATCTCAAGCCACCGAGATGCAGATCTCGCCACGCCCTCGGCTTTGCTCTTGTGCAAAGCAGTCGCAAGCATCCTCGTTGTTCTTCCATGTCAATATAACGCAAAACATGTGCTGAGTTGTGAGCTAAGCCTTGCGGTGGACGTCACTGATGTGTTTGTGCACACGGTTGAACCCTTTCTGCCCAGACAAAAGGGAAAGGGTTCCCGCGTGGCTCCAAGCGAGCACCTCGGCTACACCCTCACCACTGTCGGACTTTCTTCGTGAGAAAAAACTCGCATCAGGCCTCAACCCTAGCTTGCATCTCCAGCTGCAGGTCCATCCTGATCCACGCAAAGATTTGCTCAAGCAGCATCACGAGTCTTGCACGCTGCCGCGGTCTGCTCTTCCCAGTGCTTAGAAAGCAACTGCTCTGTGAGCATCTTTGGCAACGGCGTCACTGCAGGTCGCTTCGAGTGTCCTTCCAGGCGTGTTTTCATCGACGCAGACGCGAGGCCGGATCCTCCTTGTCATGACCAGCACGCTGTGTTCGTAGATGCCTTGACTGATCATTCGACAGGCGAAAGCTGAAGTGACTTTCATTGTCTTTGCGATGCAGGAGCGATGTGTGCTGGACAGCGGCAGGAACGGCTTTGGTGAGGGGAGAGCTCTTTGCGGCACGCACTTTACCCGCACAGCGGAGCTACGGGTCCCGAAGCAGCGATGGAAGTACAAGAACAACGGACAGGGCTCGTACCCGAACAATAGCTGTGCTTCTTTGCCCCTGCGTTAGCTTGCACCGAGGCGGGGTTACTTTCGCACCTCATCATCCACAGAACCGGCCCACTGGACCGGCATGGTTGCAAGCAACAGGATGAGCAACGAGCGGACCGGCGAAGATGCTGTACGACTCCGACCTCAGTCTTGACAGTCATCGGCCTGACGTCGGCCCCTTTTGCCGCCGAACGCGCTTCACCCGCACGTAATTAGAGCGAATCTGCAAAAGCATCGCGACCCTGCCCGATCAGTGGAGCTGCCTCATCGGGCGGCCATCTCGAGCCGTTCCTTGCAGTCGAGCCCGGCGGAGACAAGCTTAGATCCGCTGCATACTGTCGGATGTGGGGGCTTCCGCCTGACAGTGAAGAACGCCCCGGTGAAGCTGTCTTGCGGCAAACTGGCGTACCAGAAGCCAGTCATCGATGAAACTGCAAAGGAAGGAAGAGAAATTGAGGCTGCAAAAAGCCGCACAAAAATGTCCACAGGCGACCTTTGACGACATCGCAGTGAACGTTGTCGGACGACGAGGGCAGGTCATCGTACAGCATCTGACCATCATAGAAGCTTTCACCAAGAGGCTCGTCGACAGCTCATGGCTTGCCCGTCAGAAACGATTCGCGGCTGAGTGACGAGGGCGAGGTCAAATTTCCCGCATTGTTAGGCCGACGCACAGACACGGCTTTCAGCGCGGCGTCTTTGCCGTCAGTGCCGGCAATGCTTTTAAGCCTCACGCTTTACTACGGATCTTCGAGCTCCGCATCTGGCAAGTAGTAGCCGGGCTACGATCGACGCTCGACTCCTTCCACCTTGACCGTTCACAACAATTGTACCCCCTGCCATCGATCACAAAAGAAGGCAGAAGGAATCAAGATGCTGCCCACATCGTTGCAGAACAGCGCACTCGGCGCTGACGAGAAGCGCCCTGCAAGTCTCTCGACCGTCAAGTCGCGGAAGGGAGGAGCGAAATGGACCGCCGTTCTGGCTATGGTCGTGGGAGCGATGGCTTTGACGTTCCTGTCGCTGGACAATGCAGCATCCAACGCAGTCAACGATAGTCTGTGGAAGGTCACCCTCTCGCTGCAAGCCCACACAGACGCGTCGCTCGACGGCCTTTGCCCTCAACAGAAGCCGTACGACCTGAAGGACGGCCTGGCGGACCTTGATCGCAACCTTCTTGCTTCAAGGCTCAGCGCAGCGGTCCAGATCGACACCACCGTCGGAGACGAATGGCCTGATCCGGATCAGGTGCCCGAGCCATGGGAAGCCTTCCCGCGCTTCGCTGACTGGCTCAAGAACGAGTTCCCTCGTGTCCACGACAAGCTTGACCTGGAGAAGGTCCACCACCACGGCCTGCTCTACACGTGGAAGGGCAGCGACGACTCGCTGAAGCCGCTGCTCATGATGGCGCACCAGGACGTCGTTCCTGTCAACCAAGGCACCCTCGACCAATGGCGTCACCCGCCATTCGACGGCTTCATCGACGAAAAGACCGAGACAGTGTGGGGACGCGGCTCGACCGACTGCAAGGCGTGGCTGGTCAGTCTGCTCTCTTCCGTCGAGGAGCTGCTCGCCAAGGAATGGGAGCCCAAGCGCACCATCCTCTTCAGCTTCGGCTTCGACGAAGAGTCGGGAGGAAAGCAGGGTGCCGGCCACCTGTCCAAGCGCATCGAGGAGATCTGGGGTCAGGACAGCATCGCCATGATCATCGACGAGGGCAATCCCACCATCGCTGCGTCCGACGAGATGGGCCCCGGCATCGCTATTGCCATGCCAGGTATCGCCGAGAAGGGCTCGGTCGATGTCGAGGTGACGGTCGAGTCGGCTGGCGGTCACTCATCGCAGGCGGGCGCACACACCTCGATCGGGCTTCTCGCGCGGATCGTGACGCAGCTTGAAGACAAGCGCGATCGACTGGACGAGTCCAAGATCGGTGGGCCGCAGCTGCAATTCCTGCAGTGCATCCGAGATGGTCCGCGTATCCCCGGAGCCCTTCGCTCGGCCCTCAAGGACCTCGAGTGGGCCTCCAAATCGTCTTTCGAGCATCTTTCCGCCTACGCGACGTTGCAAAGCGTGCTGCCCAACTCGTTCACCACGTACGTGCTGCAAGCCGTCAACGCGTGGTCGGGCCGTGGACGCCAGCGACGCATTCACCAAGCCAGGGAGCGCGTGGTGCACGCCATGCCCGCACCGCTCCAGACGCAATTCATAACCACCACTGCCGTCGACATCATCCACGGCGGCGTCAAGTTCAACGCTCTCCCCGAAAGCGCCACTGCCTGGGTGGACCATCGCATCGCCATCACGAGCAACTTTGCCGAGCTCAAGCAGCATTACATCGACGCCCTTGCCTCCGTTGCCGGGCAGTTTAACATGGAAATGCATGCATTTGGCGAGCACGTACTCAACGCTACTTCGCCGGTGGGAGCTTCGAAGCTGACGATCAAGGAGGCGCGTGGTGCGTTGGAACCTGCACCATGGACACCGCTGGAGGGCGACAAGGCCAAGCCGTGGAAACTCTTCTCGCAGCTCGTCCGATCCGTCTGGGTCAATGAGGACGGGGAACCGGTGAGAGTGACTCCTTCGATCATGCAGGGCAACACGGATACGCGCTACTACCACAACCTCACGCACAACATCATCCGCTTTGGACCATCGAGCATCAAGCCGGACAAGACGGGCTTGGGTGCACTGACAGGCGTTCACACGGTCAACGAGCACTATCCCATCCAGGGCCTGGCGGACAGCACCAACTTTTACACTGCCCTCTTCCGCGCTGTCAGCGTCGAAGAGATCTGAGTTCGTGTAGCAATGACATTCTGTTCTACAACGGCATTTCTCTGTTGTACATTCCGCTGTGTCCACGAGGTGAGAGTCTTCTCTGAATCAACCGCTCCACGAGGCCCGGATATTGTCAAACATGCCACGATACACATCGTCGCGCGCCTTCACCGACTCGGGCGTCACAGGCATCTTGTCCCACGCGTGCTCTTCCCTCTCGACGCTGACCCAGGTGATCCTCTTGTCCTTCTCGGTGTGCTTGACCTCTTCGAAGTACTTGTGCGCTGTGTTGTGGAGAAGGTCGACGTCGCCACAAGCGATGAAGAGTCTGTTGGGGAAGCGACTCGTGTCGAGGCCTCGGATTCTGAACTTGGGTTCCTGGCGAGTGGAGAGGATGGGCACGTAGCTGCTGTTGAACAGACCGACGATTGCGGGTTTGAGATGGATGCCGCTCCTCGGCTGGTAGGGTGTGGGGCGCTCGGGCGGGGTGGGTGCGACGTCGACGGGTGGGTAGAGGCACGATACGGCGCTGATCCTCTGCGGACCAAACTTGTTTCCCGACGTGAGAGCCAGGGCTGCACCAGCACTGAACCCGGACAGAGCCACCTTGGTCACATCGAATCGATCGCTTTGCGAGAGCACCCACTTGACCACGTCCTCTGCATCGTTGTGACCAGAGGGATAGGGATATTCAGGGCCTTTACGGTAGTCGCAGTCTAGCACGATGCAGCCGAGCGCCTTGACCGCCTGAACGATGTATTCGCGGTCCTCGCCCCAGCTTGGGATGAGATAGCCGCTGCCGTGCCAGTTGACAATCACGGGCAAAGTCGATGACGCAGCACCACCAGCGGGCCGGTAGAGGTCGACACCGATCGATCGGCCCTTGTCCCGCGATGGAACGCGCAACACCTCGCGCGTGATGGACGACGGAAGTGGCCGGTTGCGCAGATACCGCTCTGTGCCACGACGAAGGTAGACCGTGCCGCGGAAGAAGGTCGCGGCGAGCTTGAGAAGCCAGTACCACGGCGAAAGGATGCTGTGTCCCATGATGACGACGACGGCGACGTGCGGAAAATTCCGAGATGAAGGAAGCCGAAATGAATGCGGAGGTCGAGGTGGGAAGTCGAGCTTATCCGGCAGGGGCGTGTACAAGGTACGGTGTGATTGTGGTTGCCGAGCGAAGCTTCATTCCTGAATCGGCGGCTAAGGCGAGTAACCGATCCGGAGGCTCTGCTTACTCCTTACCAGCTGAGAAGGAGGTGCTGACCCGTGACTTCCGCTCGAAAATCTGACCTTGTTAGACTTTTCAGATGCTTTGTATCGACGATACCGCGTCCACTACTTTGCCAACGAGGCTTCCGAGAGCTGGAAGGGCGGTATCGGTTTCGTGACCAAGGTGGCCATCGAGAAGCACATGCCTCAGCCCGCCGACGACATCCAGATCCTTTATTGTGGACCACCTGCAATGCGCGAGGCCGTGTTGAAGCACCTCGATGTGCTTGGATACGAGAAGGCTCGCTCCGCGAGCAAGCTCGAGCACCAGGTCTTCTGCTGATGGGTCTGAAAGCCATTAGACGAACAGAAGTAGAGATCTCACACTGCGTTTCAGAAAAAGTGGTCCGGGCGGCGTTCACAGAGCCAAGCCAGACGACACGCATCAAGGGTCCCAAAGATGCTTCTCTGCGTCGGAGAATAGGCAATTTGGCAGTTCATCCGACAACAGGACTTGCACCGGCGAGGCATGGTCGAGTCAACGCACCCTCCCTGCTCTCCCCGCCAAGAGCCTGGCAGGCCTGCAAAGAAGTCAATCTACGTCACGCAAGCTGACACTGCCATGTTGGGATCCGATGCAACTGATCGTCGTTGTGCAGCTCGGGTTGACGTGCAACGGTAAACACAGGTTTGGATTTAAAGATTTCCACGTCGCCTGAAGTCCGAGGTTGTTTGACATTTTGCCGCCGCTTGCTGAGACAAGGAAGGTCGACACTCAGTTCAGCGGAATTCGATCGAGTTCAATGTTATCGCAAGGCTTGTTTGATCATAGACATGGGGACATCGAGGGCGATCCGAACCAGTGTAACGATTGGGCGACGATCGCTCTCCAGAGACGATGAGCTTGTTTCCGAGGTCAGAGCGTCTACGTGGTGGCAAGCAAAGCGCGCTACCGAAGTGCATTGATAACACTCAGTACAACATCCACCCGAAGCTGCTTGCAGTCCGCGCTACTGGCGCACTAGCGTCCTCGAGACATCAGATGTTCTCTGCTCTAATGCACGCACGAGCTATGGCGCTTCCTTCTTCACAGAACAACCAGACAATGGAGACAATGGAAGCCGATTCCTACCAAGTTTCATGCCGAAAACGGTGAAGCGTGCGATCCGTCACAAAGTGCCCGCTCGCTTAAGGGCCGGACCGTCGGAGCTGCGAATCCGCCTGCGACACTACTTCTCTGCATTGCTTTGGCCCTGTGCATGCAACTTGGAACCACCCTCGCTGTCCTCGCCGCATCGTCCTTCTTGGCCTCGACTGTCGCACAGCTTGGTTTCGCCTTTGGCACATGCACGCCCGGAAATCCGGAACTCGTTTCACAAACATTCGTCCGCGGCCTGCCACATGCTGATCAGCCTGCGGTTCGCCCTCTTCTGCACATGCAAGACGTGTTCCTTCTCGTCCCGCCCGGTCGTGCGTGTGGTGCTCCTGTTTGATCCTGACGGGATCCGCGTGCCGTAGAGACAGCAGTCCAGTGGCCTGCAACGCGGTTCCCTCGCCGGAGTTCAGGCGACTCGCATCATGCTTTCCGATGGATTCGAGCTCCCGTCCTCATGAGTACGAAGCTTATTGTTGTTGACTGCAACACCGTGTGCATCATGCGAAGTGACTGATCAAAGCCTGTCATTGTTCCTACCCAAGGCGAGCTGATTGAAGTTCTCCCGACACTCAGCGCTGCGACTGCAGCAGGATCCCAGCGCCCACTGACCCCTTTGGTCCCAGCGCCCACTGACCCCTTTGGTCCTAGCGCACACTGACCTCTTTGCCCGCCAGGGACGATTCATATAAGGGCTGCTCTGGGCCTGGACGATCACGGCTGCCCCTCCTCATCTCGCATCTCCCCTTCCCACTCATCCGTATCTCTGCTCCGCTCGCTTTCCATAGACAAAGTCGAAATGCTGCAACTCCTCCTGCTCGCCGTCATGGCAGGCAACGTCCTTGCTGGCGACTTCACTGTTAAAATCCGACCCAGGCAGACCATGACGTATCCTACGCCTTTCGAGATCCCGACACTAGCACAGACGCCACAGGAATGGATGGACGCACTCTCTGCTGCCACCGCTGCCGGCAAGATCCCCAACATCGCCCCCGCCCAGCTCGTCGACGGCAACCCGGTCTACGCCAACAATGCCGGCTTCGATAGCAGTACCTGCTCCTGGACCGTCACAAAATGCACCGGGAGCAACGACATTGTCAACGCTCCTCCCCATCAGATGGCGGTCGGCTTCGATGACGGCCCCACCGAAAACAGTGGCGATCTGTACGGCTTCCTCAGCCAGGTCAACCAGTCTGCCACCCACTACATGATCGGCTCCAACGTCTACTCGTATCCGCAACAGTTCGCCCAAGCGGTCGCCGAAGGCAACCAGCACTTTGCCGTTCACACCTGGTCTCATCACCTCTGCTCCACCCTCACCAACCAGCAGCTCGTTGCCGAGCTCGGATGGACCATGCAGATCATTGCCGACAAGAGCGGCGGCTACATCCCCAAGTTCTGGCGACCGCCCCAGGGAGACATCGACAACCGAGTGCGTGCCATCGCCGAGGAGATCTTTGGCCTCACCGTCGTGATCTGGAACAAAGACACCAATGACTGGTGCCTGCAGGACGACGGCACTTCTGCCTGCCCCGGCGAGGATCCGGGTAAAGACTACGCCTCGGTCGCGGCTGCCGCCTCGGCCGGTATCAACGGTCCCCAGCAGAACGGGTTGATCATGCTGGAGCACGAGCTCACACACCAATCCATCAAGGTGTTCAAAGACTACTACCCGCAACTCAAGGGTCTTGGCTGGACTCCCAACAATGTCGCCGATGTCTTCAACATGCCCTGGTACAAGAACGCATGGGACAACGAGCAGACGCCCCAGAAAGGTGGCGTCTTGGACACCTTCACTCTCGGTGCTAGCCCTTCCCCTGACGACTCTTCCAGCTCGACAACAGCAACCGCTTCGAGCACGTCGAAGACCAGTGCACCCTCTTCTAGCGCGCCCACATCCACCCACAGCGCGTCTACAAGGTCAGGGTCCGCTTCGGCGCCGCAGAAAACCTCCAAGCAGAGCATCACGACGAACGGCGCTGCTGGCTTTGGTCCCGCGTCTTTTGGCATTGCTGGCCTCGCAAGTATCGCTGCCATCGTCGCAAGTCTTCTGTAATCACACACACTCGTTTTGTAGCAACGCACATAGACCTAGCTGCGGCTTGCATCCTCTTTCGCACATCTATCACGGACACTTTCTCTTGCTTCGACACTCAATATACCCATACGTCTTCTGCATCCACACAACACCTGCTTGAGCTTGTCTGAGCGATGCAAAGGCTCCTTCGCATCTGCACAGTCGTTCTCTTTGCTCAGGACCCGTTGGACGTCGCCTTAACGACGCCGTCAACGTCGTTGCAAAATCCAAGCAAGTGTGAGGACTTGACTTCAAACATGTTGACCAAAAATACACGCGTCCGCGCTGTCAGAAGGAACAGATCTGCTACTCACGTGACTGTCATTTTTGAGAATTGCGGCTTGCACTGTGCGTCCTTCCTTCTGAGCTTCCTCATCATCGACTCACCAGCAACTACACCCGCTTTGTCATCTTCTTGCTCACGATCACGATCACCTTCATCGCTTGATCGCACGTCACTCGGACTTGGGCTCGGAAAGTGCTTCTTCTTACCGGCCTTGCCGAACATCGACGGATGCACTCGATCTGATCAATCCACGTTCGGCACCCACAGAAGCTGCGCATCGAGCCCGAATCCGAGCCGCCATCTCGTCGCGCTCGTCGACATTTGCGGGCCAGCAGGCTCTCTCCCAGCAATGCCGCTGCCATATACACCATACAAGCTTGCGTCGGCATCGCTTGCGGCGCCATCAGCCCTGGTCGGCCAGAATCGCGACGAAGATGCCGTCGCTGTGCCCACTCCTCATCATCCGGGCTCGGAAGGTGAAGCCGAGCCCACCAACGTAGCTCAACATCACGCTGTCGACGCTCGTCTCTACTTTCCTTCTTCCTCGTCCCATCACTTCGACGGAGGGTACGTCTTGGCGCGGGTGGTTGCAGGAGGCCGGGAGCTGCAGCTGCTGTGGTCCACCATCGGCGACCAGACCGCTGTTGCAGGCTCCTCGTCCAAGGCGCTAACAAGGAAGCAAGACACCTTTTCAGCATCGCTCAGCCCAAAGTTGGCATCTGAACCTGCACGGTCCTTCCTCTTTCCGGCACCACTGCTGCCCGGCATCGGTCTGTTCGCCGATCCTACTCCGAGCAAACTCTACGTGATCGCAGTCACCACGACAGGCTTCCTCTATCGACTCGTCTTCTCGGCGCCACATCTCTTCCACGACTCCAGACTAGCATCCGACTGGTCCTCAGAATACCGCATTCAGCACATCGCTTCGTCAGACTCGGTCCTCTCCGCTTCGATCCGCGGCGCAGCAAACGCCGCCCAGCTCTACGTGATCGACTCCGGCCTTGCTCTCGTGACGTGCGCCGATGGCACCATTGTCAAGCTCAGCCGCTCGAGCAGTGGCTCCAGAGACACCAATGACGGTGCTTGGAAGGAGAACGTGCTTCGGCCAACGTCGTTCCTGTCGGGCGTCTCCCGCTTCTTCGGCAGGTCCAACGCCATCTCCGACTCTGAATCGTCTCCGAGCTACGCTCTCTCGCTCGATGTGTTTTCGGGCGAACATGGCAACGCCCTGGCTTTTGCAGCCAGCCGAGACCGCAAGCTGCGCGTGTGGAATCTGCTGACCGACTCGTGCATCCGGACGATCGACCTGCCGCTGCAGATGGACTCGCTGGCGTCGAGCGAGAGGCAGTTGGTCGTCAAGGAGGACGAGAGCGCGAGCGCATCGGAAGGCTCCGAGACACAAGCGTACTTCAGCACGGTCTCACGGCCTTTCGTCAAGGTCTTCACGCCTGGCTCGGATGACAGAGAAGGATATGGCTTGTACGTTCTGGCCTACATCCCAGCTTCGCCTCCTTCTGGCAACTTCTTTGCACTCTACGGCGTCGAGCTTGAAGACACCAAAGGCTCCTCGGGCGGACTCGGCGAAGTCACGCTCCTGTGGCAGAAGCGCTGCGACGCCGATACGCGCGGTCGCAATGTCGAGCTGCGAGACGTGCTCTTCACACCACAGGGCGAGCGAGGAGATGGCTGGCTCATGTGGGCGTTGTGGGATGCCGGCGCCGGCCCCATCCTCAAGTACGCCAAGGTCGGCGTAGAGGCAGCCAACCCCGACGAAAGCTCCATGAGCATCCGATCGATGGCCGAGGATCTCTCCAAAGACGATTGGCGCACGGTCTCTTCCGAACGCGTCTACAGGCCGCTACACGGAGAAGACTTCGAAGCTACACTCGAGGCGACCAGGGAGGTGATCGATGCTGCAGACATCTTTATCGAACGTGTTCTCGAGCCCGGCCGCTTCTCTGAGGCGACCTTGCGACTCGCCCTCTCGACCTACAAAGAAGTCTCCTCGTCTTCCGCTGACCCACCGTCGACCCTGTTCGCAAGCCTCCGCGACGAGGTGGCGGCGACAGTCGCAAGCGGATGCCGGCTCGAGAACGACCCAAGGACCGGCGGCCCGATGTACGAGAAGCTCTACGCTGCCCGCGTTCGCGAGTGGATGCGCTTCGTCGGGCTTGCAGAGCAGATCGAGGCGGCAGCGCGGTGGCCCATCGGGCTGTCACTTCCAGCGTCCAGCTTCGATGGCGGCAAAGGCGACGGCGAGCCGGTCGTTCCACTTGTCATCAGCAGAGACACCATCGCGCTGCCGGTCAACGAGGACGAAGCGAGCATCATCGAACGGCTACAGCGAAACCTCTTCGGCGCGCCAAGCAAGGTGCGCCCTGGTGCTGCTTCCGACTTTGCTAACGAGGAGCGAGCCTTGCTCATCCACGCGGCAGACTCACACCCGACCAACATCCTGCCCACGCTGGGTCGAACTTCCGCTACCGTCGCCGAAGTGCTCACCCTGGTGGAGTCGGCTTCCGAGCTTACATCCTGCTTCACTGCGCCAGAGCTGGAAGCGTTTGCTGCAGGCCTGCAGAACCTCCTCTCCGACTCACTCAAGATCTCGGTCAAAGAAGCACTCGCCGACGTCTGGAGCAACAACTTTGCTGCACTCGGCGGTGAAGAGGCAAGCGAGGTTGTAGCTCGCATCGCTACCGAACTCGGCGCGAGCCTCGACAGCACATTGACGGACATGGCAGTACTACTCAGCGAGACCGCCAGCGGTGCCAGCACACCCAACAACGTATCTTCTGTCGCATCGACCGACCTCGGCTCCGCTCTCGCCGCGGATGGGCTCGTTCAGACCCTCACGTCTCGTCATCGTCTTGCTGTTTCGTTCATGCTCCTGCTCTCTGCTCTGGCCGCGGAAGACAAGATGGCCGATGTGGTGGACAACGAGAGCAGACAGATCGCTTCCGCTCTGAGCATTTTCCAGTCGCTCGGTGCTGCGCTGCAACTTGCCCGCACCGATGCTGCTCTCCAAGTCGCCGGCAATGCGACCGACATGGCCGAATCGGACTCGATCGTCGCCAAGCTCAACCAAATGTCGGTGGCCGGACGCAAGAGTCGCGAGCCGCATCACTTTGCCGCGCCGACGCTGCTGCACCAGTGCGTGCGCGATGAAGTTCTCAGCACATCCAGCGCCTCCGCTGAGGATGCTGGGCTGGGCTTCTCGCTGAAAATAGCCGTGCTGAGGAGCCTCTGGTCGCTCGGCCTGACGGATCTGCGCGACACGCTGGCTGCCGGTGCCAAGCCCCTGTTGCCCTACTTGAACGAGCGCCACACGTCGCTCGCCTTCGCTGTTCTGGTGCAGGGCTATCCGCTCGCCGCCGAGACGTTCCTGTCCAGCTTCCCACAGACTTCAGCAGGCGAATACGTGCGAGCTCGTGCGCTCGTCCAGCTGCAGAGCCTCGACGACGCCAGCACGGCCTTTGAGAATGTGGTACCCGCGCTCGAGCTGGTCCCCACCGCACGCAACCGAGCCAACAACGGGCTGTTTGAGCTCCTTCCCTCCTCCATCACCAGCTTGGAAGGCGAGCACCGCGTCGCGACGTACCTCCGCCACGTGGCGCGCTTCTTCGAGCCCTTCGAGGCGTACGAGTACATCATCCGGTTCCTGCAATCGAGCATCGAGGCCGTCGGCACCTACTCTGACCCGTCCGGCATCACGGCGGCACCCAAGGAGGTGTGGTTCACCATCTTCCGCAGCCAGCTTGCGCTGGACGACTTCAACGCTGCCTACGCCACGGTGATGTCAACGCCGCACCAGGACGTGAGGAGGGACTGCCTGCGCCATCTGGTCAGCGTCATGTGCGAGAGCGGTCACATCCAGCCCTTGCTCCACTTCACCTTCCCGGGTTTGCAGAGCGAGGTGGAGAAGACGCTCTCGTTCAAGGCGCGCAACAGCGATGCGTTGTCTGAGCCGAATTACTACGCGGTGCTGTACGCGTATCATGTGTTTAGGGGCGACTGGAAGTCGGCGGGTGCGGTGATGTATCAGCAGGCAGAAAGGTTGGGTGAGCTGTACCGCGCTCCGGCGGACGGACGGGATGCTGTGGAGAGGTTTACGCTGGTGGCCGTCGAGCAGGCGCAGAGCTATTTGGCGAGTATCAATGCGCTGACGCTGTTGCAGGGGGAGCATGCGTGGTTTGCGCACGCGGCTGCGGAGGAGGCGGGCGATGAGGAGTCGCTGTTCGAAAGCAAGATACCTAGGGGTGCAGCGGTGAAGGGGAGCGATCTGACGCACTACATCCCCGCCTCGGCGTACAGCCAGCGTGTTCGGCCCATCCGCATCGTCAGCGTCGCAGATGTGCGACGCGAGTACACCCTCGCCTTGGCCAGGCTCGAGTTGGTCAAGCGGTACCCCGATTTGGCGCTGCCCACCACCGTGCTCAGGCCAACGGACGCCGTGCTGCTCTTTGTCAACTGCGGCGCATTCGACTCGGCCTTCTCCACAGCCTGGAGCCTTGGTGTCGACATGACGCCCATCTTTGCCGCGCTCACCGTCAAGGCTGTTGCTCTATCTCGCGCCAAGCTCGATCGCGACGCAGTGACACCCACTGAGGATGTCCATCCCGAGATTGCAGAGCTGCAAGAGGCGGACGAGGATGCAGCGGAACCGGAGGCGCTGTTCCTGGCGCAATCGGAAAAGTCGGCGTCATGGATAGGGCCTGCCGCGGAACGGGCGTGGCGCTTCGTACGCGAGCACCTGCGTATGTACGACGATGAGGAGGGACGATACCACCATGTCGTACTCTCGCGTGCTGCGGCATTGGATCACAGGGTCATCCCGGGCTGGTTGACGGGGTGGTTCACCGAGACGCACAACGCCGACGTGCTCCTGCGCGTATACATTGATAACGCGCTCGTCGTTGAGGCTGCCCGCTTTGCCATCGACAGGTTGCGCACGGCAACCAAACAGGTTGGAGGATTGACAAGGGCGAACGAGCAGTTCATCAGCGATCATGTTCTCGACACGATCCTGCTCAATCTGGATGCAAACGAGGGCACGGTGGTGCAAAGCAGGAAGGAGGAGGCGCGCAAGGCTAAGGGCGATCTGGAGCAGGCGAGACGCACCTATATCGAAGCGATTGGGAAGAGGGGTAGAACGCTCAAGCGACACGCAGAGGAAGATGCGTTCAGGAAAGAGAGGCGGGGCGAGCAGCTGCGTGCGTTCTGAATGCTTACCAGCAGAAGCTGCCGACAGTGTAGTTGCGGTGCACAATCAAGCACCTCCCAGATACTTTACGGTAGCAAAGCCATCCGTGTCATACTGTATGTGAGAACGAGCCAGGTGGTGGGTAAGCCTGAACGTGACGAGTCCGAAGGCCACCAGAAGACCGCTCCTGAACGTCCACGTGACAGGATGTTGATCCGCAGAAGCTCTCTGACGGACATCGGGGCGGCAGCTCATCAGAAGAATCGAGTCTCGATGTCGATGCTGATTCTCCCGTACGAGGCTACCTAGCATACCGCCGGCCGAATACAGAAGGTCTCGGTCTGCAAATAGGCTCACGGAGTAAGGAGATGCCCTAGAAAGGGGCCGGACGGAGCGCTTAGGCAGGACTGACGAGCTTCGAAAAAAAGGGCCTGCACAGCGCTTTCGGAAAAGACGGAAAGCTGAAAGTGTGGCTCATGCAGGCCATTGCATCGACTTTGGCTTTTTCGTAAGCCACGGTGGGACAGAAAGAGAGACTGACCTGCTGCCGTCGAATTCTCCGAAAGAGCGTCTCCGTCAAATCCGTGATTTTTCTTGGTGGAGCAAAGCGATGCCGGTCAAATGTTGTGCGGGGAGCGCGCCTGAGGCGGGTCGCTCGACCGACTGCAGCCTGCAAAGCATAGCTTGCCGTGAACTCCAGGTTGGTTGGCATGCCAACACCTGACGAGCCTCGACGAGCGAGACGAATATAAGTTTGTGCTGCTTCGAGGTTCTGTCCGACATCCATCACCCACGTCACGCTACCACCTCCTCGAGCTTCCCCCACCATCCTGAAGCTTTATCGGAGGACCTTCGCTCAACGCATCGCAATCGGTCCCCTCTTCCCTTCCACACCAAGGACACTTCCACAACCCCGCTCCCCTCACCACCCTCCACAAGCCTAGGACGATGCCGACACAACAATTCTCCGCACCCGGCCAAGCGGTCGAGGAGGCCAAGGCAGGTGGTCACCATGCCCACGGCACACACAACTACCCGGACCCGCTCACGCACATCGATCGGACCTCGTGGGATGTCACCATCGTCGGTGCCGGTCCTGCCGGTCTGATGCTCGCCACGTCTCTGGCTCGGTTTGGTGGTTTCGACGTGCTGGTCATCGACGAGCGTTCCGAGCCCACCACAGCAGGCCGCGCAGATGGGATCCAGCCCCGGACCATCGAGGTTCTCCGCAACATGGAACCCCTTGGTTCCGAGTTCTACGACCGCAGTGCACCATCGTTCGAGCGAACCTTCTGGGATCCTCGTTCGGATGGCCAGCGCGGCATCGAGCGCACCCGTCGCGTGCAGTCTTTCCCTACCGACATGGAGATCCAGGACAACTGCACGCTCGGTCTGCAGCAGGGTCTGATCGAGGGTGGCTTCCTCAGGGATATGGAGCGCCACGGACAGCGTGTCACCCGCCCTTGGGCGTATCAGGACTTCGAGATGACCGATGATGCGACATATCCCGTCAAGGTCACTCTGGAAAAGATGAAGCCCGTCACCGAGTCGACCAACGAAGGCGGCGCGCCCATCAGCATCATCAAGCCCACGGGCGAGACCAAGACGATCCGCACCAAGTACCTCGTCGGCTGCGACGGTGGTCGATCCAAGCTGCGCAAGACGCTCGAGGAACGTCACGAGTTCACCTTCAACGGCGACTGGGTGGACACGCTCTGGGCTGCGCTCGACTGTGTCGTCGAGACCAACTTCCCCGATGTTCGCAAGATCGCCGCGATCCACTCCAAGAATCACGGCGCGCTCTACATCTTCCCTCGCGAGAACAACGAGAAGGGCGAGCCCATCATCCGTTGCTACACACAGGTCAACCGCCTCGGGGGCGAGAAGAGCAAGGAATCGGCGCTGGATGCGCGTGACAAGGTCACCGCAGAGATGGTGATGAAGGCCATCCAGGAGATTGCGCACCCGTACCACTTCGACTTTAAGGGTGTCGAGTGGTTCACCTGCTATCCTATCGGTCAACGTCTGATTTCGAGATACTCGCTGCCCGCGGGCAACACCGCCAACGGTGTCTCGTTCCCCGGCCACCGTGTGCTTCTTGCTGGTGATGCCTGCCACACGCACTCGCCCAAGGCCGGTCAGGGTATGAACACTGCCATCATTGACTCGCAGGCCTTGGCGTGGAGGATCAATTTGGTCGAGAAGGGACTCGCCGACCCTGACACCCTTCTTGGCACCTACCATGACGAGCGACATGCCACTGGAAAGCAACTCATCGACTTCGACTCGGAGTACTCGGCGCTCTTCTCGGGAGAGGTGCCCAAGAACACGCCCGAGGTGGCGACCATGACCGACGCCGAGAAGCGCGAGCACTTTATCAACATTCAGCGCCGAAACGCCGCCTTCACCACGGGGGCGGGTGTGCTCTACGCGGACAACGTGCTCAACCACCGTGATCCTTCGCAGAAGCTGGGCGTCTCCAAGATCACCGACAAGCTCGAGCCTGGCCGCAGGTTGCAGCCCGCGTGGGCTACTCGATGGTCCAACTCGCAGCCGGTGCGCATGATCCACGAGATCCAGTTCACGGCTCCCGGTGGATTCCGCCTGTACGTCTGCGCGGGCGACCTGAGCAAGAACATGCGCCACCTCGAGGCGTTTGCCAAGCACCTTGCCTCGCCTCACTCGTTCGTCAACCGATTCCGCGCCAACCAGCGAGCGTTGCTGCTGCAGCACAAGGCGTACCACCAGCTGCCGACGTCGCTCAACACTGGTTTGGGTGAAGGATTTGCGTCGGAGGCCAACCCGTTCTTCCACATGCTCCTGATCGTCAAGTCGCAGCGGTTCGACATTGAGATCGAGCAGATCCAGCATCTGGGTGCGCTCAAGAGCATGCTGTACTGCGACGATATCGAGGCAGGGCATGGTGCGTTCAAGGTGACGCTGGACGACCAGTTTGTTGGCGGACTGCACAGCAAGTGGGGCCTCGAGAATGGCGGTATCGTGGTGGTTCGACCGGATGGATACGTTGGAGCTATTGCACCGATCGACCAGGGACAGAGCGGTTTCGAGGCTGTGGAGAAGTACTTTGACGGATTCTTGACACATAGGCCCATTGCTGGTGGTCAGAGGACAAGGTTGTAGAGGCTCTTTGCCCTGTTATAGTAATGACATTCTCGACAGCATGATCAGATGTTCTGCTTTTGTGCGTTCGTGTTCGGGTTGAAGGTCGTGGGTGAGAGCCAGTCGGCGAGAGGAGGGTGGTGATGAGTGACAGTGAGGCTCAAATGAGCCGTTGGCGTAGCCTGAGCCAGCTTTGGTGGCGAGGTCACCCCGGCCAGTCACATCGCTTCCTCCGACGACGTCTGACCTTGTCACATGACTACACTGCGCCGCTTTTCTCACGGTGTCATCGGCTCTTCGGCGCATCACACTTGCGTGAGTCACGCACCTCAAAAGAAATGGCTGAAGGCATACAATTACAGTGGCTCGAAGTGGAACGAGACAAGATACAGCGACCGACACAAGGAACAAATTATTAGAGCGGGATAGGCTAACAGCGGGTATGAATCGTTGAAAGGGGCAGAGAAGGAGTTCAGAGCATGCTGGCGATGCTCATGGAGGACCTTGGTGTCGCGGGAGCATCGCCGTCTGAATCCGCCGTCTCGTCTTTGATTTTGGTGTCAGCCGACGACTTGACCTGCAGACGGGAGGATCGCGACGCTTGAGCTCGGTCCATATCCGAAGATGCGTCCGAGTCGTCGTCTCCTTCGCTGATGGCGCGTGTCTGCGAGGGCGGTGCGAAACGGGATGGTGTTGTGGTGGAAGATGCTGGGTCAGTGGCGCTGCGAGACGGCTTGGCCCAGGAAAAATCGCCAAAGGTGGTGCGGAACTGCGGGTTGGGTTGACTGAAACGCTTGATAGGCAGTTCCTTGGCCTGCTTTGCGAGCGCTTCCAGCGACGAGCACGAGCGTTGACGATGCTCGATCAGCTCTGCAAAGTTGGAAAGGACATTGGCGAGGCTGCTCGAGGTGGGCCGATGTGGCATCGGGAAGGTTGCATTAGGTACACTGTTCGAGGTCCTGGATGCGGGAGCGGAGGCTGCTTCGCCAAAGGGAGAGTTACCTCTAGACATGGCGCGCGACTCCGGCGCTGAATGAAGCGGACCCTTCGACTCTACTGGCAGCGGGCTCAGACTGGGGTTAGGGTTGAAGAGAGGGTCGATGCGCACCGAGCTTCGACGACGTTCGAGCTCGAGTGCCTTTTGTGCCCATTCCTTCTCGAAGCGGTAGAAGCGGCTGTAGTCGAGAGCTGCTTCTTTGGCTTGATCGAGGATCGTCTCCGTCGTGCTTGCGGAGGAAGAATCCAGCGGAGGTTCGACGACATGCACATCGCTCGGCACACCTGAATCTATCGACTCGGTGCTGTTGTTGAGAGTGATGGAAGGAGTGCGCGCTGGCGACGGCGGCGCTGCTATTATTGGTGGGATCTCTTCCGCCCTGAGACCTACGGTTGCTGATGAGGCTACAACATCTTGCGCATTCGCTTGTTCTTCCGAGACGTGAGCGGCCGTGAAAGGGGCAGCTGAGAGCGGGCTTTTGGGTGTGCTGGGTGTCGGAGGCACCGCCAATGTTGCGAGCGGCTTGGTGGGCGACGAAGGGGCGGATGGCCCTGCAGAGGGAGCCGGACTGGAAGGAGCGGACGACTGTGGTGTGAGGCCGAGGTGGTTGGCCAAGACGGTAGCGATGGCTACGTTCTGGGATGCAGTCTCGATGTGACGCGACATGTCATGGCTCATGCTGGTGACGCTGGCTTTGCGTGCTTGCTCGATGAGCATGCCGAGCTGTTCGACGCGCTGACGCTTTTGCTCTTGCTCTGGGTGCGCCGACATGCGGCGTTGTCCAGCCTGGCTCTGCAGCACGGCGGCGGCGGCGGCAGTGGCGAGATTGATGATGCTCGCACGGCGCATTGGGTCGTTGGGAAGGTGAATCTCGGTAGCCGAGGCCAGCTTGAATGCGGTCGACGTCGGCGATTCTGCTGCGTCTGCTTCATACTTGCGCTTTGCGCTGTGGGACTGCGCGCCCGTTGGTGATGACATTCTTGGCAGGAGCTGGTGGATGGCGAGTGTGGGCGATGCACTGGCGTGCGAGTCCGGTGATGCGCGAGGGCTGTGACAGGCGTCGACTCGTGAACCTCGACGGGAGGCGGAAGTGTTGATGGGGGGAAGGTCGACCCAAGAAGCTCGACGAGAACCAGCTGGAGAAGAAGGCGTCAAGGAGGCTCTGCGGGTTGCGACGGACATGACGTTGGAGATGACAATGCTGTGGGGATCGAAGCGGTGTCGGCTATGAGACTTGGCTCGCGTCGACGAAGCTGGAGGTGCCAGGGGATATGCGCGGTGATAAGCTGGAAGGGAGCAGCTCGTATCGAGACGAGAAGGAGGACTGCGTTCCTTGTGCAAGAGGATCACAATGGCATTGATGTCGGGACCATGCTACTGCGTAGAACCAGGTCGAGGATGCAACGTGGCTGCTGGCTGATTGGCAGAGATGAGTGTATACGCGCCGGGTCGGGTCGAGACGAGGTTGATGCTGCGAGCGTATATGAAGAATGATGTGTTGAGGAGTCGGCTATAGTCAGAGAGACGATGACGGAGGCGGTGATGATGGTATGGCGAGACGAGGCGAGCAAGCTAATACGAGAAGAGGCTGCTGTTGCGAGCGAGATTGAGGATAGGGTCAAGGGTAGGCGAGGGTCAAGAGACGATTAATCAAGAGGTGAGGAGCGAGGTCGTGGAGAATGGCAGTCGAAGAATGAGAGGTTGGTGCTTGCTTGTGGAAGGCGAAGGCGAGAAGGGGTCCAGTATGACGAGAGAGAGAGGAAGAGAGGAAGCGAGAGGGGTGTCAGGCGGACAGAGCAAGGCAATGCAAAACTGAGAAGGCGGAAGCACCCAAATCAAATTCGAGAAGGGGAGAGAGCTCAAGCGGAGGGCATAGGGGGGCAGGTGGTTCAGCCAAGTCGGGAAGAGCGAGCGAGCGAGCGAGGCCGGGCGCAGAGGGCAAGCAAAGGCAGGGCACGGCAGGCGAGGAGGTGTGCCGACAAGCTGCGCTGAAATGCACGCATTCTCTCATTGTCCATACTGTAAATCAAACTAAAGTAAGGAAAAATAAAGTTGAGAACGGTAGCCTGCTGCATTCGAGTCTAGGCAGATTCCATGCTGTGCATCGAACAATGGATCCGCCTTAATGAAGTTAGCACCACCCCTCATAGTCTTTGCAGCTGTGCGCATTGTCTGCAAGCATTCGCCTCGAACAGATGCCACAACAGTCAAACAATTGATGGTCGGCACTCGGCGGCTGCGACCACTTTGATCAGCATCCAAAGAGGGAAAGACCGACGGCGAAATTTTCTATGATGGGTTCGGTAGCCTCGAGGCTGAACGCGGTCTCATTGCTCCACACGGTTGATCGGACTGACAGACTGCATGCATCCTTCTAATGCACCATCAGCGGCAGCGGCTCAAGGCATCCGAATGATGTGTCTACAAGCCGCATGAGCCATGAAGCACGCTTAGAGGGTCTGGATTGATTGGACCAGTCTAGAAAATCTGTTTTACAGAATAATAAATCTCTCCCAAATGACTGTCATCCGGTGCCTTACGAGGCTGGCCTCTCCGTCGGAACGAGTTTGTCGGCTGAAGTGCCCTCTTCTCAGTCGGATCTGAGAGCAAAGGGTCGCCCACCAGGCTCGCTTACAACAGGGCAAAACATGCCACGCGACCCCAACTCAGCTCGAATCGGGTCCATGCCAATGCGGTACACATTAATGAATGCTGCAGCTCGCAGTCAAGCTCTGGTGTGGCCTCCCTCTTTCCGCTGTCGTGCAGATCCCGCGCTGACGTGGCTCCAAAGTCCGGTGCCATCGCATTCTCGAAGCGACAAGTACACCTTGCCGTCTGCTCGGCAATCGGTGAGCGCCTCGTGCGTGGCCGGCCAGCTTGCAAGGGGCCATTGCAGGCGGCACGCGAGGCTTGCGGCATAGGGCGATGCAGCTCAGCGAAACAGAGACAGTGCGCGGGCGCAAGCAGACCGTGTTGATCCACGCCGGCTTGAGACAAGTCTAAGCAGACTGCCTAAGCGAGATGCTGTAGAAAGCCAACCTGAGTCGGACGCGGTGGTGTCCCGTGGTACAGACACCTGCAATGCATCGTTCCATTCAAGATTTCAAAGCATCAGTAGTGGTCCTGGGCAGCTCCATGTCGTTGTTGTTAACCAAGACGCCAAGCGGGTGTTCGGCGAGAAGAGCGCTAAAGCAACGACGAACCCAAGCTTTTCCCAGACGCATGCGAGCATAACCTCGCTTAGGCAAAAAGGAACATGCCACGCAGCTCGACCATGGTGCCATCCCCCATCGGTAACGGGTTCGGATTCAGAGCGACCCATCTGCACCTACAATCTTTCCTACGGGCACGAGCGGATGAGCTTCACCACATCACTCCGCTACAAGACGCGCTCTCACCGTCATCCTCTTGCCGAGTCTGCGGAGTTGAATCGCAACCAATAGACCATGTTGATGCACAATTCCCTGCACATAAAGACACGAGGGCCAGCAGATCCGCTCCCATAGTGCATAACCGCGTTTTGATTTGTTTGTCTTTGACTGATCCTGTCTCGTCTCGCCTATTACGAGGTGAGGCGCCGAGTAGCGCGACACGGGACCATCTCCGCTGTTCAGACAGCCTACTGCTCGACGCGGAGTCGGTACAGTTGCATCTTGTCGTGGCGATCCTGATGACCAACACCGACCAGGCCTGAAAAGCGAAAACCAGCTGTATCTTTGTCTCGAGCAAAGGCCGCAAGGGATTTGGTCACGTCTCGGGCGCGACAGCCACTTTTCTCACCCTCATCCCAGCCTCGTCCCGTGGCATGTATTTGACCAGGCCTCCTCGCAGATGAGACCTCACCGCCGTAAGATGGTGACGTGAGCCATTTGTCGACACACATCGGTCCGATAGACACCGAGCAGCAGCATGATGCAACCTCAATCTCGCTGGTCCTCAAAGAGATCGACCAATTCGTGAAGGTTGCGATCCAAAAAGCGAGACACAACCCGAAGCTTGTCTGGGCCTAGTCTCTCTCAAAGTGAGACATTTTGGACAGCATGAATACACACCTCCTTAGCCGAGAGAGCACCCTGCCCCTGACTACTCGGAGCCGACGCTGCTTTGGTTCACCCGACAGCGGATGCGGAAAATGGTCGCTTTTGGGGCTCCGCGCACATCTCCCTCTCTCGTCCCTCGTGATATCTGGGCTTTTTAAGCTGCTTCGGATCCTGATTTGTTCGTCACCGCAAAGCTTGCTCCGTCGTTGGGAATCACATCTGAGACGTAAGATTGTCAGTCCGATTTGCTCTTTGAATCTCGAAGAGGTGGACTGGCGTTGGGCATCTGCATCTGGTTAGTGTTGGCCTCACATGCAATTCGTGTGTCGGTAACAGTGTCTCTGGCCCCTTAGGCGAGTCAAGCCTTTACCACGGGCGTCGCAGTTTCAGCTCCCCCCTTCCCGATGCTCTGTTCACCAACGGATCCGAGCATCCGCAAGCCTGTTCCTGGACGTCTCTCGGCGGGTCATCATCCGCCTGAGGCGCCGCAGGTCCTGCACTTTTCTTCAATGTCAATATTTGACACGGCGATGCGGAGTTTGAACGGTTCGCCGTCTGCCCCCCTGCCAAGTCGTTCAGCTGATGGCGCCGCGCATCTCCGTCTCATGGCGTAGATGCGATGCAACGTCGACGACAGACCCTTGATTTTGACTATCAGGGTCGTACAGAACCCGCTCATGCTCCTTTTCTTGCGTCATGCGTCCAATTGGCTATGGTGAGGATCGGCTGAAAAGCAGCTTTGGGATCGGTAATCGGGTGGGAATCAATGCACGTGACTCTACCGACGCTTCGGCCTGGCTCTGGAAGCCTCTATCGACTATAAGAAACGTTGTTCGACCGCTTTGACATTGCACAGCGTCGCACAAGGGTGCTAACTGTATCGACGACGACGCTCGGCGCGAATCAAAGGGCCCCAATGGAGACAAGGATATCATTGTTTGAGGAGACCGCAGCGAGAGCACGTTTTGGTCAATGTCAAGGTTCCAGACCCTGGCGATTTCCGCAAAGTGAGCTCTAAATTTCAGCCAACTCCCGAGTCTGTGTTCACGACGTCAAACCTCAGCGTCTGGAACGCTTCCCTAGAAGATATGGCCTCACTGGGGAGCAATTTTGTGGTCGACAATACCGATTGTCGGTCGTGGTCCATCGCTGCGTCTCGAAGTGTCGCGCACCTGCCAGTTGGGTCGCCAAAAATAGTTCGAAGAATCAGAGTCTGGACCACGAATTGGGGCCCAGAGCTTGTCCATCACGCTGCCACGCTGCATCTCGAATCGTGTCCACATTGTCAAAGTGTGGCGTGCACCTGTACGAGCTGACCAAGGGTCTGGAAGCGAAGCCGAGAGCTGTACGCTATCGTCATCCTTCCTAACAGCGGCGCGGCTGTCTAGGAAGCGAGGAGCCTGGACCAGCAATCGACGTGGCCTCGACCCTACGTCGTTCACCCGCTGTCCCTCGTATCCCACGTCCTGCCCGCCGTTCCGTGACATCCGCTACCCACGCTGCATCGCGCGACACCCAAACAGCTCAAGCGACCATGTGAGCAGCAGGACATTCAATGAGCATTGCTGCAACTGAAGTCAGGCAAATCAGGTATACACAGATCGAAGAGCAGCACCCCGTTCTCCGCCTCCGCCTCGTCTTCGTGAAGCACCAGAGGCCGACTTGCCCAGCATCCCTCCTTCGCCCGTGTCTTCCTTGCCACCGGCCTGGACCACCTCGAACTTGTCCGTCAGCTGTCGAAGGTCCGATCCAAAGTCCGCATTCGCCAAACAAAGCGCAGCCCAAAGAAGAATCGAAGTCGGCGAGGTTTGCGCAAGAGAAGGGTGAATGGAAAGGGAGAGTTTTGGTCAGCGTCAGTGCTTCCGTGCCAATTCCCACGCTAGGACGGGTCCAGAGCCTCGCTTGTTTCGGCAAATGCAAGGTGTCCAGACTTACCTCGTTCATCGTATGCAGGCTCTCCGTGAGTACCGAAAGGTAGTTGGTCAGGAGGACGTCGTTGTGTTCCTGAAATGGGAAGGCGGCGCACAGGGCAGATTGATCGAGAAGGTCAGTTGGATGCGTCCCGATGATGGTCCAAGATGCTTTCGATCGACTCGATGAGATCGATGGGACGCTCTGTCGTAGGTCGCAGCTCTAACACTCACCCGTAGAAGCTCCACCTTGAGTTCCGGCAGCACCGTCTGTGGCAGGTTGGCAACAACCGTCTGAACCTGCCGCAACGCTTCGTGGTCCCAAGACGCGGATCCGTCCTTGACCGCTTGTAGATATGTGAGGACCTGTCGGATTCGGTCGTTGAGCTTGCTGATTGCGCTGTGTTGCGCTTGCATGCCAGCCAGCACTGTGAGCAAGAAGGAGAAGTAGAAACAGTCAGCTGCTATGCAAGAGGCAGCCATGATTCGACTGAGCTGAGCGATACGTACTGGTACTCTCATGATCACCTCCAGACTCGGCACCAGCTTTGCTTGCGTGGTCTACCGCGATGCGTTCTGCCTCGCCCGTCTCGATCTTATATCCAGCCGGTACGAAGAAGTTGGTGGTCTCACCCTGGACCAGCTCTGTGACCGATTCATAGACTCTGATCGGAAGCTCTCCATTCACCTCTGCATTCTCGAAGGATGAGACCGTCTGATGAAGCTGAACAAGAAGCGGCGTTTCGTTGTACGCCAGCAGCTGCTTGTGGACTTCGAGATCTTGCGATGTGGGGATCTCGCCGATCGTGTACCAGCCGAGCAGGTCGAGAGTGGGAAACACCTGCTTATACAGGCCCTGGCGTGCTTTGAGGAAGGTGTGATTGATCGCCGGAGCCGATGTGGGTGACGAGGGTGGATCTAGCTGGAGCTCGAACGAATTCTGAATCTCGATGTCTCGACCCTGCTGTGTCCCGAGCAGGACGCCGTAGACCGTCAGCTGGGCATCTTTGCTCTGTAGTCTCGTTCGCACCAAGTGCTCGGAGATGTTGAGGATTGGAAGAGGATGTAGGCTGATGTTGCTGCCTATCCCTGAGGAAGAATGAGTATCGAGAACGACCGGCGACAGCTTTGAGGTCTTAAGGTTGCTCGACGAGCCCGATGGCCCGGCCTGCGATGACATATCGATCCTGAAGCTGCTCCTGCAGGTATAGCTCGATGCAGCGACGTAGATCAGGCTGCTTCGAGTGACAGTGATGGTGATGAAGACGAAGGTATTGGAGTCAAGATGGCTCGAGCACCTCTTTGCGCTGTGCTGCTGCGCATTCTTACTCCACTTTGACAGGTGGGACCTTTGCACGTGATGTAACATCACCGAATAATCGCAAAGCGTGAGTCGCGTCTCTCACAACACTTTGAATCCTGTCCTTGTCTCCTCAACACCTTCCTTCCTCCATCCATACCCTTTCCGATCGCCAGTTCCGTTGCGCAATCATGAAGCTTCCAGCACGCTCTCTAGTCAAGAGACTCGTTCGCGCTCACCTTCCGCCAAACATGAGGCTCTCCAAGACCGCCGACCTCTACGTGATGCTCGCTTTCCTTATCTACATGCAGAGGCTCGCCAACGAGTCCAGGATGGCGCAGCAGGTCGATTTGTCGAACGGACTCAAAGGCTCGCGGACCATCACGAGACGCCACATCAATGGCGCTCGCAAACGTGTCCGTGGTTGAAATGCTCCTGTCTCCCGGCCACAACACGAACACGCGAACCAACATCATCAAGAGCATTCATCTAATCGAGCGCTAGCGTGAAGCCATTGGCCGATTGCGCTTCAGACGGCAGCTCGGCGTGCCTGACTTGGCGAAGATTCCGCTTTCAACACCAGATGACATCGTGGATCGACGCTGTCACGCGCAGCAATGACACTTCCAGCATGATCAGCATCACAGAAAGAGCGGTCAACCCGACTCGCCGTCGTCGGCATCGCACGCAGCTTCTTGTGTGGCCGATCGACCGATAGCCACAGCCGCTACCTTCCACCCGTGAAGTCAGCACGCTCTCCAAGACAGTCTTCATCTGAGACTGAGCTCGCAGACTCGACGATGCCCATCCCGCACGCTGGGCCATTGCAACAAGGTGTACATGAGTCATGTCATTATCTGCTCTACAAAAGCAGTCATACATCATACTATGCAATACAGCATGTCAAGTTCGTCTCGTCTAGATCATCTTACTCCGAGGCGGTGAGTAGTAGCGCATGAACGGCTTGGGGTTTCCCAACCTTGCCAGTTCGGCCTGGATCTCGTCCTCCATGGTGTTATTCCCACTGGGTAGGGAGCCCAAGGAAGGGGGAGCGCCGGTCGAAATGTTGCTGTAGACGGACGAGAGCGTTGAGCCGGTCGACTTGTCGGTGGCGTTGCTGACGGTGCGGCTGCCGCTGGCGGTCGTGGCCGTGTAGCGCGAGCTCGGTTTGAGACCCAATCGCGGCAGACGTGACGAGACGCTGCGATCCGAGCTGCCACTCACCGAACGGCTCGTCGGGATCTTGCTCGCAGCAGCGAGACGCGGCAGTTGGGACAAGGTCGAGCTTTTCGTCACCGTGGCTTGCGACGTGGATCGAGGAAGGGAGGAAGATAGGACGCGCTGAGGCGTCACTCCATTGCTCAGAACACTCGGCTGGATCGTGGAGGGCACAGAGCTGAGCGCCTCTTCCTCGACTTCGTTGTTCCGATTGTAGCCGTCATCGAAATGACCATTGTCACCGAGTCGCGAGTCAATGGTGTCTGCTCCAGCTGACGACAACATGGGCGCTTGTTCGTGCGGCCTCTTCAACGGCGTAGGGATGATCTCGTCCTCGATTTCTGGCAGCTGCTCATCCGGGATGTTCCAAATGTCACTGTCGTCCTTGGGCAAGCTGAGGCCCAGCAAGGTAGGCGACGCCTGCCGCGCCTGCGTCGGCTTGTTCGATTCGCGATGCGGGTGACGGAGCAGGCTGCTGCTTCGAGGCGTCGGAAGCGGCGATGCTTGGCTCGAACGTTGCGAGCCTCGCTCGTCCCTGAAGAGACCTCCGGGTCCGTTGAGCAAGGACACGGGCCGAGCGCGCGGCATCTCGCTTCTGCTCGTAGGCAGTGTAGCTTGTTCGGACCCAGGCAGGCCCGCGACGAACGCTTCCGAGCGTGTGCTTCTGTGCGTCGGCTTGAGCAGGGCCGAGATGGATGCGGATGAGAAGGAAGGCGGAGGCGAAACCATCGGGTTTGCGGTGCCACGCGGCGAGAAGGGGAGCGACGGGACGCCTGCTCTGGAACGAAGGGACGGGGGCAGCTCGACATCCATGATGGACCCTTCGCCGTCCTCGGAGCCCAACGTCTGATCCGCGGTCGAGTTGAGCTGGAAGTCGAGATAGCGGAGCTCCATGAGCTCGCTCTCCAGATTCTGGATCTGGTCGATTAGCGTCACTTCTCGAGAATCGCGACGCTCGAGTTCGCGCTCCAGCTCCAGCACGCGCGTCACCTCGGCATGGAGGTCCGAGGTGAGTCGGTCATAGCGGGCGTGCATGGCGTTGTTCTCGGACCGAACAATCTCGAGCGTATCTAGCAGACTCTCCTTCTCCAGCTCGTGGCGGCGGAGCAAGTTGGCGACCGAGTGCTGCGAGGCGGACGTGTTCAACGATCGTGGGGTGCCTAGCGTCTTGGCGGTGGCGGACGGGCTTGTGTGTCCTGCACCTGAGCTGGCCCGACCTACGGTCGTGTTGTCGGTGCTGAAGCGTTTGTGAGAGCCATCAATGTCGTTCAGCAGAGAAGAGGCGATGTGGTCTCGACCCAGCAATAGCGAGTAGCGGCTTGAGCTGGATTTGGCATCGGAGAGCGGACGCCTGCGGAACGCCGTGGCCTCCGCCGTGGCTTCGTCGTGCGCAGAAGTAGCCGTAGAGACGCTGCTTTGACGCAGCATGTGCGGGTTCATGTCCGTGGGTATACCCATGAGACCGGACAATGATGTGGATGTGCGCGTATCTGCAGCTGGGTGGGCGCGTGTCGAGATTCGAGCAGCTGGCTGGTTGAAGCCGCCGCCAGATGTGTCCAGTATGCTGCGGGTGGAGAGTGCCGCCTGGCTAAGCGGCTCGTCCGTCTTGGTCGATGCCTTTGCCAGAGGAGAGTTCTGGAAGGGTTCGTTGGCGCTCGACGCCGCTTGACCATGCTTCATCGGACGGCGCGGAGGCTCGAAGCCAAGGCGACCATCATCCCCTCGCATCTGGGGCGAAGGTGTCACACCGATGGCCGAAGACTGGACGAGCGCCAGCATGCGATTGTACGCCTCCTCGATGTCGCGCATGCCCTCTTGTCGTCTCTTTGCAGCTCGCGCAGGTGTGGCCTCGGACAGGATCGACACGTCCCCGGCCGGCCTTCGTTCGCTATCCGCATCCGCAACCTCGGACAAGAAGCTCTCCATGCCCAGCGTATCGACGGATTGATGGGCGAGAGCAGTGCCTGAGTCGTCTTTGTCGGTGAGTTGCGAGGAGCTGATGGCCCTTCGAACACTGCGCACGGCATCGGCAAGTGCGTCGTGCGACTCGGGGGCAAGCGTGATGCGTCGTCCGTCGTCACTCATGACAAAGGAGGAGTCGTCGTGCGCCCAAGCGCCAGGAAGGGAGAGCTCGTCGGCACTCTCGTTGGCGGCGTGCGAGACGGACATGGGTTGCAGCAGCCCGTCTCGAGAGAGTACGCTCGTTGAAGAGGGGTTGGCGTGCATCCCGTACGAGGCGCTCGACATTCTCTGGCGCAGAGAAGTCACGTCGAAGCTGCCCTCGTCGCGATTGTCTTGCAGAGCTGCCTCTACGGCTGCGAGGTGGCTCTCGATCTCGGTCACCTTGACTTCGGGTACGATGACCTCCTGGTCCTCTGACGTCTCGCCGTGTAGGCGATCGCGTGGATGCGGATCGTCTTCTTCGGGTCCTGCCGTGGCTGTCGAGAAGCGAGAGAGCTGCGGGCGGGTCTGATGCGCCCGAGATCCCTCCTGTCTTGTGTCCAGGGACGCCAGAGGGATCGAATCGAGACCGCCAAAGGTGTCGCGTTTCGAGCGGATCTGCGCGCCAATCGCTCCCTCGGACGTCTCCTGAGAGGCCTGGGAGGAGGGCGCAAGGAGTGAATTGCGATTCGACTTGTCGAGTGTCTCAACGAGCGCTGTATGGGATGCAGCTGGTAGATGCGTGTCGTGTGGATGAGCGTGAAGGGAGGCATCATCGTCGTCCTCCCGATCGAGGAAGTCGTAATGCTGACCGTTGTGGCCGGTCACCGAAGGGGACGGAGACGATTCTTCGGCTGTAGCGCGATGAGTCTGCTCAGAATCCTGATGCAAGAGTTCGCTGCTGGGAGAGGCGACCGATTGGTGATAGGGCGTAGACCTCATCGCGCCAGAGTTGCTGCGAGCGCTGAGACGCCTCTCCAAGTTGGTGATCAGGTCGGAGAGGGGCGAGTCCTGCCTGGGGCCTTGATCAAAGTGGCGAGCCAGTGGCGTGTCTAGCGTGCGTAGGCTGACGCGGGACGCCTTGGAACCCGAGGCCAATCGACGAGCTGAAGCGGATTTGGGCGAGTCAAAGTGGGTGACCGCCGTCCGGAAAGAACTCGTTGTGGTTGCGGTGTCGAAGCGGTTGGCCGGAAGGCTGTGCTCTGGCGGGGTATGATCGTCGTCATCGGAACTGTCGACGTCGTCAATGTGCGTCGATCGCATGGAATAGTCCGCATCCACCGGCTCGAGACCTTGCCAGATGCGAGGAATTCCGGGTCTTGGTCGCGCGTGTCCCTCCGAGACCGCAGCTTGGCTGAAACTGGACGACTCTACCCCTTCATCAACAGCATCGAAAGTAGTGTGCCTTGGTGTAGCGGAGGGCTCGTCGTCCCCATGAGACGGCGGATCGCTTATGTCGACAATGTGATCGGTCTGATGTTTCGTAGGCGAGAGCGTTCGGTCCTCTCGGCTGCCGTCGACGTCGGCTCCGTCGTCCGTCTCTTGTGATTGGGTCGTCACAGGACTTCTGAGCATCCCTGCTGGTCCTTGCTGTTGGTGTGCCGTAGATTTGGGCGGTCGCCGCCTTCCGATGATGACAAAGTCTCGGGTCCTGCCCTCGTCCTCATCGGAGGACAGCTGGTCGAAGCCAGCAAAGTCGGGATCGCGAGTCAGGAAAGGCGAGCTGGAGCTGAGTGGCAGGCCGTCCTTGGGAAAGGCAGAATCGCCGTCTCGTGGCAACAATCCTGACTGACCGAAGGATTCTTGTCGCTTCCTTCGCTGGCGGAACGGAGCAAAGATGGACGATGAGCGGGGGATCTTGGAGGGTCCGGCTTCCCTCGATTTGGCTCGGCGTTGCGTCAGGGTCTGCGGTTTGAGCTCGTATGGTCTACCTCTGAAAGAAAAGAGGCTTTCAGCGCGAGGAATGGATGTGTTTGTGTCCTCCTCCTGCGTTCCAAGCTCGTCAGGCAGGGCGACGGATGTCTTGCTGGGGCTCAGAACCAGGCTGGGAGCGCCTCCTATCGATGGCGACTTGTTGCTCTTGACACTTGCTCTGCGAATGAGCCTGCGGATCAAGGTCTCTGGATTCTTGGAATGGGCCTCTCCAGTCGAGAGGACGCTTGTGCGCTCGCGCGGCGTGAACTGAGCGCTGGAGCGTGCCGGGAACTTGAAGGGTCTGGACGAGCTGCGGCTATGCACCACCTCGCTCTCGGCCCGCTGACCCTCTGCGCGTCGGACGGAAGGACGATCGTCCTGCAACGCCTGCGGCACAGGCGTCAGCGCGGATGTGGAGATCGCGCGCGAAGTGCTAATAGGGGACACAGCGGGACGAGCGTCGGTGTGCTGACGCAGAGAGGCGTCCACCGAATCGGATCCCGCATTCTGTTCTTCGTTGGCTGGAAAGTCGCGCAAGGGAGGTGTTGCGAGCGTGGGAGGCTGCATCTTCATGATAGGCGAGCTTGCCGACTCGACGCTGGTGTTGGAATGGCTGAAGGGTGGCAACGGCGCTGGTGCTGCTTCCGGTACTGTTGCATGGTCGCGCTCTGACCCTGCCGAAGCGTCGTGATGGATGTGAGCATCATGAGCGGCAGGATGCTCTACAATCGATGTCAAGTCGTCGTGATGGTGCGAGGAGGAAGGGATGGGCTCGGATGGAGCCGAGTACGCCGATAATCGGGAGACCGGCTGCTCTCGAAGACTGGTTCCAAAGTGTTCGCCCGCGCCAGCACTGGGTCCCTTGGCACTGACGGAGCTCTCCTCGTAGCTGCGCGTGCTCGGCTGGTCGGAGAAGGTGCGGTTCATGCTTGCTGAACCTGCCTCTGAGGGAGCGTTGAACCTGCGCAGGGAGCCCACGTCGGATGCGAGCTCGGTGGCAGGGGTCCGTGTGCCGTCTGATGCGCTATCTGGCATGATGAAAGGAAATCCAGCAGCGCGAACCTGGGCGAGGCCTAGCGAACGGCTTTGAGAGAGTTTATGGGACAACGAGGAAGACACGTTGAGCGAGGAAAGGTCGGGAAGCGTTCCCAACGAGTGTGCGTTGCGAGTGTGCCGGGTAGGAGGGTGTACGAGGTTGGATGAGCGTCGATCGAATGAAGCCGAAACGGAGCGTCTAGGAGGTGGAGGAAGTAGACTAGTGGGTTGATCTCGATTGCGATGCCAGACTCCGAATGGATGGGGCTGGCAGATGTCGAAGGAGGGTGAAGCGCACGGATTGTCTTGAGCTTGGCCAAGTTTGCGAATGATTGAAGTCTCTATTGTTGGCCTGTGAGCTGCGGGATTGTGAGAGGAGCCGATGGGGCCATGAGGAATGGCTACAAGGAAGGACGCATAGCGAATGAGATTGTGTGAGATGTAGGTAGAGATGGCAGATTGAGGAAGAAGAAGCGAAAGAGGCAAGAAGGCCAACCACTTACCATCCGTAGTGAGAGATTTGACAGGTCTCGAGGCGCATCCATCCGCAGCCGACTTATCCAGCTTATGCTGCTTCCAAATGGCCCTTTCCGGAAAATCTTAGATTAAAAAATAAAAAAAAAGGATCAGCAAGGCAGACTCAGTGACCGATGATGATGATGATGATTTTCAACGCAGCAGCAGCAGCAGCAGCTAAATTAGTACTCACCCTTTGTCAGGAACCGGTCACTTGGACCAACTCCGCCTCCCGCAGCCTCAAATTGGATGCATTCGAGCTTCTTCCTGGCGTGGCTGAAGGCGTTGGGGCTCAACGCCCGTCTCGGCCCCTTGCTGATGATGTCTTCTCTGCGAATGGACGCTCTTTTCCTGAACAAGCCGCTGCCGGCGGAATTAGCCTTGGACCAGGTTCGAGGTTGGAAAGGTGCGCTGAGGATGGTAGACGCCCTTTCTTTGATGTGTGACGACGATATCCTTCGCGTTGATGCTGGATCACGTCGGGCTGGGAGGCTAGTCTCGCGAGGTGATTGGATGGCGGGCCTCTCTGCAGCTGCTTTTCCAAATGCGTCGTTACGGGCAAAGGCTCGCCTGAGCGAGTTCAACGTGGACCCTGGCGGCCGCTGCTCAGGATCTTCCACTCTGCTCCTGTCACCCCTAGATGGACGGCTCGCTTCGCCGCCCGCATATGCAAATGGCCGATCTTCCTGCCGCGCCTTTCCAAGCCTGTTGCTAGCCTCAAAAAATGTCACCAACTTAACTGTATGACGGCGATTTTCGCTCTCGTCTCGAACTTGGGCAGACCGGCGGCTGCGCCGCCACCATAGCTTTGCTGCGTCTTCCGATGTGCTTGCAACCGATTGTGACTGTGCTATCGAGTGAGATCGCCCCGTGGCAGCGCCGCTGGTGCTTGCTTCCGTGTTCCTTGACCGATCGGCCAACGGGCGAGGGTTCCGATACTCGGCGTCGATAAACGAGACAGGTGTCGCTTTGCAATCCTCACTCCTGTCATGATGGTGTTGGCTGGAGGATCGACCCCGTCTCGGTCCGCCACCCACGACCGAGCTGAAGTTGAATCGCCGTAGCCAGTTGTCGGGCATGGCTCCTGTGCATGCGCCGGTGGCGATGTAGCCCTTCGAGTTGCGCCAAGCAGCTCCATCAGCAGCGTACTCTGTGGCTATCTCGATGATAAGATCTCGTTCTCATCAGTTCCGTGGATTAGATGTCCTAACAAGGTCGTGTAAGGTGTCGTGGGAGAGATGGTGGCAGGGCGTCCGTTGCGAAGGCAAGATGAACCTCGAAGGTTTTGCCGTCTGTGAGCGAGCGAGCCGAGCTTCTCGAGGCTCTGCTCCTGACAGCTGCATGACTGCAGGGCATGAACGCGACCCGAGCGCTCACTTCAATAGGCCGTATCGAGTTAAACGGCTCCTAGGAGCTCGTCACATGCATGCGAACTGCACTGTGGGCGGGCGTCCCAGATTGTCTTCATTCTTGTCAAGCGCACGACCCTTCATATCACAAGGTTCGAGCGCATTCGATCAAAATATCGCTGCACCAACGGCGCCCGGCTCAGCGCATGATAAGCTTTACAACAATAGCTGATCCTTGAATGGCATCCCGGAGACCGATCCCCGCCGGCGAATCCTTCCTGTACCTATTGATCAAAGTTCGAGCCGACCGCGAGTCTGACATCGCTTCAGGCAACAGTTATGGATGCTGTAATTGCGTTGCGATGCGATAGTGCGAACTCTACGAAATGCTTAGAGTGTCGACAAACAGGTACTAAGGAGGCTGAACGTGAGTGGTGGCGTCCTGCTCGGTGAAAGCGGCAGTCGCCATCGCGGCCTCTTCGTGAGGATCGTCCCGCTCCATGGCGGGAGTGGGATGACCCTGTGAAGCTTGGGCCGAGTCAATGGCATGATCGAGCGGCAATTGCAGCGAGCTGGCCCGAAGGAGTCCGGCCGTCAGTGCTCCATTCGAGATGGCTGTTGCGGAGATATCAGCTTGCGGAGCTACTGCCACGTCCTTTGCAGATCCTGCGCTTGTATGTCTGGAGTGACTGGCCAGCACATCCGGAAGGTCGCCAGCGATGGCTGGCGTGATCGCGTTGCTCCTCTTTAGACTGGCACCGGTGACAATCGGCAGATCCGATGGAGATGGAACCTCCATGATGCTTTCTGCAGTGGGCGATGAGGCTGCAAAGGCTGCATCCGCGGCACTCTGACCGGCTCTGGAAAGGTCGCGAGCACCCGTAGGTGAGATCGGTGGAAGCAAAGGCGCACCGGCTGTCTTGAGATCGAAAATGTCGTTGCAGTACAAGATCAGATCTTCCATCGTCTTGTCCTCCTCCATGGCAGCAGCGACGCTAGTGGTCTCGTGATCCGCCTCGGACAAAAGGCACGGTGAGAAGACGACGCTCAAGTTGGAGGCTGTCATCTTGTTCTGATCGGCGTGCTGAGCCACCTTGCAGAGATGCTGGACGATGACTTTGAGCGTGATCTGGTGGATGGGTGGCAGTCGGCGTATCTTTCCTTTCAGCACGGCAAAGCCCGTCCGAATGTGCTCCTCCCTCTCGCGGGTATATCTGATCCTCTCTGCCCAAGGGATGGCGAGGACCGGCTCGGGCAGTTGACGCAGGTAGTCTTTGAAGACGCCTGCTACGGCGGGTGGCTCGTCCTTCTCGGGGTCGAATTGAAATCCGAACTCGTCCTTCTCGATGGCCAGAGCCAGCTGCTTGACGCTCGATTGTCTCGCTGACGTGCGGTAGATGCCAGGCAGGTCAAGAGCGTGACGTTCGATGAAGTCGATGCACTTTGAGACGATGAGAGGAGGCGCCGACGTGTCGCTGAGCCTGTAAGGCACTGTGAGCGGATAGTCGGCGAGAGGCGTTCCGAAGATGAGATTCTTGAGCTCACCATGCCAGTAGTTGACGTAGGACACCCGCGAGTCTTCGAGAGCTCGAACATCGGGCAGGTTGTCCTCCATCGACTTGAGTTCTTGGTCAAAGCCGTCGACAGCCATATTGACCAGATCTTCGCTGTGGCGATGCAAACCGCTGCCTTTGTCGTGCAGGACAATCTGGCAGCGTTCCGACTGCATGAAGACAGCTTGAGCCGTGTGGACCAGTTCGTTTCGACATTCCGTCACGGATGCTGCGGCGGCTTTGAGCGTCCTCACCCTGCGCAGACGCAACGTCTCGAGATCAAAGATGGCTCTGCGGTACGCTTTGTCGGCTTCTTCCACCTCTCGCTTTGCGCGCGCCTGCTTGGCGGCGATGGTCTGCGCAGCTTTGTACGGATTGTTGCTGTTGCTGTTGCCTCCAAAAGTACCCAGAAGGGTGTCGCTGATCGAGGGTGTGGAGGGGCCGCTGTCGCCCATGCCGGATCCAGCCTGCCCCCCTTCTCGCATTCGGCTGATCAAAGCGTTGATCTTCTTGGGCGCTTCCTTCCTCGCCGTCTCCCAGCCTTCGCGAGACTTGAGCGCATCGAAAAAATTGGGCTTGTTCTTTTCAGAATTGGGGCTCGGAGGTGACGTGGAGAGGGCGTTGGTGTTCTGCGGCAGATGGCCCACCACTCTAGGAGGTGAACCGAGCGTCGACTTTTCATCCGAGCTCTCGGGGCCCTGGACGGAGGCTGTGAGCGATCTTGAGGATGCGTTCGAATGGCGACGTGTGCGGTCGCGGCTGCTCTTGCGCCTCAGCAGGCTTGAAACGCCTCCTCCTCCTCCTCCTCCTCCGCCGCTGGCACCACCCGCGAAGGAGAATGTAGAAGGAGGCGACATGGCCACTGGCTCGATGTCTGAGGAGGAGAGCGCACGGCTGTGGTGCATCGAACTTGATTCACGGTCGGCGGTCTTTGTGCTCAAAAGCATTCGCTGATCCTCGACTGCCTGTGCCTGAAGCTGCATGTTCTCGACCTCCTCTGCCTTTCTCTCGTAGACTCGCCGGATCCTGGGCAGATCCACGCCACGCATCTCGTCGTATTGCGCAAAGCTAGTACGGAGGTCCTCCTTGACTCGCCTGCGGATCCGTTCCTGGGAGTCCCGAAAGGCAAGCAAGGGTGCCAGGACCGCCTGACGGAGTGTCTCAACCATGTAAGAGCGTGCCTCGAGCTCGCGTTGATCGTTCTGCCGCATCTCGATCCAGACTCGTCTGAGTGCAGGATAGCGTTGTGCGTTCGGCATGAGGGCGAAATCGCCAACGACCTTGGCGTTGATTCTGCCATCGAGCTCCTTTTGCCTATCGAACGTGGATCGAAGGTTTCTGATGTAGTCCTCCTCTAGCTTGATTCGAGCCTCAAAATGGGTGATGTAGCTATCCGCTTCTGTCAGGATGGTGCGGAAGGTCTCGAGGAGAGAGGAAGAGATGCCGGCGGCCGATGACGTGGCGCTGTCCGAGTGGAAGCCATTGCTGGATGCGGCCCGCGAGGAGTGCTCCATCGACTTTCGCCCCATAGAAATGGCGTCCATCTTGTCTCGCTGGCGGTGACCTTAGGTCCTGTGATGATTGTGGTGGTGGTCTCGATGCTGTTTGGAGATTAGAAGGAGATTCTTGAGGCCAATAGTGTGGACAATTGGACCCGGCCAAACGGCCTTTGACGCAACGTGGGCGCAAGGGTAGATGAAGATGGAAGACGACGTTACAGTCGTTCCTCGACGACCCTGGTGATGATGTGGACCACCCACATGAATTGCATACAGTACATGCACTAGTTATGTCATTCGTCCAGTTGCTGCTGCCTTTGGTCGTCCGCTGAGCTGTGTCGATGGATTTGAAGGAACAATGAGAGTGGCTTCTTCTTGGCTGTGTACCATATCTTGCTGTGGAGGCAAAGTTGACAGGGTTTCAGGCGTACACAGCCCCTGCCTGTCAACTCAGCCAGCCAGCCCATGTGCTTGCTATCTCAGACCTCGGCAGCCAAAATCTTCTGCCGAACCCTTGGCCTGTGCTTTGGCCCCTAGACCTGGATTAAGGTTCCGGCCTAACACTAACGTCAATAGGATGCAAAAAGCAAGGATGTTACATTCAATAAAGTTTGGCAAATACTAAATAATTCGTGACGCAGAACCGAGGCCAATCGGATCACATTTTCACACGAGAGAGAGAAAAAGGTGTGGATGTTGCGGGCCAACTGAGGTGGCTCAGCTCTTCTTAGGCAATCCAAGCCGCGTGAGAGAGAGGCAGGCAAGGTGACGTTGAAGCGCCACCTCACACACACCGCAAGCGCACACCGTAAACGAACTGGCTGTGTTTCTGGAGATTTCTATCGAGATACAGGGCCAGACCGCAGATCTTCCCCCGCACAGACACAGCTATCCCTTTTGGCGAGGCCGCAATTTCTTTCGTGTATCGTCATTTTGACGTCGACAATTCAGTTTGTATCCCTTTCACGTCTCCTTCCCCACTTGACCCGCTCAGCATCGTCTTGATCTTCTTCCTCCTCAGCTAGAACTCGGGTCTCCCACTTGCATGGTCCTTATCGAACAAGTCGTCCTTATTGCTTCCATCTTGGTCACCTTTGGCGTCTGTCTTGCTACCACCAAGTTCGCCGCTCGCCTCTTCCCCAACTTCGAACCTCTTCAGTTTTACGACGCTGCTACCGACCCAATGGAGCTCAACGTCGTCCTCGCCTTCCTCGTGGGGCTGGTCCTCTCGGTCACCGCCCTGCTCTACTTTGACGCCCGCAAGCTCAAGCCCGTGCTCAACCCCACACAATGGCAACAGTACCGTTTGATGGAGAAGGAGAAGCTCTCCGAAAACACGGCGCTCTATCGCTTCAAGCTCTCCCGCGCTAACAACATCCTCGGTCTTCCTATCGGACAGCACATCTCCGTCAAGGCCACCATCGACGGCAAGGATGTGCAGCGCTCGTACACCCCTACTTCGTCGGACGACGACCACGGATTCTTTGACCTCGTGGTCAAGTCCTACGAGAAGGGTAACGTCTCCAAGTACATTGGCGCTATGAAGATTGGCGACCTGCTCTCCGTCAAGGGGCCCAAGGGTCAGATGCGATACGGTCCCGGTCTCTGCCGTCACATTGGCATGATTGCTGGTGGTACCGGTCTCACCCCTTGCCTGCAGATTATCCGCGCTGCGCTCAAGAACCCCAAAGACGACACCAAGATCGATTTTATCTACGCCAACGTCAACGTCAGCGACATTCTCCTCAAGAACGAGCTGGATGAGCTCGCCGAGAAGCACAAGGACCAGTTCCGCGTTCACTACTTTGTCAACGAGGCTCCCGATGGCTGGAAGGGCGGTGTCGGTTTCGTCACCAAGGAAGCCGTCGAGGAGTTCATGCCAAAGCCCGCCGACGACATCAAGATCCTCTATTGTGGACCCCCTCCTATGCGGTATTTAGCTTCTGAACCTCCCTGATGTGGATTCGAGCTCCTGGGACCTTCATACTGACCCGTCGTCATCACTCTTTTCTTCCACGGATTTTTTTTTTCTCAACGAATTGTATCGACAATTCTCCTCACGAACCCGACTTTTCGTTTTGTTGGCCGTCTACAGTGATGCTGTCCTCAAGCACCTCGATGCGCTTGGATACGAGAAGCCTCGATCCGTCAGCAAGCTCGAGGACCAGGTCTTCTGCTTCTAAGAAGATGGTGCACCAAATTTTCCGGCGCATCACGTGGTCTCGAAAATGTCCGCATGGATTTCGGGAACGCCCCGAATCCACTACTCGACTCAAGGCTCCACTGCCGGCCGCCTCTCCCTCGTCGGATCATCCGCCACACATCCGCTGCGGGCTGATTCAGCGTTCTTCCTTCAACCTTCCCTCTCGCCGCTCGCCGCGATAGCAGCAAAGCGGCCACAAATGCGTATCTTTCCCAATGCAATACAGTCTCAAGCATCCGGTGCAGATCGGAGCGTGTGTGTATAATGCAATGCACGACTGCGAGGATACCCACCTTGTCCGCCGTACTGTTTGCGCTCTTGCCTGCCGAGGGCGTCCTTCGAACCTCTCTCGGCGTTGGCGCTGAAGCACGTCTCAAAAGTATGATTGAGAAGGTTTAACTCGATCGTGCCCCGTTGAAGGTTCGAAACAGAGTCGTCATACGGACGAGAAAGGCGGTGTCGACGACGAACAAAGCTCATATTACTATTTGTGTATCAGCATCAGTAGGCGGGCGGATCCTGGTTCTCCGAAGCCGAGACGTACGACGACTTCTCTGAGGTCGCCGATGAGGTTTGGGCAGTAGAAGTGCCCGTTGCAGACCCAGACACGGAAGAAGCCACAGCTTGGCCCTTCTCGTCGACCTTGATGGTCACCTCTCGGCCGTCCTGCAGCTTGGCCTTCATCACGCGGCCTCGAGCAGCTTTGAGCAGTGCACTCCTGCGGATACCCCGTACATCCTTGTACACGATGAACACGTTCTTGCCCGTGCGGCCAAAGGCGTTGGCGACCTCGCGAGCGTCGTCTCCGTACCTGTGGCCGACCACATCGGAAGCAGCCTGGCCACTGGTGTACAGCAGCGTCTGTGCGCCGGCATCGATACCATCGAGAACTGTGTTGGCAGCGATGAGGCCGCGGTTGACAAAGCCGCGGATGCCCTTAGGAGCAGGACCGGAACTTCCATCGGGATTGGTCTTTCGCTGAATCCCCGTCTTCCTGCCAATTTTGTCACCAATGTTGCCAGCCATCTGCAGAATGGCACCTGTGGTCTTGGCGGACATCTGAACCGCCTGGCCGGACCAGTCGTTGAGCTGTTGAGCGCTAGCGTGCGTCTTGGGTCCGAACTTGAGTGGGTCTCGACCGGCCTCGGTCTTCTCGTTGTTGGGCGTCGTCGTGCCGGGCGAGCCAGCAGCGGGCGTCTTGGACATGTACGAGTTTGCCGCACCCTGGATCTTGCCACCGACAAAATCGGCCGATTTGACGATGGTGCGCGAGATGGTGTCGGCGCCTTTGATCATCCAGTCGCGGCGCTCTTCGGGCGAGAGAACGTCGACCTGGAGGTCCTGCTTCTCCTCGCCCTCGTTGACGGACTCGGGTGGGAGGTCGATGAGCACGGGGTCTTTTTCGTTGCCCGAGTCAGAGACCGCATCCGACTCTCGGACAGTGAAGCCTTGCACAACACCGAGCACCTGACCGTCCTCGTCCATGAGCTCCATAGTGCCCGCGTCGGAGCGGTCGTCATCTTCGAAAGCAGCATACTGAGACAGGATCTGCTGGAAGCGAGTGATGGTGTTGACATTGGTCGTAGCCGGGAGCGAGACCTTGATCGAGGCGCCTTCGAGCTCCACCGAGGGGAAGAGATACGATCGCTTGTATGTGTCGCCCTCCGGAATGATGCGCTGATTCGCCGCTACGGGCAGGGAGAAGTCGTCACCGATGGAGAGCACCAGCCAGAGGTCAGTGGAGTGGTCAGCCTCCTTCTCCTTGTTGGTGGTAGTATGGCTCTGGTGAGCAGAGTCTCGCATCTCAATGGTGACGAGGAGAGCCTGCAGCTTGCCAGAGGCGAGGATGACGGTGTCGCCATGGTATTCTTGCGTGGCGATGGCGCCAGGGATGGAGAGGAGCTCCACGCCTTTCGAGGATTGGTCTGAGTTGATGGACGACATGCTTGCTGGAAGAGATGGTGGTTCAGAGTCAACCTATCGTCAGCGAGGGTCGCTCACTGGGGCCGTTGTTCCAAAACCCGAGCTCGTGTTCTTGCATGCGTTTGCGTCTCGACAAGGAATAAGACTCGGTCTCGCCTAGCCACCTTGTCACTGCCACGTTTCAGCCGAGCACAACCACACTACGGCGGTCTCAGTTGCAGCACAAGCATCGCTCTCGACACAAAGTGGAATTGGCCAGGACAGAAGGTCATCACAGCCACGGAGTATCCAGAAGCTCAAGTCAACAATGATGCATGGGCCCTCACCAGCTGTCAAAAATCGTGTTGCATCTGCGGAGTCTTGGCGCGTCTGAGCGTCATAGCCTTGCTGTTGCCAGGCTGACAAGCCTGCGAACTTTCTAAAATAGGAAAGCGTGCTGAGCAGCCACAAAACTTCCTGGCTGAGTATCGAAATTTTATTTCAATGTGTTAGGTCGATCCCGCACTGATCCTCCACACTCAAATTTCCGGCTGAAACACGCTTGACCTCAAACTCAGCTCTCTCACGCTCACTCTTCTGACTCGAAAACACCTCACGCGAGCAATACATCCCGCTCGCGGTCTTGATCACCTCTACTACCATCATCATCACGACACTTCGCTAGCATAGCCTCAGGTCGAGAACCTCGTCGCACGGGCGCACGCATTCATCGACCCGTCCGAGCATAGCATTGGTCGAAATGGCTTCCGCGAAACGAATCGGCAAGGAGCTCGCCGACCTCACCAAAGAGCCTGTCGCCGGCATCACCGTCGAGCCCAAGGAGGACAATATCTACAAATGGACTGCCAAGCTTACGGGTCCAGCAAAGAGCCCTTATGCGGGCGGTACTTTCTTGGTTGACATGGACTTTCCCATAGAGTATCCCTTCAAGTCGCCCAAGGTCAAGTTCCACACGCCTATCTACCATCCCAACATTGACGAGGGAGGAAGTGAGTACCACACACGGAGCAAGCTCGGCTATCACGCGGGAGCATTCGTGGACAAACCCTCGTAACGGCCTGACTGACCTTCTCCCTTGCTTCATTCGGATCATCTAGACCTCTGCGTCGGCATTCTCAAGAGCGAGGCGTGGAAGCCAAGCACAAAGGCGGTGACCAGTAAGTGTCTAGACCATCTTAGGGTTCTGAGGTCGAGGCAAATGCTGACCAGCTCCCCTCTACCTCTTTCTCCTGCTTCTTTCTGCTGCCGCACTCAGTCTTGCTCTCCATACTTCAGCTCCTCGAAGAGCCCAACCCAGACGATGCTTTGGTAGCCTCGATCGGTAAGCGCCCAGACACCAGGCCACAAAGATTCGAATGAGCATCAAGCTGACGTACATCCCCCTCCTTCAACCATGTACGCAATCATAGCCGAGCTCTACAACGCGGACAGGGCCAAGTTTGACAAGACAGCGCAGGAGTGGACCCAGAAGGTAAGCACGCACTACCGTCAGATGGCGCGAGAGTCATGATCAAGGACACTGACACCACTTGCTCTCGATCGTATCCTTGTGACACACAGCACGCTTCTGCATGAGTACAAGAGCTCAAATTGAAGATTATACCTCTATGATGCCTTGACTACTCCAATATCGGCACGCAGCACGAACAATCCCTTCACTCTTCAGCGTCTAAAAGCAATGTACCAACAGCTCATTTGCAAGCATTCTATTCTTATCGTTCTCACAAACCCCTTGAGGACCTGGAAATGGGACCATCCATGACTGATGCGGACTGAGAACGCTGGCCGCGCTATCGCTGCAACACCATCGACCGCTCTTGAAGTCGTCAAAGAGACAGCACCCAGCAACAATACTACAACGCGCCTATTTCATGCACGTTGTGTTGGTCTGTGAATCCGACTTTGACCCTTTTGAGAAGATCGTGGCTTCTCGTGTTGCTCGACTCAGCCGTATCGATTCCACCATCACATAAAACACACCCACTTGGGCTCGGATCAAGATGGTGACGCACATCCTCGGTCTGCGGCTGGAGGGCTCGCAACTCAGCATCCCAGCGGTGCATCGACGCAGGACCCTCTCCGTCTTGACACGCCTACAATCCGCATCAGCAGCTGCTCTGGGCGCATTCGGCGTGGTCCATCTCTCAGCACCACTGGTTGGGCTTTTGCATCTGGGCGGCGATGTCAACGATCGAGTCGACGCGGTGTCAAGATGGATGCTGCTTGGTCGAGTAGCGTACCAGAGTTCAATAGGAGAGGCGGTGCTATGGGCAGCATTGGCGACGCACTTGGTATCGGGCGTGGCCAAGCGGCTGGTCACAAGGTTCACTGTTGCTCGTTCAGCAACAGAGCCTTCGGAAGTCAAGCAGCAAGCTGCGCTGGAAGAGGCGGTGGCAGTGCCGACAAGAGCCCCGGCGAAGCTCAGCATGGCTCAGAAGTCTGGATACGTTCTTGCGCCATTCGTGATACACCACGCCTTTGTCAACCGCATCCTCCCATCTTCTTCGAAGCCGCCTATCTCGAACGTGTCCCCGTCGGAGCTCGACTACTCTTTCGTAGCACATACCCTCTCGCATACGAACACGGCCATTCGTATTTTCTCGGCTACCGCTTATACGGTTCTCATCGGCGCTTTTGCCGTACACACCGTCTATGCCGTTCCAGCTTTGCTCAGAATGCTCCCGAAGAGCTCGAACGGTGCCAGTGACAAGGTACGGAAGCCAAAACGTCGCTCACAGACTCAAGTTGCCTCATCATTGGCAATCGTCTTGCTGGCAAGTCTGTTCGCCATCGTTCCATTCAGGTCTAGCGACAAGCTGACCGTTTCAGGCGCTCTCAAGGATCGATACGATGCCGTGCTGGGGCTGGCTTTCCCCACCCGCTTCTTCTTGCAATCAACTTAGGCTACGACTGTACCAATATTAGTTGCATCCAAGACATGGAGGATCTACTCAGATCATGTGCTGGCAGGAACTTTCTTCTTGGTCCACCTCACTGTCCCCGGTTGCTGGTTGTCCTTGCACGCGCCCTCCTGTGCCAACATGACCGCCTGAGCATTCTGCTCCTTGCTGATCTTCCAAAAGCGCACCGTGCAGTCGATATCCTCGTATCCCTTCACGACTTTATCGAGAAGCTCCCACAGGTCCCTGTCGGGCACCTGCTCGCCGATCATGCCCAGTGGAGACTCGGCCATGATGCGCCACTTGTTGTGGCGCCATTCCCAGATCCATCGGCTGATGCCGTCGACCAGCCAGCCGTGGTGGGTCGCGATGACGATCTTATCGAAGCCCTCCGACTCCCATTTGTTGAACTCAAGCGCGGCCAGTGCCGAACGGAGGGCAGCACGGCGAACGGTCGAGTGGGCGAAGTCAGGCGGTCGTTCGAGTCTGCGGGAGAAGTTGGGCTCGACCGTCACCTCTGGTGCGCGCTGGTAGGCTGGCTGACGAGACCGAGGGTCGTGAGTCGGGCAAAAGACGAAGCCCAGGCCAGCGCGCTTCTCTTCGCTCTCAACACCGGTGACAGGAGAAGACGCGTTGAGCTGAGCCTCGAGCGATTTGTAGTCCGGAAGCTTGCCCGCGCCAAACATGGCCTTCCTCGTAGCTTCGACAGAGAAGTCGGTCGGGATCGAGCTGTAGATCGAGGCTGCGTCGGATGGCCCCTTTCGGGGGGCTGAAGTGTTGGTGGTGAGGATGGAGCTCGCGTCGCTTCCGAGCTTCAACGCAGCTACCTGCCCAGGCGTCAAGGCGGCCCCTGCGCATAGGATCAGCATCTGGCGTGGATCGATCTTACGCACGTATCGGAGCGGTCGCCATGGCCGGGGATCAGGCACGAACAGATCCTCGGCGAGCAGCTCGCCCATTCGAGCCGTTCTGACCGTCGCAGCGTCCGAGGCGGAGGACGCAGGGAACAAACTGGCTTCGTAGGCTGAAGGCACTCTTCCCTCGCTGGCCTCCTCGAATTGGGTGATGCCCGCCTTCTTTTCCTTGTCAGTGATGCGGTCGAGCGCTCGATGAGATGTCCAGGTGCTGGACGCAGTCCATGGTGTCTGTGCGCTACCCGCGTCGCCAAGGATGGAAGGAGGCGGGCGAAACGGAGCTGCGACTGCGTTGGCAGTCACATTCTTTGGCAGCGTCTGCGTGCGTCCAGCAACCAGCGTATACGTTGTGATCTTGGACTGCGCCGACGCAGCTGTAGCGTTGGTCGCAATGGAAGCCGCGTCGCTGTCCTTTGCTTGCGTGTTGTCCGCTGGCGCTGCAATCGATCCGTCAGGGATCTCGAAAGGCGCTGCAACATCTCCCTGGATCGGAGCGGTCGCCTCTGCATTCGGATTCTGTTGCTCGACGCTGTCCTTGTACGCTTGTGCTTGTGTTCGGCCTTGATCGTCTAACTCTGGCTCCTGTTTGGATGCTGAAGCTTTCCGCTTCGCCTCGATCTCGCGCGCAAAGTCGTACTCCTGAGCGCTGCGATCGTGCATCTTTGCTGGGATGAAGAGTCGCTTGACCGAGTTGTGCTGAGCAAGCGCATCGGGCGCATAGGAGATACCGCCTGGCACATCAAGCCTGACCTGGTAAGCAGATTGCTGCTGCGTATCCTTGTCCAGCGTCTGAGCCGCTTGTGTAGAGGTGTCTCCCTCGCTTGTTGGCAGCACAACTTCGTACGAGGTGCCGCTTTCGTACGGGCGCCGTGAGCTGCTTGCAGAAGTAGACGACTTGGACGCAGAAGGACGAGCCCATGCTTGGAGGTAGCGATAGTCCGGCGCTGACATGATTGTAGGCTATCTCTGTGGTGGTGATGGTCAGAAAGCAAGAAGCAGAGATCCCAACCACAGCGAATGGGTGAAGAGTGTGTCACTTTCAGGGTCCGTGGTTGCATGCCGAATCGAAGCCTCACGGAAGCTCAAATCCGCGACCGCGGCTGTTGAAATCCGAGTCGCGTTGAGACCAACACAAGACAAAGGCGCTTTGTTCTCGCTCGCTCTCTGACCATCACTTCCATCTGCCGCTAAGGTCAACACGGGCCCATTCCACGCACCTATGACCATGTCCGAGACATCCGTCTTCGACATCGACTATCCCTTTCCCGACCTCGACCCCGCTCGAGCACGCGAGTCACTCCGCTTCGCTGCTGCGGAGCTGTCAGATCGAGGTCTGGCCTCTTCCTCCAGATGGACGCTCGAGCTGCTTCAATCGGTCCCCTACACCGCTGCCACAAACGAGGGGCTACTTCAGTCGAAACCCGATCGCCTGGACAGTTCGGCACTAGCTACATCCACGCCTGCGGCGAAACGACCCTCTCATGCTCGACAACTCGTTCCAGAGCACTCGACGCCAGCGCTCGGCATGCACCAGCGCATGTCGGTCGAGCCTGGCACTGAGAACGAGTCGCTAGAAGGCGTCTCCGGAAGGTTTGCAGCCAGTTCTTTTGCCTCATCGCCTCTCGCCAGCCATCGTCTCGGTCACGTGCTGTCCCCGAGACTCGACGCGGATACCTCCCTTATCACGGTGGATAGTGAGGATGGAGACGCTCCGGGATCTGCGCACGTACACTGGCAGTCGAACACCAACTCGGTCGACTACTCCCCTGGCGCATCACAGCAACGTCTCGGTAGCGCGTCGTCTGCGGCGTCCGTTCTCGAAGAGGAAACGTATCTCTTAGCGAAGAGCCACTTTGACCAACACCAACTCGAACGCTGCATCTGGGTGCTGGAGAGCAGTAAGAGCTCGTCCGATAAGGCACGCTTCTTGCGCCTCTACGCTCGCTTCTTGATGTCCGAACGCAAGCTGGACGAGCACGGCATGATCATCCCCAAGCCAACCGGAACACTGCCCGCCACCTCACCGAGCTTGATCTCCATCCTCAAAGACCTCATCGACGCATCCGACCCCTTTCTCCTCTTTCTCAAAGGAGCGATCCTTCGCAAGCTCAATCGACCGATCGAAGCGATGGACTGCCTCCTCCGTTCTGTGCAGAGCTTTGCGTACAACTGGGCCGCTTGGCAGGAGCTGGCAATGACGCTCGAACCGGGCGAAGCAGACCAGATGGCCGATCTGCTGCCCGAGTCCTTCATGGTCAGCTTCTTCCGCGAGTTTCTCGACCGCCACTCTGCGCAGGAAGGCGACCTTACCATCGCGCGCATAGACCGACTCCTCGAATCATTCCCACGCTCGGCATACCTGCTCACCTGTCGCGCTCAAACCAACGTCCACCGCCTCGACTACATCGAAGCGGAACAGGACTTCCAGGAAGCCTGGTCGCTCGATCCGTACCGCATCGACGGCCTGGCCGACTACTCGAATGCGCTCTATCTGCTCAACCGCAGCGCCGAGCTGGCCCACCTCGCGCACAAGTTCAGCTCGTTCGCCAAGGACCGTCCCGAGGTCTGCTGTCTGGTCGGCAACTACTACAACCAGCGTGGCGACCATCACCGCGCCATCGAGGCGTTCCGCCATGCCCTTCGCCTTGATGCCGGTTGCGTCCCTGCCTGGATCCTCCTCGGCCACGAATACATCGAGCTGAAGAACTCGCACGCTGCGGCAGAAATGTATCGACGAGCGCTCAAGATCATCCCGCGCGAGTACCGCGCGCTGTACGGCCTGGGCCAAATATACGAGCTCACCGGCGCCTACACGTACGCCGTCAACTACTTTCAGAAGTGCGCCGCGATCCGACCGTACGACGGACGGATGTGGTCGAGTATGGGCGTCTGCTATGATCAGTTGGGACGCGCACAGGATGCCATCTCGTGCTTCAAACGATGCTTGGCATGTCGGCTCAACCAAGGCGATACAGTGGCGGGACTCAACAGGATCATCGAAGTGTACGAGAAGGCGCGCGACTTTGAGGCCGCGGCTTCGTATCACAGGCGGCTGGTGCAGGTGGTCGACCGCGCTTCGACGGGCGCCGAGTCCAACGTCGTCGCGCGCTACGCCAGGTCGTACATTATCGCAGCCCGATGGGAGATGGGCGAGATTGGTTCGAAAGCAGCTCAGCAGCAAGCAGCCGACGAGATGGATGATGCCGAGCCAGAAGGTCCCAAGGTGGGCAACCTGGCACTGGCCAACGACTATCTGCAGAAGGTCATCGCCGCGGGGACGGAAATGACGGACAGCGCAGAGATCTTGCTCAAGCGCTTGGCGTTTCTGCGAGATTGAGGCGAGCTGAGCTGAATGTATAGCCGCCAGACAAGGCTGCCGAAATCAAGACGCTCCGTGACGTGATACCACGAGGTCAAGTCATCCCTGACTGAGACTGACTGAGACTCTCGCGTCCCGGCTGAGGTGAGCCGTCGATTTTGCCGGGCAGAAGAAGAAGAAATTCGGAACGGCCATGTGCGCTGTATCGCGTGCTTCGGCGAATTTTTAAGCGCTTAAAGTCACGGATGACATTCGTGATTACGGTGGAGGCCGAGGTGTTGCTTTGCTTGGCTCACAGTATAAGACGAGCCGCCTCGAACCCCATCGTCCGGTCAACCTCCCATACATCCGCTCCGAACACCATCTCAGCACCATGTCGTCGCCCCAGCACTACCTCGTCTTTGGAGCCAACGGCGTTTCCGGCTTGGCCGCACTCCGTGCCCTCGTCGAGCAGCCCAAGGAGAAGGTGGGCGCGATCCTCGCCGTTTCCCGCCGTCCCCCTCAGATCGACTACAAGGACTCGCGCATCAAGTTCATCTCGATCGACATCCTTAACGCTTCCGTCGACGAGATCACCGAGCGACTCAAAGCCGAAGGTGGCGACAAAGTCAATGTCGCCCTGCACTACACCTACATCGAGAAGAAGGACCCGCAGGAGCTGCTCGACATCAACCACGAGCTGCTCATCAAGGCGCTCGACAGCACCTCTTCCGCGACCGGCAAGAACCTCCGTCACTTCCACCTGCAGACGGGCTACAAGTGGTACTCGCTGCACCTTGCCAACAAGGAGCTTGCCTCGCCGGTGCCCTACCAGGAAGACGCGCCGCGCGGACCCACCGACCCGCCCAACTTCTACTACGACCAAGTGGACACGCTCGTCGCCCACGCCAAGAAGCACGGCTACGCATGGTCCGAGACGCGCCCCAACACCATCATCGGCGCGGCCAAGGGCAACTTTATGAACCAGGCCGTCTCCACCAGTCTCTACCTCGCGCTCGAAAAGGGTAAAGGCAAGACCGAAGTCCAGTATCCAGGCAACAACCTCAACTGGGACCAGATCTTTGTCTCGCAGAGCACGGCGATCAACAATGCGCGTTTCCAGGTGTTCCTCACCGACGCGAAGAATGCGGCCAAGTGCGAGAACCAGTCGTTCAACATCGAGGATGGCGATCGACGTACGCTGGGTCGGATCTGGCAGGACCTGGGCAAGGAGCTGGGCCTCAAGGTGTTGCCTCCCACGCTGACGGCCAAGTACAACGACAAGCCACCCCAGCTGAGTCTCAGTCTGAACGAGTGGAGCAAGCGACCCGAGAACGTTGAGGCGTGGAAGAAGCTGACCAGCGAGGAGGGCGGCGATCCAAAGGCCTTTGCCGACCACGCGACTTTTGCATTTGCCGACTTTACCCTCGGCGCGACGTTCGACCAGCAGGGCAGCTTGGACAAGGCCAGAGCAGCCGGCTGGGATGTCGTGTGCGATACCGTCAAGGATGGATACCTCGACACCTACCGGTACCTGCAGGAGATCGGTACGCTGCCCAAGGTTTGAAGTGTTGTCCTCATCTGTAGTCTAAGCACCCGCATCGTCAATCCACTGTCGTGGGCATCCACACATTGCCGAGCCTCAGATGCGGACTGCTGCGTCAGGCGTGGACGTCAATGAGTAACGAGGTTGCAAGAATGGTGTGTGATCTGAAAGCGTATGTTCGCGCTTCGAAAGCTCTGCGGTACAAGTACAAGAATCGTTGAATCTAGCTAAAAGTACAGGTGGTAAGGATCCTGGTTCCCGAAGGTCCCTTTTAAGTGTCTACATCTAAATGGAGAGTCGAGCATCACCACTTGCTGGCGCTGCTATCGCGACCGAATCGGCTCTCCCGAGCGTCACGGCCGCTGCCGAAGCTACTGCGTCCGCCGCGGTCGCCGCCGCCACCAAATCTCGATCCGCCACGGCTGTCCCTACCATCTCGACTGGGTCGTGCATCGCGATCGCGGAAGTCACGTCCGCCATCGTCCTTGTTGAAGCGACCGCGACCGAACGACTTTCCGCCACCAAAACCGCCACGTCCACCGCTGAATCCGCCAGCCCGACGCGGTCCACCCCGGTCCTTGAGCGAGATGCCGAGCTTCTGCATGAACGCCTCGCTGAGGTACGGCGCCTGCTCCAAACGGCCTGCCTGGACACTCCACTGCTTGAGCCCCTCGAGCACCTGCATCTTGCTGGTGCGCAGCTCGTCGCCCTTGCCGAGGTAGAAGCCGAGCAGCGAGTTGAACGTCTCGCGCACCGCGTCCTCTTCGTCCAGCGACTTGAGCGACTCTTCGACCAACGGGGCGAGGGTCTTGGTGGAATACTTTCCCGTGAGAGGACCTCGGATCTCGGCAGGCGGTCGCACTCGGCCGCCATCACGGCTGTCACGCCCGCGGAAACCTTTCCTGGCCTCCTGCGATTTCGCCTTGGCTGCCTTGACAACCTCGTCCGGAACAGCGAACTGCTCCGGTGCCTCGTCGAAGCGCTTTGCCATCGTCTCGACTTCCTGCACGAGATCGTCGACGTGAAGCTGGTGGACAGGAAGGTCGTCAAGCTGGTAGTAGAGGAAGCCGCGCTCAAAGTTCTGGAGCACAATGTCGGATCGACCCTTGGCACCGGCACGACCTGTTCGGCCAATACGGTGGATGTACTGGTCCTTGCTGCTGGGAATGCCGATCTGGATGACACGAGTGGTACCGGGGTAGTCGACACCACGAGCGCTGACGTCACTGGTGACGAGAACGCTGGCTCCACTCTGGTCCTTACGGAAGCGGTCGCTGGTGTTGAAACGGGCGCGCTGGTCCTTCTTGCTGTGGATCTCGTAGACGCTCGAGCCGGTCGATGCGGGCAAGTGGCGCTGAGCGTCGCGGATGACATCGGCAAGCAGCTCGGTCATCTTGGTGGTGGGGGCAAAGACGATGGTCTTGGACTTGCCAGGGTTGACAAGCTGATCGTGGGCGATGAGACGCAAGACGTGAGGGATCTGCTCTTCCGCAGACTCGAGCACGGTAGCGTATTGAGGGATGTGCTTGTGAACATTCTCCTCTCCTGCGGGGACGCAGTCGATGAAGCGATGGTCCTTCTGCAAACTGGCGCGGGCGATGGCGCGAATCTCGTTGCTGACGGTGGCACTGAAGAGCATGTTCTGACGGTCGACCTTGGCGGGAAGGTGACGCATGATGGCTTGCAGGTCATCGCGGAAACCCATCTCGAGGAGCGTGTCGGCCTCGTCGAGGATGAGCGTGCGGCATGCAGTCATAGCTTCGCGGATCATGCCAACATCGTTGAGCAAATCGAGGATACGTCCGGGAGTAGCGACCACAACATCGGGTCTGGACCTCCTCCAGTCGTTGATCTGGAATTGACGACTGGCACCTCCGACCAGAAGCTGAACCTTGAGATCAGGCTCATGCGAGAGCAGCTTCTTGGCCTCGTCCGCAATCTGCGTTGCCAGCTCTCGAGTGGGAGAGAGAACGAGCGTACCGACGGTGTTGTTGACGAACTGCTTGACGATCTCTTCGAGCTCCTTCTTCTTGAGCGAGGACGCATCGAGATCGGGTCGATGCCTTTGGAGCATGTCGAGCCACGGTTTTGGGAACTTGCCGTTGCGGACATCCTCGATGGAACGCAGGCGAGCCTCGAGAGCGGGCACGAGGAAGGCGATCGTTTTACCGGTACCTGTCTTTGCCTTGACCAGCATGTCTCGGCCTTCTCCATCGGGCATAGGTGTAGCTGATTCACCGACACCGCTTGCGACCTCGGGGAGAAGGTGGAGGACGCTCTGTTGGACGGCCGACATGTTGGTGTATGCGAAGGGTTTGACGGTCAACGCCTTGAGAATCGAAGGGTGAATGGATCCCTTCAAAGATGCAAACGTCTCGTCCTTGACGCGAGCTGCTTTCTTGTCCCTCCCAGAGAAGGCGACTTGGTCGTCTGTGAAAGTGTCCTCGGAGGCTGTTGCAGCGGCGCTTGCTGGCTCAGACCCTTTGGAGGTCTGGGAGAAGCTGCGAATGGCAAGCGACACGTTCGAGCTCGGATATGAGCGCGCTACTCGGCTTTGCTGAAGGGCATCTTGTGCGAATGATGATGCAGCAGAGGGGACGACTCGTGCGCGGATGGCGGATCTTGTGGTGAGCGTTGAGAGCTGTCGAGCCGCTACCAGAGAGCGGGCAAGCCCTTGCGGGCCGGCAAGTTTTGTGTACAGCATTGCGCTGAAGCTGTATGTGGACGATGATCCGTCGGTGGCAAGAAGTGCCTGCTGATTGTACCGAGATGATGGATAGGAGGGTCAAGACCAGGAGTTGTACAATACTTTGGCCACCACCGAGAGAGAGAGCTCAGTCAATGAGTCTTCGCTAAGAAGTTTCCTCCAAAATTTTCGAGCCTTCTGCAGGGACGAACCGGGCAATTTTCGGCTGAGACCCTGTTCTGCCTTGCAGCAGCTGACCACCTTTTGATTGGATCGGGCCGACAGCCTCCACTCTGCCTCCCGATCCAGATCCCAGAAGAGCGACTCGAGAGCAACACCACGCCAAGATCAGCTGTCTGAGTGAGAACAACACCCTAATCAACACCATCCATCTACATCGTCCTTTTGGGCTTGGCAGGGCACAGGAGCTGCAGTCGCGGGACGACATCATGACTTCGAAAAGCTCGCCCGGAGCGGCCAAGGTCATGACGGACCGAGCACTGCATCCATCGAGCTCGTGGCTGCTTCTCACATTGATAGGCGGAGCAGTGCTTCGTCTCAGCATCGTGCTCTATACAGAGGCTTTCAGTCTGCTACAGGACCGTCCCGAGCTCAGCACACCAATAAGCAGCTTCAAGGCTCTCATGGAATCCCACTACATCTTTCGACACCGCCCGACATCCGTGACCGCCCTGAACCAACATCAAGTCTCGGATCCGTACTCAGCCGGCACCATCCACCACTCGCCGTTACTCGTGGCCGTCCTCTACTCCGCTCTACAACGCTTTCAGTCAAGATCAGACGAGCTTTCGATAGCATCCGTTTGGATTGCCGCCGATGTCGTCTCAGCATGGCTGCTATACCGCATCTGCTACGCACGCGACGTGTCCATATGGTCGAGGCAGACCTATCTGTTCGCCTGGGACCAGAGCAGAGCGCTCAAGGTGGCTGCCACCTTCCTCTTCAATCCGTACACCATCGCAACATGCATCTCAAGGAGCTCAATATCGCTCGAGATTGTCGCTCTGCTTGCCGCCATTCACTCCGCCATGTCAGGCTCAGCGATGCTCTTGGCGGTCTGTTGGGCTGCATCCTCCCTCCTTTCACTCTATCCGGTGCTGCTACTGCCCATGTTGGTCCAGCTATGCCGTAAGAGGGCAGGCGAGCTCGTCTATGAACGCGAGATTGCACGAGTCGGCAAGCATTCCCCATCGACAGACACTAAGGCGGTCCGTCAGCTGGGCTTCCTTGTCGACCGCGTTCGTTTCGCAAAGCGCTTCGCCGTTTTCAAGTGTCTCATTCTTATGCCGGCAGCGCTCGCAGGCGGCCTGTGGCTCTCGCGAGCTATCGTGTTGGCACCGGGAGCGGCCTCGTTCAGCGCAGTCCTCCTCCACCTGCCCAGCATCCTCGAAGTGCCTCTCGACCAGGGATGGGACTGGGTCGAGCAGGTCTACGGCTCGGTTATCTTCGCCACCGATCTCACACCCAATCTCGGTCTGTGGTGGTACTTCTTCATGGAGATCTTCGACCACTTTCGTGATTTCTTCCTTCTCACCTTCAACGTGCATCTCGCGTGCTACGTTCTGCCCTTCAGCATCAAATACAGGCAAGATCCGCTGTTCGGCATTACGGTCATGGTGGGTGTCATCGCAGTCTTCAAGAGCTATCCGACGATGGGCGACCACGCTCTCTTTATGGGCCTGCTGAGCTTGCACAGCCAGATTTTCGAGTACTTGCGGTACCCGTTGGTGTCGACGTTGACCTACGCGTACTGTACGTGCCTGTCGCCGGCTTTCCATCACCTGTGGCTCAATGCTGGGTCGGCGAATGCCAACTTCTTCTACGCCATTACGCTGGTGTGGGCGTTGGGTGGAGGCATGCTGGTGCTGGACGCTATGTGGGCGTGGGGCCGAGAGCGCTGGGAGAAGGAGAGGACACCGATCCGTGCGGCTGTTCGATCCCGCGAAGAGCACGTTGATGGCGATGCATCTGTCGACAGTACCACTTCGAATGGCGCGACAGCCACATTGGCCGTGTCGCCAGAAGAAGCTCCGGACAAATCGGACAAGCCAAGACGACGAGTCGTTGTACAAGTATAGACCCTAATGCAAAGATCAAGGATTGACCGTGATCGTTCGATGTCGGTGGCTGATAGCCAACGTTCGGCTGTGAGCGTGTGACACTGTATTCGCAGGGGTCCCCGTCATGTAGGCGTCGGTTGCGCAGCGGCATCAATCGGATGGTTCAGCGTGGACTTGGCATCACCGTGGTAGTAGATGCGATTTGCAACATCCTTGACGGTCCAGTCGAGGCCTTGAACAAGGTTGTCGCCTGTATATGCGCTGCAAGGCTGGATACGCCAACTATGAGTGGACACTCGATCGAGATCGAGATGTTTCTTGATCTGTTCGGCGGAGAGAGCTCCTGGAAGGTCCTGCTTGTTGGCAAAGATCAAGATGGTGGCCCCGTGCAGGCGTTCCTCCTGAAGCAGCTTGTCGAGCTCCTCTTTGCAGTCCGTCAGACGCGCTGTGTCGGAGGAATCGACCACCCAGATGATGGCATCCGTCTTTTCAAAGTAATTCTTCCAGTAAGGGCGGAGACTCTTCTGACCGCCAATATCCCAGACGTTGATGTGATAGCCTTGGTATTGGAAGGTCTGAATTGCAAAGCCTAGCGTTGGTGAGATGGCTTCGATCTCGGACTGCGGTTGGTTCTGAAGCTTCTTAAGGATGGTCGTCTTGCCAGCATTGTCGAGGCCGAGAAAGAGGAACCGGAACTCGTGAGACCGTAGCTTGGTCTTGCGGATGATGGTGAGTAGCCCCATGCTGTCAGAATCGCCGCGGTCGGGCTCGTTCGAAGTGGCTCTGCAGGACGAAGGTGGTCAAGTCTTGAAAGTGACACGGAGCTCCAAGCAACGCGCTTCAGCAGGACCCTGACGCCAAAAAAACGCACCTCGTCGGGAGATTTTTCGGTCTGACAGCCCTGAGAAATTCAAAGCACGTGGCAAGCGTTGATCTGCAGGCTGCATCATCGAATTTTCGCCAGAGAGAAGGCCGAGAGCTGCTGCGTTGTCAAGAAGATGCGTGCCTATGGCTCCTGCCGAGGCCGCGGCGAGAAGTGTGTCTCTCGGCAACACAGATCCGTTGTGTCTTGGTCGAGACCCTTTCTTTGACCATGCTCCTATTCTAAATTGGCGTGGTACCGTCATTCTTGTCCAAACAATCGGTCTGATGTGTGCTGTGCACTAGGGCATGCACTGTGCTTTGCACCGTAGCGGGCCGAGCTTCGATGCGGTGCTCGTGAATCAGCGGGATGCTAGATTGTAAGCTGTGCCCAGGGTTCCGGAGTTCCGCATGAGCTAGACCCTTTCAAGCTCAGCCGCCATCGAAGCAACACTCAAACTTGGCCCTCGACTCGGCCAGGGGCCATGTCGTGCCTCACGTTCTGGGAAGGCCCAATCCCTCATTCGCTCTGTCCGTCATCCCCTGACCACCACCATCCTTTCCTCTCTCCCTCCCGCCACATCCCGTGCAAGGGTCCGTTGCTGGACTTCACTGTCCGACCATGCGTTCGGCGGCATCACAGCCGTTGGGAGCAGTCCTGGCCATGACGCTTCTGGCGTCCTTTGCCTCTGCTCAGATCCGACCAGAACAAGTGTATCAGCCGCCTCCAGCTTCCAGCGGAGCAGCATCGCAGCAGTCCAACCTCACCAACGGCGTCAACCCGCAGTACGCCGATCTGCTCGGCAACGCTCTCTGGTTCTACGATGCGCAACGGAGCGGTGCTCTGCCAGATGACAATCGAGTCTCATGGAGGAACAGCAGTTGTGAGAACGATGGATCGCTCAACAATACCGACCTCTCTGGTGGCTGGTACGATGCTGGAGACTACGTCAAGGCCACCTATCCCTTGTGCTGGACCATGACCTCGATCGCATGGAGCGCCCTCAGTTTCGGATCCGCATACCAAAGAAGCTCGCAGGACGCCTACCTCGACTCAACGCTTCGTTGGGGGCTCGACTGGCTCTCCAAGACGCACTCGGATAAGGACACACTGTGGGTCTTTGTCGGCAACCCTACCGTCGACAATCAGTACTGGAGTGGTGATCAGAACATCCCCGATCCTCGAACCTCCTACAGCGTGACGCGACAGAACCCCGGCACAGATGCCTTTGCTTCTTGCGCTGCCGCTTTTGCTGCGGCGACGTATTTGTACAGCGAAGGCGCTGCATCCCTTCCCACAAGCACAAACGGCGCTCAACTCGGAGGCGTGTCCAGCATCCGCAACCGCACCTACTCCGATGCTCTGTTGCGCCACGCAGATGGACTATGGGATCTGGCCATCAATAGCTCGCCAAAACAGGTCTACTCGATGGCTTCTCCCACTGCTGGTCAGAGCTACCCTTCCAGCGACTACGAAAGCGACCTTGCCTTTGCTGGCTTGTGGATGACACTAGCCAAAGGGGATGCCAGCTACGCCAACCAGGGTCTCGCATTCTACCCTCAAGGCAACAATGCCTTTGCCAGCGTCAATACCGCGCTCAACTGGGACCGTAAGACGGCGGCTCTTCCCGTCCTCGCGACTCAGATCGCGCAGCTCAACACATCGCTCGGTCTCAGCATCTCGCGCTTCCAGACCGATGCCGAGTTCTACTTTGACAACCTCTTGAACAACAAGATGGCAGACGTCAGTCAGACAAAGGGAGGTCTCTACTGGTGGAAAGGCGATAGCGACGGTGCCAGTCTCAACCCGGCTCTCAACGCAGCTTTCATCGCAGACCTCTACTCGGGCCTCGCGACGACCTCGGCCAAGACCACAGCCTACCGATCGCTTGCGGACTCACAGGTGGACTACTTCCTCGGCGACAACAACTACAATGGTCCCTTCATCGTCGGGCAGCATCCCAACAGCCCCCAGAACCCACACTCGGCCATGGCGTCGGGGGGCAGCGACATCACCAACATCAACGGCAGCCCGCCAAAGGAGCTGCATGTCTTGTACGGCGCTGTCGTCGGAGGCCCGGACAAGAACGATCGTTTCTTCGACCTCCGTGATGACTATCCCCAAACCGAGATTGCGCTCGACTACAATGCACCCCTCATTGCTGCTGCTGTCTCTCGCATTGCACGCAACGTGACTAAGGACCCTCCGTACACTTTGTCGAGCGGCGGGGCCAACGTCGCCTCCGGACGGCCGACGGATGCGGCGTACCCAGCGCGCAAGCACGGCCTCGCTACAGGCGCACAGATTGCCATCGCTGTCGTTGTCCTTGTGGTCTTCTTCGGCGCGGCTGGTGGCATTGCATGGTGGCAGCGAGAGCGTCTCCGGTGGTGGTACCGCGAGAGGAAGATGGGTCTCTGAGCCTTCTTCATGGACATTGCTTCTCCTGGACAATCCTTTTCGGATCACTTCATCTGATTGTGTTTGCAAGGACAACCTCATTCTACTCGTTTGCACGTCTCCTCGATATCCGCGTGAAGTGTGTGCGCTGTCCGGCCCGTGATGGAAGGGGTATGGTGAGCTTAGTATGGAACAGGCCTCGAAATTTAGAGTTGGCCAGTTCGGCTACGCGAGCCGGCCCGGATATTTGCTCCCATAACAGACGTCACCGTCCGCGGAATTGATGGAGCGAGCTCTAAAAAGTGAGACTGTGGAGGCTGTGCTGTGCCACCATGCATGCTTCCACCTGCCGCATCCTTCTGAAAGTACAAGCACCATCTAGTGCTACCGCCTACGCCAGCCAACATCCTTCACTAACCTATCACAAACACTAAGCTCTCCTTCGAAATGCCGATTGATCTCAAGAAGAAACTCAAGACCGACGATCCCAAGTGGGACAAGCTCAAGCAGGGCTTCAAGAAGGTCGAGACCGGAACTTGGAACGTCCTTGCTCCCGTCGGACAGTGGACCAACCGCACCGCAGGCAAGTTCGGCGCTGAATCTTTCTGGCCCACCGAGCTGGCTCTGGAATGCGACAAGGCGGCTCGGATCCTGCGCACCTTCACCACCAAGGGCGCTTCCGTCGAGGTCGACGAGAGCAATGCAGCCGGCATCAGCGATCAGAATGCCATAATTCCGCCGGCGGCGCCCAAAGTCGATGCCAATGGCAAGAAGATCAAAGATCCGCACAAGTACGATAGCCGCAAGACGCAAAAGGTCATCCGCAGGATCCCACCCAAGGTGCTCGAGAAGGCACACGGACTCGCCATCTTTACCGTCTTCCGGACCGGCTTTGGCCTCTCGGCTGCATCTGGCTCGGGTGTCGTTGTTTCACGATTGCCGGATGGATCGTGGTCCGCACCTTCGGGTCTGTTGATTCACACGATCGGCTACGGCTTCCTGATCGGTCTTGATGTCTACGATGTTGTGCTTGTGCTTCGTACACAGAAAGCTGTGGAAGCCTTCAAACGTCCCAAGGTCAGTCTCGGCGGCGAGCTCTCCATGGCCCTTGGCCCCGTCGGCAACGGTGCGATGGTCGAGACGGGCGTGGAGGCTGCTCCATGCTGGTCGTACGTCAAGAGCAAGGGCTTCTATGCCGGTCTGCAGCTGGATGGCACCATCGTTCTCAAGCGTGACGATGAAAACGCTCGATTCTACCAGACACCGGGCATCACGGTGGACAATATCCTCTCTGGTCAGCTGCAGCGACCGGCTCCTGCTGCTGTCCTGCCGCTGTGGCAGACCATCTATGCTGCGGAAGGAAGACCGCAATTGATGGGCACGGACCGCATCCCTGACGGTACGACACCAGGCGACCTGGTCTTGACCGAGGAAGACATGAAGGAAGCTAACAGCTATGCAGAGCAGGAACAGCAGTACCTGCAGCAGCACTCTCAAGGCGCTGGAGCTGCGGTGGCTCCCGTGGGAAGCTTGTCAGGTCGTAGGGTACCGCCACCTCCCGCGGGTTCAGGTCCCAGTAACGTCGTAGGCACCACTGTACCTGTCTCGCAGTCTCACGCAGATCTGCCGCCCGACTACGAGTGAGTACTGTTCGATCATCGCCACCTAGAGTATAAGTCTCTGAGACTAACTTCTTGTTCCACTTGCCTTCCAGATTCGCAAATGCTCCTATCAACGCGCAGGGTGGGAAGCAGTTGAGCGATCCCGCTTCGACGCAGCCATTCCAACCAAGTTCGGACGCTGCTCCACCAAATCCATTCACTCATCCATCCGACGTTTCGTCAGGCCCTGCTCATTACGAGACCGCCGAGCAGGAGAAAGCGAGACTGCAGCAACAGTACTCTTCGGCGCCGACCTCGAGTGTTCCCGTCACTCATCCAGGCTCGTCGCTTCCTGTTCGAGTACAGGCTCTCTATGACTTTGCCGGTCAAGAGCAGGACGACCTGTCTTTCAGCATGGGCGACATCATCCAGGTCACAGGCCAGGAAGACGAGATGTGGTGGCGTGGAACGCTCAATGGTCGCTCCGGAATCTTCCCTTACAACTACTGCCGCCCTTTGTAGACGACATCAGCTCAATAGGCTTGTATGGTATCTCGAAAGCTCATGCTCAGTGCTCTGACTGTATGATCTGTCCTAGGTGCTGCGAAAGACGATCCAATGATGTCTCGATTCTGCGCAGCAATTCTTCGAGAGTGTGAGATCGCGGTTCATGCAGGGTGCGAAATGCCTGTCAAAAGCCTAATCAGCGGTTTGGGGGGTGGAGGCATGGGCGGCGAAATTTGTCTCAAGAAGAACTCAGCCAATTTTGAGTGGGGCTGGCTGTATGCGAGGCTTCAGGGTTGCCACTCGCCACCCTCTCCAAACAGCTGCCATTCCTTCCTTACGCCTATCCGTTCAGCTTTCCTCGAGTCGTCACTGTCTGGTCACTCGAACGGAATACGCTTTCCGTAGCCGCAAAGATGTCCAACGTCCGCGGGCCGACGTCGGCTTTGACCGAGTTCCTGAGGGAGCGCGGTATCAGTGCAAGAAACACCAACCGTTTCCGCCGACGAGATCAGGATCAGACAGATGCAGCAGCAGCAGCAGCCGCAGCGGACAGCCCGCAAGCTGCCTCGGCCTCCCCTTCTGCTGCTTCTCCATCGGCAGCTCCGCGCCCTCGACGCCCCTTGGCCCGCAGCGGCAGCTCTATGAACTTCGAAGAGGATGACGAGACGGACGAAGATCTACCCGAAGCTGCCACCTCAACGGCCGAGGCGAGCACCAGCTCCAGCAGACCAACTCGAGGCAACGGAAAGAAGCGCGCCTCGCAGACTGAAGTTGCCGCCGAGGCCAGCAGCAGCAGCACAACTAACGGCAACGGCAAGAAGAAGCTCAAGAAGGGCGACGAAGATGACGATGACTACAATCCAAAGGGGAAGAAGGGCCCTGCGCCCGACGACTGGGAAGACGCCATCGGTCTGCCTCAAGCCAGCAGCTCCCGTGCCAATCACTCCTACGCCAACCGCAAACCCGGTAGCATCTCCTATTGCGGCATGTGCAAGATGAAGTTTACCATCACCTCGTACACCAAGATGTCCGACAAGGGTCCGCTTTGCCATCGCTGTGGCCCGACCTACAAGGGCAACGGAACGGGCCCGGACGCAAAGGCAAAGCCCGCGCCGAAGAAGAAGCAAGTCCGTCGCAAGAACCTGCAGGACGGCCTGCGACAGAGCTTCCCCAGTCTACAGAGCTACTGCATCGAGGTCGTCAGTCGTCACATCGAGGATGTCGAGGCTCTGGGCCAGATCGGCTTCGTCAATCTGGACGCCATCAGCAAGTCGATCTCTAAGAACCGCAGTCTGAACCCGACGACACTGCAACTCTTCCTGTCCCCGTCGATCACCACCCTCTCGCTGTACGATTGCAGCAAGCTTACCAGTGAGTCCTTGCAAAGCATTGCTACCTTTGCACCCAACCTCGAGCACATCAATCTGCAGCTCTGTGGTATGCTGGACAACGACGCCATGGACGTGTGGGCACAGAAGCTTCCCAAGCTCAAGAGTGTTGAGCTCTACGGACCTTTCCTGGTGCGCAAGGAGGCCTGGCATCGCTTCTTTGAAGCTGTCGGACCCCGTCTGGAGAGCTTCAAGATACGAGAATCGCCGCGATTCGATTTGTCGTGCGCCGAAGCGATGGTGAAGCACTGCCCCAACCTTCGCGAGCTTGGCTTGGCGCAGATTGGTCCGCTGGACAAGACGATGCTGCAGCCTCTCGAGAGCTATGGCGAGCAGCTCACGTATCTCGATGTCTCGGACCCAGGCGTGTCCGCTCCGGGTATTCCGCCCAAGTCGCTGGAAGACGACGAGGTGGTCAGCCTGCTCAAGGCCGTGGGCAAGAATCTGACGCATCTCGATGTATCCAAGAACATTGATCTCACCGACCGCATCGTCAAGGAGGCGATCACGCCGTACTGTCGCAAAGTCAAGACGCTTCGCCTGATCGGTCTCGAGAAGATTGAAGCCGAGACAATGGCGGGCATGTTCAACGACTGGGTAAGCGAAGGAGTCTCAGGTGTCTCTCATTTGCACCTGGATCGAATGCTCAAGCTCGACGACAGCTTGATGGAACCGATGCTCAAGCACTCGGGGCCTGAGCTGGTCGAGCTATCGCTCAACTCGGTGGATGGCATCACCGACAAGGGCCTCGAAATTCTCGCCAATGCGAAGAACCTGCCGGTGCTGGAGACGCTGGACCTCTCCTTCGTACGAGCGGTGGATGACGACAGCCTGGAGAAGATCTGCAAGAACCTGAACAGCCTCAAGAAGGTGTTCGTGTTTGGCTGCAACCGCATCAGCGATTTCCTCAAGTCGGAGCGGGTCAGAATCGTTGGCAAGGAGAAGTATGCCACCTGAGACGCTCGAATCTCTCGCCAGGGCCACTGCAGCACATCCTCGGCACTCTTGTTTCCGCCATCGCATTTCGATTCATCAGTCCAACATCAGTTCAAGCCATCAGGTGTCTCTTCTTGTTCGAATCAAAGGTCGTCGTCATCTCCAATCCAGCGAGGTCATGAAGCGAGAAGAGTGAAAGGCCCAGCTACCGGTAAGTTGTGCTCGGGACCGTCGGCCCGTGAGTAGGGGAGCTGAGCTTGAGTCTGATGAAACACGGAGCCCCAGGCCCGAAGGCTTGCAGCGCGCCTGCAGGCACAGCCTCCTTGAGAACCTTGCGGAGCCTTGCATCGCATTCAGTGAGACGCTTGTGAAGATCCTTTCGCAGACACTGTTGAGCTTGATTCTCACCACATGTCCAGAGCTACGAGCAGACGAGCTTGCACCATGCCTAGAAGGGGCGCTGCGAGACAACTGAGCACGGGACGTCCCGCCAAAGGGTCACCGGTCCGCTATTGTCAAGAATCGAAGCTCAGCGAGGCAGGGCGTGGGATTAATTCTGCGGGCCGGTTGAACCCCGCACTCAAAAAAGCTGGCCGGTGCAGGTTGACAATGCGGGTGGAGTCGAGCCTTGCATAACGCTCTCTCCCCCCTCTGGCCCGGGATGACTGAGTGAGACCTGAGCATCGGCGCGGTTACCTATTTTTTGGTCTTTTAGAGCGCACTTTCAAGGTCAACTTTTGGCAGGTCTGAGCTGAGTGTTACGACATCGGCAAACTCAACAAGGCTCGCTACGTGCTTCTCCGTGGGCTTCCTTGGCTTCTCAGCTTCTTCGCTTCTTATCGGATCTGGATCTTTCCATGCTGCCTACTGAATAACGTCGGCCTTCTTCTTTTGTAAATCGGCCCGAGTTCACAGCATAGTGTCAGATTGTGTGTCAGAGGTCTCCCTCGCTGCGTCAGAGTCTGTCCCTACTCGTCTCGGTGCGCTTGCTCCGTTAAGGTGCGAGAGTGAGGCCCAAGCGCCATTCTGGAGCCGTGTCCACCCTTTCAGCGCAGCTTATGTTCAGCCCACCTCCAGCATCGCATCCCCCTGCATCTGCATGGCATGACCAGCAGCATCCCACCTATATCACTCTGAAGCAATCTACCTGTCGACGTCGACAACATGGCGGTGGTCGGCAGTGCTTCGTTTCCACATTTGCAGCACATTGCGTCGCCAACGAATTCGGCGGGGACGATGTCAAGCCAGCCCTCTTCCTCTCGAGCCATGGACACCACCATGTCACTCGGGCGTTCGGACGCTCAGCACTATCATGGTGGGCCGCTCACACGCGAGAACCTAGCAAGGCTGCCCAACCACGGCGGCGCCACTCTTCCTGGCCGGCTGCGATCCCAGACTCTGTCACCAATAGACTCACCACTGAACTTTCAGCGAGGCGCTGTGCTAGGCTCAGCGCTGGGTCGTGTCAACACCATGGACAGCTGCAGAGCGTCTATCTTGACGGACAGCACCGAGTTCAGCACCTCGAGCACCATCAACCGAGGATACGCTGCCCGCATCGATGTCAACGGCAAAGTGAAGCCGCTCTCCTCAACGCCGGACAGGCATGCTTGCCAGACCATCGCTTTCCTCGAAGGACCCTCCGACTCGGTCGACTACAAGACCTATCGTCCCGGCGACGAGATCAAGGGCGCTGTACACCTTCTCCGCAATGACCCCGAGCGCGGCTACATCACTGGCATCAAGGCTCGCATCCGAGGAGATCTCGAGACTAGTGTCTTCGGGGTCGGCGACTCGAGCTACTACTCGATGGACAACGAACACGGCATCGCTCGTCGCCAGATGCTCTTCTTCTCCGAGCAAAAGACCATCGCCACCAAAGCGGATCTCGAAGCCGGCGCCTTTGGGCTCGAACAGACCGGTCTCGTTGACCATGGACGCCGCAACAACCTCGCTGTGCCCTTCAGCTTTGTGCTGCCGTTGAAACTCCACGCTTCTGCGCTTGACATGCTGGACAGCAAGCTGAAGAAGTCTTTCAAGCGAGGCAAGCAGTACATCGATCTTCCGCCTTCGGTCGACATGGAGACTCGCTACGCTCCACCAAAACAGAGCCAGCGCTTCGGCCAAGTCCGAGACAGGCTTCACGGTCAAAAGCTGCGTCCAATGGCCCGGATCAAGTACGAGATTGACATCATCGTCAGCAGGCAGCGATTCGGATCGATTCTGCTCCCGCACAAGCGCGGTGAACGCATCATTCTCGCTTTCGCTGTCGAGCCTTATCCTCCACGCACGGCGGGCCTGGCCGTGCCGACGCTCGAGCCCATTAGAGCTCGCCGCACCACATCTCGAAGCGATCGCGCCATCTCGAACGACAGATCCGCTGCATCGGACACCGTTTCGATCAACTCGAGCGAGACGCCGGAGGAAGAGTCGGTCGACGATGACTCCTGGGCTTCCGATCTCGGAGGCTTCCGCCGCACGCAGGAGATCTTCGGCGCTCTGCCCTTCGAGGCTCCCCCCGCATTTGGTCCTAGCTCGCTTGCCCGCTCGGTCTCAGCGAGGCCTGGGCTTCCCGGTACTCGACGCAAGAGCTACATCAACGTCAAGGAGGGTGTCGACGGCCGTATGAAAGGCTGGCTCACGCACTCAGTCGAAAGCACTCTCCCCGGAGGGGGAGGCTCGTTCGAAGCGATTCTGTCGGTTCCGGCAATGGCCGCGCTGTACATGGAGACCAAGATCCCCTTCAGCCTGGAACTGCGCATGCCCCAGCACCTCGTTGGCTCTTACGTTCCCGACGTCCAGCTTGGCCTTGTTCGATCCGTCATGACCTACTCGCGCCTCGGTACCCTCGTCATCGAAAAAGAGGACCCCGACAACCTCGCTGGCTTCAGCGGCCCGCACTCGTGGTCCGAACGCATCCGTATTGTCAACATGGACCGCCAGGCCGATACGCATCTGCCGCCCTTCTACGAGCAAGGCCAAGCACGGCAGATCTACACGGGCAACTTTGCCATTGGACGATACGAGAAGATGATCAAGGCGGGCTCGTCGTCGCCGCTGAAGCAGAAGCTGATTCAGGAGCCCGAGCTACGTCTGGTCGTGCCTAGCTTTTCGTTCAAGGCGCTGAGGATCGAATACAGGTTGCGAGTCAAGATCTCGCTTCCTGAGGCGGGAACGTCGACGACGGCTGCAGCGGGTGTGAACAGTGTGGTGATGGAGACGCCGCCCGTACATGTCGCTGCCAACCCGGACACGGTTGACTTCACCAGGCAGGATGCGGCGGAGCAGTTGGATGACGATTCGCTCTCGACTGTGGACGTGCTTGATGAGGACGAAGAGCGCTTGATCGAAGCATCGGCTTCGAGAATGCGTCGTCCAGTCACACCTCCCTCTCTGGCAGCTCATCACTCTGCAGACGATGACGAAGAAGACTTCTCCGCTCAAGCCACGCCTCTAGCACGAACGCCCCTCCGCCGCTCCCTCGACATGACCGCCCTCACCAGCCTCGCTACCCCTTCTGCAGCCGAAAGCGAGACCCTGATCTCCTCCGCAGCCTCGATCATTAGCGAGTCGAGCTCCTCCGCGATGGAAGTCCCCTCGCTCGACCCCATCCCGGACGAAGCCGATGTGGACGAAGAGGACGAGCTGACGGAACAGCTAGCACTCGGTCTCATCGATCGTGAGCACGCTGCAGCCGTCGTCGCCGCCCGCGCTCGCGGTCGCGCCGCTACCATCACCAGCATCCAGCCTCCCACGCAGGCTCTGCCCAGCTACTCAGATAGCATCGGCATCCTCGGCTAGCTCCTTCCCCTCGATAGACTTGTTTGCTGCATTTTTCTGCATCCTGTTCGCATTTCCGTTTCACGCACTTGCTCATCGGTGTCTCGTCGCATTCGCATCCTCGCTTACGTCCAATGTCCTCGTTCATTGTCCCGTCCCTTCACATGCAATCACGACGCTTACTTCGCATCACATCGCTAACGGGTCGAGGCGGCCGCCTCTGAAGAGTGAAGCGCCCGTCGCCTCATCCGCATCTGTGCGTAGCCGTTGCTGACTAGGCTGACTGAGCAGCGTGACTTTAGCGGAAGCGCCCTTTGGCATGTCACGTTTGGGCTGAGTATTTCACCACCTCGTTTCCACTGAGCCGTACCTACTTTCTCTACTTCCAACATCCCGCTTCGAACTCCATGCCCTGTCTCCAACGTCGTCTCTAGCATCGATTGGCTGCATGTCTCGAACATCCAACGAACACCTCGGCGACAATCTCAGGAAAGACCTACACGTTAGTCACCCACGAATGCCAGAGCCACCTTTGCCAAAAGGAATCTGGACCCCGGAAGGGTCCAAAGAAGCTGCGGCTGGGAGGAATCGAACATCCGTCTGCTCGGCAGCAGTATCCTGAAGAAACAGGGACCCACAACGAGCCGTGCTAACCACTATACTACAGCCGCTTTGATGGACTGGTATAGGACGTTTCAGTACATGTACACACCAATGACAATATTAACACGCGAGCGGCGCGCTGCATTCAGACGAAGGACGACTTGAGCCTCTCATGTTCACGCACAACGGGGAGTTCATATGCGTAACCCTTGCACGCACACAGCAGTCAGTGCATGTGCGTAGAAGCCCTCTCGCACGCACATGGCGGTTCAATCATATGCGTCGAAACGCTCCTCTTCGAACATGGCGGATTGCCCAGGTGCGTACAAAGGCTCCTCTTATGGCGGATGGTTCATATGCGTAGAACATCTCTTTTATGCATATACTGGACCAGGTTTTTTGTGGAGATCATGCTCGAGCTGTACCGCACGCTGCAGTCGCTCGGCATGGAATGGCGGGCCAAGCCTCCCACCAAGCCTTCCAAGCCCGATGGTGACGCCGACTCCTCGCACCACGACGACGGCACCTCCAAACCCGGTGACTTTGCTCCCTGTTCAATTTTCGTACCAACTCGGTCGCTCTGCCCCCTGCCACCTCGCAGCTCATCACCCTCTTCACAAACTGAGCAGTCGCATCATTTCAATGGCTTGATGGTGACAGTGACACTAACTTGACAGACAGAGGGAGGTTCATGACTTCAGTGACATGGGGAGATGGACGCCGTAGACCACTGGAGTGACGACCGGAACGGACGATTCCAGGCGCTATGAACTGGACAACATCAAGAATGCCTCGGATTCTCAAACACAGAAATCTACATCTTCGAGACACACAGATGAGTAGGAGAAGTTGCCTGCAGATGAATGATCAGGGCTTGGGTTGCATTTTTGGTGTGAGAGGGCGATGCGAATCAGACGAGCACCCGATGGCCCGAAAGACAGCGTCCCCTGGATGGTTACAAAGTACAAGAAGAAAGAATGCAGAGAAGGACAACCACCGCGCTTAGGCAACGAGGGTGGAAGCGGTAGCGGCCTCGTACTTGAAGGTAGGAGCGACGGCACCCTTGGTCTTGTAGTAACGAGCGAGACGGTGGATACGCGACTCGATGAGAATGAGGCGGAACTTGGAGTCCATGTCCTTGCGGTTGCGCTCCAGGTGCTTGCGCACCGAGACGGCCTTCTTGATGAGGTGGTAGAGGTCCTCGGGGATCTGAGGAGCAAGACCCTGCGACTTGAGGATACGGAGGATCTTGTTACCGGTGACGAAACGCACCTGGGCGATACCCTGCGAGTCACGGAGCTGAACACCGATCTGCGAGGGGGTCATACCCTTACGGGCGAGCTTGGTGATCTGCTCAACAACCTCCTCCGGGGTGGTCTTGAGCCACGAGGGGGGGGTGCGACGGTAGGGCAGAGCCGAGGCGGAGATACCCTTTCCTTTGGCTGGAGAGGTGGTAGAAAATGGTCGAAGGGCGAACGGAAACATATTAGTCTTTCTGGATGCGGATGTCGATGTGGTTGGATTGGCGAGCTGGCTCTGCATGAACAAGTTGTTCCGTCTTGCCTTGATCACGATCGTAATCAGCGGGACTAATGAATCCGCTGCTCGGTCGAGGCCAGCAAGGTGGAGCCGACAGGCTTGGATGCCGTGATCGCCAGCAAACCCATTCTGTGCCGCATGACCGAACGATGATGCAGACGAAAACGAAACAATGATGCTGATGCAGGGTGCTCGCCAACTAACGGTGAACACTTACAGTGCATGCGACCCATTTTGGCTGAAGATGGTCGAGTGTCGTGAAGAAAGTCGAGTCGAATGTCGAATGCAAATGGTGGTGGAGAGTCGGACAGAAAGACAGCAAACAGTCAGCACTAGACCAACATGAAGCTCGTTCTACATTCGATCCTGTTTCCCAGAGGTCGCCCTGCTTCACGCATCCTCTCGGAGCGTTCCACAGTCACCTGCGATGCCTCGTCCTCCACCTTTGACCTCGATGGCCAAGATGATCATGCAATGTCGGCCGCAGAGCTGCTTGCTCTCAGCTGTTGGTGCTGGTCGGTACTCGTTGTGTTGGCTGGAATGCTGGGCGAGGTGAGGCTGCTGCTGCTGTGCATGTGCGTTGGTGCTTCAATATGGTCGAACGGTCGGTGCATGATCATCCTCCATCGTTTTGTCCTTTCGTCCATTGTGCCCCTTCGAGCGATGCCTCCATGGTTCCAAAAATCATCGGGACAGTACCTGCAAGATATCTGTCGTCCTTAGCTGATGTCGATTCCTTCTCCTCCGGGATAGATGTCTCTGTTCATCGGTACATACCTGTACAAGGCAAATGAGAAATTAGACGCGGTCAGATGCTTTGCTCCGATGCAGTGCTGCCCGTGACTGTATGGCTTAGTACACACCTAAATATTCTTGATCTTGAGGATGATGATGATGGGATAGATTCCTAGAGGTAGAGACGAGGGACTGATGGCGAGCAACACCTCCATTCACCCCAGCCCGCACACACTGCCAAAGGCTGCCTTTGGCTGATTCTAAAGCACTGCAGCAGCTGGGTGTTCTCAGCCGTCTCCAAATTCCAACTTTCCGCCCTCACAAAATTCGGTTGCAGCTCGCATTGATCCAAGGAAGCTTGTGCACGTGATTAGCCTCGGCCGAGGTTTGAGAATTCTTGCACGGCCAAATTCAAGTGTGGCCAAATTCAAGTGTGGCCTGCAGGCAAGTCTCAGCGGGTTGGTGAGCGGAGGCCAGCTGCTGGAGCTCAAGAGCGAAGATCCGAGTAAGAGACAGCCAACACACACCGGCCACGAGCAAGCAGTCAGCCAAGCACGACTTTGCGATTCGAGTTTGCTCACGATCCTCTCTATCCTCATCACATCAACTATTCGTCAAGGTAGGTGTTCAGTCACAGCATATGTTCGATCGCATCAGCACGCATCCGCAGAGACACAGCACACCGCACAGCCAGCAAACAGCACCGTCTAGCATCTCCCAGCCATCACCCACCCAGCATTAGACAGCAGAAGACGACCGACCGGCATCCATCGATGACGAAGCAGCACATGTGTTGCTTGGCATGCGTACGATCATATCGATGCCTGGAGCCTTGCATGGCAAAGAGGAGACGAGGACAACGAGGGCGTATGGAGGCAGGGTATGACGATCTCAGGGGGCGGCAGGCGCCTACTCAATCATGATGGTCGTCCAACTCATGGACAGAGCGGACATTCATCGGCATGCTCTCCGTTCACGTGGTAGTATCTGATGCAGCAACGCAGCGATCCAGCAGCATGTGAAGAGGGGATTTGGGATGCCTAGCGGCCTGGTACGGTCCGTCCCACGCAGGAGCTTCATGCCGCGTACCCGTCCATCTATCGATCAGTGGTCAACCCTTCGCGCTATCCTGATGTTTGTAGCCTCCGATCTGTCGGGAGCAATCACCGTCATCAGCCCACACACAATAATTGCCAGTCTCACAACCTCATTGCCAGTCGCACAACATCAAAGAGCCGGTTCAAGTCACCCATCACCGACGTGCTGTGTCTCTTGCCCATTCGTCTATGCCGCATCATCAGCGCACTCGCCCGCAACTCATCATAGCCGACGTACTCACCGCTTCATATTCTTCCATTCCTCGACTCACAGATGAAGCTCAACGTTGCCAACCCTGCCACGGGTGCCCAGAAGTCTTTTGACATTCAGGATGAGCGACTTGTTCGCTGCTTCTACGAGAAGCGCATGTCGCAGGACGTCGAGGTCGACTCGCTCGGCGAAGAGTGGAAGGGCTACGTCCTCCGCATCGGCGGTGGTAACGACAAGCAGGGTTTCCCCATGAAGCAGGGTGTCCTCCTCCCCAACCGTGTCCGCCTGCTCCTCTCCAAGGGTGACTCGTGCTACCGCCCCCGCCGCACTGGTGAGCGCAAGCGCAAGTCGGTCCGCGGCTGCATCGTCGGCTCCGACATCCAGGCTCTCCACCTCATCGTCGTCAAGCAGGGCGAGAAGGAGATCCCCGGCCTCACCGACGCCGACTCGACCGTCCCCAAGCGTCTCGGTCCCAAGCGTGCCAACCACATCCGCAAGTTCTTCAACCTCTCCAAGGAGGATGATGTCCGCCAGTTTGTCGTTCGCCGCGAGGTCGTCTCCAAGAAGGAGGGCGCCAAGCCATACACCAAGGCCCCCAAGATCCAGCGTCTGGTGACCGCCCAGCGCCTCCAGCGCAAGCGTCACCTCAAGTCGCTCAAGATCCGCAGGGCAGAGGCCCAGAAGATCCAGAAGGAGGAGTACGACCAGCTCATCTCCAAGCGCGTGGCCGAGAAGAAGCAGGAGGTCGCCGCCCAGAAGGCTGCCCGCAAGTCGGCCAAGAAGGTCTCGGCTTAAGCGGTTCTCTAGCATCTTTCTTGTTCCCGGTGTCATCTTTTCTCCTCGCATCATCACTTCCAAAAGACGGGACGGCGACCTGCTCGCCTTCCTGACTAGAGCCACGTCACGAGAGAAGGCTCGAGACGTTTCTCTGTATACACACTATCACGTCCTTCGGTAGTCGAGTACGAGGCTTGCCGCCATCAGTATCTCGTTACCTCACCACCCGCACACACACCTTGAGAGAGCTTTCCTTGCGACTAGCGCAGCCGTCCTCTGTTTCGTCTATGTACGCTCGCCTCGCTTCTCTTCAAAAATCTGAACCTGTACAATGACCCAAAACCTCTGGCACTGGTCTCTGTATCATGAGCGCTGCCTGATGGTGATCAGCTTATGCCGACGATTCACCGCCACACGTGAACATTCCTGGCTTGCTACGCCTTGGTGCGCTTGCACGTCACACCTCAGCGCTACGCGTGCAGAAGCGGAAGGAGAAAGTCAAGGGTCGTGGAAAAGCGTACAGATCGTTGAAAGATCCAGGGACAAGCAGCGACGGGTTGAGGCAGGACCTGGCGCCCCAGCAGCGGCAGTCCCGGTATCAGTCCGAACGACAGCAGCAGTTCCGGCTCGAGCACGCCCAAGAACGGCGAAAGCACAGGAACTGGCCTTCTGCAATGCCACTCCGGCCTACGCTCTCCGGATCTGTCGGTCGATATGGCGTCGATCAACTCGAGATCGCTGAGTGTGATGTTCAACTCAAGGATTGTCCCGTAGAACGAGACGAGACGATTCAGAAGGCGTCGAGGAAGCGTCGGTCCCTTTCAGTGCATTCGTGCGTGTCGTATGCCATTGCGTAAAGGGATCTGATTCGTGGGAACGAATCAGTGGTTGGGGGGATTGCTAATGTTACAAGATGTGAATGCTGTAGGTAGGTCCGCTATCAAGCCCTCGACTCGGAGTCGGTCTCGTCATCGTCATGAGCGACCCTGCTGTATCCCCTCCTCCCTCGGTATGGGTCGCACCAAGCGGGAGGCTTGACAATGCCATTGAACAAGAAGGTGCCGTACACCAGCAGGACGAAGCCCAACACCTGCAGACTGCCCGATGCCAGCCTGAACGTCTCCCAGCCCAGATACAGACTGACTCCCCAGATACCAACTGTCCTGCACGTGTCGATGGTGCTTCTCGCAGTTGCGGAAACATTGCGGGTGACGGAGAGACCGAAGAAGTTGAAAAAGGCGATGGTGAAGCAGATGGCGATCGAAGTCCATAGGATGATGGGGATGCCGATGATCTGGTAGAACCCGGCGGTCATGTCAAAGTAGCCGCCACGGCCCTCGGGCGTGCGGCCAACAAAGTAGTGCAGCAGCGGCATGATGAGGAGCACCGTGATGGAGCCGAATACGCCCTCATAGCCGACAGCAAGGAGGGGCTCGACCGAGTAGCGCGACATGATCTTCTCCTCGAGCACGAATTGCGAGGCGGTGAACAGCTGGGCGAAGAGGATGAGCAGAACGCCGAGCAGCGCTTGGGCAGACTCGGCCAGCTCGTCGTCGCCGTCCTCGGCAGATCCGGACACTTCGGGCTGCTTGAACGCGGTTCCTGACAGACCAACGACCGAAACACCCAGCATGACAGTCACCAGGCTGAGCCACTGGAAGAGGTGCAGGTGGCGGCCGAGGAAGGCTACCGAGAACACACCAACCCAGAGCACCAGCGCACCTCGCGTCATCTGGTAGATGCTGACAGGGGTGAAGAGGAGACCGACGTTCATCAGCGTGGTTCCGCAGATGTCGCAAAGGGCGGGCATGAAGAAGAGGAAGATGGCTTTGCCGGACATGGTCTTGCCCTTGACAGCACCAACTTCGTCGGCGTCGATGGCATGGATGTAGCTGCTGTCGTTGATGTCGGTGAATTCAGATCCGTCGAGCTCGCCTGGCTGAATGGCGCGCGATGCGATCTCGAAGGGAGGCGCGGGAAGGGTTGGGTTGGTGGGCGCGTGCGTGGCGCCAGTGTGAACACGACCACGAGTAGCTTCGTAGGTTGAGATGGCAGAGGTACCGCGGTTGCGAGGCGATGGATCGCTGTCGACAATGATGCCCGAGTCAGGCTCGGATTGCAGCAGTGGCTTCTTGAGCGCAGCGTCTCGTGCCGCGCTGCCAGAGAAGCGTGCGTAGATGATGCGGAAGAGGACGGGGAGCAGACAGAGACATTCGCCCAGGAACATCTGCAGCGTCTGCCAGACGGGTTGTTGAAATTCTTGACGCTGTTTGGGATCTGGCGAGTCGCAGTTGGCGACACACTGCATGTCTTGATACTTGTTGAGTAATGAGTTGCCGATGCCGGTGATCAGCATGCCAACGACGAGCGCGGGCACGAGTGACCGTGTCAACATCTTGGACTGGTTATGTGGGTCCTGAGTTTCGAGGTGGTCCTGATATGTGCCAGTCAATGGCGGTGATTCTGGGGAAGGACCTGGTGCAGCGGAGGGTTGCTGGTGTCGTAGTCGCTGTTGTCCGAGTGCAGCGGAGGGATGTATTTGAGAGGTAGACAGCGCCACCAGCTCGATGCTGCCTGAGTTCCGGCGCGTTATGGTCCTGGTTCAGGTGTTGAGATGAGACGCGTAGATATCCGATGCTGTGCGAGCGTGGTGCAATGAATTTACTGTGATTGATCTTTCTTGAGATCGAACGAGTCGAACTTTGCGAGTATACGACAGCGGCGCGAATGAGCAAAGAGCGTGCTTGAGGACGGCGAAGACGGAGCGAAGAGGCTGGCTGGATGTGTGGGATAGCACGCGAGAGGGGTCGTTGGAGGAGATGAGGTGAAGGGTCGGTTGAGTGAGGACCGACCAGATAAGGTGACGAATGAGCAGTGGAGGAGTCAGAGCCGATGCATGGCAGAGACAGAGACCCTGACTGGAGTTGGGTGGATGATTGGCAATCAATCGCCCACGCAAGCAACAGTCGACCACTCTATGCGGGCGCCAGCGTCACCAAGTCGAAACTCCGCATCATGCTGGTGCAGCTCAGAGAGCCATGCACTCACAGACTCGTCTGACTCGGTCATCAATAGAGCGCTGACCCACTCGAAAATGCAGCAAAATTGAGTTGAGTTGATTTCAGATCCACCCAATCAGCCGCTTTGAGGGTCTTGAGCCAGAGCCCGCACCGCTGTGCTAAGTTACTACCGCACGTAGCTTGGTGAAAAATTGGACCCTTGTTAGGCCAAACCTTAGCCTCGACGGATCCGATTTCTTGCTCAGCTTTCGAGGTTTTTGGAAGCTTTGCCTACATCCGCTACGTTACCTCTTACTGCATCCATCCTCATCACTCGCCGTCCTCCTTACAGTCTGGCCGACCGGCCAGCAACTCCGCCACCTTGCTCACAGATGTACAGTTAGTCTAGATCGCAAGCATGGTCGTCATCGACTTTGACATGGCCGCAACAGGAGGCAACTCCAATGCCACCTTCTCCGACTCGCCCTTCTTCTACGACCGATCCGATGCCAACGGCGCCGGTCAGGCCATCTACAAGGACGCACACCATGTGCAACCGCACTCCAACCCGCGAGTCAGCTACTACCACCCTTCTGGCGTGGGCGACTTTCACTACGGCGAAAGGCATCCCATGAAACCCGCCCGCTTGACCTTGACCAACCGGCTCGTCCTTGCCTACGGCCTGCACAAGCACATGAGCGTCTTCACACCGCGCGAAGCCACCAAGGAAGAGCTCGAGATGTTTCACGACAGCGACTACGTGGATTTCCTTGCCAACGTCACGCCCACCACACCGCCATCTGCTGCCTTCACAAAGTTCAACTTTGCCGACGACTGCCCGGTCTTTGACGGCATGTACGACTTCTGCAAGGCGTATTCTGGTGCCTCCCTTGCCGGTGCACGACGGCTTGCCGCGGGCGAGACCGACATTGCCATCAACTGGTCCGGCGGTCTGCATCACGCGAAAAAGTTCGAAGCCTCTGGGTTCTGCTACGTCAACGACATCGTGCTGGGCATCATGGAGCTGCTGCGCCACCATCCGCGCGTGCTGTACATCGACATCGACATCCATCACGGCGACGGCGTTCAGGAGGCCTTCTACAACTCCAACCGCGTCATGACCGTATCATTTCACAAGTACGGCAACGACTTCTTCCCCTGCACGGGCAATATCGACGAGATCGGTACGGGTTTGGGCAAGCATTTCTGCCTCAACGTGCCATTGCAAGATGGCATCGACGACTCGGGCTATGTCGCGCTGTTCAAGAGCGTCATGGAGCCATGCATAACGACCTTCCGCCCCTCCTCCATTGTTCTCCAGTGCGGTGCGGATTCACTTGGACTTGACAGGTTAGGATGTTTCAACCTGAGCATTGCGGCGCACGGCGAGTGTGTGCAGTTCATCAAATCCTTTGGTTTACCCTTGCTCGTCCTCGGCGGTGGAGGATACACCATCCGCAACGTTGCCCGCTGTTGGGCGTACGAGACCTCCGTTCTCACCGGCTGCAGTATTCCGGACACACTGCCGAGCACGCCCTACATGGAGTTCTTCGCACCCACCTACCGCTTGCACGAGCCGACCCAAGCGGGTCGGGTGGAGAACCAAAACTCCAAAGCGAGCCTCGAGAAGATTCGCGTGCAGATCCTCGAGCAGCTGCGCTACCTTCACGGTGCGCCGAGCGTGCAGATGCAGGAACTGCCGCCCGACCTCGCCGGCGCCTGGGTCGAGGAGGAGATCAAACCCTAGATTCATGTATACCCCCCTCCGCTTCTCATTGTACTTGTAAGACTCGCTGTACTTCTACCTCGTTTGGAAAAGTTTGTATTGATGAAGACTCATGCCTGCGTCCAGTCCATCTGATCCTGTACGGTTTCGCCGTTGACCTCGAACCCGATTCGCAGTCTCAACCGCGCCGAAGCGCCAGGGGGCACCATAACGCGCAGAGCCTGCGTCTCGGTCGCTCCTGGCTGCACGGTCGCGTTCGAGATGGCCTGCATCTGCAGCTTGTGCGTCTTGGGCACGGCGGCTTGGAAGTTGACGTTGCTGACGGGGGTCGCGGAGGAGATGAAGCGCGCTGTGATGTTGACAATCTCGGGGCGTGCGGGGTTGGTCGTCGGTGTGAGCGTGATGGTGAGGCCGTGCTTGGTGTAGACGGTTTGTGCTTTGGTGGTGGGTGCAGCGGCGGGGGTGGGGACTGCAGCGGGCGCAGGGGCGGGAGAGGGTGCAGATGCGGTGGAGGAGCTTCCGTCGAGACCGCCGAGAAGGTCGAGTCCGCCATAGGACGAAGGCGCGGGTGCTGATGGCACGGGAGCCTGCTGCGGTGCAGGCGTGCTTCCACTATCACCAAAGAGACCGAGAATGTCGTTGACCGAGCTCTTCGGTTTCTGCGCCGCCGGTGTGGCCGCCACTGCTGCGGGCGCACCACCCATATCGCTGCCACCAAAGATGTCCGCCAGCAGATCGTGCGTGCTCTGCTGGGTGGAAGCGCCTGCGTTCGACCCTGCGCCACTGCCACCGCCGCTCGAAACAGCCATCTCGTCGCCCATCAGATCCAACAGCGCATCCTTGTCCGATCGGGTCGATCCCACCGGCTTGGCCTCGCTCACCGTGCCCAGCACCGTCTGCTTGATCTCCGGTGGCGGCATGCTCTCCAACACGCCCTCGCGGATATCGCTCCTCTTGAGCAGCGTCGCAAACTCGACACTGCGCTGCTGGATCTCGACCTCAACGCTGCTCTCAAAGCTAGCGATGATGTGCTCGATGCGCGACTGCTGCGATGCGTCCGTCAGTCTCGTGTGCAGCTTGGCCAGCGACGTCAGCACAAACTGACGGATCAAGCCGTTCACATATGGGCTGTCTAGCACGGACGACAACAGATCGACCACGTCCTTGGGCTGCACCTCGCGCACCAGCTCTTCGTCCTCAAAGTTGCCTCCCTGGATCAACACATCTCCAAACTCGCCAATCACCCACACGGCCGCCAGCGTGAGGCTCTCCTGCGAAAAGTCCTGGTGCAGCGCGGAAAAGAGCTTTTGCACCGTGTACGCCTGCAGCTCGGGCGTGTGGCACACGAGGCGGATGAACGCAGACAGAATCTCTTCACGCACGTAGCTGCCGGCGAGCTTGAGCACGCGCAGCACCGTGTCGATGTGCCAGCGCTTGTTGGGCGCAAACTTCTCGGCGGCAAGGCAGATCTGCGTCGTCATGCCCAGCTTGAACTCGTTGTCGGCCACCTCGAGGAAGGAAAGCAGTTCGCGGGTGAGGACGCGCACATTGCTCTCGTTGATCAGCGCGTAGCTTAGCTCCAGCGCTCGACGTCGGATCGAAATGTCGCCGTCGCGCAGACAGTCGAGGATAATGTTGCGGTGGCGCTGCACAGCGTTGGTGTCCATCGAGACGACTTTGCTGAGCGTGTTGAGGGCCACGTAGCGGATGTTGTTGTCGCGATTGCTGAGGAACTTGCCGAGAATGTTGATGGCCATGACCCTGAGCCCGTTGTCGGCATCGATCTCGAGGATGGTGAGGACGGTCTCGTACAGGATACTGTTGCCGACGTTCTTGCTGGCTTCGGTGTTGGTGGCCACCTGGGCGAGAATGTCGTTCATGGTTTCGGAGGCTTGCGCGTTCTCCTTTCCAAGGATGCGAAGCAGGCGGAGGATCTTGACTTGCAGAAAAGGATCAGTGATGCCAGATACGTCGTGCTCGGGCGAGTAGCCAGTGGTTACGAGCGACTTGAGATGCTGGACGAGCAACGGCACCGCGCGCCTGTATTCCTGCAACGCCTCGTCGTCCTGTCGGCAGATCTCGATGGCCAGCGTCACGGCGCAGAGCAGCACACCGTGGTTCTTGTCCGAAAGCAGCTGCTTGGTGCGGTCGACAAAGTGATCGATGAGGTCGGGCACCTTGCGGACGATTCGCATGGCGCAAATGGCGGCTTTTCGTCGAATGTACGTGTTGCTGCTACCCATGAGCTTCTCGATCTCGTTACACAGATCTCTTGACATTTCTTCGGATGCAATGTTGGCAAAGGTGCAGAGCGCGAGACCGCAGACGTACATGTTGGAGTGCTCCATGTCGTTTTTGAGACCGTTGGTGACCAACGTCAGTACCTCGGTGTTCTCATCGAGCAAGAGCATAATCCCAAGATAGCCGAGACGCTTATCGGTGAAGCGGGGCGTGGCTACCAGCTTGAGACATTCGATCTGACCGAAATGCGCGGGATAGCCAAGCATGTGGATGTAGAGCAGCTTGGCGATGTTGTTGTGGCGTGCGAAAGGGTCCTCATCCTTGAAAGCGGTTCGGATGGAGGCGGACTCTTTTTGGATGAGCGATCGCTCGTCGGCTTGCGTTTTACATGATCGAATGGCTTTGATGAGCGCTTTGAGGTTGTAAAGGCCTGCGCTGGCCAGCAGACCGCCCAGACGAGGGTCGAGCGCGGCGACCTGCTGCTGCTTCTGGAAGAAGGTCGACATGTTGGTGTGGCCTCGAGAGGGGAGGGATCCGACGAAGGGCTGAGAGGGACAGCTGGTCGTGGAAGCGGGTCAGCAGATGCCGCTGATCGAGCTCCCTCTCGCTGTGTAAGGCGTCGAAACGTGAGCAGCTACGAAGTGCAGACTCGTGAAGGGACGAGACCGAGAGATGAAATGCGCAAGAGAGGAGATGGAGGAAGAACAGATGGTGATGGTGTTGATCGTCGGCTTATTGAGCTCGACAGCGCGCGTGTTGCAGCTAACGCGGGAAAGTGTGTTGCAGCAGATCTCGGTCTCAGGCTTCGGCTGTCGCCCTTACGCTCGAATTTCCAGACCTGGTCAGAGCGTCATTTTCCGGATCTTTCGTGGCCCTCGCCGCTTTCGACAAGTCACACACACTCCCCTCCTGACCACAGTCGCGCGCTCTACTCTGTCGACTTGAGTTGCACAATATGGGTTGGATTGATCACGACACGGACAAACGAGTGAAAAGGACAAACAATCAACAAAAGATGGACAGAAAGACAGACTATGCAAAAGGGGGAAGGCGCTCGAGTGAGTGAGCCGTTTATTCGTTACCGAAGCCCATACCCTCCTCGATGGCCAGGGCGAGCTTGCTTTCGAGCGTCTCGAACGAGGGATAAGGGGGCAAGTCGATGCGGTTGAAGCAGGTATGCGACTTGGGAAGCTGGTTGACGTCGCCCGACTTTTCGATGGTGAAGCGTCGAGGCCCATCCGAACCTTGGAGATCCTTGAAGCCGTTGACGGGGATCCTCGATGTGCCAGTAGCGAACTGCAACAGGCGCGACTTCTTCTCGGTCGGCCATGCGCGAACACACTGCCAGAACCACTGCACCACCTGGTCCTGCTCGGTAAAGCCACGGTAGTCGGTGAACTTCTTCCAATCGTCGCAGTCGATTTCCGACATGCCGCCAATGAGCAGCTCCAGCTCGCGCTCGTCAAACACATTGATGAGATCTTGCGGGATGAGCTCGGTGAAGCCCGAGATGAACGCCTTGAACTGCTCCTCGACACGCTTCGAGATACGCCACTCGGTCATGAGCTCGACGTAGTCCTTCTTGTTCTCGTCGGTCACGTCCACCTCCTCCCCGCCAGGCTTGAGTTCGACGGTGACCATCTCGCCGAACTTGTCCTCGACGGCCGTGAAGGTCTCCTCGACGATGCCTTCAATGCTGTTGTCCAGCATCCACTGCAGCGAGCGGTGGTAGTCGGCGTCGACCGACTCGAGATCGCTGAGCGTGATCTTCTTCTTGAGAATCATCTTGTAGAACGAGACAATGAAGTAGGCGTCCAGGAAGCGTCGGTGGAAGATGGCCAAGCCGAGCACACGGCCGATAAACTTGAAGTAGTTGAGGTGCTCAGGGTTGATGCCCGAGTGAGGGTTGATCTGCAGCGTGTAGTTGTCGTGCGCACTGTACTCAAAGAGACAGTAGAAGGGGTTGAACATCTCGTGCGACAGCAGGAAGAAGAACTCTCGCGAAAGACCACCGTAGTCCAGGCCATCCTCGCCATCGAACTTGATCATGAGACGCTTCTTGAGATCGTTGGGCTGCTGGCGCATGATCTCAGCATACGAGTCCTCGAAAATGTGCGTACGGCGAACCTTGATGTGGCATTGACCGGGGATCGGGCGGAGCGCAGGCTGGCTTCGGAAGTAGATGAGTTTGCGACGGAAGTCACGCTTGTACTGGGGCACGTTCTGGTCGAGACTCGAGGGCAATCGAGGGTCGTCCCAGGTGGTCGTCTTGGTGTTGTGGTCCACAAAGTAGACGCGGGCGGTCGAGGTGAGACGCATCTCCCAGCCGCTGGGAAGAGGGCCGAGCTGCGAGACGCTCTGGGGCTGCACGGTGAGGTTGCTGCCGTTGGGGCCCATGATTCGCAGGATCTGCTGTCGTCGCGGGTCCACCCAGGTGGTGGTGCGTGTGTTGTGGTCGACAAAGTAAGGGCGACCTTCGGGCGTGTGACGCTGCTCCCATCCAGCAGGCAGGGGACCGTTGCCAGCCGTGGTGCTCGAGCCTGCGGGCAGAGGGTTGGTCGCAGCCGGCGTTGTGGCGGGGCTGTTGACGGCCGAGCCCGTTGCAGACGAGCGCGAGGCGTCGCCATCGTTGACGCCAAGGAAGTCATCGGCCAGAGCTCGGTTGCTATGCCTCTGTCGATCGGCTGCCGAGATGCTAGCAGCAGCGGCCGTGTTGGCACTCGAGCTGGTCGAGGGTCGAGTCCAGGTCGTGGAGCGCGTGTTGTGGTCAACGTAGTAAGTGCGTCCGAGGTGATCCGTCCTCCTCTCCCAGCCACCCGGCAGGGGTCCATACTCGTCCGAGCGCGTGTCCTGCGAGTTGGTAGCGCGGGCCGTGGTCGACGCAGGGGCAGCTGACGACCTCGCTTCACTTGTGGCAGCGGAAGTGGCAGCCGGAGTCGTGGAAGAAGCCGCTGTGGAAGATCCGAGAGCGGACGAGCCTGCGGGGTCGACGGTGGACGTGGGTCGGCTAGAGGAGTCACCGTTGGTGGAGGCAGAGGAAGTAGCGGCAGCAGCAGCGATCGCGGCAGCAGCGGGTGCAGCGGTACCACTGGTAGCGGTGGATGGACGGGTGTCCGTGCGAGTAGCGCCAGGGGAAGCTGGCGTGGAAAGCGAGGCCGACGAGGCGTTGGAGGCGCCGGGGACGAGAAGGTTGGTGGGACCGGCGGACGAATTGTTGTTGATGGGGGTCGAGACATTGGTGTTGAGGTCGATGATGAGCTTGCCGTGGACGACGAGGTTGTCGTTGGATTTTTTGAGCTCCTTGTTGAGCAGACGCTTTCCACCGAGCTCGAGGTCGAGGACATCAGCGACGCGAATGTTGATGACGCCGAGGAAGCCTTGGTCGCGCTTCTTGAACTTCTTCTGATCAAAGATCTGCACGGCGATGACGGAGGAGTCGGTGACGTTGACATCGAAACTATCGTTCCAGTACGGGTTGAGCGTCTTTTTGATGACCGAGGTCGAGTGAGTCTGCTCTCCGTCGACGGTCACGATGGCGAACGGGTCTGGCAAACGGAAGACATCGCGCTTTGCCAGGCCATCGGCGGCGACGACAGTGATGCGGATCTTTCTCGAGAGACTGCCTGCAGCGCGAGGGTTGACCATGTTGGTATCCGGACTAAATGGAACGGACGGACGGCTGGGTGGAAAGGACAAGAAGGACGAAGTGATTTCACGACCGGTATGCTGCGAATGAACAGAGACGGAGCGAGAGCCAGTAATCGAGCTGCTGCAAAGCGATTCCAGTAGCACAGACTGATGTTTCGGCGATGGATGAATGCGCAGCAGAGACGAAGGCAGCGATGAGCCTAATGTAGATGTCGATTCGGACTGCTGAGACCGCACAAGCTGAGAATCGAATGCACGTGACCGCGGCTGCGATGGTGGACGGACTGCTGGAGGATGCTGGCTCGAGATGTCAAGGAGGTGAGAGGATATTCGAGGTACGGAAGGGGGAGCGACGATGGTGGAGACGAGGGTGAAGGGATGATAGCGATGGAAGAGTTGCAAGTGCACTGCCTTGGTGGAATGGAATGAAAGGGTGGAGAAAGGCGACTTTGGCCCAGGCCGTAATCGAGTCTGTGAGTGTGCTGTGCTCAGCTGAGCTGCGAACAGCGCGGACCGGTGAAATTATACTGGTGATGTGCCTGGCTTCCCGCTAGCCCCGTGCCGAAGACCTGCAGCTTACTCGCGTGTGAGCAGAGAAAGCGGTGGCCTGAGGCCTCGATTCGTAGAGAAATGCTGACTGCACAGACACACAGAGATAATTGCCTTGAAATCTTTCGGATTCAACTTCCTTTTAAGCCCGGCTTACAGGTCTACAAATCACCAGCGCCTGGTCACAGTGTTTCGTGATTTCAGGTTGGGAAAAAGGGCGAGAAAAATCGTGAGAAATTCCAAATTTTTGCCTATTTTTGAAACAAATCACAAATTCAGTACGGCATGTCCGCGGCTGATCTTGCCGGGAAGAACTCAACTCGTGAATCGGCGGGTGCCTACCGACCACGACATTCACTGCAAGGATCTAGACTTCAATCACGCTTCTAGACAAGGCGATTATTTGACAGCATCAGGCAATTGAGTGGCTGAAGGGACGTCGGATTCGATAGGTGCTGTAATCGCATCGAAAAGATGAAGAAGCAGGAAGTAGAGACACGACAAGGGTCGCGGAAAGGGGGCAGAAGAGCTGCACGGAGCGAAGAAGCGAGAGGACGACGGACGGAGACGCTCTCTTGCTGGAGACGGGAGACGATATCTTGACATCAAACAAGGCCCTCGCCGACACCAGCAGCTCGAAAACCTCCGTCGATTGCAGGAGCACCCTGGCCCGCAGCGCTAGGTCCGTTGACGTAAGTGGGCACCTGCTGACCCTGCAAGCCCTTGAGCTTAGCCACTTCCGACTGCAGTTGACGAATGTTGTCCGACTGGGCCTTGAGGTCTTTGGACTGACCCTTGTCGTGGAGTGCGCTCGTGACGGCAACGGTACTCGCAGTCCCCAGCGCGGTCCAAGCAAACAGATTCTTGGCCTTGCTCTTCCAGCCTCCGGGCTGGCTTGCCTTGATCCTGGCAATCTTGGCCTGGATGTCTTCGTTGTTTTCCTTGAGTCGTCCAATCTCCTCGCTGTTCTTGAGGATACCGGCGTGACCGTCAGCGATAGCATTGCGGTGAACGCGAAGGTCGGTGTTGTGATTCTCGAGGACGGCCTGGTGTCTGCCCAGGGCGGTCCAGGGATCACCGGGTCCCGCAGCGACAGGCTCGCGCCAAGTGACCCCCTTCCGGGCGAGGTCGGCGGGCGAGGGGGCGGGTCCAACCTGTTGGCCGACGGAAGTCTCAGCGCGTACCGAATCAGAGGACTGGACATAGTGGTTTTCCTCGGGATTGTACAAGAACGTCTTGGGCGTAGAGGACCCGGGGCTTCCTATGTGAGATTTGGCCTCAAAGATCTCAGCTACGGCTTTACCCTTGCCAGAAGATGCGGCTGCACCTTCGAAGTTCTCGATCAGCTCGCCTGCGGTCGTACAGAAGCAACATAGCGAAGGAGCAAGATCATAGTCAGCCTCGGAGTTTCGCGGTATAGACGAGCCACTTCTGTAGCTGTAAGGATTTCTCTACTCACCGACCGGTGGAACACCACGACGCTCCTTCGTGCCGTGCTGGGGCTGTTCGTTGCCATTTGTTTCGTTGGGGATGGTGCGCTTCACTTTGACCTGGACGAATCGATGTTGCTGCATTTCGTGCAATTGGACCGCTGCGACGAGCTGAAGGACCACAAGCAGCGTGCTGAAGGTAAAGAAGAGCTTCATGATGGCTGAGACACCCACCTTTCAACTTGGACGTGGAGGATACGGTTGGCAGATGTTGGAGCTGAGACGGGAACTTTGTGGCGGCACTCGTCCTGCTTATATTTCTCAGCTCAAAGTAAGCAGATCCTGTCAGGGGTATCCCGAAAGCAGCTCTTGCTCTCCCACACAACCTCATCGTCTTCATCTGGGCCCGACTGTCGCTCTGGCGACAATGGCGGGAGCTTCATTCCGTACTGATCGACACCCACCGATGTGGCGGAAGGTTGACTGGGAGCCGTGATCAATCAATACGCTTCATCGATGTCAACACATCTTTCAATGGCTGTGCACGGGTCATCAGGAACATCTTGTTGGCAGTGAAGGGGACGATTACGGTATCAGGCTCGGGTGGGAGTGGCAGGCCGCAATTTTCCGGCCGGCTGAAATTTGAGCATCCGCCCAAAATCACTTTTTGGCTCGCTCGCTCGCTTTCTTCCACATCTTGAAACGCTGAACCCCTTCGCATGCTTTCCTCATCATCATCAGTGTCGACCACAACAACCTTTCATCGACAGCCTTTGAACATCGTCTCACTAGCTCAGCATCTCACAAGATGACATTCACAGTGGCGCAGCGCCAGCGGGCGATCGGCCTGTACAAGCGCCTCCTTCGCACATCACGCAAGACGTTCGATGGCGATTCAAACGCGATCGCCGCCGCCAGGGACGAGACTCGCCGTCGCTTCAGGGACGCAGCACAGGAGATAGATGCTGCCAAGATCGACGAGGGTCTCAAGATGGGCGACGAGATTGTCTCGGTACTCCGACAGAACGTCGTCCAGGGCAAGTGGCGACAGGACAGGGATGCGTATGGTAAGTTGCGGCCACAGACATCTGGAACAGCTCCGGTGAAGCAGTTGACTGACCCCGAATCTCCTCTTCCTCATACTGCAGAACTCCGCATGACCAAGGAGACAGAGCTCGGCAACAACGACAGCATCAAAGAGGCACGAGCCAAGCAGATCGCCGACCTCAAAGCGGGCAAGAAGCCGGAGCGAAAGAGCTGCCGCGAGATGGCCGCTCAGTATCAAGCATCCTCCTCCTCTTCATCCGCGGCCACGTCCTCCTCTTCCGCGTTCAATTCGGTTCGCGCCTACTCCACCTCTGCCCGACCCACATCTAGCATCCTTGCGCAAGCTACGCACTTCCAGCAGCGCAGCGGATTCGCATCCTCAGCGAGCACACTTTCTCGCGACCCTTCCGCCGTCGCCGCATCGCCTCTCCCGCGTCCAGTACCCAAGTTCTCGTCCACTACCATCCTTGCGGACGGCTCATCGATTCAGCTCGCCACCACATCGCCCCGTCGTCTCACGCGGCTGACGCGAGACCCCACCAACCATCCGCTGTGGAACCCGGGCCAGGAACGAAAGATCGGTGGTGACGCAGCGGACGACAGCGGTCGTCTGGGCAGGTTCAGGAGGAGATTCGAGGGTGCCGATGGCGCAGTGGCCAGCAAGGCGGAGGCAAATAAGGAGGCGGGAGAGGTTAACTTCGGTCAGGAGGACCTGGATTGGATGAGTGTCGGTGGTCGTGAGGCTCGGGCTGGCTCGCCCATTGCGGCGAAGAAGGCTGCCAAGGGCAAAGGCCGCAAGTGAGACGGATACACGCTCTTTGTTTGTACAACACTGAATACGCAAGGCATCTCATCATGAAACGCCGTTTGCGTCTTGTGTGCAGTCTTGAGTTGATCAAGCCCAAGCCGGAGCCGCTGCACGAACGAGCTGCGAATGTGCGATGTTGCAGCCGCTTCGCACGCCGGATCTGAGCTCAGGATCATATATAGGATCGCCTTTCTGTGTCGCACAGTCAGTCCTCTCCACACTCTCGTGCATCTGCGCCATCTCTCCAGCTCGCAACGAACGTCACATCACTTCTCTCCCACCAGAAGCATTAGATCACAGTCTTCCAGCGCGCAGTGCACGCCGTATCTGCTCGCTCGATGCTCTGAGATCTGATTCGAATTGCAACTGTATCCTCTGCATGTAGCCTACTCGTCGTCGTGGGATGGCGAGCTGCCACCTGCGAGGCGTTCTCGGTTCTTGAGGATCTGCTCCTTCTTATGTGCGATCAGCTCGAGCTGACGGCCTTCCAGGCCGTGAACGTAGTATCCGAGTGCGCCAAAGGCCGACATGAGCATCGCGTGGCCTCCGAGGTCTGTCGTCCCAAATCAGAGGCGGGTAAGGTCAGCATGACGCTCTAGTTGCCCTGCACGGACGATGCTGGTTGGGGACGAGGCGCGAGTACTCACTCTCGAAAATGTTTCGCTTCTGCAGACCGAGCGCATAGCATCGTGTGAGGAAGCCGAGGCCGGCGTAGCCAAGGACGCTTGCTGCTACCGACATCTTGGGTGGACTGTGGTCGATCGAGTCCGAGGGGAGACAAGGAGGCGACTGAATGAAAACCGTCAGCGAAGGCGTGGCGAAGTCGGTGAAATGCGATGTGGTGTGTACTCACCAGTTGTGAGATGTTGGCGATCAATGATGTGGATCAGAAGTGATGATGCGATCAAGAAGGATATCGAGGATATGGAGATGGTGTGGTGGAATTGCGACTTGCCCAAATCGTCACTTGGTCCAGTCACGTGTTCGAGGCTTAACATTCTTGGAATTTATGTGGGACAATCGTCTCTGACCTTGCACCTCCTAGTTCGGCATCCCTATACTTTGCTGTTACTGACACAGTAGTGCCTCTATGCATTCCGTTTGGTGGAGAATAAGTGATGGGAATGATCAAGGCCCTGAGCTGTCTGTCCCGTCCTCCTCCTGCTCTGGCGGGAACGGCCATCTTACCTCACCAGCGCACTTGCCCATCCAAAAGAACCGCTTCTGATATCCGTCCAGCCTCACGTTCGGCCTGAGCACGAGCTTCTCCATCTGTCTCGCCCTCGTCAACGCTGTCCTCTTATCCAGCTCCATCACCGCTGCGGACGCCTCCATCTGCCCGTCGACGGATTCGAAATTTTTGGTCAATAGCACCTGCTCCCCCTTGGCCGCTAACGAGATGCGTCGTGCGGCCTCTATCGCCAGTCGGGCGATGTTCCGCGTGTCATCCAGGCCGCTGTGCTGTCTGCCTTGAAACGGGCCGATGTTGAGCAGCTCCAGAAGCCCAGCCAAACTCTGATCGTAGGGCGAGAGACCTGTCGTCCTCGGATCCTCCTTCACTACCGTGGCGCTTGCAGGAGAGATGACCTGAAACCCGTCCTCGCCACCAAACTCTAGCGGCGTAGCTGCACGAGTCACAGCACGATTCTGCTCTGCCTTGAGCTCCTGCTCCCATTTGAACAGGCTCGCTATGCCCCTGCGGATATCGACCAGTGGGCCGCGGAGGAAGATCGGCGGTGCACCGGCGTCCTTATCGCGGGCGTGGCCAGAGATCCAGCATTGCTTGATGACAAAGTCGCGCAGGTCGGCAGGACCGTGGTTGATCCAGGTGACCCCGCGACGGAGGCGATAGTTGTGCAGGTGGTTTGTCGAGGGAGTTGAGGTGTCTTCGACCAGATCGTGCGTGCGGAGAAATTGGAAGAAGAGCTGGACGACCTTGGGCCAGGTGGGTGCTGCGTCGACCTGCGACTGCGTGACACCGGTCAGGTCGCGGCAGAACCGCGTGAGGTGGGGTCGGAACGTAGGTCGGACAAAAGAGTGGAACGTCCCGGTGGTATCGAGCTGTTGGGTCTCTGCGTTCCATCGGAGCAGGACGACGGGAAACTCAATGATCTCGTTCGGGTATTGGAACGAGCCCGTCTCGTAGCCGTGTTGCAGGTTGCGGTACTTGCGTGTCGATTCGCACGTCGCCTCTACGTCGAGTACTAGAAAGGTATCGAACTCTGGCTCCCAGCTTGCATTCTCGTCTCGCGACTCCACTACACCAGTGGGCGGACTGTCGCTCGCATTGCGTATGGCCTTCTTGAGCCGAAGTCTGAGGTCGGCCTTCTTGCCCTTGGTATCGAGTCCGAAATCGTGCAGCCGTGAACGAAGCTCTTCGACCGTCAGGGAAGAGGCCATTGCGGCGGCCCGAGGATGAGCTTCGGTGTGAATGCTCGATCCTCAGGCGGCTGCTTCCATGCGCGGAAGATTTGACCGATTCATGCGCGAGTGTTGTGGTATGTATGCAGTCGAGAAGGGTCGAACAGGAGGAGGAGAGGGTCTAAAGCGGGCGCTTCAGGTTCCGAGTTCCACGATTTCCTCCAAAAAAGTCTCGAATCCCACACGACAACCTTCTCATCCTCCACCCTTCCGCGACTCAGCATCAACCAGAAGCGCAGCGACGGCCCATTCTACCCTCTCACGACCACCATCGGCACTCACGGACCCACACTCACACTTGATCCATCATTGCGAGCCAAGGCACTACCTCACCATGTCGGCGGACGACCTCGAGACGCCAATCCTATGCGAACCCTGCTTGGGCCCCAATCCATACATCCGCATGACCAAAGACCCGCAGGGCAAAGTGTGCAAGATCTGCACCCGTCCCTTCACGGTCTTCCGCTGGAACCCAGGCGCCGGTTCTCGCTTCAAAAAGACCGAGATCTGCGCCACCTGTGCCAAGGTCAAGAACGTCTGTCAGACGTGCATCCTCGATCTGCAGTATGGATTGACGGTGCAGGTGCGGGATGCGGCGTTGGGGTTGAAAAGCGGTGGGCAGCATAGTTCGGACAAGACGAGGGCGTATGCGGCGGATGTAGCGGAGAAGCAGCTGGAGGGGAGCGATGGTGGGATGGGGACGCTGGGGAGGGCGGGGCAGGAGCTCGTGCGCAAGGCGGCACGGAAGGAGATCGAGTACAAGAGGGATCGTTCCCAACAGCTGTGTTCGGCGTTTGCGAGGGGGAGATGTGAGAGAGGAGACGCATGCCCTTTCAAGCACGAACTGCCTGCTGATATGAGCCTCGTGGGATCACCAGCGGCGGGACCGTCAAGTGGCGCACAAGCACCATCACCAGTAGCACCAAGAATCACAAAGCCAGCGGCAGGCCTCCCACCACCACAAGACACGTCCATCGTCTCGCTCTTCATCTCCTCCCTCCCTCCTTCCACCACCGAGCCCGCTCTGCGTCAATTCTTCCTCGACCTCACGCCGCAACTCCAACCAGACCACATCAAATCCGTCACACTCGTCGCGACCTCCCGGTGCGCGTTCGTCAACTTCCGCACGCGACAGCAGGCCGAATGGGCAGCGAAACAGTGCGAGCCCAAGATGCTCATGGGCGAGCAGGAGGTGAGGTTGACATGGGGTAGGAGTCGACCCAAAAAGCAGGCTGGCAAAGAGTAGAAAGGGCGCATCGGTCGCAACGACAACATTGTATTTCTAGATCGTCACACCAATTGCATTCGGCAGGCTCTCGTATCGGTTCACTTTCGACTCGGTATGTGAGAGTCGATATAATGACAACGCAGTGATGTACATACGAAAGGGATCTCGTCCGCCCTTCCTGTAAATTCAGGGTCCACATCTCCTTATCCCTTCCTTTCCGATGACGATCACACCTGTACGGGACGATAATAGACAGTAGTGACATACTTCCTCTTGTACCTCGTCGTGGTGCCCACCGCCAAGACACCGCCCTTGATGCTGCTAGCCGTAAGGTGATTCAGCACCACATGGTTTGGCGCGGGCAAGATACTGTTGTCGTCGACAGTGCTGCCAGCCGTCGTCGTACCGTTGCTCGGGTTGGCCGGCGACGAGTTGAGGATGACCTTCTCGAGCTGTCGTGGCAAGGCAGGTGGGTGTGGCAGCGCCGCAGCACTTCCTTCGCTGCCATGTCGTGAGTGCTGGCCGCTCTCCTCCGCCTCGCGCTGTGCTTCTTCCACTTCCTGTGCGTCGATGAGCGCCGCGGGGATCTCCGAAGTCCATGTCTCTTCCTGGTCCGTGCCGTCGTCGTCAAACAGATCATCGAGACCATATCGCATCGCTTCCGCCTTTCTCGCCTCTTCGATCAAGTTCATGGTCGTCTTCTTCGAGTCGATCTTGGAGTTGCGCTCGCTTCGACCCGGGTCAGCATCAGCACCGGGCAAGTCCTCGCCAGGCGCACTGAGCGGTCCAGGATGCGCTGGCCCCACATTGGGGATCTCGACGTAGTTGACCAAGTTGCCGTCACCGTCGGTAGCGGTGGGCAGATCACGCGAGACACGCCAACGATCGTCGACGATAAACTTGAGACGATGCGTTCCTGGCGGCAGATGCAATACGCACGTGTGGTCGCGCTTGGACTTGTGCAGCAGAATCTTGGATCGCCACTCGTTGGCAAAGGTACCGGTGACAAACACCTCGCGACCACCAGCCCGCCATGTGATGACGATCGGCATCAAGGCAGGGTGTTGCTGAGATGCGGCCGAGTGGCTGTGATGCGGGTGTGGGGCGAATTTGGCGCTGACAGGGGTGGTGGGTTGACTCGCCTGACCGGTGCTCCCTGTCGCCGACGGGGTCCGGTGGCCTTCTGGGCGAGCACGATCGCTCCTTGTGGCTGGCGAAGACACCGCGGACAGCGGGG